CCTTGTGTCCCTCGAAGAAGTTCTTCTCGTGCTCCAGGGCGTACGCGATGGGCCGCTTGTTCTCAATGTCACGCTGACCACGGTTCACCACCGGCACGTATCCCAGGCGCAGAGGGATAATCCTGCCCGCAAGAATATCCACCACATCGGTTCCCTCGTCCATCAGATCCACCTTGGTCAACACACCGATGGTACGCTGACCCTCGGGGTCGACCTCACGCGCCAGCTTCAAGCCGTCGGAGTTGGCCAGATCCTGGTTGGCCGAGGTGACGGCCAAAATGATGGCGTTGGGCTTGCTGATGTACTTCAAGACCATGTCGCGGATCTGCTTCTCGATATCCTTGGGCTGATCGCCCACCGGCACCTTGGTCAAACCGGGCAGATCCACCAGGGTGAGGGTCAGGACGTTGGGCGAGTAGATGCGCAAGTTGATGGGGGCGGGCGAGATTCCGGCATTGCGACCGACCTTCTGCTCCGTCTCGCGCACAATCTCTTCGCGAATCTTGTTGAAATCGTGGAACTTCTGGCCGGGGATGTGGAGGAACTCGCCGTACTCGTCCAGGTTGGCCTCCTTATCCGTCGTTTCGAGCTTCTCCTCCTGGGCACCGTTCGCCTTCGCGCTTCCGGGGGGTCGGTTGATCAATTGCAGGATAAGAGGTCGTCGAGTGACAATGCCGGATCCACGGGGAAGGCTGGTGAGAAAAACCCCTGGTCAGTCCAGTTACAATGCAGGGGGAGCAATCCACCACCAAAACTGCATGCGTGCCGAGAAACCTACAAATCGCGACCAACTATGTTTTCCAGAACCGAACTCTTACCGCTGGACTGCGAACCGACGACGGCAATTTGGGGCAGATCGATGGGGTTGTGAACCTAAAGCGAACAAGCGGTGTCAGTCAAGTCTCCGACGGAGGGGCTGCGGAGCAGACCACTGTATGCACAGGGGAAAACAAAAATCAAGACGTACCCCGACAGTCGCAAAGACATCCTGGAGCTTGTTCACCAGCGAGATCAAGCTCGGGTCGTTCACGTTTATGCTGCTCACGAGTCAGAAAAGCGGCCGTCAACACGAGGGACCAGGGGGTCAGAGGGAGTGGGGAGGGCGCACGAGAAGCCAGTCGGACTTGCCATGGCTGGCGACGTATTAGCGGGGTGGAGATACAGCGAATTTAAAGAAGCGAGAGAGGCGAGAGAGAAAGAAGAGGGGGAGGGTTATATAAAGAGAGGATGAACCCAGCGGAGTGCGGGAGCAGACAGACGGAAGTAGAGAGAAGGCGGGAAGGTCGACGAGCGGCCACTTGGTTTGGTTGACTTTCGCTTCCGTTGCGCTTCTCGGCCTTACTTAGCCGCAGTCACGACGCCTACAGGCTGACCAACACCACCGCAGACCGGGATTCGGCGCCAGTTCGAGGCAGAATCATTTATTCTGCGTCTAGAAGCAACCTCCAGGGGGCATGACGCTGTCGCCATCATCAGGCAGCGTCCAGAGTGGTCGGACTGGGACGCGTCATGTGCTGGCCACTCAAAGCGGCCAAACAATGCTTGCTGCCTGAAAGAACGTCCCCGACCGGATCTCCGATTTCAAGAATTATGGCGAGATTAATTCATTCAAAACATGGCAAAATAACTACAAGACTAAAATGGGAATTTGCTATGCTACAGGCTCTCGACAAAAACACCCGCGCCCGTCTGCGCTCACTCATCCGATACCGAGGCAAAGCGCTCCGACATGTTCTGCAGGACTTTCTCGTACTGCACCGGAGTCAGCGATCAATTCAGTCAGATGGTAGAAAGAGGATAGGCTTACCTTCTCCGTAACGGCCGACTCGTCGTCCGGCACCTCGAACTTCATGCTCCGCAGCGAGGTCTGGATGTCGGAAGTGGCGTCGCGCACCTTGGACCAGTTCTGGCCCTGCGCGATGGCCTTCTGCGCCTCGTCATGGTAGCCCATGAACGCCTTCATCATGTACTCCGTCTTCCACAGCGGGCAGAACTGGTCGTAGTCACTGTATCCGTTCTGCTGCAGGAAATCATCCTTCACCATGGCGGCCACGTCCAGGGTGATCTTGTCCGAATCACCCAGGGCCGCCTTTCCGACCAGCTGCACCACCTGGTCCAGATCCTCGGACTTGGTCAACAGCTCTCGGATGCTCTCACGCAGGCGCGGGAAGTCGGGGTGGTGCTGGTCGTAGTACTTGTCCAGGACGGTGGTGTATTTACTGTAGGACATGGAGGTGTTGATCGACGGGAAGTGCTTGCGCTGAGCCAGCTTCTTGTCCAGACCCCAGAACACCTGCACGATACCCAGCGTACTGGTGGTGACGGGATCCGAGAAATCACCTCCCGGAGGGCTGACGGCGGCGACGATACTGACACTGCCGTTTCTCTCGGGGCTTCCCAGAGCGAGCGACTTTCCGGCACGTTCGTAGAAAGAGGCCAGCTTGGCACCCAGGTAGGCGGGGAAACCCTGATCGGCAGGCATCTCTCCCAGACGACCCGAAATCTCACGCAGCGCCTCGGCCCAGCGAGAACTGGAGTCCGCCATCATGGCCACGTTCTTGCCCTGGTCACGGAAGTATTCGGCGATGGTGATACCGGTGTAGATGGAGGCTTCACGGGCGGCGACGGGCATGTTGGAGGTGTTGGCGATCAGGCAGGTACGCTTCATGATGGGCTCTTTGCGACCGTTGATGTCGATGGAAAGCTACGACCAGTCAGTACACGCACAGAATGACTCAAAGATGCGGTTTTTCGTGTGGTTCTTACCTCCGGGAAATCCATCAAGACTTCAGCCATCTCATTACCGCGCTCACCACATCCGACGTAGACGATGATATCACTGTTCGAGAATTTGGACACACTCTGCGAGATGACGGTCTTACCACATCCGAAAGCACCGGGAATACAGACGGTACCACCCTGCACACTGGGGAAGAGAGAGTCCAGCACACGCTGACCAACGATGAAGGGGGCATCGGACGACAGCTTGTCGTTCACCGGGCGCGGCACACGGACGGGCCAGGTCTGCATCATTCCGTGCTCGGTCTTCTTGCCGTCGAACTCGATTTCCAGCAGCTTCTCCTCGACCGTGTAGCTACCGGCCTCGGCGATCCGGGTGATGGTACCGCGCGCACGGGGCGGCAGGAGGATTTTGTGCTCGTTGAGCAAGCTGTTTTCGAACACGGTACCCCAGATGTCACCGCCCGTGATGTGGTCGCCGACCTTGTACTGACCCGGCGTGAAATCCCATTTCTTCTCGCGATCCAGCGCATTCACGGTGATGCCACGGGGGATGTAGATGCCCTTGGACTGGTCGGAGATGGCCTTCAGGGGGCGCTGGATACCGTCGTAGATTGTTTCCATCAAACCGGGACCGAGCTCGACCGAAAGGGGTTTTCCCGTCCTCGTGACGGGGTCGCCGACCGTTACGCCATCTGCAGACACGCATGGGGTCAGTTGTCACGAAGCTTGATAGGAGCGACCGAGGGGATGGGATGCGGAGGTACCCGTTTCTTCGTAAACCTGGATGGTGGCCTTATCGGCGTCGATACGGATGACTTCACCGACGAGCAAGTCATGGCCGACTCGACACTAGGATCCGCAGTAGATTAGCGAAGAGGCCGGAGCGATGGCACATGGTCGGAGAGATTGGATGCAAAGGTGTAAGTGTAAGTAAGAGGGACATACCAGCTCGTACATGGCACAACCGATCATGTTCTCGGCCACGACGACGGGACCGGAAACGGAGAAAACGGCGCCATGGGCAGCCTCGTCGGCGTCGGCACCTCTCTTGGAAGACATGGTGAGTGAAACAGGAGGGTGGATGGAGACGGTGGAAAGGGAGGTGGAGGGAAGGACAGAGGAGTCGGAGCTGTCGCTGGCAGTGCTGGGGAAGGTGGGCGAAACGGGGAGCGGTGGCAGGTCGTCGGGCCCGGGCGGTGATGACGACTCGTCTTCTTCTTCGTCCTCTTCTACCTGTCGCTGCTCTGGTTGTCGCTTGGGCTCGCCGTGACTGGCGATCAGATCCAGCAAGGAGGGGCGAGTCTTCAGTCGACGCACTCCCAAGCCTAACATGCGGATTGCCAATAATAATTAATCATTCATTCAGGATTGGAAGAGGGTGCAGCCAACTGTCCAATCTGGTCGGACTGTCTTGGTCAAGGTTACTCAGCCGTGCTAGTCTCCCTCCCACTCATCGCACTGTTCTCTAGCCGGTGCGATCGCCTGAGGGACGAGAGTATACTTCGAGATGATTTTATGATTTTATGATGATGGTTTCAGCTGTTGGCTCCTCCGATGCGACCATGCCAATGTTAACAGCAATCATCCCCACCTGCCGGTCATGGCGCAGCAGACGCGACGAAATCTCCGAATGACGGTATCTTAATAATAGCGTTCAAGGCTGCAATGAATTCAATATACAACTATGTACCTCGATATACCATGAAGACGTCGCCTATTTTGAATGTCGAGAATATCCATGCAGTAAAGCAGCATTCCCAGTAAGTCTCTACACCCGCCGTGCTCTCCAGACTATCACATTCTCCAGAAACCACCAAACCCCACGGGCGAATGTATCGAATGAATCCGCCCATGTGTCAGCGGTGCGATGATCCTGACGGAAGAGACAATCGTCCAATCGTCCAGAGTCCAACGGCCGCCAATCTCCATGTGTTCCCCGCACCGAAGAACAGCATGGATCTGGTTCACATGCTCTGAGCGGTCCTACACAAATGGACGACTACCTCGTTCCATGGGTTCTCGCTTCTCGGCCGCTTTTGTATCGGGATGGCCTCTCTGTCCTCTCTGTCCTCATGTGAGCTGGGTTTGTGCTATGTCTATAAACCCTCCTTTGCACGGTGCTGCAAATGGGTCTGGTGGTGTAGATTACCTTTCATAGCATAAAATATACGTGTTTTCCACTTGCTCTTCGAGAGGGACATTTTACGCGGTTTTATTCTGATCTATACGAGTTTTTCTCCTTGTTTGCATATACCAAAATGGCCCAACCCACATCCAACCCCGATGTCTGCAACTACTGGGGCTACTCATTTCGCTGGACTGACCTTCATTCCTCGCCAGAGCAGCTCCGTCCCATGATGTTCACCTACGACAAGCTAGCAGATGAATGTCTCGAACGTCTAGACGAGATCTCGCCGCCCCAAAGCACTCCACGTTCGGCAACGGCGCAGCCCGAGGGCTCAAAACGCCCCAAACGGGATCTCTATTCGTTGCTGAAGGAACATGCACCAGAAGACCCTAAGCTAGGTGAGCTATGGACTGAGATCAACACCGTCCCGGAGTGGGTGGACTGGAACCAGATCAAACGAGGACAGGAGGTGTTTTTTCGATATGGACTTCCGATCCTTAATGTGGTGAGTACATGGTGTATTAGCTGCTATCCATCGACATAGCTAATCTAGACCGTATAGCTGAGCTTCGAAAGCCTCCTAGGCGGCATGTGAGTCCTCACCATTCTCAACCATAACATTCAACTAACCTCCCAGGGGCTCCGGCCGCGTCGTCGAGACATTAACCCGCACAGGCGGGTTCTCAGCCGACGTCGTGCGACGCCGACTGCTCGAAACCCTCCAACACATCCTACAGGTCTCTCTATCGCTCGACTCCATGAAGCCCGGCGGCGAGGGCCACATCTCGTCCGTGCGCGTCCGTCTCCTCCACGCCTCGGTGCGCTCCCGCATCCTCGCCCTTGTCAAGCAGCGCCCCGCCTACTACGACATCCAGCAGTACGGCATCCCCATCAGCGACCTCGACTGCATCGCCACCATCAACACCTTCTCGACCAGCGTCATCTGGGTCGGTCTCCCGCGCCAGGGCATCTGGCTCCGTGGGCAGGAAATCGACGACTATCTGGCGCTGTGGCGTCTCGTGGCACACTACATGGGTACGCCGACGGAGGCGTTCAGGTCGCGGGACACTGGCCGAGCGATCATGGAGTCGCTGCTTGTCTCGGAGATCAATCCCACGGATGTAGGCAAGGTCCTGGCGCAGAATATTATCCTGGGGTTAGAGAATACGGCGCCGACGTTTGCCTCGAAGGAGTTCATGGAGGCTATGGCGAGGCATCTGAATGGGCATTTGCTGTCGGATAGGCTGGATTTGCCGCGGCCGAGTTGGTACTATCGTGCGCTGATATATGGATATTGTTTTGTGGTGATGGGGGCTTGTTATGGGGTACGGTTGGTTCCGGTGTTGGATCGGTTGTGTATTGCTGTATGTTCCCTTTCCCCCAGATTCTTCATTTACATCATCCAGCTAACAAATGATCAGCTCCGTCGCAAATTCTACTATGCCCTCATAACCGACAAAAAAGAAGGCCTCGGCGGCGAATCCTTCTTCGAGTTCAAATACGTGCCGTTCTACACGCGCACCACGAAGCTGGGAAAACGCAGACACATCCAAGCCACGCAGTACGGCATCGAGAATCTAGCGCAGCTGGGTCTCCTGGCGGCTCTTTTTACCGGCGTGGCATTATTCTGCGGTACGGTCTTTGGTCTGAGGATGTTGACTAGGGAGATATTTCTTTGATTCAATTCGAATGCGTCGCTGAGGTGGTTTGTGTTCATCGTACATAGTGAGTGGATTCAGAGACACATGGATATATTTAAGGTTATTTTCATCCCACCAATAAATGCACCATCTGATATGAAGGGTCCAAATCATATTCCATCCTGCATGGAGAGTTCATACAGTTAAATCTAGAACGTATGACAAGATCTCAGCCCAGCCTAAAACCGGACGGAGAGTAGGTATACCGTCGCCACTATGACGACATCCACACCAGCAGCATCAACATCACGAAATAAATCCTGCAAATATCAACCTTGATAAACGCCGTTCCTGAACTTAGCTCTCACCCTACCCTCCCTTATTTCTTTTTTCTAGGGGAAAAAAGAACAATTGAAATGGACAAAGGGATCATCGTCCCGCTCCTCGGCGCGCTCCAAGCATGCGTCTCCGTCCTGCTAACGATGGCCTACGGCGCCGCGGCGCAACGACTGCGTCTGATCCAGAAGTCCTCGATCGACGATATCGCCGGGCTGGGTATGAAGCTGCTTCTTCCGGCGCTTATCGTCGTGCATCTAGGCGAGCAATTGGAATTGGAGAATGTGGCTAATTATGGACCGGTTGTTGGTGCGTCTATGCTTACTTCTTCTCGCTTTACGTGCATCCATTTGGGCAAGTGAGAGTCTATGCACCATCCATGCTAACCGCACGCGCATCAGTCTGGTCAATCATCTACACGTCCGTCTCCATCAGCCTCGCCTACGTGGTCTCTAAGATCCTAAAGCTCCCGGCGTGGGTGATCCCCGCGTGCGCGTTCAACAATACCACCTCGCTGCCGTTGCTGCTGCTGCAGTCGCTGGAGAGCGTGGGGAGCTTGAAGCTCATCATCGCGGACGGGGACACCGAGGCGGATGCGATTGCGCGCGCCCAGAGCTACTTCTTACTCTGTGCTGTCATCAGCAAGACGATTGGGTATGCGGTCGGGCCCAAGATGTTGAGGGAGGGTGACGAGCAGGGGAGTCAGGAGGCCGATGGCGATGCTGGAGATGAAGGGGGCGATGGACGCATCGATGAAGAGACGTCGTTACTACCTGGGTCGTTGTCGAAGCGGCGGACCGGGGTCGTGCAGAGACTGAGGGCATGGGTGACATCGATCCCGCAGCGTCTGCGCCGTATAGGCAGCGAAGTCCTGGCGCCGTTCAAATCACCGTTCACGGACGTGGCGATTGGGTGTACATTGCTAGGCGCGGTGCTGGGCCTCGTGCCGCAGCTGCATCGGGCGTTTTTCGCATCGTACGAGCACGGCGGGATCTTCAATGCGTGGTTGACGTCCAGCGTGAAGAATGTCGGGAAGCTGTTCACCACGCTGCAGATGTTCGCGGTGGGGTGTAAATTGGGGGTCAGCTTTGAGCAGATGCGCGGCCGTCGAGACCGAGACAGCTCGGGCCGAACGCCGTTCAAGGCCGTGGCGACGATTTTCCTGGTTCGGCTGGTGGTGTGGCCTGCGTGAGTTTCTTCTGTGGGGATGGGGTTAGATATGGATGGATGCTAATGAGATGAGATAGGTTGAGTATTTCGTTCATCTACGTGCTGGCGCGAAGGACGGATCTCGTGCGATCGGATCCCATCCTGTGGTTTAGTCTGATGCTGATGCCGGCCGGACCGCCGGCGCTGGTCATCTCGGGGCTGGCGGAATTGGCCAGAGTATCGCAGGCGGAGAAGATGGCCGTTGCGAAGACGTTGATGGTGAGTATTGCATGCTATATTAGAGGGTTGATGCTAACGGGACAGATCCTATACGCGTTGTCGCCTTTCATCTGTTTCAGTATTACGGGAGCACTCAAGGCGTCTCAAGCCGTGTTGGAATATAGAAGCGCTATGTGAGATACGAGGTCATGAGAATATGTGAGACAGAACTCGATTTGTGATTAATTCATAAACTCCTCAGCGAAGGATAATCCCATGGCATATTTTTACAGTGTTCAACTCGTTCTCGTTCCCCATCCCTTCGCCTTCGTAAACCTCATCACTCATTTCAATTTCATTCGAGGCAGTTACTTCTGTAAGGGCCAGGGAGATCAGCCTCGTGCGCATTCCGGGGTTTCAAAGACGGGGAGACATACGCCACATCCCTTGCAGGTACAGCTGCTACCGCAGGTGCAGTTCTGAGGACCGGAGCAGCCACAGGAGCCGCCGCTGCTGCAATCGCAGGCCATGATGGATAGGAGGTGTTTTTCTGGTTTCGATTGGTTTGTTTCAACTGTTGAGTGAAGTTGTGTGGATAGTAACGCAATGGAGGTTGATGGAGGCGAGATGGGGAGAGTCGAGGAAAGTATATATACGGAAGGCAAAGGCGATGTGGGGAAGCAGGAAGCATCATCATGAGGTCACATGGCCCCGTTGGGGGTTCCGGTCGTTTCTTTGTTGCATTCTAGACAGTGCTTAGATCTAGAAGATTCATCGTTGAGTCATTGCCACCATTACTTCGATACTACCATACTACTATACTACACTACTAGACTCCGTACCTCGGACCACCGCGGGAATGGCTCGGAAGCCCGATTGCGGATGTTCCTGAATCACGGATCTTCTGCCTCCGTTCTCCCCCTTGGGCGTCCATCCGATTGCGCTGCTTGCTTGCGGGGATCTAGTCGGGTTTCAAGGGGTCGGGGCAAGGATATCGACAATAGTCCACCTGGACCTGCTTCAGTGGTACCAGATGGCCGGGTCTCCACCGTTGACGTGGGTTTCAAGTGCGTTCTTTTGATCGCTCTCCTTTTTTATGTTCCGTACAAGATACTACTACTCGGTAGAGTCGACCCAAAGTAATCCAAGAAGATCCAACACCTGAACCCCCGCCAGACTCGTTCTGTCGGAGCACACGAGACGACGCAGGTGATGTGTTGATCTGCCTGCGGTCCTCTCGTTATCTCCGACTTCAGATTGGCGTAGAGACAAGTCACCTGCCGGGCATTTCAGATGATCAAATCGTATTGCGTCTTAATTATGGGGTTGACCGCCCAGTCTGTTTGCTAGAACGCCTGTTTCGTAATTGCTCATTAACTACCACACAGACCTGGGTCAATGTGGGAGGATCCTTTGAAACAATTGATCGTTCATGCTCCGTAGACGGAGAACGGTTCATCCATAACCGTTAGGTATTGAGGTAGGACCTTAGATACTCGACATACCGGGAGCACCACACAGTCCATAGGCAATACTCAGGCAGTACCCAGGCTGTAAGTGTAGATAAGAACCATCAGGAAAAAGAAAAGAAACGCAGCAAAATACCAGACATGCCGTTGTCTCCAGTGCCCAAGGCCTGACGTGACTGGCCCCACGGCGAATAAGAGCGGCCAACCGCCTCAGCTTCCCTACGAACCTTCGCCGCTTCTCCTCCCGACTCTCCCTCGCTGGCTCTTTCTCCTCCTCGCCTTCTCGCTTGTGCTCTCTCTATCTCTTCCTCTCCACTGTCGACCAAATCCCTAATTCTTCGTATTGATTGCTTTTCTCCTCCCCGTCTGTACAGCGCCTTGAGCTTGTCTCTCTACCTTCCTCTCCCCCACCCCTCCACATCGTTGGCCGTACGTTGGCGCTTCCCCGAACCTCACCTTACTACTACTTACTAGTCCGATAAGAACTGCTCGCTCCGCCCGTGCATTTCCGGGGCTATTTCTTCGACTATCATTCCCCCCAACGTATCATCACCTTCCTTCCCCTCCACCGTCTCACCGACTCCCATCTTTTAAACCACACCCAAAAAGATCCCTCCTCTGTCCGACCATTGCCCGACTTAGGCCTCTGACGAGCTGTCGACAATTTGATCCCCGAGCTTTTTCGGCGAGCATCACGGTGACCCGCCGCCGTTAGAGAGATCTGCTCCCCCTGGTTCTTCTACAGAGCCAGGTGAACGGGCAGATCTACAAGCCTTCGAGCTGGCCAACGATTCCCCCGCCTATACGCCCTCCGCCGCTCCCGACCACCCTCACCCTCCTATCCCCTCCCGACCCTCGCCGTCTCGTCCGAACCGCTCGGCCCCGGCTGCAGGCAACGTTCCGCCGTCCTCTCAGTCCGTCTCCTTCGCCCAGAATTATCGCAGGTCTGCCGGTGTGAACGGGGGTTTGAGTTCGTTGTCCTCTCGTCGCCGCCGTCGTCGTCGCAGTAGCACGCCCGATACTTCCGGCGAAACCACCGAGGGAACGACAGGAGGTCGTCTGGGAGACCGCACGGCGGCAAGCGAGGCCAGTTTTCCGGATCACTCCAGTATCCAGTCCCACACCTTATCCGAGGGTCGTTCGCCATCCCCCAAGCGCAGGCGCCTGGCAAATATGCGGCCGGATGGAATTTCGAGTCTGAATGGTCCCTCCCAAGCGTCTAACGGCTCCACTGCGTCTCCGTCCCAGAAGACGAGTCTTTCCCACGCCTTGAATGGGCAGGTCTCGTTCGGTTCGTCGAACGGTGACCTGCACACGAACGGATCTCAGAAACTCTCGCCCGCATCATCCTCATACTTCGGCCATGATCGAGAAGAAATCACCCGGATTCTGATCCAGAGTCTGTTCGAGCTCGGGTACAATGGATCGGCGTCGATGCTGAGCAAGGAAAGCGGCTATCAGTTGGAAAGTGCCGGCGTTGCTACGTTCCGCGATGCGGTGCTGGACGGGCGATGGGCTGAGGCCGAGAAGATCTTGGTACATTCGTTTTATCCGGACGGGAACGGGCGGTCGCTGAACGGTCGGGATCACACACCCTCGAAGGAGCGATTGGTACTGGTGGAGGATGCCGAGCTCAATGAGATGCTCTTCTACCTCCGGCAGCAAAAGTTCTTGGAAATGCTGGAGAGTCGTGATCTCGGAGCGGCGCTGATCGTTCTTCGCCACGAGCTGACGCCTCTGAACTACGATATTGCTCGTCTTCATGCTCTATCTAGGTGAGTTTAATCTTGTGGTTTATGGTCCCCTCCTACTCCACTTTCTACACCTCGAGACTGTCTATCCTCTACCAAGCATCCGTGCTAACAGCGTCAAGTCTTCTCATGTGCCCGCCCGAGCATCTTCGTGATCAAGTGGGCTTGAATGGCTCCATGACCTTTTCGCGGGAGCGACTATTATCGGATCTATCAAGTGAATATCCCTTCTTCCCATGTTTCGTCAAATGTCAAGCTAACCACTGCAGAATCCATATCCCCGTCCGTGATGATTCCGGATAATCGTCTGGCTATCTTGCTCAACCACGTCAAGCAAACCCAGATCAACCAATGCCGATATCATAATACCGCATCGCCCCCTTCGCTGTATTCGGACCATATGTGCGACCGCAACGATTTCCCGCTTCGGACGGGGATCGAACTGAATCAACATTCTGACGAAGTCTGGTACTGCCAATTTTCCCATGATGGCACGAAATTAGTCACGGCTGGCCGAGACCACGGCGTCATCATTTACGACACGACTACGTTTGCCGTGGTGCACAAATTGGTTGATCACGACGACGGAGTAGCTCATGCCAGCTGGAGTCCGGATGACACCAAACTCATCACCTGTTCCCAGGACAAGAAAGCTCGTGTGTGGAATGTCGAGGTTAGTTTTCCTCCCCCCCTCATCTGATCGTTGCTTACGATTGTAGACGGGCCGCTGCCTGTTGACAATAAACCACCACCGTCAACCAGTCACAGCTGCGGCATGGGCTGCCGACGGAGAGTCCTTCGTGACGGCTTCGCTCGACCTTAGCTCGCAACTGTGCCATTGGAGTCTGCGCGGTCATGCTATCTACATGTGGCCGGGCGGGTTCCGCGTTCAAGATTGTGTCATCACTCCCGATGGTCGACGATTGTTGGCGGCAGACGTCGAGGAAAAGATCCATGTTTACAACTTTATGACTCACGAAGAGGAATATTGTCTTCCCTTGAAGAGCAAACCCACGTCCGTTGCCGTCAGCAAAGACTCCCGTCAGATGCTCGTCAACCTCTCGGAGGGCCAAATACAGCTCATCGATATTGACACCACCAATGTGATCCGACGGTTCCAAGGACAGAAGCAGGGCTCTTTTGTTATCCGAAGTACATTTGGAGGAGCTGCGGAGAACTTTGTTGTCAGCGGAAGCGAAGGCAAGTTGCACCAACCCCCCTCGACGCCTTGATTGTTGCTGACTCGGTTCCAGACTCTCGTGTCTATGTTTGGCACAAAGAAAATGGAACGGTTGTGGAAACCCTGGAGGGACACAACTCTGGATGTGTCAATGCGATATCCTGGAACCCCACCAATCCTGGCATGTTCGCTTCTGCCGGGGATGATTGTTTGGTCAGAATGTAAGCCCTCTTTTGTCCCATGTTACGATAGACAGTAACGCTAACACACCGCAGCTGGACTAGAGAACGCGATACTCACCCTAATGCCTCGATGGGCAAAAGCCGCGCCGTATCGGCTAGTGGATTCGCGCGAACCAGTGCCTTACGTTCAACATCAAGCTTTTAATGAAATTCCCTCTTACATTATCTGAACTATTTCGTTTTCGGTCGGTTATCTCATCTCCATCTCATGGGAATATACCTGGAGCTTTTTTGGAGTCCAAAGACCCATTCCTCGTTTTTGTCTCCTCCCCCCTGAACATTTCTGCATATACACATTTTTTCTTTCTCTGGTCCATCAGGGATCTTCGATACAGGTAGCAGGCGCCACCGTTTTGGTATCGCAAATTGACATGTTCTGCATTCATGTGTATTGAGCATTAATTCCCCCCTTATCCAGCATGGCCTCGACACGGGCACCATCATATATTTGTTTCGATTTTTTCATCCTACACTCTCTCTGTCTCCCTAACCATACGCAGATTTCCTCCTTCACACTCCCTCTTCTCTTTTCCCCCTCCCCTTGTTCTTCTTTTTCGATAGGTCTGGTTTTGGGTGATATGGATGGTTCAGGGTTAACTTCCTCGGAATATGGTCAGGCGGAGTGAATTTGGGATCTTATTTTTTTTTTCTTTTTCATGTTTATTCACTTTTGAACTTGTCATGTTAAGAATCAATCTGTCTTTAAGTCAGGTTGTTAGTTGTAGACTCGGTATCGGATAATGCATCGTTTTTTACATAGTTTTCCTGGTGATTTATTTCGAACTATAGCAGATAATGAATGCTACAATTATTTAGTTAGTGTAACTTGAATGAAATTAAATCCTTATTTATTGATTCGGATTCAAAACAGCAATTAAAATAAATCCCCAACTCAGTTGAACTCCATAGAAAAGGAACGTAACAGAAGTTAAAAAATCATTGAGATGAGAAAAAAAAAAAAAAAAGTAAACGCAAGAAATCTCATTCAGATCAACCAATTCTCATACAAAGCTTTTTATTTTAGCCTTGTTTTCATTTCAAATGCTTCTTGGTTGGAGTTGTAAACTGCCATTCAGCGAAAGGTGTTAGTTAGGTTGGATGGTTATGATTTTTAATAGTTGGAGTTGGTGGCTCACCATTTTTGTTCATTTCCCGTTTCCTCCACGCTGGTTTCATCCCTTTTTTGGCTTTTGATGTCGTAAGGTAGATGTTTCGTGTCACAACTGGCTCTCTCGGTTTGGTCCTGTGTTCTGGAGTCTGTGGATGATAGATGCCGAGGAGGTTTTTCAGTTTCATAGAGGCCGGGACTCGAGGTTCGAGAATCGTTTAGTCGCGGTGGTTTGATTAGGAGAGAAGGTCGGCAACTGGATTATTGTTAGTTTGGGGGTTGCAGGTTGTTATGGATTGGTGAAGAGGGGACGTACCGTTCATGGGCATCTCGTCGATCTGCGTAGAGTAGTACAATTCGATGTCACGGAGGATGCGCACATCGTCGCTAGTGACGAAGTTGATGGCAACACCCTTGCGGCCGAAACGACCACTTCGTCCGATACGGTGGATGTAGTTCTCACGGTTGGTGGGCAGGTCGTAGTTGATAACCAGCGACACCTGCTGGACATCGATACCACGGGCCCAGACGTCCGTAGAGATCAGCACACGCGAGTTGCCCTGGCGAAAGTCCTGCATAATGCTGTCACGCTCCTTCTGCGGCATCTCACCGTGCATGCTGGAGACCGTGAAGTTGGCCTCGCGCATCTTGTCCGTCAACCAGTCGACCTTCCGGCGGGTGTTGCAGAAGATGACGGCCTGCGTGATGGTCAGGGTATCGTAGAGATCGCAGAGCGTGTCAAACTTCCATTCCTCCTTCTCCACAGCAATGAAGTACTGCTTGATACCCTCGAGGGTTAGCTCGTCACGCTTGACCAGCACGCGAACGGGGTCGGTCATGAATTTGGTGGTCATGTCGAGCACGTCGTACGGCAGGGTGGCGGAGACCACGACGACCTGCGTGGCCGGCGGCAGGTAGCGGTAGACATCGTAGATCTGTTCGCGGAAGCCGCGGTTGAGCAGCTCGTCGGCTTCATCGAGCACCAGCATCTTGATGTGGCGCGTGCGCAGGTGCCGGCGGCGAATCATATCCGCAACTCGACCCGGGGTACCCGAGACAACATGCTGGCCATAATCTAACTTCCGGATGTCTTCTCCAATGTTGGTGCCTCCGATACAGGCGTGGCACTGCACGTTCATATAGTCGCCGAGGGCCATGATGACGGACTGGATCTGGGTCGCAAGTTCGCGAGTGGGCGACAGGACAAGCGCTGGTTGGGTATGAGCTGCTGAATCCACCCCAACCGCCTGGTTTTCATGTATGACGTACCTTGACTCTCACGCACAACGGTGTCGATGACCTGCAGAATACTGATCGCAAAGGTCGCCGTCTTACCGGTACCGGATTGCGCCTGGGCAATGGTGTCGCGACCTTTGCAGATCTGGACAATCGCTCGGGACTGCACCGCGGACGGGGACTCGTAACCGTATGCGTAGATACCTCGGAGAAGGCTCTCCTTCAAGTGCATGTCCTCGAAGGTCGGAGCGACCGTCACCTCCTTGGAGGTGTTAAACTCCATGCGGTCTAAATTTGAGCTGTCAGGACTCGAAGCTCACGTCTTCGCCGGGGGGAGCTCAAAGGAAAAAATCTCACCATCCGCTCGTCGATCGATACCGTCCGCCATTTTGAATACGCCGCGTGCTTTGGATTTCAAATGACAAGATGCCGCAATTCAGTCGGGCGTCGTTGAGGGAACTCGTCGAGGGAGAGCGTCGTCTTGCGATCGGCTTCTCTCCGTCGCGACTTTTCGAGCGCCACCGCCCGCAGTCACGTGAGGACCGCCTCGTCCGCAGAGCTCTCTTGCTGCGGCGACGTGCCGGTCACTCGCTCCAGCAACTCTACACCAGGGACCGCTACGACCGAGTGTGTCCGTTTCACAATGGTTCTCGAAGAGCAGCGATTTATCCACGAGGATCTGGAACGGCTGGAGCAGGCTGTTGCCGACCGCGTCGGAGAAGAACCTCGCAACGTGAGTCCCGGTTTTCTATTCGCATTATCACATTATCACCACCTCCACGGAAGCTAACGGTCAGTTTCTCCTTAGATTCGCGATCGCCTGGCACGGGACCATGAGATCTCTCACTTCCTGAACCGCATTGACGAACAGTCGCATCGGCTACTGGAGATCTACAAAGATGCGGATGGCGCGCGCGAGAAGGAAATCCAGTCGATCTCGACGGGCGACCAGTTCGAGGAGTTCTACAAGCAGCTGGACGAAATCAAGGATTTTCATCGCCGGTATCCCAACGAGCCTGTCGAGAACCTCGAGCGGGCGTACAAGCGCCGTCAGCCCGGTGAGGGCGAGCCGTTCGGCATGGACATCGATCACATGTTTACGGGTGAAGAGGGCTACGGCCAGTTCTTGGATTTGACGATGTTGCACGAACAGTACCTTAACCTTCCTGGGGTGAAGAGACTGACATATGTGCAATACCTCGATGTGTTCGATGCCTTCACGCCGCCGCATTTGACCATCAAGCGGGCCAACAAACTGTCCGATACGTATTTCCGCTATGCCGGGGAGCTGGCAAACTACCTGGAAGATTTCATCAAGAAGGTGCGGCCTTTGCAGGACCTTGGTAAACTGTTTGCCAGCTTCGATGAGCAGTTCGAGCAGCAGTGGAGCGCCAACGAAGTTCCCGGATGGACGGAGGAGAAAGCTGAAGAAGGGACTCAGGGGCCCAAGACCGAAGGTACCGGGGAAGGGATCTGGTGCGCCGACTGCGAGAAGGAGTTCAAGAACGAGAACGTCTACAAGAACCATTTGACCGGTAAGAAGCACGTCCGGGCCGCCGAGGCCCGCAAGGCTGCTGGCGAATCTGGCGACAAGCCGGCCCCGTCGGCTGGAGGCGCGAACTCCGTCACTCATCGCCTAAAAGAGCGCGCTGTCGCAGAGCGTGAGCACCGTGTCCGGTCGCTGGCACAAGCACTGAGCGGCGAGCGCCAAGCTACCCGGATCAATGTGGAGCGGAAACAGGGTATGACGGAGCGAGAGCGCCAGATGGAGCTGGAGGCGTTGCTTGCGGAGTCTGAAAACCCTGGCGAGGCCCAGGCGGGTGATCAATCCGATGACGAGGGCGATGATCGCATCTACAACCCTCTCAAACTTCCTCTGGCTTGGGACGGCAAGCCGATTCCCTACTGGCTCTACAAGCTGCACGGCCTGGGCGTTGAGTACCCCTGCGAGATCTGCGGAAACTTCGTCTACATGGGTCGTCGCGCCTTCGACAAGCACTTCTCGGAAGCCCTGCACATCTTCGGTCTGAAATGTCTAGGCATCACGTCGAACACCAACCTCTTCCGTGAAATCACCCGGATCGAAGATGCCATCCGACTGTGGGAGAAGCTCGAGCAGGACCGCAAGAAGGACCGCGACCACAAAGACAACGTGGTGCAGATGGAGGACGCGGAGGGCAACGTGATGCCGGAGAGGATCTACCTGGAGTACGTCTCCCTTGAATTCCATTCCCCAGTACACAGGATACAGGATACTAACAGACCACAGTCTTCAAAAGCAGGGCATTCTGTAAACGTCACTTTGCTCTTTCCATGTTCCATCCATTTTCCCGCCTCATACCATATCGTTCACGTTTAAAAGCTCGGAGTTTTGGTGGTGTTGCTCTTTTCCACGGGGTTACGTTCTTTGGGTTGTCTGCTGGTTGGGAATTATAACAATGGCAGCGCACGCCATGCGCCTCATGTATTCTACCGTAAGATGCTAGTCCATTAGCAATATTAGATCGTGTCACTGCATTGCCCTCAGTCTTGATCTTGGTCCTGTGTTTAATCGACTTCTGGTTCGGATCACGTGGTTTCGCGATCCATGGACGCGGCCTCGCGCCAGTCCGACGGCGGCGTACGTCCTGCAGTGTTCTTGCCCAAAGGTCTTGCAGTCAATATAATTCCTCCTGTGGGAGGGCGCAAGCGAAATCCCCGCCAGCAATAACAGTAACACCAGAATGAAGCCAGAATGAAGCCATAGCGAAACCCGGCTCTCCAGCCCCAACCACTAAAACACAGTATATATGGGTTTCCACTTCCAGCATCTGTGCGATCTGCTCTTATCGCTCGAACGCAATCGAATACTCAAAGCAGCCACCGAGTCCAGAGCCACAGACCCAGACGCCCGCGTCGTCAGCCGCTGGTTCACACAACATGGGAAACGGCTGCGCTGCGCAGACACAGACCAGCTCGCTGTCCTGTCGTGTCTGTTCCCGGAAAAACGCCCCGACAGGGTCTACATGCTCCAGGATAATTCGCTGTCCCGAGTCATCGGCCGATGTCTGCTCCTGGGGTCTTCTCGACGAGAAGAGCTCGATCGATGGCGGGTGTCCGGCGGCGCGGATCTCGGTCAATGCGTGGAGAACGTGATGCAGCAGGCTGAGAACCATCTGCTTCCGGGACAGGAGGTCACGGTCGAAGAGATCGATGGCGTGTTGACTCTGATTGCGTCGCGGAGCAGGTTCTCGGGCCCAAAGGTGCGCAGGCAGCGGGCGGCTGTGGACGTCGAGGAGGCGCTGTCGCCGATCTATCGTCGGTTGAGTAGCAGGGACGCGAAGTGGTTGACGCGCATGATCCTGAAGAGCTACTATCCGGTGGCTGTGCCGGAGAGGGTTGCGCTGAGGAGTTTTCATTTCCTCTTGCCACGGCTGCTTCTGTTTCAGGACTCTTTCGAGGCGGCGCTGAAGATGCTGACGACGGAGCCGTTGGTGTGTTTCCCTGCGCATCCGGATCCTGGCCAGGCGAGGGATTTGGGCGCTATAGCCCTGAGGCATTTGTATCCGGTGACGGGGGTGAAGATTGGACGCCCGGATTACTGGAAGGCGAGGAGTATCAAGCATTGCTGCCGGATGATTGGTGGTCGACGGATGAGTATAGAGAAGAAGTATGATGGCGAGTACTGCCAGATTCATATCGATGTTTTGGGGCAGAATCATTCCATCCGGATCTTCTCGAAGAGTGGAAAGGAATCCACGGAGGATAGGTCCGGCATAAACGAGGTCCTCAAGGAATCGTTGAGACTCAAATCACCTGGTTGCAAGTTTTCTCGGCGGTGTATTCTGGAAGGTGAGCTGGTAGTATGGAGTGATGAACACCGTAAGATTATGGATTTTCATAAGCTGCGGAAGTTCATCTCAAGGTCTGGGACTTTTATCGGCACTGAAGATGACTCGCAGTGAGTTGTTCTCTCCTTAGTTCAAGTTGTCTCGACCAGTACTTTCTAACCTTTTCTAGACCACATCCTGACGAACATTTGATGATTATCTTCTTTGACGTACTGCTTCTTGATGACGATGCTTGCCTGCGCAAACCCCATCGAGAAAGACGCTTGCTTCTCAAAGATCTAGTCAAAGTCATCAATGGCCGGGCTGATATAGCCGAGCAGCGAGTCCTGGACTTTTCCCAGCACGGGAGTCAGTCGCGACTAGAGGCCCTTCTCGCAAAAGGCATCGCTGAGCGATGGGAGGGGTTTGTCTTGAAATCCTGCGAAGATCCTTACTTCACCTTCTTTTCTGGCGATGCCAGCGGCTCCTGTGGCAGGTGGATTAAGCTGAAGAAAGATTATATCCCAGGGCTAGGCGATACAGTCGACTTGACTATCATCGGTGGGTCATACAACTCTCGAGACGCCGTTGCACTCAAAGAACGACATAAGAAGATCCTATGGACGCATTTCTTCGTCGGATGTCTTCTCAACAAAGACAGCGTCCTGCAGTTCAACGTCAAGCCCCGATTTCGAGTGATCGACGTGATTGACCGCAACGGCATCAGCCCCCAGAATATGCGCATCCTTAACCAAATCGGCGAGTTCAGCGCTTGCGAAACGGAGTCAGATCTCGGCTTCGATATAGAACTCGGGCATGACAGCTTACCTCGCATGAACACCGTATATAAAAAGCCGTTTGTTGTCGAGATGCTCGGTGGCGGTTTCGAAAAGCCCTCAGGAGCCAGATACTTCACGCTTCGATTCCCGAGAATCCTTAAGATTCATTCAGATCGGTCGTTCGAGGAAGCTGCCTCTTTCGCGGAACTGCAGCTTCTGGCGGACGATGCTCGAGCAATCCCCTCTGAGGAACTGAGGCAGGAAGAGCACGAATGGTCCAAACGATTGAAGCTGGGTGACGGCTCGTATAAATACATCGTTGACCGGTCTCAGAGCGTGCTGACGACGACCACCTCATCATCTCAGACGGCTTCGTGCGTCGCGAGTGATGAAACTACTATGACTGTGTGTAACCTGAGACAATCTGGAGGGGCATCCTCGTGGGTGACACAGCAAGAGCAACATGAGGTGCACCGTCCAGTTACAACTCATATTCCAATCTGCATTGACACCTCGATGTCATCCAGTCCGCCATTGGATGTATCCAATTCCGCTGGCAATTACCTCACCAGCAACGATAACCTATCATCTAATCCAAGCTCGCGGCAAAGAAAAACTTCTACATCGACATCGACATCAGATATGGATCCCAAACTCACCACTCCAGCCATACAACAGACCAATGATCGTGAAAATGTGCCTAGCTCCAACATGTCCAGCAAACCAACTTCATCACAGCAAGTCGGAGAGCCAAATACCGCCGAACACCATCAAACCAAGTCCATATCTAACACTCAGACCCCCAAGAACCACATCCCCAAATCTCCATTACCCACTATCCCAATCTATTTCAACGACACTCCCTGCAGAGACGAAGAAGACCTCATCCTCGCCAACACCCTCCCCACGACCTCTTCCCTAGATGCCTTTCTCACAGCTCTCCAATCTCAACCTCAATCCCACCCCTCACGCTCACCTCTCGGCCTCATCCTTCTAAATACCCACAAAACACCCCTCGGTCCATTGCTCCTCACATTCAGCAAATCGCTCCATCACCATCTCCATACCCAACCCACCACCACAAGCACGCAGTCCCCACAAAGTGGAAAGATCATTGTCCTTGACGCCGCGTTCCTTAACATCCCCGCCACTGCAGAAGACACCAGATTCGGGCTGACACAGACATGGGAGAACATTGGGAGAGAGTATTTTTATGCGGCTGTTACTTGGAATCGGGAGACTCCTGCTCGCTATTCTAGAGATCTGGCTTTTAGGGTGAAAGAGAAGGGTGAGCAAGTGTCTGATGAGATTCCGTGCACGCCTAGTTTTATAAATGGAGCACGCGGGGTTCAGACGCAAATGCAGGTATGGGGTGGAAAGAGGGTTAAAGGTATAGGGAAAGATACTGATCTCAGTGCTGGTCCGAGTATACCTGGTCAAAGAGATGATGGTCTGTCCGGGGTCTCTATATCGATTACGTTTGATAGGGAGGAGGTAGGTTGCTTGGGGAAGTTTGAGTCTTAACTTCGTTCGTGTTAGATACTGGTCAGTGTGTTGGATTTTGATGGAGTTTTGGTATTGCTCCATGCTTCTCTTTGTTGTTTTATATACCCTTTGGTGTTTGGATGGATGTATTATATTACTTTGGCTTATTTTTTTTGTATTTCTTTACGGGGTGAAGTCAGGTAGTATATACTTATGCAACGATAGATGATGGAAAGAAGAGATAACAAATATATTATCCGTCCTGGTAGTAACTGGATAGATCTATGACCATGCTATGCCTAATGAGACAGCCTATCGTAAAATGTAAACACACCGAACAAAAACCATCAAATGCATTAACAAGCATGGCTGCCACCCCACGAGAACCGTGATAAAGAATAAGGGAAAGATGATTAGAAAGATAGAACGCCTCGCTAGCTCATACAGATAAAAAGAGTTTGAAATAGGCCTCAAACAATCACATCCTCTGCGACAACTCACAACTCATGACTGACCACCCTCCTGTCTAGCCCTAACATCCCTCATCAACGCCTTTGCTTCTTCGACCTCAACTCCGTCCTGACACAACTCTCCCGCTAACTGATCAGCGCGCTCGAGGTCCCCAGTCCGCAGCGACCACCGCGCAAGCCATAGTCTAGCCTTGGACGTGGTCGCCGTGACACCTGTGCCATGCCATGTGTCGTCGTCGTCATCGTTTTGGCTAGCCATGGATTTGCCGTGTCGGGCGCGCTGACGACCAGAGCGTCCCTCGCCGGCGGTGGATTGCTCGTCGTCGTTTTCGTTGTCGTTATCGTTTTCATTGTCCGAGGACTCGTACTCTTCTTCGACGGGCATTTGGCCGGATTCCTGCTGAAGGGTGAGTTCCATGTAGGCGGCGGCTTCATCTTCATCGCCGAGTCGTTCGTAAAGCGTGGCGATTTGGTGCAGGGTTTCGGGGTCGAGGATCTTCCGGCTGGATGCGGCGCCGGGGGGCATGCCGCTGGCGTTGGAGGCCGTGTCTTCGGCGTAATACGAGCCCGCGACGAGTGCGCGTTTCAGCGCCTTGATGCTCTGCTCGATGCGGCCCATCTTGGCGTAGCAGGATCCGACGGCTTGCCACATCTTAGGGTCGTAGGGTCGGAGGGCGGCGGCGCGCTGGTAGTAGAATAAGGCGTAGAAGGACATGTCGAGGACTTCGTAGGCTTGGCCGAGACCGTACCAGGCGCGGTAGTCTTTGCGGTTGACGTCGACGGCTCGGCGGTAGGATTCGATGGCTGCGTGGGTATTTTTCATTTCGATGTATTCGTGGCCCATGAGGGTCCAGGCAGAAAGGAAATTTCGATCCAGGGTGAGGGCACGGCGGAAGTACATGACTGCTTTTTCGTGCTCGGACTTGAGAGAGTAATAGTTTCCGACTACACAGCATGTTTCAGGCCGGAATTTGTCGGTGGCGGTTGCGACCTGCGCGACAAAGGCAAGCTGGGGACGCGCGCCCATTACATATAGGATGTTGGAGTAGTGATCGAGACTGTCGAGGCGGTGGGGGGAGGTGATGAGTATTTCTGTGAAGATGTGCGATGCTTCCTCGAAGTCTAGGTATGTCAGCAATGATCATTCCGGCACTTGGTCACGATAATACCTTTGGAATGGTAATATAATAGAGCTCGCTGGGTTTTCAGGAACGCGCTCGTAGGGAATATGGTCTCGAGCTCCGACAGAGCATGATAAGTCTCCTCAGTAGCTTGATAGAGCTCTTGGCTGCAATGTACATGGAAGATAAGCGTCATGATATTCTGGGGCGAGATGTCGATGACATGTTTCAACTGCCCGAAAGTTAGCCATCCATACTTCAATGTCTTTTGCCAACAAGACCGTACATCTTCCGGGCTAGCAAGCAGGTCATTCAGCTCCTGCCAAGCTCCCCAATGGAATGGATTCAGATGAACACTTCTCATAAGCCATTTCTTCGCCTCCTCCTCGTTGCGCCCCTTGAGAAGAATCACACCGTAGAGGTATTCCAACCACCCCTGGCTGCTCTCCCCCAGTCCTTTCTCCCGACGCTCGGTTAACCATCCCTCCAACCCACGCGCAATATCCGGTAGTTCGCGATTGACCGTCGTTCCGCCATCCGCGGGACCCAACACCATTTCGGTCTCCTCATCCTTGCGCTTCTCTCCGGCCAGGTATTTCGCATACAGCGACAGGAAGAGCGCCTTCTGGCTGAGTCTGGGGTACGGGTTGCGCGTCGCACTGTTCTCCTTCACCCCGGCATACGGCGACGCCTTCGCCTTCCCCTTCTGCGGCGTTAACGACTCTCTCGATTTGGGGTTATTCGGGGACGTCGTGGACAGCGGGACGGGAGGAATGGTCGGCGGAAGGAAAACGGAGGCGCATCGGTCATATTCGCGCGTGTCGAAATAAGACTTTGCCAAGAGGTACTTGTAGGATTCCTGAGCCTCCAGCGCAGCTTCGACGGGGTCCTGGGTGCGGAGGTACGGGTTCGGAGGAGTCCGGGGCGCATCGGGGATGTCCATGGGCGATTCGGGGTCCGTGTCGTACTGATCAATCGGCAGGATGGAATCCAGCATCTCCGCCGCCCTAGACAAGCAAACACGATTTCATCCGTTATTTCATTGAGGCATCTCAAGGAAAGCAAAGACAATCAGCCTCGGGCGTACCATTTCGCGGATTGATACAAACACCGCTCGGAGCATTTGATTGCGGCGTCTTCCAGGCGGAACTTGAGTTCCTGGATATTCTCGTCGGAGAATTGGGCTGCCATGACGGCGAGGCAGCAGGGGACGAGGGAGATGAAGAGGGCGAGGAGGCGAGGAAGTGAGAAAGCAGGGCGGCGCATCTATGAAGACGCGGAAGAATGCAAAGCATTGCCCGATCGGGGCGGGCGGGCAAACCAGGCAAACACAGCAAACAGAGGGGCTCAAGCGGCAACAATCATTGCTTCTTTGGGAATTTGAATGCTCGATTATTGATTGTTCTCCTCTTCCGCCTCCTTCTCGCTCGTCGGCTCCTGCTCTCCCTTCTCTCCTCGTCTCCACGGCTCGTTTCTTGTCTCCCTCCACCCAGAATGGCTGCTACCACCGATCGCGCCGCCTTCGAGGCCATTTTCCCCTCATTGGCCCAGGATATCCTGGCTCATGCGAAGAAATACAACCTGCCCGACAATGCCATGCAATGGTTTGAAAAGGTGCGACTGGCCAACCCTCCCTCGGTGGCCCCCTGCCCCTACGCTGTAGTCCTACCATATCATACTGACAAGTCTAATATTCTCAGGCCCTCAACGTCAACGTCCCCGGTGGCAAGCTCAACCGTGGACTCTCCGTCCCCGATACCGGTCTCGCTCTCCTGAACAAGCCCCTGACCGACGAGCAGTTCAAGCACCTCAGCACGCTGGGCTGGCTCACCGAACTGCTGCAGGCCTTCTTCCTGGTCAGCGATGACATTATGGACGGGTCGATCACCCGGCGCGGTCAGCCCTGCTGGTACCGCCAACAGGGCGTCGGCCTGGTCGCGATCAACGATGCCTTCATGCTGGAGTCCTCCATCTATGTGATCCTGCGCAAGCATTTCCGCTCGCACCCCTCCTACATCGACCTCGTCGAGCTCTTCCAGGAGACCACTTGGCAGACGGAATTGGGCCAGCTGTGCGACCTGATCACCGCCCCTGAGGACAACGTCAACCTCGACAACTTCTCCCTCGACAAGTACATGTTCATCGTCACCTACAAGACCGCTTACTACAGCTTCTACCTCCCCATTGCCCTGGCCCTGCACTACCTCCAGCTCGCTACCCCTGAGAACCTCCGTCAGGCCCATGACATCCTCATCCCCTTGGGCCAGTACTTCCAGGTCCAGGATGACTACCTCGACGCCTACGGCGACCCCGCCTTCATTGGCAAGATCGGAACGGATATCCAGGACAACAAGTGCTCGTGGTTGGTGAACCAGGCCTTGAAGCGCTGCAACGAGGAGCAGCGCAAGACCCTCGACGAGGCCTACGGCCGGAAAAACAGCGAGCTGGAGGCCAAGGTCAAGCAGATCTACAAGGATCTGGACCTGGAGAATGTGTACCGGGAGTACGAGGAGAAGACGGTTGGAGAACTGCGCACCAAGATCGCCGCCGTCGACGAGTCGGAAGGTCTGAAAAAGGAGGTCTTCGAGACCTTCGTGTCTAAGATCTACAAGCGCTCTAAATAAACGCCTTGGCTTTGATTTTTGTTTGAAGTTTTGAAAATCTTTCCCCTCCCCCTCGTGTGCTTGCAAAAACATACCATACCCCCCACTTTTTTTAATCTTCTAGTATTTCTTTCGGTTTTGACTCCCTCTGCCCAATATGTTAGCCACATACCACTCATGCGATAGAATAGCCTAGCCTGTTTGGCTATGAAGCATTGCACGTATAAATTCACGGTTTCTCATGACAATCCATCTGACATCACCATTTGCCTAAAACATCGTCATGAATCCCTCGGCCAAGACATTCCATTCAATCGGAAAGCCAGGAGTCGTGCGCCCCAGCATCGTGTCACTCGCATTCTCCCAACCCCCTGACAGCATTCCCACCGCTAGTAACAACCCCGCGCTGCTAGGAAAATAGGGCGTGGGCACGTTACGCATCGGCCCAATCGGCATGCCGACGTCGTCGAACTGGAAGTTTCCATGAACAAGGTACCCCGCGGCGGCGTTGACATCGCCCAACCTGGCCGCATTCATCGCCAGCATAGGGAAATCCCACCCCCAACAGTCGGTGAAGTTCCAGGTATGCGCGACCTGCGCTGCCGTGGATTTGGCAATCGTCCTGTCCACCACCGCAAGGGGAGGCAGGAGCCCGTAGATCCCTGTTAATGCAGGATGATCCGTTACCGTTTCGGGATCCGTCCACATATTCGGAATGCCTTCGTACAGCGTATATGTGAGGGCTTTTTCCCCAGTCGGCGTATTGACTTCCACCGTGGGCAGTGGCGCCAAGTTCTTTAGGACCTGTTTCCACGACCGAGGGACGCTCTGCCACGCTCCCTGTCTCTCTTTCCACCGGATGGCCGTGTCGAGTCCGAAGTGCCAATAGGCAAGCTCGAACGTCGGGTTGCGCGTGCTGTTGGGCGCTGTATTCTCGGAGACAGGGTACATGGGAGGGCCGAGGTCGTAGACGCCCGTAGACGAGTTCCAGAATGCAAAAGAGGCCATGAAATCAGCCGACTGGGTCAGGATATCGTTCCATTTTGTGAGAACGGGCGTCGTATCTACTCCGGCAAAGCTCGCGGCTCGGTACTCTAGCTCTGCGAAGTAAAATACATGCGGTTGCTGCCATATCAGTAGGGAGTTGATCTCCCCCGGCGCAGATCGTCCGGTGGGATCACTCATCTTGCCCCATCGCGCACCGTCGTAGCCCTGTTTTTGCGCTCGCGCTTGTGAGCTTGATAGAAAGCGGTTGTAGATGTCGATGCTCCGGTCTAGGAGGTGTTGTCTGCTCCATGGGATCCAGTGCGCTGAGTGCCAGAGGTACATTTCTAAATGGAACTTGCCGTACCAGCCGTTGTTCACGAGGCCGGACTCCTGAGGCGGGTCGTTTCCGGCGCCGTTGACGGCAACGAGGTACTGGGAGAGGATGATGCGGCGCTGGATTTCGAGGGCGGTGGCGTTGTTTGTGGATGTCAGGTCGACGAAGGCGCCGGTTTCCCAGTATGTTTTCCATCATTGCTTGCAGCGTGATGTGATTGTGCTTGTGGATGGGGATATGGATGAGGTGTGGTTGTTTGGGGTGGCGGAGAATGAGGCAGTCAGTTCGAGGTCGGGGCTGTTGTTGGAGGGTTGGAGGATGTAGCGGTGCGTGTTGTCCTTCCTAGCTATTGTTGCGTTGCTGTTAGTCCAGTGTATATCGGTGTAGTACGTTGTTTCGTCTAGAGTGTGCTTGATCTGAGCTTTTGGCTCGGCTCTGGAGTAGACGAGGTCTGTAGTGTGGTTTGAAACGGCGTCCCAGTCGCCGACGAAGGGAGCTTCGTATTTGCTGACGTCCGTGGCATAGGGGTAATCGAAGAAGACAGCAAGTTGGCCTTGAGCGAGAAGCTCAGAATGCAGGCGCACCGACACTGTGTCTGAAGACGGGTCGACACACGTCCAGACCGTAGTCTTACGGCCGTTGAGAGTGAAGTTGGAGTTTAAGATGCCATGGTAGATGTCTAATTTCTGGAATTTGTCCGACAAATCATCCTCTGTGATATTTCCGCCATCGCTCATGAACACGAATCCAATTCTTCCTAGGTTTATTCGATGTGGGTTTTTGATAAGCCACTGGGATATCTCGGGCTGTGCAGGATTTGGCATCTCATAGTTCACCAGTCGTCCGTGTGTCCACCAGTCGAGGCCGGTAAAGTCGGACGGCGAAGCTCCATGAGGCAGGGAGGAATTATGCCAGCCCCAGGACGACAGGGTCCCGTAAGGCAGGAATGTCTGAAGGCCGGTCACGTCAGCTCCGAATGCGAAGTTTCCGTTTCCAACCTGCATGGGGGTGCTGGTTGAGCTCGCATTTCGAGTCGGGTTGAAGCGAGAGACCACCTTGTGGCGATTAATTGGAGAGGATGCCGTGGCGCCAACATGCTTGTCTAAGAGACAGGGTAGAACCCACAGGCCAAGCCAGGCTAAGAAGGGATACATCGCGATGAATAGCTCGTTGCAGACGAGCTATGGACTGGCCATGGTGTTGAGAGAATGGCATTATCGATTGCCCTCTAAAATCTTGGACAAAGTCGATTGCCCCGCGAACAAATGCATTCATAGGAATGACTCTCTAGAGACTAATTTCCACGAATCATCATAACTCAAGGCGATGATCACTTCCTACCAAGTGGCGTTCAAACCCTCCCAAGCCAGAATCAATCATCCTGGGGTTTCTCCGCATGAGTCTCGGGATCTTCTTTGCCGAAGCGACGAGTTGAGATGGTGGTGACATCAGGTACAGGGCCAGTTGGTGATGCCCTCTAGAGTACGCGAATGAGCATGAAGGCCGCATGTTAGATTAGTGGAGACTATCGCTGATGGTTTTCCTTTTTCAATAGAACCATGATGCATGATGGATGATGGAATGTGAGAAAAGAAAGAAACGCCGGGAAGTCAGCAGACGCTTAACCCAACTGGGGCGTCACGTCTGTTGCTGAAGCCCTAAACGTACTGAAGATAGTGTCTTCTCTCCTTTCATCCCCCCCTGCCATCAAGAATCTAAGGGGCAACTTCATATCCCTCCCAAGACGCCAAGAAGATAGTATCTACGGTCGGTGGATCGCCCGGCTCTTCTCCAGTGTCCATCTCGACCAATCAATTCCCTTCGATCAATCCGGCTTTCCGGACGGAGAATAAACATGAAATTGTTCCCAGGCACAGGTCAGCCTGATTCTATCCCACATTCAACAATCAAGTATCTAATTGAATGTTAATAGCTTCGATTTTGACCTCGATACTTGCCGCTGCACCAATCTTGGCCTGCATCCAGGATAAAACAGCATGCGTAAGCGAAAACTAAACGAAAACCAGTCCTCCAGTCTCCGCTGACAAAACGTCGATGCCTGTCCAGCCTTACCACCGATTCTTCTGGGCAGCATCCATTCCCCACCGACCAGGGCTGCCAAGTCCTGATACCTCCACCCCGGCGATAGCAGAAACTGGATGCTGGAAGGTCGAACGAAGTCCGATGACATTGACACCAAACGCTGGCAGCTGGATGGGCCCGAAGGTGGGCCTCCGCGCGTCTATCCCGACAATATGAAAATCGGCGGTGCACGAACCATTCTGCTCTCCTCCCTCCCCTTTCTCCGGTGACAGCGGACGGGAGATGTTCATGTTTTGAATTCGATCGAAAATTTTCCCCAACCTTTTTTCTTGGGAGCTAGTGGTTTTACGTCACTTGCGTTTATACGTGACTTGGAATAGCCTCATTGCCGGTTTCTGATCATGCGAGGCGCGCTGGCTTCCGCCCTGCTCAGTCTATGCGGTCTCGTGCAGGCGGATTACGGCCCCTATATCCAATCCGGGGACTACGACGCGGGGAAATTTGGCTCCTGGCCGACAGAAACCTACCGGTCGACGCCTATCATCGGGCCCACGCTGAACTATCTGGAGTCTAGCACGCAGTGCAAGGATGGGCAGTACACGTTGATTTCGCCTCGGGGCGGCGGCGTCGCGACCCCGGGACCGATGATCATCGACCAGGATGGCCATCTCGTCTGGACGAAGGATTACGGGAAGACGTATAACCTGAACGTCTACCGCTACAGAGGCCAGGACTATCTGACCTTCTGGGCGGGAAACGATGGGATCACCGGGCATGGCGACGGGACTTATTACATGGTATATTCCATCCATATGCAAAATAGATACAAAGCAGAACGCTAACCAACCTCCCAGCTCGACTCCAACTACCAAGAAGCGTACAAGATCCGCGGCGCCAACGGCCTGCCAGCCGATCTGCACGAATTCCACATCACGCTGAACGAAACGGCCGTCTTCACCATCTACGAGACCCGGTCCGCGGACCTGCGCTCCGTCGAGGACGGGCCCCAAGATGGCTGGATCTACGACGGCACGTTCCAGGAAGTCGACATCGAGACCGGCGAGCTACTCTTCCAATGGCGCGCCTCCGACCACTTCACCTTCGCCGAGATGTTCCGCGGCCGCGAAGGCAACGGCGAGTCCGAGTCCCGCCCCTGGGACTTCTTCCACATCAACAGCATCGACAAGGACGTCATGGGCAATTTCCTCGTCTCCTCCCGCTACGCCAACTGCCTCGCCTACATCGACGGCCACTCCGGCTCCGTCCTCTGGCGTCTCGGCGGCGCCAATAACTCCTTCACCGACCTCTCCCCGTCCCAATCCGCCACCAACATCACCTGGCAGCATCACGCCCGCTTCCACTCCCCCAAGTCCAACTCCACCTCCACTTCCACCAGCAGCAACAGCAAAACCACCTCTCTCACCGTCTTCGACAACGCCTCCCGCGGCATCGGCGCCCCCACCCTCACCAGCCGCGGCCTCTACCTCGACCTCGACACCACCGCCATGACCGTCTCCATCCGCCACGAATACTGGAACCCGCACCCCATCAGCAGTCAATCACAAGGGTCCGTGCAGGTCCTGGACTCCGGCAACGTGCTCCTCGGCTACGGCTTCAACGCCGCCTGGACAGAGTACAACATCCACGGCGACGTGCTCTGCCACGTGCACTTCGGCCCGCAGACCGGCTTCGGCATCGGCGATATCATCTCCTACCGCGTCTTCAAGCACCCCTGGGTCGGGCTGCCCTTGACCAGACCGGATCTCGCCGTGTATGCGTACGAGGCGGCGGTTAGCTGGAATGGTGCCACGGAGGTCGCCACGTGGGTGTTGCAGGGCGTGTCTTCCTCCTCTTCTCCCTCTGACTCTGACGACTCCGATAACGGTAAAGATGGAGAAGTAGACATAACAGCCCTCAACCTCTCCATCGACGAAACCGAAACCGACTCCTCCACAGACGCCCTCACCTCCCCATCCTTCAACTTCCTCGCCGCGGTCCCCAAAAACGGCTTCGAAACCATCCTCCCCATCCCGCTGCACATCCAGAAGCAAGCCCTGCGCGTCGTCGCCCTAAACGCCACGGGCCAGGTGCTCGGCGTGTCACGCTTCGTAGCCTGGGACCCCGCCAGCAACGAAGCAGCCGTGACGTACGGGATGGGCGAGAGCGGGGGGATCGTCCTGACGGGACCGGTGCGGTCGTTTGTGTTCTACGTGATTGGGTTCGTGTCGGCGGTGGTGGTTTTGGTTGGGATTGGACTTGCGAATCGGTACTTGGGGGAGCGGGTGAGGGTGAGGGTTCCGGGGCTGGGTGGAGTTATGGGGTTGTGTGGTGGGTGGGGATTAGGAAGGGATCGGGATCGGGAAGCGTATGAGTCGGCGAAGAGGGATCGGGAGAGAGGGAATTGGGTCCCCGTTGATAATGATGGGTTTAATGGGGATGAGGAGGACTTGAGTGATGGGGAGCTGAGCGATGGGATTGAGTTCTCGTTGTTGGGGAATCCGAGGCTGGCGTCGTATGAAGATGTGGTTGGGGGGAGGAGGGATCGGTTTGTGGATGGGGAGCATACGGGTTGATTGATGGGTTGCATTGTTTATAGCGTTAGGGGTGGTTTATAGAGTTCTAATAGAATTGTTTTGTATAGAGGTTTCTCATAAATTGGAGCTGGGGGTTGGGTATTTGGGCATTGCTCGAGCAGCATTAGATCTACAATTGCGTGGCTACAAGATGATACATGGTATAGGATTCAATCATGTCAATTTGCTAAAGAACGTAAAGTCGCGGCTGTTTGCCAGTCTGATAACATCCTCAACGGATCACAGGCAGATGTTTAAGCAGACGAAGCAACTTCAAGACGCTTGAAGCCACCCTCAGAAGCAACCTGCTTCTGCAGCTCGGCCATCCGCTTCTGGTCGCCCAGAGGGTCCGAGGAGTCCCCGTCCAGTTTCCAGGACAGGTACTCGTTGGTGTAGTTGGGCGCAAAGCTGGGGTCCAAGATACCCAGGCGCTTTCCGTAGTTGGTCACCTTGGCCCAGTCGCGAGACACGTTCTTCAGGTCACGGCTGAAGTAGGCGAAGGAGCGCTCGAAGATCTTGCGGTTGACGGGCGTGCCCATGATGGGCTTGATGTCAACATACTCTTCGTAGGCCTTGGCCGGCTCGGCGAGGACGTACTCGGTGGCACGCTTCACGGCCCGCATGAACTTCTGCACCTTCTCGGGGTTGGCGGCCAGGAACGGGTCGTTGGCGATGTACAAGATGGAGCAGAAGCAGCAGCAGCCCAGCTCGGCCAGCTGGTCGATACGGAGCATCTGGACGTCGTCGCGAGGGCGGTTCTGAGAAGCCAGCCACTCGGCCAACTCGACCATCTGCACGTTCTCGAGTCCGATACCAGCGTGGATGTCGCCACGGATGATGGCCTTGGTGACGTTCATGCCGCAGCGGACGGCAGTGTAGTCATCGGCAGTCATGCCGTAGTACTTGGTGAGCTCATCGATTTGGATCTGTGACAGTTAGATATGCGACATGAGCATTTTTTAGGAAGACCTACCTTTCCGAACTCGCCAACGTAGCCGATCTTCTTGCCCTTCAAGGAGCGGAAGTCCTCGGTGATTCCGCTGTCCTTGAGGTAGACAACACCGGTGAACGGCTCATCGAGGAGAGAGCCGATCGAGGTGACGGGAAAGTTCCGAGCTTTGGCCTGTCATCGGATTAGATCCTAGTTCATCTGACTGCCAGGGAGTACATACAGCAAGAGTGTGGATCATGGCCTTGAAACCCATGTCGACCTTGCCGCTGCCGATGATCTCGGTGACATCGGAGGGGTCGTTGGGTTCCAACAGAGCAACCTTCAGGTCTTCCTCTTTAAAGAAGCCTTTGCTCTGGGCAAGATACAGCGGGGCATGGTAGGGCGTCGCGTGCCTTGACAAGCACTCAGTAATTGTTCACGTATCATTCAACAAAATCAAACAAAGCATAGCAGAAACGGGAGAGAAAAGGAAACACCAGCGGTAAGTCCATACCAGTTGGTGAGGAAGGTAATCTTGTCAGTAGACATCTTGGCACAGAATCAAGTCAAGAGACTGGGAGTTGTTAGCAGCAGAGACCGAGGAACCCTCTCATCTCTGAAGACAAAAGGGAGGGGAGACAATCAATGCCACGCATGTCCTTTCGCTAGTATTATCTAGATCAAGTTGTGACAGTATAATCTCAGAACGACTGGTCTCTTCTTCCACTGGACATTGGTTCCAGATGAGCCGATCGAATGGAAGAAGATCCCAGCCGAACACCTGTCATACGCAAGCAGAGATTGTTCTACACATTGTACGATACCTTGATCCGTGAAAACCCATTGCGAAAAGACCCAGGCCCAGACGCTGGTCCTGGCTGCGCGGCCACATGGTGAGCCGTACCGAACGAATTGACAAATCGATGGAGGAGATGGAGATGGGATGAAGCAATCGAAGAAAATGTTCAGATGAGAAGAGAGAAGAGAGAAGGAAGATGAGGGGAAGACCGATGGAGGGGCAATAAATACAGGGCCAAGTCACGGGGCGGGACTTTACCAGAAGGAGCTCAATCCCCACCTTCGCATTAACTCATACGAAATAATATTATGACTACTATGACCAACATCATGGCATGTCGTGTTGTCTCGCCGGTATCGCACAGTCCCACTCATGGTTTCGTTGGGGCAGATCTCACCCATCCTCAACTCTATCCTCATGTCTTCCCCCGCTCGAGACCCGCTCCCCATTACGCATGGGCTGGACCCTGGTTCCTCTTGGATGCCACTAGGACTTCTCTGGTCCGAAGCAACAGGTTGTGGTTTCCATGATGCCCAAATTACTTTTCGGAGCAGACCGTTTTGCAACCCATCTGGTAGATGACAGAGGAAAGACAATAACAACGTGAATGTGTTTCGGGAACTTCATGTGTGGTAGCAAAATGATGTCATATCGGTTATACTCCGTCGAGTCGGTTGTGGCCCGTCTACATGGAATGGTGTTCTCGGCCCTGAGCGATAATCCCTCATAAGGATGAGTCACGCTAGCTAGCGGAGAGAAGTCCATTAGCAAAATAAACATAAATTATGACCAAGCTATGAAATAATGCGAACGAACAAATTTAGACAAATCGACAGGCGCGGATGATGATGAGTGGTGGGTGTTTCGTTTTAACAGGTCCCGCTCTCTCCAAAAATCGCAATATGAACACAACAATCAAATGAACAAGAAGCAGGGCAAGGTAAATGCAGCATGGAGAGCGCGGCAGTTATAAAGGACCGGGAGCTGCCATCCACAAATCACACGGGAACTCGGAGCATGGAGGCCATATAAGGTGGATAGCGATAGTCTACTTTATCCCATCTTTTCATATACACGAGGCTGATTAGGTGTCGCCGTTGACTGATATCCGATCGAGCGGCGACGACGGTCGGTCGCCGGCTTTCTTGGTGCGCAGGGTTAGTGGGAAAAAGGGCTCGTCGGGCTCCTCCTCCTCGTTGGTACTAGGTCGGTGAAGTCTTGTCAGTGAAATTTCTTGGGTGCTGAAAACAGCCTATTGACCCGAGATAGAACTCACGGAAGCTTCCAGGCAACATAATCCTCGGTACTCAGTCCCTCTTTGATCTCCTGAAGCGATGCGAAGTCTCCGGGGGTCATCACTCCCGAACGATCCTTAGGCGAGCCGGGAACGGACAGCGGCCGCGACAGCTTCTGCTCGGTGCCTCCAATGACATCAAAGAAATCTTCGGTGCTACCAAATGAAGATGGGTAAGCTGCACAAGGAGTAGTTAGCAAGATACACAGGAAAACCTGCCCCAGAGTCGCCAGTGGAATTACCTCTTCGCAGAGCCAACTGCCGAGCCTTGACGTATTCCAATCCCATGCGCTTCCAGTCCAACAGATCGCTCAGCCGCTCGGTCCGATTCCGCTGATTGATCCGTTGTCGTCGGCTCTTCATCGTGAAGTTGTACATAAATTCGGTAAGCTGGTTCACTGAATCATCAACGCCCTTCATCCGGCGGTCCACGATGTAGATACCGTAGTCGGACGAGTTTTCGATCAATTCCTCCATATAACAACCGAATCCTGACAGGTTGGTGGTGATACTGGGAACTCCCATCACCGTACACTCCGCTGGCGTATATCCCCACGGTTCATAGTACGACGGAAAGACGCCGAGATGCGTCCCGCGGACAAAGTCATCATAGTCCAATGGCAGCACGGGGTTGGAAGAGTTAAGAAACTCGGGGTGGAAAACAACCTTGACGCGGTCTGACGAGTGGTTGAACAGCTGAACGCGGCGGATTTGATTCAGGATGGGGTCCTCGTGGTCATTTGTCATATTGTGAGTGACAATCGGAGGCAGCCCATGTCGTTTCATGGCAAACAGGCGACGACGCAACAGGACCCGATCTTGGCTGGCCATCAAGTCCTTCTCGTCAGGCATGTTCTCGCCCTCCTTCCATGCCAAGCAGCGCTCATACATGCGTCGCCCAATGCCTTGCTCGATCATCTCGATGGTGTCACGCAATGACTTCACGACTGCCTGTCCCTTAAGCGCTTCGACGGTGAGGGATGTTGTTTGCGCAGGCATAATAATGAATGCAACAACGGTCGTTTTCGACCCGCTATCCTTCAAGCGATGATTCAGACGCGCCAGGCCTTCGATGAACATGTCAACGCCCTTGTTCCGGAACTCATAACGTCCCGAGGTAAAGACGTAGAGGGTGTTTTCCAGATCAAAATCGTTGTGGCCATAGAAGTGACCGCGGACGAAATCATTGATCTTCTCCTTGGACTGCGAGTGAAGATTCTGGAACTCGTGGACGGCCGAGAATTTCTTCACATTAAGTCCGTTGGGTAGGACTCCATCCGGCTTCCGCTTCAGCAGATGTTCACTCTCGAACGCAGTGATATGCGAGACAGTGGTAAAGACATCCGCCGTGTGGGCAGCCGCTCGCTCGATGCAGTATCGATGGTAGATCCCACGTTTACCAGCCTCCGCATCCACGTCAAAATGATGGAGGTTGTTGTAGAAATCCACGGAGCCCGCGCAGAGGTAGCGTCCGAGGAGCGTCGCATGAGTGGTGAAGATGGTCGTCAGGTCCATATGCCGCTTCTTGGTAAGAGGGAGAGCAACGCCAGCAAGCCATTCGTGGAAATGAGCGACCACAGCACGGCGGCGTTCGTGAGCGATAAACTATTTTCCATCAATAAGCAACTGGGAGATTGAACGAAAGGAAGCGCAAAGATATTAATGAAGCTGACGCACCTCACCCAAGAACCATGCCACCAAGTATCCAAAGACAATGGCTTCATTTGTCTCCGTATCAGCCGACGGCGATGGAATGCCCGCCGTGTTCCATAAATCGCCCTTCCACTCGTCCAGGTACTTGTAGCCAGTGCCCGTGTCGATGAGAAGTACGCGCGGAGCGCCTTCAATCAGCCAACGACCGTAGACCATCTCAACGCCGCGTTCCTTCATGGACTGGATGGTTTCCACCATGCGAGGATTCGAGGGGGTCAATTCCTCGACCTCGACGGCCGCCGAAGCTCGGTTCAGAGGCCCGATCAAGGTATAGCGCTCGCCATATTCCGCCGTTGTGACGGGGGCTTTGGACTTGAGCACGGAGTAGATTCCTCCTACGCGGTTGGCGACTTCGGTGGCCACCTCGAAGAGCATATGGTTGCGAACATCTCGCTTGATCGGCTCGCTGCCGTTCTCCTCACTTGCACTGGCCATGGCGCTTGCGATCTCTCCACGAGCTATCTAGCTAGCAAAGAAGCTTCTTGGAGAAGTCACCGGTAGCAAGGGCTGAAGAGACAAGGGGGTTTATGGTCAGAGATTGAACAAGAACCATGGCTGTGATGGGGATGGAGCAAAGGGGGGATGAATCCGGACGGAGGAAGCTCACCCAAGATCGGTCTTTGTTATGAAAGCGTGCGGGGGAAGGGCGAATGCGGGTGGCGGGGAAACAGGGAGGTTGGCTTCCTTGATTTCCCAACTCGACAGAACTCGGATCTTGACAATTGTCGGCTGGGAGAAACAAGGTCTCGAGAAAACGATGGGCGAAGAAAAACGAAAGAGAGAGAAAAGAAGAAGGGCCAAAAATAAAGAGAGAGGCGAGGGCAGGGAGAGGGGAAGAGGAATGGCCTGTTGCACGGACTCGCTGCTACTGCAAAGCCCGTCTAGCAGGTTAGCAAATGACCACCCCGGTCGCTCCAATCCGTTGCAGGATCATCCGACCAGTTGCTAATTCTCCTAGAGGTCCAACTGAAGCTTTGGCATGGATCGCCCCCGTCTATCGTCGCCCCCGATGATGAAAGTGTCGCAATCGAACGCCTCTTCCGTGCCTCCTGTTCGTCGACTGAACCGCCTTTGCAAGGGTTTTCCCACCATCCAAGAGGATACGAGATTCTCCATCCTGGGCCCAAAGAAGAGAAGGGATTGGAGCTCCAAGACTCAAGGTCGACAACTCCGCACGGCGAAACGGTGGATCCGGGGAAATCCAATCGGTCATTACGTCATGTTCCTTGCTCTTATCAGTATTTGTATGGCTTCACCATGACGGTGCTGTCTATGCTGATGCACTGTTAGAGCTTGACAGACAAAGATGTCCCCAGCTTTGCAGAGAATTCTTTCAGCCCTTTACGGTAGACAACCCGATTGGCAAGTTCCAGAGAAGCAATCGAGCAATCGGCGTCGACTCAGAACTCGCACATCTAGTGTTGCCATTATCAATCGCAATGTCTGAAACAAAACCCGGACGATGAAACAAAAAAAAACATTTGTTTGGCACTCTCTTGTTGACAATGTCATTGTTCCCAACTCGCTTCCAAGCATGTCTAAACATATCTTGGTGCTCAAACTGGGAGTCCCAAGAGTGCATAAATAAGGCATTGACCCCCAGCAGTCATAGAGCCAAACAACCCGCGCCTTTACTGGTTGCTGAGGATGTCTCGGTTTAGAATGAGCCTCTTCCACCCGATCCGCAACACCAAAGAATGCCCCGAGAGACTAGCCCGCAGGACCCCCGGCCGCCGGCTTCAAGATCTGCCGAAGAAACTCTTGAAACGTCTCAAAAATGCAGTCTCCCGAGCCCTGCATAAGCCTCCTCTTTCTCCTGATGCTCCAAAGCCTGAGCCTTCCTGGATAGAGAATCTTTTTGAAGGGCGGGAGCGATGTCTACCGTCAGACTTGGATGTTTGTTATTTGGGGCATCTGGTAGAAAGAGGCTACGATGTGCGGAAGAGTCGGAAGTCTCTAGATCTTGATCTTGAAAGCGAAAATGAGTCGGTGCTTATGGGAATGCTGTCAGTGTAAGACTGTGTGCGTATTTCTGTTCATGTCTTTGGGGCTTTTGATGCGTTAATGGCGTTTTTGGGTGCTTTTCTTATGTCAAATAGAATGGTCGAATGCAATACTGTTTCCCGCTGGCATATCCGTAGGATATTCTCTAGAGTGGTCAATCATGGCAACACCACCAGTTTGCCCTGAGCCTCGTCCCTCTCCATACATTCGTGAGCATCAGCAATCTCCTCCATTTTAAACACCCGACCAACGCGCACCTTCAACCTGCCGTCCTCGACCATCCTCACCAGCTCATTCAACGGCGTAGCCATGAAATCCTCATCCGAGCCGCTATACACCGTCAATTTGGTTTCCGACGGGATCAGCTCCATCGGATTGACTTTCTCGAGGTGCCACTGATTTCCCACAATGCCGGTGATCGAGACCGTACCCCCTTTCTTCACGCAGCGCAGCGAATCAGCCACCGTGCTCGTCCCCACCAGCTCCAGCACCTTATCGAACAACTCCCCGGACCGAGCAATCTGGCCCGCCAGCGCGCCATCATCCACCCAGACCTCGTCCGCTCCCGACTCGCGCAGCATCGCCTCGCGCTCCCTCTTCCGCGTCGTCGACACCACAAACGCCCCATGCGTCTTCGCGATCGCCGCCGCCGCAAGCCCGACAGACGTCGTGCCCCCTCGAATCAGCACCCGATCTCCGGCCCTGAGTGAAAGCGACCTCATCAGCGCGCCCCACGCCGTCTGCAGCATCTCCGGCAACGCGCCCAGCACTCCCCAGGGCAGGCTGGTCTTGACGATCTGCACCTGTTTCGCCGACACACACGTATACTCTGCGTATCCGCCGTCATAGGTGCGACCCATCCCGCCCATGGCAGTGGCAACGGTGCTCCCGAGGGGGAACTGATGCTCCAGACCTGTATCTGGACCCACGGCGTCAATGACACCCACCGCTTCGATCCCGAGGATGCGAGGGAACTGCACGGGCGAGTGCCCCTGTCGGGTGAACATTTCGGACCGGTTCAGTCCGAATGCCTGGACTTTGATCCGCACCTGTCCCGGCCTCGGCTGCAGGATGGGACGCTGTATGACCTGCAGGACATTAGGGGGGCCGGGGGTGTGAATGACCACGGCGTTCATCATGATGGCAAGTATCGGAGGTGGTATACTTCGGTTCTAGAGCACAGAGTAGAAAATCTAGTAGTTAATCAGAATCAATTGAACTTTCTGTCTTAGCAAAATATTGGCGGAATCCTTTGACGAGGACTGGCGCTGGTCATGGCCGTTTTAAAGCCCGACGCGACCACCCGAGAAGAACAGAAACAAACATTTCGATCTGAGCCTCGACAGGACATCAAAAGATGCAAACGTGCTCGAGCCCCTCGAGGACGGCGGGAAGCCGCATGTCCGCTGTTTGTGCGGTTTGCACTGTTTGGCAGTTTTGTCACTTCGCCCGGTTAGGCAGTGGTCTGTTCTCTCTAGTCTGCCCAGTCCCACTCTTTCTTCTGTACTCATCTAGAGAGCTCATCTAGAGAATATTCGATTACCCTGGAAGCCCCCCTCCTTACGTACACAGTCCAGCAGCAGTCCACTCCTCAGTTCGAGATCTCAAACAAGATCGACACCCTCATCGAGCCCACAGCGCACGCACTCTTCCCTGACCGGATGAAGTCATTCTCTCCTGCGGCGTCTCCACAATGACTTCACAATGCTGTCAGCCATCCACATGCAGAACCAGGAAAGCGAGCAAGTCGATGCCATCATCATCATGAGAATGGGTTATAAAGAGGGTTGAAGAGTTCTCTACCGCAAGCTCTCAACACATCAATCAAAGCCATCTATCTCTCTACACAACCAACTCAATACAAATCCTCCTCTCCTCTACCTCCCATCTCAATCCACCCAATCAATCACCATGCCTCGCGGAGCTGAATACGACAACGGTGTCCCCCAGAGCGACAACGCCATCGAGGCCGGCCAGACCAAGGTCCACGGCGTCGGCAACGACGTATGCACTCCCTACACTCTCCCTGTCCCGTCAAGCCCAACATGCTAACAAGTACTCAGAACGCCGACCTCTCCCGTACCCACAAGGTCGCCGACCTCCCCGTCGAGGGCATCAACGCCAACGGCCTGGCCAGCGGCGGCGGCAGCTCCGGCCTTTCCGGAGGTAGCGGCAAGGGCGGCCATAACCCGAACACCCTTGGTGAGAACAAGGGCGTCGGTGCGCAGGGCGTTTAAATCAACCTGAAAACATGATTTGAGACGATTTCTTTTAGAATACGCGATATTGCATTATCATTGGAGTTGGATGGGATACGTGTATACTTGTACGATATTATGAGAATTTGTTAATGCAAAATATTGTCCAGCATTACATTTTGAATTATTAAGAACTGGAATTAAAAAAGAAAGCCCTCCCGCTGACAGTTATTCTCTTCAACTTGAAGCTGTAGCATAATAATGTCATAGAATTTGTTGATGCCAGCGAGAGTTTTAAACACTTGGGCTGCGTCTCTCCTTTTGTACAGCCCCAACCCTTGACTTTCCACTATGCAGATACCGAAGCAACCTAGTCAATGCACGAGTTGCTTCCAGCCAATCCTCTTTGAGGAACAAGTCATAACCCCTCGTGAACTGTAGACTAACAGGTCCTTGATCGAAGTTTCCTTCAGCATGTACTCTGGAGATACGGTCTTTCGTAAAGAACCCTCGAGCAATGTGGAGGTAAGGACCATAGAAGCCGACTATAAAGACCTCCTGGTCTTCGAAACCGGTCTGCAGCAGGCTGAGATTTCTAGTAAGCTGGCCCAGCATCGCACTGAACGTTTCCATCAAGAACGCATTCCAGGTTTGTCCGATGAACCACTGCATATCATTAGCGAACTTACTGCTCAAATAGACTGCTATAAAATACCCCGGTAAAAGCGATCATAGGCATATATTGGGCTCTTGGCCCGGCAAGAACAGCGCCCTCTAGTCTGGTCGCATATCGACTACCGCCAATTGTATATTTCAAGTCGCGGGCAGCTGTAGTAAACCTAAGGGGATTAGCAATGTCAAAGGAAAAAGAAGCTAAGTGAAGCATACTCAACCTTGGGATCCGGCGCTTTGACATCATGATCAAGGCTGAGATAGATGGACTGCAGTAGCAATTTGGTTATTGTGCACTGGTCATTTATAAAATGTGTAAATTGTTCTCTTCCAGGCATGCGCCAGCTTTTTCTGGGTAGGGTGATTGTTTCGCTGGGTACAAAGATATTCGAGATACCTGTATCATCAGAGTCATTTGCTTGTAGCTCGCATCGGTAGGATTGTAAGTGATAAAATAATGGCTGGAACTCGCAGCCTTCTTTAGGGCCACTTTCTAAGCAATCTCCATCTACAATATCTGAATGTTGAAAAACCCAAGGAATGAGTCTCTCCACATCCTCATCTGAGATAGTGTCAGCAGGATATATCAGTGGATCACAGTGGCACATGTACCTTCACACTCACGATCCACGACTTTAGGTATTAAATCGTCAAGTTCAACCACCTTGGAGTTAATAGTTACTGACATTGTAGCGATAAAGGAAAAGATGGAGTTTAGCAGTGCATAGGATCATCGGCTCCTAGGGGCGGTCAGAGAAAAGCTTGATGACTAATTCTATTTTGGTCGGTTTGGTTTATGTTACCTATCTTAGAGCTACGCGGCTTGAATGCCCTTCAGGTGGCTGACTACCACATGAGGAGTCCGGGGACAGATTTGGTACCTTAACAATTCTATTGGTAAACACTCCAGGTCATTCTTGCAATTCTGCCTGTGCGCAGGCAGACCTGCAGGGATCGTTTGGAGCCACTTACGGGGTACATTCGCGGCCAATTACCAGCTTCTTCCCGCCTTATCAGGATACCAGTAACAGGAGAATATTGCGTGACGTATAGGCAGAAAAAATCTAAGAAACAATTTGAGATATATTGTTAAACATGGCAATCAAGAACACCGAAATGACACCAGTGAAAAGAACAGGTTTAATGTGAAGCTTATTAGCCCAGATCTTTCAATATCGTTTTCTTCATATGCGCCCATGCGCCGGTAAATACGCGTTCTATGATGTCTATAGTGTATTCTTGATAGCCAAAGTATACATAGCGCTAAGAGAGCGTACTATATAAAGCCGATTAGCCCTCTTCCAATCCAGACCTTCTATCAATATTCTCTAGATCTACAGATACCTAAAGCGCTTATATATTGTGATTTATATCAGATAGTACAGCCTCATTGTTGATAATGGACTCTATTATTCGTTTTATCCCCACTGATGCGGAACAACAGCACCCTTTGGCGCGTGAGTACATATGTAGCGCGGCGACAGTGGCAACACCAGACCCTCAGTCCACACAGAACAGTCACGGTCAATCGGGTTCCAACTGGGGTATAGAAGAAGTGAATGCGGTTCGAGCTATTCCGATAGTCAACGTCGATCCAAAACGCATTGTCCCTGAGGAATATTTCCCAAGGAGTGATAACCAACGTGAGTTAGGCCAAATCACTGGCCATAAAAAGGCTACTGACTTCTCACCCCCTTCAAGACTTTGCGAAACTACGCAGGGCTATCCGAGAAGCAGATATAGATGCGCTCAAAACGTACAGCACCGAGAGCTTTAAGGGGAATCCATACAAGCTACTATTCGAAGACCTTTCGGAGCTGATCACAACATATACCTCTGAAGAGTCAATTGGTAATGCCCATCGAAGACAAACCAGTACCAGCTCAGTCGAGACAGATCTTTCCACTTCCAGCAACGAGGGCAAAGGTGAGGCTGTTAGTGTTACTGCTCTCAGGAACTTTATCAAGGCTACATTACCTTCCATGCGAGGTCTGGCCAAGTTGCCTATCCAGGGACCTGTGAAACCATCTTTGATGTGGTAAGTAAACTTGGACGCTATCAAAATGCCCAAAAACCATTTACTCATTTGGAAACAGCTATAGCAACGCGAATCGATTTGAGTGGATGCTAGCAGGAGTCAAATATGTGGCAATCAACGATGGGAGTGTGGGGGTTAACTTTCGAGGTTACTTCTCTGGGTCCAATAGATTCCCGATGATACCCGTGGCCGGCCTAGAGGTGAGTTCCATATAACATAAGTTTCGGTTAGTATTGTGTGGCTTGAGGAACTAACGGGACGAAATAGTGCAAACCAAGACATGCCGGTGGCATAAAACGTGGGTCCGGAGAGCCAAAAAACTTCATTCTGGAGATATTCGCCCAGGAAGTCGCACAGCTTCTAGGGAATATGATCGCTCAAAGATCAGAGCTCAAAAACCTTGGAGGACGGAGATCTCTCCTCAGAGACCAACATGAGGACCAGGAAGCTTTCGTCCTCAGCATGCACGGAACGCTATTTTATGTTAGCACTGCGTATTTCTCCCCGGAGTATATCCAATACATCGAGGGAAATGAGCTTACGGAGCTGAGCGTGGACAATATTTTTCTGTGGGTGAAACAATCCGTCCATTTTGATCTCAAAGATATCGACCAGCGAGTCAAAGCCTTGGAATTTCTATGGGCACTCTTGGGTTATATTGCAAGCGGAGAAGCAAAGATGAACAACGTGACAGCGGCAATCACTGCGATGCACGGTTAGTACTGATGTTTGACTTGCCTTTGAAAACTTCTGGAAACCATTCGAGGACAAAGAGGTTTTCAATTTGCTTGGTTTCCTTTTCCTTTTTTTTTCTTTCTTTTTCTTGCTTTCCGTATTGATGAATTGAACCATACTACCTCTTCTTGCTGGGCTATGATAGTACCGTTCCTGGTAGTTCCTCAGGTCAGTAAGAGCTTATATAAGTTGAGAGGCAAACGCGGCGCCTGACTAGCAAGGATTTTCTGAAGACGATTCTAGCTGATCCAGACAGATATTTTTACATTTTCCAATCCTGTCTATCATCTATAGAGTTCCTTAGTAAAAGCGAGGACCCGCCTGCTCGGTTCCACCCTGCCGCTTCCGGTATAGCGCGCTCTGCGTCTCGCCGTCCTGTAATCACCGCCCGCCTCGTCCCTCCCAAATATAATAACAATCAGTATGGCGGCTGTCCATCCCACTCGATCGATGCATGTTAGCATCATTCTGACAGGTCTCGACGACGCATTACTCCCATCACGTGATATATGTGCCAGTAGAGCCTACTCCGAGTAGTTGCCGACCTACTGGCCTTTGAATCGGGCATCAAACGACCCCGCCGAGCCCCTCTTCTAAAGCCTTCAAACCTCGAGCCCGTCATCTACTTGTTATACTTCGAAAGTCCAAAATATCTTCCCTGAAACGTCACCATGGCCTATGGAGAGCTCTCAGCGGACGCACAAGCGATTGTTGATCGCATAAGAGATACTATCAAGGAGGGGAAGGCGAAAATTGGGGAGAGCAAGCCCGGCACGGGCTGGGAATATTGTGGTCTGGAGCTCTCTGGCGAGAAATCTCGGTTGAATCAAGAGCTAGGTACAAATGACTTCTTGGTCAGTGGAATTGCCCTACATTCATATGCTCTATTCTGACCTATCGTTCAGGCCCTCGAATGCAGTGTATTACACTTGGTCCGGAACGGAACGATCGATAATCCTACGTCTCATATGCTCATCATCCCATTGAATGGTACCGTGAGCCTCAGTAAAGAAGAGCCGTTACAGCCATGCCATTACATTAATGAGACAAGGACCATTTTCGGTGAGAATATTGATATAATCGCCGTGGCCTTAAAGAAGACGTGATTGAAAAACCAAAAGGAGATATGTGCTTTCTGCGTTTCTAGCGAATTTGGTGTCACAGTAGCGCTTCATAAAATCATTTCCAATCTATATAATTCCCTTTTCTTAATCTGGGAGAACACTCCCCTGTGGGGGACGGGACTGGTTACTGATCTCATGCTGTAGGTTTGTCATCATATCGTTTATAGCACTGGCTAATCCTCCCGACAGACGCTGCGGGGAATGACCGATATCTTGCGAGCTCTCAACATGGGGCTGTTCTGGAAATACCGAGCGACTGAAAGGGTTGTTGTTGTTGGGCACCAGAGGGTCCTGTTGGAATTCTGGCCCCCTGAATGGGCGAATATATGGAGTCGAAGTATCTTGCGCGTAGTCGAACATGGTGCTACTATTCTCTGGTACAGAACCGACTGGAAGTCTGAATGGGCGAATATATGGCGTTGAGGTATCTTGTGCGCAGTCGAAAATGGATGAGGTGCTATTCTCTGGCGCAGAGCCGACTTGGTAAGTGGAACTAAAATGCTCCGGTCTTTGACGTTTTCTTTGTTCTTCAGTAGCCTCGTCGGTTAGGATATCTCGTAGGATGCGTTTTCGGGATTGCCCCAATCTTGTGGCTTGATCTTTCCAAGCTGTCAGTATCTAGTAGTGGAACAAGCGGGCAGCCTTACCCTTATGCGCTTTGAGACAGAGTTCTATCTCTTCGTTGCTTTTCTCGGCGATCTTTCGAAACTCCTCGGTCGCAAGAAGAGCACTAGCAAGTGCAGGCAAGTCCTGATACCTGCAGCGATAAAAAGACGTCCATGCAAAAAACAATAGTGAAGTGAAACCCAGTTGTCTGTGTGGAAGGGTACTGACATCATTGCATGTCGGGCCCTGGGAGCGTATCATACAAAGTCTTTCGAAGAACCGATATTTTATGCCATATTCGATATAAACACTTGCCCGTTTGGGATCTGCGAACCTTGAGCAAGCTTTGGTGTACTTCAAATAGTGCGCTCCGTCTTTCGTGTCTAAATCTTTAGACAATGCATCTAACCTCGAAGGATATGCGACAGCTTCTGCCCAGTCCGCGTAGTCATCTGCCAGGGATAGGGCGCTCAAGCCCGCGCGAAAGAAATCTTCTAGATTTCTTCTCCCACACACAAGAAAAATATCAACAACACGAGGATCTTCTGTGGTCAACTCGTTGGGAATGGCGAGTCCTTCCGGTCTGTACGTGCAGGTTCTTATCTGCTGGAGTCTCTTCGATAGCGTTTTGAGCACTGCTTTTACCGAGTGGGGAAGGTCTTCTAGCGTATTTCCACATAGCCCTGGACTGGACGGGTCTGGGGGAAGTAGTTTGTTAAGATGACCTTGTTTGGTTGTATCTGATAGAGTGGCTCGTGGTGGTATAGCTATTCCTTGGGCCGACTGGGTTGTACAGTTGGAAGATTGCAGCACGTCTTGCAAGTTGTTGATAGCCGATTCGAGTTCCTTGCGATGTATTAAAAGACTTTGCTTGTCTTCGTCCTGTATCGTAGATAAAGTTGTAACAGCTTCTAATATTTTCTGTATAGAAGCCATGACGAGAATACTTTGTTTTGGTGGGGACGATGGTGTTAGGAAAGCAGACGGACAGATGCCGATTAAATGTCTCAATTGTAGCGCGTACCCGGCGTAATCCCTGCAACTCTGCCTGTCCAACAGGCAGAGTTGCAGGGATGGATTTGCAGTCCTATTCTCACTTGGACAACTGTAGGTTTGACATTGGCTGGCATGGATGATGCCGGCGGCTAGCAGGGCAAGGAAGCGGAACCAATGATTGAAAGTTTTCTGCGCAAGGCTTGATGCGCGATCGAATGGTGTTCTCTAAATTACATAGCCTCAACATATTGTTATCGATTCTATCACAAGAGCATGAAAGGTGTCAAGGGCTTATCCAGCGAAGAAATTTAAGATCGGAACATTCCTCGGTATCCTATAGCATGCCCTTTCTAGTAAGTCCATTCGGCCTGTTATTTGGTCTCTTTGGAATGCTCTGCCACATTTGCGGGAAGGAAATGGTGTATAGAAGCTCACATGGACGAGTTGTTTGCATTCGATCCGAATGTGTTTTGGTCCTGTCCTTTTGCTACCTTCAAAAAATTGACAACTCAAGTGAAAGCCCCGAGTCGCTCAGGAGCTCCAGCGGCGCTACTAGGATTCAATCTGGAAGGTTGCTAGCCTGAGGGATCACAATTGCTAAAATAGCATTGAAGCTTCTGCTCAACGTGGAGGCTTATCCTAATAAATTGAAAGACTGATTAAGCATTTATGGTTTTGTTGTAAAAGGATTAGAAACGAAAGGCAGACAAGATGCCAAATTATTCTATAGAAGGTAAAGCTAGATGCGACGCGGTATATAAAGAATAAGGGAGGTTGCGGTCGCACTGAAAAAAACACTGTACAGTCCCCTGGATGGTGGACAGGGAACACCGCAAAATGTACATAATATGCAGGTCAAGTCTTCCATATGACCACCGCCGAGTATGTAGGATAATTATAGGGTGTTAATCACGCTGGGGAAGTCTTGGTGTCTTCGCTGGTTTTAGGGGAGCCCTTCGCTGTATCAGCCTCGGTGGATGGCTGTTCCTGTGCCTCTGTCGCGATGCTCTTTTGCTTGACCAATTCGAGCAGACGCTCGCCCAGGTTCCCAAACCCGTCTATTTTGCTGAGTTTCGATTGGAAATATTCCGCATCGCGTTGCAATCTAGTCATGTTAGCACGGGAAAAAAATTATACTGAAACAAGAATCTCACCTTTGTTTTCCACTTTCCGAGCTGATGGTTACTTCTTCAAAGGCCTTGGTCCACTGCTCTCGGTAACTATTAAAGACGGGGTCCATGATCATGGAAACGGTCATGTCCGGTAAATGCTTGCTCAAAACGCGATGCAGAGTTCCAGTCTCTTTGGCCAAGGTTTCCATGTACGGGCTGACGGTGTTGCCGTTGGTGACGGCATTCCAATCGATCTTTTTCATGGCATTAACATGGATGACAGATCGAGAGCTCATAATGTCGACCAGCTTCTCGTGGATGCCAGACTGGTGCTCCTGGTACAACCGCTTCACCTTATCGAACTCGCCCATTAACGGGCTGCTTGGAGCATGACGACGAACGAATTCTCGAATGTATGGTACCAACGCAATGATGAAACTCAGGGCTTGGGAAGAAAGGGCGAGATGCTTCGTGGTAATATTCTTTAGGCCAGCGCTTCTAGTGGCCCCGGCTCCGAGAATCAGCTGGGAGGATCGCGAGTTGAACAGTTTCAACGTCTCTAAAAGACCAGGAGCAATGTCCTGGATCATACTAGGGATATTTGCCATGAGGAACTGGAACTCCTCAATACTCTTCATCATGGCCATGGCACATTCTGAGAGAATGTACTTCTGTTCATCAATAACGGCACTTCTAACTTTGTCCTTTCCGGAGCCATTGACAGCGGCTGCATCCGACTTCTCGTTGCCATCCGTCGGTGGCAGCCAAATTTTGGAAACCTCCACCCAGGCCTCGATGTCTTTGGTGCTCGCATCCAGAATCCGCTTCAAGACGGCATTCTCGGAATCCCCGAAGTCTTTGGCGTCCCATCGGTCCGCATCCATCACTTCAACAATGCGATGGCGTTGTGTATCACCGAACCGATTGATGTAGTCTTTGATCTGGTTACCGACCAATGTCTTCAAGGCAGTACCGCCTCGCCCGGAAATAGCTTCGCACTCATCGGCGAAAAGACGATTGAGGGTAAAGTACTTGAGAAAGTCTTCCTTGGGTAGTTGAGAAGTCTGCTCAGACCGCACCTTCAGAACCTTGTTTATTTGCGACTGAGCAATATCAACCGCCTGGCCTAGGAGGCTGGACATATCCAGGACCTGCAGGATCTCATCCTGCGCGACAACTGTTGCTTCTAACCGTGGGTTGGGTTTCAAGTTCTCGGAACTATCTGTCGACTTTCGGGCGGGGCTGCGAGGCGAAGATTTGATGGTTGGAGTTGGCGGATTTCCCAGTCCACTTGCGATATCAAGAAGCACCTTGACTTGGACGCTCAGTCTCCGTAATGATTCGCTAATACCCATATAAATCTGCGCAACCATGTTGTAAGCATCCTCCGCATCCATGGCGCGGAGATTGCGAGCAAGTATCGATGATTTTTCTTGCTGGCTTAGCCCCTGCGATCTATGAGTGGAAACTGACACCATCGATTCGTTATCATCGTCACTGGAGCTGGGCATGTGTTTCCGAATCAGACTTTTCATCTCGCGTAGAACCGCAGTCTTGAAAGAGGTGGCTGCGGGAGTCGTGTGATGTGCACGCGCAAGCCCAGTGAGGTGCAGGCGCAATCTCGACCTCAGCTCATCATCAAAGGACATGTAGGCTGGGGAAGTCGTGGCAGCAGATCGCTGGGCGCCACGTTGCCGCTGAAACGAGGCACCCCAACGCTGGAGGGTCGAGTCTAAGGGTGCGTTTTCGACATGTTGCCTCAAATCACCAAGAAGGTCACTCAAGAAGCGGGTTTCGTATCCACTACCAATCCGGTACCTCAACTGTCCCAGGTCTTCAGATGCTCCCTCAAGGGCTTTTAGTCTTCTTAGGTCGATGGCCTTTCTGGGCTGTTCTCCCGTCTCATCGTCTTCAGAAGAACGTTCGACGACAAAATCTCCAGACATTAGCCTCTCCACTTCTTCAAGGCCATCTGCGGCCTGTTCGATCTCCCCGTTCTCAACCAATTCTTCACAGCGGGACACAGATTGCACGACATCCCGAAGTTGGGATACGGCATCGGCGAGCATTCTGACGTTCTCTCGTCGGCGTCGTAGATTAACGATCTTCAGTCCACCGAGGGCCATTTCACGGTCAATTTTCTGGAGATCTTTTCGCAGAACTTGGATCCGTTTCACCGAGTCAGCAGCCTCTGAATGCAGTTCACGCAGGGATCCTAGAGCAGTGAAGAACGATTTGGACGCAGTTGAGATTGATGAGATAAGGTGGATTTCCACAGTATCCATGTACCACGACAGCTTTTCCTGTAGGATCGCATTGGTAGCCAGTGCCTTTCTCCCAGTTTTGGGAGGCTCCGCCACAATTGGAATGTCCGGTCTATCGTCCTTGCTTGGAGTCTTCGGTGGTGTAACGACTTCGGACTTTTCCGAGACCACGTCAAACGTGCGAGGGTTTTCCAGATGGAAGTCATCCTCAAAGTATACCGGAGGAATCGTCGACAATGGGGTGATAGCATGACCACGACCTCGGCCAGCGAAAGACCGTCTCCGCCCCCTTGTGTCGTAAGGCGAACTTGCGCGGGAAGTAGTTGAAACCCCAGACGCCCGTCGCTCTTGAGATCGCGAAATTAATGACTCGAATTCATCCGGTTTGGGGGAGGCCTTGCCGCCTCCACGCGCTAACTGCGACTCCTGGTCGCCAGACCCCTCCTTGGCCTGTTGAAACACATCGTACAATGACCCGACTTGCGACAAGTACGGAGCGAAAGCCTTGCTGTCCACATGAGGGATATTCGTCAGAGTAACTGGTGGTATATCGCGGGAGCTCGGAGGCTTGTATCCGGACGAGGCTACTGCTGTATGAGGGAGCAGTCCGGTGCGGACGATCGGAGGCTGGAGAAGAGTAGAGATAGCTGCGAGGGGTTAGCTACAGATCCACGACGCTGGCTCTACCTCAATTTCCAGACACGCACCATTTTGACCTGATTCCGCTATCGACCCATGACGCGAAGAAGAATCCAGGATCCCTCCAATGCTTGCGACGGAACTGGCGGTCGACCCTCGTCTCAGGGGGTATCTTTGAGGGAAGCGGGGAGACTCGATCGGATTGAACGACTGCTGCGATAAAGACGGTGTCGACGCCCCCGAGGCTATACTGTCAATCGATTTCCGTGGGCTCACAGAGGACATCTCGCTGATGCCGAATTGGCGACTCCGACAGCCACCGTGCTATTTTGGGGAACACGTTATCTAAACATGACAAGAGGACAAGCTGTAATGTTTCGAGACCAGCCGGCACAGCACCGAGCGACCAATGGTTTTGTCCACCACAGCTTGGGGACGGCGGGGTCGAATGGAGAGGGCGAAAGACAAAGAGCAGAGGGAGATAGATTGCAACGTCACCAGGTGCCCGATTGATACGGGGATTTCCTTTGGTCGCTTTGGAGCATGACAGCTCAGCCCCGATCGGGTAAGGCGCCAGGCCCCAAGGCCACGGGGTTCCGGGGGATTTCGGCGGTTTGATTTTCCGGTGGGTGACCTGAGGCTACCGTTGAGGCCTGAGGCAAAACCACTTAACGCGTCCCGCCGACGCGACGCGCCGCGTTCGTGTTCCCAGCAAAAGTCGATCGGATCGACTTTCTCCCTGGGCGGGCAAAAATAGACAGCCATCCCACACTCTATCCCTTCGCCGTCACCCCCCATTGCAGTCTTCATCATGGACCGGCGCACACCTTTCACGCTGAACTTGTTCGGTGGTAGCACAGATGGCCCCGAAGAATCTCGCACTCAAGTCCAGGCCAGGCTGCGAGAATTCGTCTTGGAGTTCCAGCTGGATAATGCGTTCATCTATCGGTAGGTTTAATGCGTATCCAATTCGAGTCCACGCCAATGCTCATTCTATTGTGCAGTGATCAATTACGGCAGAATGTTCTGGTCAAGCAATATTACTGCGATATCGATATCGCTCACTTGATTTCTTACAACGAAGAGCTGGCACACAAGCTTACCACCGAACCTGCAGACATGATCCCCCTCGTAAGTGGCATGGTTCCAGTCTGGTCTGCTTGTGTTGAATCCTAACCTCAATTCGCTTTCTAGTTCGAAGCGGCTCTTCAGCAATGTACTCAGCGGATCGTATATCCCTCTCAGAGGGACATTCAACTCCCCACCCATCAGCTCTTGCTCCACTCCTCCGCAACTCACATCTCGATTCGTGACCTGAATGCGACAAATATCTCCCATCTCGTTCGCATTCCTGGTATCGTTATCGGTGCTTCTACGATTTCTTCCAAGGCAACAATTGTTCATATTCGTTGCAAAAATTGCGACCACGGCGAGAATCTGTCGGTCGAGGGAGGCTTCGCCGGTCTCTCACTTCCCAGGAGATGTGGACGCGAGAGACAGCCCGGTGAGGGCATCCAGGAACAATGTCCATTGGATCCCTACGTTGTCTCCCATGACAAATGTCAGTTCGTCGATCAGCAGGTTCTTAAGCTCCAAGAAGCACCGGATCAGGTGCCAGTGGGAGAGCTGCCACGGCACGTCCTCATTTCCGCGGACCGGTACCTCGCAAACCGAGTCGTACCCGGCTCTCGCTGCACTGTAATGGGTATTTTCTCCATCTACCAATCCAAGGGCGCCAAGAAAGACGGCGCTGTTGCAATTCGCAACCCATATCTGCGTGCCGTTGGTATCAGCACCGACCTCGACCACACGGTGAAGGGCAGTGCCATTTTCTCGGAAGAGGAAGAGCAAGAATTCTTGGAAATCAGCCGGCGGCCGGATCTGTACGATGCTCTCGCTCGGAGCATTGCGCCTTCTATCTACGGCAACTTGGACATCAAAAAGTCTATTGTGTGTCTGCTCATGGGTGGCTCGAAGAAAATCCTTCCCGACGGCATGAAGCTCCGTGGAGACATCAACGTCCTGCTTCTCGGAGACCCCGGTACCGCCAAGTCCCAGCTGCTCAAGTTCACCGAAAAAGTATCGCCGATTGCCATTTATACGTCCGGTAAAGGTTCGTCAGCGGCTGGTTTGACTGCATCCGTACAACGAGACGCAGCAACCCGCGAATTCTACCTGGAAGGAGGTGCAATGGTTCTGGCCGACGGGGGTGTCGTGTGTATTGATGAGTTCGACAAGATGAGAGACGAAGACCGAGTCGCCATCCACGAAGCCATGGAGCAGCAAACCATTTCGATCGCCAAAGCCGGTATCACCACGATTCTCAACTCGAGAACGTCTGTCTTGGCCGCTGCCAACCCCATCTTCGGTCGCTACGATGACCTGAAGACACCCGGTGAAAACATCGATTTCCAGACAACGATTCTGTCCCGTTTCGATATGATCTTCATCGTCCGTGACGACCACGAACGGGGTCGTGATGAGAACATCGCGCGCCACGTCATGGGTGTCCACATGGGTGGTCGTGGTATTGAGGAGCAAGTCGAGGCAGAGATTCCTGTCGACACGATGAAACGCTACATCAGCTACTGCCGAACGTATGTCCTCGCTTATAACCTGTCTGATTCTTCAAGATAAATGCTAATCAATACACAGTCGATGTGCCCCTCGCCTTTCTCCCGAAGCTGCCGAAAAGCTCTCCTCGCACTTCGTCTCCATCAGAAAACAGGTACATCGTGCTGAGCTCGACGCCAACTCCCGTTCTTCTATCCCCATCACGGTCCGTCAACTGGAAGCCATCGTCCGTATCACCGAGTCTCTCGCCAAGTTGAGCCTGTCCCCAGTCGCTACCGAAGCCCACGTCGACGAAGCCATCCGTCTCTTCCTGGCCTCGACCATGGATGCCATCACTCAGGGTGAGGGCCAAGGAAGCAAGGAGATGATGGAAGAAGTCACCAGAGTTGAGGATGAGATGAAGCGTCGTCTTCCTATCGGGTGGAGCACCAGTCTGGCCACTTTGCGCCGCGAGTTCGTCGACGGAAGAGGCTACAGCGAACAAGCTCTGAACCGGGCGCTCATGGTTCTCCAGCGACGAGACACCATACGGATTCGCTCGGGAGGGTCGCAAGTCTACCGTCACGGAGTGTAATCTGGTTTTTGTTTATTGTTTACTTGATGATATGACGTTCGTGCTTAGTCTTGTTCCGGAGCACGGAACAAGTGGTTTAATCTTACGGGGACGATTGGATTTATTGTTAGATGGACTCGGGCACAGCGGGTTGAACGGTGTGATGGCGTTCTTATTTGGCATTGATGGATATACCACCATACATGAAATGATCACAATATTTCCAACCAACATAACAGGCTTCCCATTCCCACCAGTATATGATATGATATTTGTCCACCTCTGGGATTTCTCGCTGTATCAAGAAGGAAAACCTTTAGATAGAACCTTTAAAGGTAACTAACTTGGACTAAAAACCTTCTTTTTCCCATCAGTTCGCATGCGTATGTTTCTCTCCTCAAAGCCCACCGGGTCTTCTCACAGGATTTCCAGAAACCCACTGTCCACCACCTGCATCGACCCTTCCCTGCTCGTCCTTTCGACCCTTCCCTTCAGGAAATTCATTCCATATCTCGCCGCCGCCTTGGCCATCTGATCCACCCGTTTATGCGCCACATGGTCCGTATGGCCCGGGATCCAATGCAGCTCAACCACGACCCCCAACATGGCCAGTCTCTTCGAGAGCTCTGCAACCATGAGTGTCACGTCCCTCCCCGATCGTCCCTTCTCGGTTTCTAAAACCCCCGTTCCCCGCCCCGGCTGATCCGATAGACTCAGGTTCTTGAGCGCGTTGATCGCATCCTGGCTATCTGAGAAGACGCTTACTTTATGTGTATGTGAGCGTTTCTTCTCTTCCTCCTCTTTCTTTTCTTTCTTTTGAGTGTCCCAGACCGAGTCTGAGTCTGAGTCTGATGATGATGATGATGATGATGATGATGATGAAGACCACTCAGACTCGGCCTCCGAGTCGCTTGAGGACTCCTCCTTTCCTGCATTTCCACGGATCCGATCCCAGGCTAGGCGCAGCGCCGCTCCGATCCCGAACATCTCGAGATACTTGATCTCGGAAACGTCTTGGACTGCGTACCCGCGGTCTACGAAGTTGTCGATTTGACCCTGGGTGCTGTGCACGACGGCTGCGCTTGTCCAGCCCTGGATATTGGTGTTATAAGACCCGTCGACCCAGAATACATGCCATGGGGCACTGGTGCTGGTGTTCGAACTGGGGCTGGAGATGTTGCTGCTGGTGGTGGTGTTAGTGGTGATGGTGGTGTTGCTGGTGTTGCTGGTGATGGTGTTGGTGTTGGTATGTGCACTCTCGCCCTCAAACTGCGTTCGGTACGCCTCCTTCGCGTACTTCAGGGCCTCGTCCCGGGGCTTTATAGTGATAGACCCGTGGAATGCGGGCTGTGAGGGCACCGAAATGGCAAGGGGTTTCCATTTGGTGCGCCTCTTTTTCTTCTGCTGCCGGGCGGGCTGGTCGCTGGTGGTGCTGGTGGTGGAGAAGGCGGAAGGGCTTAGAGATCGTTTTGTGCCCTTTTTTAAAATGCTGGATGAGAGAGTAGCAAGGACTGTGTTTAGTCCTTCTTGTGTTTGGTTTGTTTCGGGCTTGGAGGAGAGGGTTATGGCGTTGGTGGATTTGGTGCTGGTGCTGGTGCTGGGGTAGGGTTTGATTTCAGCCATTATGGATGAGGTATAACGGCCTTGTGGTGTAAAGGCTCTGAGGATGATACCCGATTATCTCGGGGTCGTAAGATAGATAGATCGAGATGTTATAGTTCTTGTGTTGAAGCAAAGTCAAGACGATGTCTTGAGTATGGTGATGAGGGATGTGTAGGGAACTAAGAGTCAGACTGGAAGGAGACGTCCTTTTATCCTTCCCCTCTTTCTTTGCCACTTTGAGGGTAATCATGACGAGATGGGAGAATAAGATGCATATTCAAGTCAAGATTGCATCACCCTGGCGTTGAAGAGCGATGGTTGGAATCCGGCGAAGGGAGCCATCGAGAGAGGGATGGCCGAGATAGTGTTGGATGAAAACATCAGAGGAGCGACCTCCTTCTTTCTCTGATGGAATCTAGCTAGTGAATGTCTATACATCATGGCAGTGTTGTCTACAAACTGATGGGGTCTCCTTGATGGGGTGGACTTTTTAGGGCTTAGGGTGTACGGACGGGTGCATCATGAAGACACAAGACCCTATCCTGGGTGAGTCAGCACTTGGGAGGGTGATCACAGTCTGAGAATCTTCTTGCATAATTCCTATGTTTTGTGTTTGCCGTGAGTGAGTCACAGGGGAGGGGTTTCATACGTAGAGTCGACGTCCGTGTCTGCTGTTAATGGCTAAACAGAAGCCCGGACCTCACGCTACGTCACGGGATCTGACGAACCCTCGTTCATTGAAGGTTGGGCTAGTGAATGCATGTGTCCCTACACGGGCTGTGAATATCTCAGTCAGTAGAGAGAATGGATAAGACACAATTTTAAGATAGATGATAGATAGCGGCCAGTCAAAATAAAACCCTGCAGCCATAGAGTAGGGGACAAAGCATCTGCATTCCCTCTAGATTATCCTAAGCGTCTATCCACACGTCTACTATACAAGCACGTATGCAAAATTGAAAACAGAGAAGCTACACTATAAAGAACTAACGGTGAAGGTGGAGTGCGCAGGTTATAGATGTAGTCTATATCACCCAGGACATGATGGCGGGTAGGGCTAGTTTAGGGCTGGGCGAAGGCTGATAATCCAAGTATACCAGTGAGGCTCTAGCCATCCATTTTGAAGGGGCTCCTTTCCTTATACTACTCTCACAACATATAAAGGCAGGAGTCATCATGTAGGCTCTATGGTGTATGTATGCTAGAGGCAGATCGGATTCCTACTGATAGCTGGCTACGGGGAAGAACACATAAGGGATTATGGGTGGATGGGGAGTGGGCCGGGGTTTACCAGTGGAGAATCAAGCACGAAAAAAGAAAAAAGAAATCATATAGAAAAAGCCGGTAGAGCATGTGAGGATAGATAAGAATATGGAAAAAACAAAAACAAAAAAGAAATGAGACGATGGTTATTCCGATGCGGGGAATCGAACCCCGAGCTGCCGTGTGAGAGACGGCGATGTTAACCATTACACCACATCGGATGTTGTTGAAGAAATCGTCTATTAATAGCTTTATAGTCCAAACCCTTTGTTTTCAGCAAATCGCAGAGACCTCACTTAAGGAATGAACTTTACTTTGAAAGATATGTCTGGTATATGTATCTATCGGACTCTATTCTAATTGCTTGGTCTAGCTCACTTTATTTCAAGGAGCTTATAGTTCCAAGGTCGCTGTTTCTTGTCGGTTGGTTGCCACCACTGTTGTCTATCAAGCATGGTACTTCTTCGCAAGATATAGCGCAATATTGACGATGGAAAAACGTCCACCGTTGGGTTGATCGAACCGGTAACTCGCAGCTATTTCCATTGACTTTGGGAGCTTGTGAGTCAGTTTGTGAGTATTACAGAATTTTCGCCTGTGTGCGTTGACTAAACATCACAAAATCTCTAGGCTCGTCCAAAATATATTTTCCGTGAGGTCCGCTTGTGTCCTGCTCCACGAGAGTTTATTTCTCAATTGGCAACAACTCTTTTCAATTTCGCAACCCAAGAATTTACACGGACACATACAGCTACCGAAACTCACAGTAGACAACTTATTTATCAAACATGAACCGTCGACCATGACCCTGTTCAACCGAGCCCAATACTTGAGCGCAATGAACTATAGAAAGAACCAAAAACCAACCATAGCGGGTACGATAGCTATATTTTCCAATAACAAACGAACTTATGTACATAACTTATTTCAAAGGACCTGGCCACACTTAAAATGGACTGCGATACCTTCGAAACACGTCTAAAGGCTGAGCCGTCTGCAGAATATTCTTCAGCAAAGTCCCATAATCCCAGCCAAGAGCAGCCGCCGAAAGAGCCGTCAAACTGGCCTGATCTTCGCGCCCCGGACGTCCGGGACCAGTCATATTCTGTAAACGATGCCACATCAGTACCTTGGTAGAGTAAAAGCATCAACTAGACTTACCGGCTTCATGTTGATGTCGAAGAGCGCGAAGGAAGAATCCTTGCTGAACCGCCTTATGTCCACCCGGATAGGTGGCGTCGCCCCAATAAGTTCTGCGACCTTCGCACACTGATCCATAATATCCCCAAACGCAGGATCCTTCGCCTCTTCCTCCGAAACGACCCGAGAGTTGGCAGTCACCGCGACAACGCCACTGTACGGCGCAATTCCATCCGCGTGGTTGAATCTCACAACAGGCAAGGTGCTCCAGTGCCGAGGACGACCCGGCGACGGCGGCATGACCGTAATAGTCGCCTCCTCTCCCTCCAGAAACTCCTCCAGCATGACGAGAGGAGACTCCCCAAGCAGTGTCCGCACGTGAGATTTCAGCTCGGCCGGATCAGCACACACCTTGACGCCGTGGCTGCCGCGACCACGAACGGGCTTTCCCACCACGGGATATCGATCGATAGTGGCGGCCAGCTTGTCCAGATCATCTGACTCGCTGACCATCCATGAGCGAGGCAGAGTAAACCCGCCCAGTTCCCGCAATTTGCCGTTCAGGTAGGCCTTGTCGTCGAATTTCTCGACCAGGCTGGGTGGTTGGCCCACGACGTGGAGGGCCGAGGCGTGCGCGTCTAGTTTCTGGGAGGTTTGGAGGGGATGAGAGGAGAATAGGATCGTGTTTGCCCATAGATGAGTGACGCCTTGCTGAACGGCGGAGCAGATGCCCTCTTCTGTGTCGGGGAAGCACCAGCCCTCGTGGGACGACTCCTGCGGGGAACTGCTTGGAGTAATGACGTTGACGCCTTTTGTTCGGAGGGTGTAGGCGATGTCAGCTCCGGAGTCTTGGTAGCCTGATGGGTGTTAGTGGTTTCTGGTTCAATATCCATTTTAACCCCTGCCAGATACGTTGTTTAAAGCAACAATAGAAGAACTGGCGGCTAGGGATAACACCGACACACTTACCTCCTGGCTTCCGGGGTTTGCGGACGCCATTGATGACAGGCGGATCGATGGCCTGATAAAGCAGGGCTACAGTGGGCGTGGAACGACTGGACGAGTATCTAATCCATGCTTTCGTTGCGACAGCTGAACCCCAGCAATGGCGTGATGAGCGCAAAGAGGCGCGGAGGATAAGGTTCGGCATGATGCCGAGGGAGGTGGACGTGCTATCAATTAAAATGCGTGGGCCGTGCTAAGCTGTAACTATTTCAGAATAAAATGAAAGATCAATCAAGCAAGAGGAGCAACGATATAGACAGACAAAACAAATGCGTAGAGCGAGTTGCGATAAATATAAAGCGGAAGAAAGATGAGGGAGACCGACTTTCGGAGCAGTCCGAACTGGCGATCGTTTCGGACCGGTTCCGACGGAGACGGGAATTTACCGCGTCACCATGTGCATAAGGCAATCTGTTGTGCAATTGAAGGACAGCAGGTGCTTTGTCTTAGACGGCAGATCTTCTGATTCTGATTAGTAGAAAAGGACAATGCATAATATCGCGATGTCATACCGGAACCATGCCAATAGAATGGCCAGAAATTGACTGGAGGTCAACTAATGCAGTTTGAACCATTCCGCTTGTCTATAAGTCTATATATAATATAGATTTGTTGGTAGTAAGATTCAATATAATTGGTTTTGGTGCATTGACCTCAAATAGACGGCCAATAAATACTCCTCTTCAACGGGCTTGACATGGAGTCCAACAGCACCGGGCAAGAAAAACCCGCTTATTATTGGGCCACGCGGAAAAAGAAAAAATCCCAAAAAAAGGGAGGGAGTGGAAGTCGTTGAAAACCAATTTTAGGATCCAACATAGATTGACTGCTTTTTAAGCAAAAAAACAAAAAGAAATCGTCAGCGACAGGACTCGAACCTGTGCGGGCGAACCCAATAGATGAGATAGATGAAATCCATTCTAGTCTATCGCCTTAACCACTCGGCCACACTGACTTGTGATACTAGAATGGGTCCATTTTTGACACTATGAGCACCAACAGGCCGACTCACTCAATTACGTTGCGAGTAACATCCATCCACTCCAAGTAAAGCTATAGATCAACCCTACCTTATTCAGCGTCAAAACCCTTTTTTGAGAACAGGCCATAGAAACACCCAGACCCGCCAGAAGTCTGTGACTGTAGTGATTCAAATTTCAAACAAAAGGCAAACCCAACACTGTCACTAAATTAGTCCAAACAGGATAGAAAATGTACTCAGAGTTAAGGGGCCATTGCTTCAACATCCACCTAGTTCGGTAAAGTCAACACGATATTGAGCTGACGCATGAAATTTCTCTTTGAATCTACTAAACAATTAAATATAGCTTGTTACCCGTACTTAAATCTCGTATTTTATAAAAAGAAATATAAAAAAAGGAAAAGGAAAAGCAAAAAGAGAACACTGCCCGTTGCTGGATAAATCATGGTAACTAGCGGAACCTAACAAGAGCATTCCAGCCGACTTAATTAGATGCTTTTCTTGGCTTTGAGTACAAAGCACTATTCTGTCTGAGTAAGCATCACAAGTCAGTGTGGCCGAGTGGTTAAGGCGATAGACTAGAATGGATTTCATCTATCTCATCTATTGGGTTCGCCCGCACAGGTTCGAGTCCTGTCGCTGACGATCTTTTTGCTTTTTGCCCTACCCGGTTTTATCCACACTCGGTCTGAAAAAGCAATGGCAATATAAGCAATTCTTTTTGAAACTCGCGTCAATTTAAATTTTTGTGTCCATGTTCTCTTAGGTTTGACGGTGTCACCCTGGTAGAATACTATCTCTCCTAACCTTCTACGATTCGAAGGAGGATGTCAGCCTTCGCTCGCTATTTCTCCAGTTTAAAACTTGATTCTACTTCAATCCATACAGTTTAATCGTTATTCTTTTTTACTTGGGGCCTGAGTAAATGACATGTAAAGTAGTACATCCATCTGGGTAATGACCTCCATGGCCTACCGCCTAGTCAATATAAACCATTGATATGGAAGCGCCTTCAGATTTCAGCTTCACTCCTTAATTGTGCCATTGAACGAGCTACTTGGGTATTCCACAAACAAAATAAAACGCATGTTTAAAGCTTGATCAACAAGCACATTTTTTTACTTTCCTCGAACCCTAATATAATGATCTCATTCAAATTCGAGTAGAAAGGCTTCAAGCCCAAGGTCTAAGGTCTAAGGAATACCAGCCCCGACATTGATATTGGCCCCGTACACTGGCCGCGAGTCTTCACTTAAAAGCCACACAATCGTTCGAGCTACATCATCCGGCCCAATAATGTCCAGACCCCACTTCTTCCAAGACTCCTTCAGCTGCTCATCCGTCTTTGCCTCCGGCATAAACTTGCCCAGCATGGGTGTCATCGTGGCTCCTACTCATCAAATCAGCATGGCATGCCCACACCCCCAAGCACAAAAAGCAACAAGTCAGACGTATACTCACCTGGCGACACCGTATTCACGCGAATACCAAACGGCGCCGTATCCTTGGCCACACAGGCCGTGAAATGTGCACACGCCCCCTTTGACGTCCCGTACGCAAACACATCCGGAGCATGCATCTGGGACGCCACACTGGCGACATTGACAATGCTGCGATCGCCCTTCTGCCCGTCCTTCATGGCCCGGACCTGCGCCTTCGTGGAGTAGAAGACCCCGTCTAGATTGACGCTGAGGATCTTCTTCCAGGCATCCTCGGCCTCTTCGAGGATATTAGGCGCCTGGCGGACCCCCGCAGCCTGAGGAATTCCAGCGACGTTGGCGGCGCCGTGGAGATCCCCGAAGGTCGATACGATCGTCTGCACCCATTTGTCGACGGCGGATGAGGACGTCACGTCCAGAGAGCTGCAGTGGACTTCGGTGGAGGGATTGATCTTCTTGATGGAGTTTTTCAGATCGGTGAAGTGTTGTGTGGATAGGTCGCCCACTGCGACTGCTCCTGCACCGCGGTGGGCGAGGAGTCGGGCAGTTGCGGCGCCCATGCCGGATGCGCCGCCGGTGATGGCGAAGATTCTGGACGCCATGGATGCCATTGTGAGGGGTGAAGGTGTGGTTGGGAATTGATTGAGTGGTGGTTAGGGCGAGAGAAGAGCGAATGGTCTGTTGAAGCGGGGTTTCTCTGCTGTGGTGTCACAGTGGAACTCGTCTTGGTGCCTCAGAACTCCTTTTAAGGTGAGCTGTGTAGCATTTACTTTCGTCGATCTTCCCATCGGCACCGAGCCAAGAGCTGCAGACCGTGACATCCGGCATCCGTCCAGCTCGGAAGACGGAGGACTTCGGCCTCATTATTCAGTGTCTTGGCGATCACCTCGGTTGCGACGTATATCAATGTTTCCCCGCAGGCAGCCTTGAAGAAAATGAAACTCAGATACACTTTTATCCAAGTTATGCGCGGAGTCCTGTTAGGAAAGCTTGGGTAACCGAGGAAAGCGACGATCTTCCCCGCCGCAAGCTGCATGTCCGACTAGGCCTTCCCTGCCATCGAGAGGGGTTTTCTGGGCGCAGGTCATCGCCGTTACTTTATGCACGCGTGTGGTGTCATAGTGGATGATCGATGGAGGGGCATTGATGCAGTGGCATGATCACCCCGAGATAAATAGCTGGTTGCAATTGGGACTGGAGATGCATTGCTGCTCTCGACAACCAGCGTTGAAGTACTACTGCTAAAATGACCGTCACCGAAAAGACCTTTCCCATTCCTACTCAGCTGTTTATTAATGGCGAGGTTGGACTTCTGCCTAATCCAATGAGAAGACTACTTGCTGACTGAGATAAGTTCATCGAGTCGAGCTCCCCTGAACGATTCTCTATCTACAATCCAGCCGATGGCAGTCTCGTCACCGATAAGATCCAATATGCTGTAGCTGAGGACGTCGATCAAGCGGTGCGCAGCGCTCAAGCTGCATTCCGCAGCAAGGCATGGGCTGGAATCACATCCCAAGAACGAGGTCGCATTCTGAAACGCATCGCCAAAGCCATTGAAGAGAACAAGGAGGAGCTCGCCTGGTTGGACCGAATCACCATGGGCAAGCCCGTCACCAATGGCGTGGGTGAAGCACAATTCACAGCCGATATCTTCGAATGTGCGTGCATACCCACCCCTCTAGCTATACCACCTTCAGCCTGTAAACCAGATACTAACGTCCCACACCAACAGACTACGCCGGCTGGGCCGACAAGCACGCCGGCGATACCTTCCCCGCCGACGACGGATTCCTCAAGATCGTGCAGCACGAGCCGCTCGGCGTCTGCGCCGGCATCCTGCCCTGGAACGGGCCCATGGCCACCATCGCCTTCAAAGCCGGCCCGGCCCTAGCCACCGGCAACGTCATGATCCTCAAGCCGAGCGAGAAAAGCCCCTTCTCCGCTCTCCGCCTCGCCTCTCTCCTCACCGACATCCTACCCCCAGGAGTCCTCCAAGTGCTCAACGGCGCCGGAGCCACGGGCGAGCTCCTCGCGCGACACCCTCACATCCGCAAAATCAGCTTCACGGGCTCCGGGCTCACCGGCAAGAAGATCCAGCGCGCCGCCGCAGAAAGCAACCTGAAGCGCGTCACACTCGAGCTCGGCGGCAAGACACCCGCGGGGATCTTCGACGACTGCAACCTCGAAAACGCGGTGCAGTGGGCCACGAAGGCCATCACGTCCAACTCGGGCCAGATCTGCATCGCCGCGAGCCGCGTCTACGTGCAGGAGAGCATCGCGGAGGAATTCACCGCCGCGTTCGTCAAAAGCATCCAGGCCTCGGCCACAGACATCGGCGACCCCAATAGCAGCGAGACCCGGTTCGGACCCCTCGCTGATAAGGCGCAATTCTCGCGCGTCCAGTCCTTCTTCACCGAGGACGCGGGCAAGACGCAGATCCTGACGGGGGGCAAGCAGCACGGCGAAACGGGGTACTTCTTCGAACCCACGGTGCTGTATAACCCGGACCCGCAGGCGGCGGTGTACAAGAATGAGATCTTCGGGCCGGTGGCGTGTGTGCGCACGTTCAAGGACGAGGAGGACTTTTTGCAGATGGCGAATGATTCCGAGTATGGGCTTAATGCGGCGGTATTTACGAAGGATATTAACCGGGCGATGAGAGTGAGCTCGCGGCTGGAGAGCGGCACCGTGGGTGTTAACTGCGTGACTATGCTGCATTATCAGGTGCCGTTTGGGGGATCGAAGCAGTCGGGCTTTGGGAGGGAGCTGGGGGCTTATGGCTTGAAGTCGTATACCGAGCCGAAGTCTATCTACGTGAAGTAAGTGTTGGTCTGAGTTTTATTTTATAGGATGATGCTAACAGTTCATAGTCTGAACAGCTAGGTTGGTTCTGGGTCGCGGGGAATATAGCGAGGAATTTTGTTAACAGGGAAACTGTCCACTTGATTTAGTCGGTTATTGTGCATAACGTTAATTGAGCAAGACTTTGAGATTCGACCTTACTCTTCAAGATCAAACAGGCATCCGCAGTGAATCATTCCACCCTCATACCTCAAATGTAATCTTCCAATACTCTAATTTCTTAGGTGATCCCCATTGCAACATATTATTCTCAACCCAATTCTTTCCCATATATCCTTCCATCAATACCAAGCTAACTCAGCATGTTGAGCCAATCCACCTCAACACCACAAAACCCGACCCAACAAACCTTCTACCCCAAATCAAACGCCATCTTCCCTCTCCCTCTCGCCCTCACCCCTCCTCGCCTTCTTCCTCTTCTCCAGAACCGCAGTCCCACTCGTCGCAAGAATACCCGCAATACAGAACCCAACGGCTGTCCAGTTTCCCCCAACCACGCCAGGCTGATCAACTGTCTTGAACACAGCCAGGGGACTAGACAGCCGCGTCAGTGAAGAGTAGGCATTGATAAATACCAAGGATGGCATTCAACTTACATCGTTGCTCCGAACACGGAACTCCAGAGATTCAGACCTCCTGAAGCAAAGGCTCGGGTTCCGGGGTCGCCGCTCCTGGATTGGATTGCGTGTTGGTTAGTATTTGCTTGGGTTAGATATGTTGAGGGGGTGATGATAGTGTTGATTAGGAGGGTGTGACGTACAATATGTCTTGAGCCCAGGCCCAGAATAATCTAATGTGCATATCGTGAGTACTGTGCTTGAGTGGAACGGTCTGGTGTTCCTTAAGGTGAAGGGGGAGAAGGAAGGGACGTACGTGCTCGACGCCTCAAGCCAACCAGTCTGGTAGTATAGAAACCACCGGAAAGTCTTGGGATGCGGGAAGACGGGCGTCGTGGCGAGCAAAATGCAGACGATTGCTTGGATGGACGATGCAAGGATGAGCATTGGCCAGCGTCGGCCTTTGAGCCATGTATCGCCTTTTTGCGCTCCTTTGTCAACAGGATATAAAGACAGAATGTTAAGAGAAGGAATGAGGCTTTGACATACTCGAGTAAGCGAAGCATAAGTCTAGGACAAGCGTTATGGCGTAGACAGGGGTAACGTAATCATCTGTGGTGGTTAGCATTGGTATTTATTGCTGTGGATTTGAGGATGGGTGGGTGATTGATCATACTGATCTGCGCTACGGTGAAGGATCCAGGCTCTCGTTCGGCCCATGCTTGGAACCAGTATGCGATGGAGTTTGTGGGTTGGCCGCCGATGCCGTTGGCTCTGTAGATGTATACGTTAGGTGTGGATTGGAAATGAGAGGGAATTCTGGATCCGTACATCGATATTACCCACAGGAGCCAGATCTCTGGTGTCGAGATCCAACGAAGAAGCTGGACACCGATCAAATTTGGACTCAACGGAAGTGAAAGCTTTCTAATATTCTCAATGACTGGCATTGACATACCTGCTTTCTCGTGAAACGCTCTTGCTTGACATTTCCTTCCTTGGGGATTCGCGCCCTTGCGAGCTCAAGTTCCTGAGCCACTTCAGCAACAGGGTTACTTTATACAAGACCAGGGATAGAGTTCCTTTACCTTTTCAGAAAATATGTGATCCGGCTTCATGCGAGCAGGGACATCTAAAATTGCGTAGAATCCGGGCAGAGTGATACCCAGAGACAAAACGCCATCGATGATGAAGGCCCACTGCCAACCTGCCATTCCATTCACGCCCTTTAGGCCGTTATAAGCGGCCGCTATTCATGCGTTAGCATGATAGGGGAAACCAGTGATGAAAACGGACATTGGAAATAAGAACTGTACATAGGACCGATGTGCACTGCGCAGTTTATCAAAGCGACTCTCTATAGAAAAGCCAGTTAGCTTTAAAAATATGGTATAGACTAGTAAATTACCTTGGATAACTCTCTCTTCTTGTACCATGCTCCGCAGATATACATGACTGAGGTTGAGACTAGGGTTAATTGGAAATTGAAATGATAAGTGATCGAGACTCACAGGCTGAAAAGTGACCACTTCTTTGATTTAGCATTTTCCACGCAGAATATACCAGGGAACTTACCATTCAAATATCCCAACCAGAACTCGCAACACATACATCTGCGTGGGCGTCCGCATTGCTGCTTGGCAGAATGTGCAGATTGACCATCCGAGTTCGAGAGACCTGAGGCATTCAACCGTTAACTGTACTCTGGTCAGATTGGAAGACTGTATTCCACTTACGGAATAAAATATCGCGGATTCATTCGAGTCATTGCGATATTTATTGGCCAGATGGCGAGTATCTGAGCAACAAAGTTAGTTCAGTCATAGAGTTTGGGAAGAAATCGACGCGACGGCATACCGAGGCCACTGAGAAAGCTGTCTGGGAGGGTCGTCAGCTTTAGATACTTGTTAAAGCTTCTGTACCTGAATAGAAGCTTACGCTGGCATAATTCATCTCCTGTAGTTCAATCAGCAAGGGATCTTCAATAATGGAGCCACAAGCTGGATACATACGTTGCCGTAGAGTTTCAGGTCTTGCTTCATGCCGGATACGAATGCATTTGTCAAGTTTGATCTGAAGATTGTGAGAATTTATTTAAAAGACCTCAGCACGACGAACCTGTCAATGTGTTTGATGATCGTTCCAAGGAAACCCATGAGTGTAAGGCAGAGATCGGCCTAGTCGATTATTAGCATATTCCTGTATGGTTTTGTTTGTTCGACGTACCTTGAAAAGCATGCGGCGTTCCTATGAATCTGTCAATACTTGCGTCAATTGCTGTACAATAAAAAAAGAACAGACATCAGGGTATCTTTCCCATTTGCTTTTGACATAACCTTTCCATGTTGAGGCTTCCCGTGAGATACTAGATATATCCTCATCTCTCGGTGCTGCAACACCGATGTGAACGTTGTCTGTCCCCATATTGTTGCCGATAACACATTTAGGTATTCAACAATTCCGACCAGATGCATTCACTTGCAAATAAATACCCATCCCAGAAATCAAATGCCGAAGCCGAAGCTAGATCCACTTATTACCTTGAGCCCCCATTCTAACAGGTCTGCAACCTGACCAGTCCCCTGCCATACTCCCATCGCAATGGTCTCATAGCAATCGAAATGGTATCAACACCCACTTCGGCGTTTTATTCGGTCATTGCATGATTCAGCAGGCAGTAGATAGCTTATCAGATGGGGCTAGGTCATGTGCTGGGTGATGGCACGAGCTTGACAGCCAACCGCTACCGAAATGTATGTTGTCATCCCGACTAAGATGGCATTTCTCGGCTGGGGTGCTAGACTCGGTGTTTGGTCATCCTGCGTTTTAATAATTCCGTGCTGCTAATGTCGGCGATTAAAGGCTTTCTAATATGCTGCTTTATGCTCGCCATCTTAAAGTTTCGCGATTGGACCGTTTGAATTGAATCGGTCAATCTGTCCGCTCAGATGGACCGTAGCAGACACCGTAGTTTCTAATCGGCGATTGATCATAACTTGTGGGATAATAGCTTTGCCGTATGTCTGTCGCAGAAAGATGTTCTGGTATATAGTTGAATGGGTTTCGTGTCTATCTAAATCCCCAATTCCTATACCCCGCATCCTAGAGAGCCAACAAAGATACTAGACCAGAAACCGCCAAAATGACTCCCTTTTTCGAGCCATTCGATCTTCCAAACTCTCGAACTGTTCATGGCCACTCATTCCCACTAGGTTTGAAAGTAGCACCGAGCTCCCAAGCTGCATCCCTCGCAGAAACCACCACGAAGATCAAGCAACTTGCCGCCGACGGCGTAATCAGGGATCTTCTCACCAAACGTATAGTACCCCCTCCCCTTCCCAAACCCACATAATCCCATTAACCAATACATACACAGATGGTGCAATCCTCTTCCGCAGCCTCCCCATAAAGAACTCCACCGACTTCTCCGAATTCACCGAGGCGTTCAACTTCAAAAACCCCCATCAGGAAGTCGGCCTGTCGGGCAAACGATCCGTCGTTGAGAAGAACGTAAAGACAGCCAGCGAAGTCGCGCCGGATAAGAAGTTCTATTATCATAACGAGTATGCGCGCAGTGCGCATCATCCGGAGATTATCTTCTTTTATGCGCAGATTGTTCCTGAGAAGGGTATGCCCTTGCTTGCTCTGGAGGTTGAGATTAAGGTGAATAGTTTGCATTTGCTGATTTATTTGATATTTGATGGAGCTAGGTGGCCAGACTCCGCTCCTGTCTTCTCTCGAGCTGTATGATCGAGTTAAGACGGAGATTCCAGAGTTCTACGATGAATTGGTTGCTAAAGGTAAGTCGCGAACTAGTATACCAGTCATGGACGTATTCTAATCGATACCAGGGATAATCGGCCAGCAACACTACCCATCCCCAGACGACCCAGACTGGCGAGAAATCGGCTGGAATTGGAAGGTACAGTTCCCTACCTACCTGTACCCATCATCTTCCCTCTAAAACGTACTAAATAAACCCAAAACCAGGACTCCTACGGCTTCACGATCCAAGAAACCGACTCCCTCGCCACCCAGCGTCAAAAGGTCGAAGACGTCCTGCACAAATACCTCGGCGCCACTGCCTCCTGGCAACCCGACGGATCGCTCCACGTCCTGCAACATCTCCCCGCCATCCGACGCGTCGAGTCCACCGGAAAAGGCACCTTTTTCAACGGCCTCGCGGGGACGTACGGCAACGCGAAAGACAACGGGGCGCTGGAGCCGCCGCATCGGAATAGCAACGGCGTTGGGTTTAAACTGCCGACGCTGTTTGGCGATGGGAGTCCCATTCCGCATGTGTATCATGAGCGGCTGATCGAGTTGCAAGATCGGATTGGGTTCCTGGTGCCCTGGGAGGAGGGGGATGTTGCGTTGGTGAATAATTTTACGGTTGCGGTGGGTTTTCTGTTCTTTTTCTTTGTGAGTGAGGTCTTGAGGGTTGTGCTGACTTGATTTTGTTTCTAGCATGGACGTACGCCTTGGGAAGGGAAACGGAGGCTTTTGGTGAGTTTGTGGGATGATGTTAAGGATTATAAGGATTATTGAGGTGGTATGTGTGGCTAGCCTGTAAAGCGTTTTATCTTTGACTGGTCGATTTTATGTTGAAATATGCCATTCAAAACAATGATAGTCTCTAGTCGGATACTACATCTAAAAAGAATCAACATCTAAAGCTACTTTTCAAGAGATTAAATGGTTTAAAATTATTTGTAAATATTGAAACTGAATAAGATACAGCATAGATTTCGCTTTATAAGAGAAGTGGTCGTAGAATCTAAGGAAGTGAGTCATTCGATGACCAGCATGAGCATCATAGTTATCCAGGGTCTTTCCCTCACAAAAGATCATGACCCCAGAGCACTTTCCATCCTGTATTCACTCTTGAACCTATTAATTCACCCATCCCCGGCCAAAATGGACTTGGCAGCCAACCCTCTTCCTTTTGCCCCTATCACTTCTACTGAGGTCTGCTACGTTTCTGCATCTTATCCTTCGTACAGTGGAGAACAAACAAGGTCCCGCTCAAGGAGATCAAACAGATCCTCAAGTGATGAGGACCCAGTTACAGCATGGGACGGATTCATAGAAGAGGACTTTCGCGCCGGAGGGCTCAATCTCTGCGAGGGGCCTTGCGAGACTATCCACAAAATCCCAAAAAGCCACCCATACTACGATATCCTGGCTGGTTCGGACAGATTCGATCTCGAACTCGAGCTTTTCCGCCTCGCACGGGAAATAAACCCAGAGATCACTGAAATCCACTTCTGTGGCAGAAGATCGCTACTAGAAGTGAACCAAGACCCCTCCCTGACTGTGCTCTTCTACGGACAGCGCCATCTAGACACCACGCGAGGCTGGATCGATATTGCGAGAAAGGTTCGCCATCGCTTGCATCAAAGGGGTCTCGAGATGCAGGTAGAGATTCTTGATATTCGGTTCTGCCAGCGCGTAATGCCCTTCCCCTGCTACCCTAGCGATGCGATTTTTCCTATTTGGGCAGACGTGGTGGACAGAATCCTGAGCACACTTGATGTATCGGGTATCTATACAATAGGTTGCTACCGTATAGGAAGTGATGATCGCCAGAAAAGCTCGCCAACAATCCTAGTCGGCATGGACCGGAAGCCAAATCACAACTGGAAGATCTTTCGAGAGGATTTGGTGGGAATCCTCGATCATTTTGGACTATCGACAGTTGCCATCCTGCTGAGAAAAGAAACCAGCATCCTCAGAAATGGTGATGATGATGTACCAGCTTTTACGTACACTCCGGTCGCTGCCAAATCTACAAGGGAAGTCAATCTTGGATGCAGTCTTTGTCCTAGCCAGCAAATACAAGGTGGAGGGACTTTTAGTGGCTGGATAGAGCTGCAAAACCCTGACAACGGCGCCTGGGAGCCATTCGGAATTACATGTACCCACTGTGTTCTACCTGATGACAAGGTCCTTTCAGAAACCCAAAGACCGGGTAAGAGATCTTCTTCAACCTACATATATCTAGCTCGTGCTAAAAAGATCATAGCAGTCGAGGAGTGGAGACGCAATGGCGTCCCATTTGCAGATGCCAAGGCAGCCGAAATCCTTCTTATGGACTCCCCCAGTCGTTCTGAGATCAAGAGAGGAACCGGGTTTCTCACTGGTTTGGAAGAACATTATACTAAGAGCCCGACCTATCAAAGAGTCCAAAAGGCAAAAAGAGAAGATGATCTCGTTTTACCATACGAAGAGAAAGCTTGGAAGGAATCGCAAACTCAACTAAAAGCCTACAGAGACGAGAAAGAAGCCCTAGAGCAATTTATTAAGAAGGGCTACCTCTACTTGGGTCATGTTATGGTTGCCTCCGGCCTTCAAGAAAGGCCCAAGAAACTCGAGTCGTTGCCTTCGATTGTTGACTGGGCGTTCATCAGGCCCCTTGACCGGTCTGTCGGTACTAATGACGTGAGTCAATAATCTTTCCCTTGATATACTTGTATCTGACAGTGCTTAGATTTCCCTGGCCGGCCCCCTTCATTCACTGACAAGATTCGTAACCCAGGAGCTATTGGCTAATGAGGAACTGTCCAAAATTGGTTCCGTGGCAGGCTTGACTCGGGGCTCTTACAATGGCCTGAAAACAGCGATAATTAGGACAAAAATCATCAATGGACAAGAAGATAATGTTACGGCCTGGGCACACACAATCACATCCGGCTCTTTGGAAACGGGGGTTGCTAAAGCAGGTGACTCTGGCTTTCTCATCTTCGATGCTCTTAATGGTGTGGTCGGTATGTGCTTTGGGGGAGCGTACGCAGGCGACATATTATATTTCACACATACGTCCGACCTGATTGAGAGTATTCGGGAGGTCAGTGGAGCTACTCAAGTACGTCTTCGCGTTTGAAGCCTTTACAAGAGACGTTTCGTTTTCAGTATGGCTGGACATTGTGCGCGAGCTTACTGGGTTTTGTTGTTTCTTTCGCTAGACTCGCGGGAATGTCACGCAATCGCAATGCTCTGAAAGTGCTCAAAGTAGATTCTATGATAGCTATCTTCCATCTTCCATTCCACTATAGCTTCGATGTAGGCTGCAAGAGATGCTTCATCTCAGCATTCGGGTACTCCACGTTCTGGGATGAATCAGGTCGCTGTCTATCCCAGGCCCATTTCTCTGCCAATTCCGGCTCCAGTTCGCCCTCGAGCATTTGCGCGACATACTTGCCCAGCACGGGGAAGAACTTGTAGCCGTGGAACGAGCCGCAAGTGGCGACGTAGAGGCCCTTTGATGCCGAGTGGGGCGAAATAATAAAGTCAGAGGTGGTTGTGAAAGCGTCCCTTTTCAGTGTCAGTAGGTACTTATCAATTGTCATTTTGTTCAAGGGATAGAGGCTACTCACCAGCAAATTCGGTGCTTCGTCATCTCCCAGTCCGCGCTGGCGGGCCCGTACCATAGATTTCGGGACTCGATAATGTCCTGCTTCAGTGGCCCGGGGACCTTCCATTGGTTGTAGTCGAAGGTCGAGGGAGGCGAAGAGATATGACGACCCGGGACCACCTCTCTTGTGTTTGTAAAGATCTTCGAACCCCACCACTTGAGCTCTTTGTCCGCAGTAGGCGGGAGGCTGCCGATGAAGGGCTTGCCTATTGGCAGTTAGCGACTGTAATGCCAGTGTCCATGGATCCGGGGATATCAGAAGACCTTACCCTCTTCAGGTGTGTAGCCCTGGAAGCCGACAGGCATGTCTTTATACTTCTCGTACTGCTCCTCATTGAGCTGCGCCATTCCCGTCGTAATACCCGCGGCCAGGATCCGCTCTCCAGCACGAAGACCAGGGTTTCCGCTCCTCAAAGCGCTCCACTCCAGCAGCGTGGGCGTAAAAGCGCCAGCAGCGACGATCACACGCGTCGCCGACAACACCTGACCCGATTTCGTCTTGACTCCGGTGCAAGAGCCCCGACCATCGAATTCCAGCGCGGCAATGTCAGCCGTCACGTACTTGACGCCCAACTCGAGACACCTCTTCGTGACAGCACGCAGAGCATCCCCAGCAGCGGCCCAGCCACTGGCCCGGTTGATAAGAACCTCCTTGACACCGGTGTAGTCCGCGTTGTCGAAGATGCCGCCATACAGCTTCCGCGCCTCGGCGACCGGCAGGGCAATGATGTCGTCGTCGCGGCCGAGCTCCTTGTGGTTGGTGATGACGTTTTGGGCGTAGCTGCTGCGACACGTCCAGTAGACGCCGGTCTGGTGGAAATACGGCTGCCAGAGCGGATCGGATTTGAAGATGTCTTGCGCCTCGAGGGCTAGTTTGCAGTACACTTTGTCGTCGTAGTCGGCGCGGATCACCTTGTTCCAGTCCCAGGATGCGGCCACGCGAGAGTCGGCGTCGTATGCATCGCGGTCTACTAGAGTTATCGAGGCGTTGGGGTATTTCTGGATGAGGTGGTAGGCAGTCGAGACACCGAAGACCCCGGCGCCGATGATGAGGTAGGAGGGGTTCGAGGTCATCTTCAAATGAGTTGGGCTATTGGGGAGGTGATGGTCAATTGAGTCTCGACCGCTTTTAAGATTGAGGGAATGAGAGGGAATTGTCAATTATGTACTTGGATCTCCAATTGCCGAGCAAATAGACCGCTTATCTGTCAGTCCAGACTTCAACCAACTCAATTGACCGCGATTTTGGTTCGTGCGGGGTTCCTGCCTCGTGCCAAGATAAGAAATGCGGATATTTCGATCTGGAACGCACGAATCGTGGCGAATCGAGAGATCGAAAACTGGATGCGGAAGTCCAACACAGAAGGGGCTGGGGCGGTATTCACATCTACCCCATTTTATTCTGATAAAGTAGTTCTCTACCATCTAGATTATGCCCGATCCGGGAATGCGGTCCCTGCATCCCGGGAACTCTTAGCAGTTTTGGGTTATCCTTCTGCATCCACCACACACCGCCTCGACAACGTTAAAGTGGTTTCTCTTGGGTTTTCTTTATATTCCATTTCTGTCGCCTGAGGTTGCTCGACTCTTTCATCTCCCGCAGTTGGTGCCGATTGCGGTAGAATAACCAATGTCTACCTCATTTACCAGCTTACGCTCTTGCGTGTGAATTTTTAACTCAGCAAACTCCTCCGGATGCACTTCATCTGAGGAGCGACAAATGCGAAGGCGAGAATTTTCTTCTTTCCAATGATAGTACCCGGTCAATGCTTGCAACCATTGGCATCGTAAAAAATGCCAACTTTGGGATAACCCGGGATCTTGCTCCCGGGATTCGGACCGGGATCAGAATGGCTTCTCTTCACCCGTGGAGCAAACCCCGACCCGGTGACTCACATTTTTCAGTGTGCAATTGTGAGCTTGACCATATATAGTCAAGAGCGGGTTGAAGAAGTCACTTCAATACTGCCAGTCACCCACCGTGAATTGAACTACCCATCTCTTCCATGCATTGAACAAAACATCCCGATAGTCGAGTCTTTCGAAACCAAACCACACCAGACCATACAATACTCCATCTCAACGCAGTCGCAGTCGCAGCAATGACACTGACCCTCTTCATCGCCAACAAGCGCTACTCCTCATGGTCCATGCGCCCTTGGATCCTTCTCAAAGCGCTCGAAATCCCCTTCGAGGAGAAACTCTACTTCTTCAAACCGGGCGCCGTGCAGCAAGACTTCCTCTCCTTCTCCCCAACAGCTCAAGTGCCCTGCCTCCATGATTCTCCCGCCTCGATCGTGGTCTGGGACTCGCTCGCCATCTGCGAATACATCGCCGAGAAGCACCCCCAAGCCTGGCCGGATGACGTTGCTGCTCGTGCGTTTGCCCGCAGTGCGTCGGCCGAGATGCATTCCGGGTTTGCCGAGTTGCGGAATACATGCCCGATGAATGTGGCAATGGAGACGGAGCTGGAGATACGCAGCGAGAGACTCCAGAAGGATATCGCTCGGCTGAATGCATTGTTTGAGGAGGGGTTGACGAGATTTGGCGGGCCGTGGCTGGCCGGTGAGCGGTTTACGATTGTCGATGCGATGTTCGCCCCGGTGGCTTCGCGGTGCAGGACGTATGGCATTAAGATGGAAGGGGGAGCGGGAGAGTACCTGGATCGGTTATTCCAGCACCCTGCGGTGCAAGAGTGGGTTCGCGCCGGGATCGAGGAAGGAGCACGGCATTATTTGGCATAGGCATTTGTTGGACATGCTGAGAGCTATGAGCCCTCGAAATGGTGCTGGAAATAGCTCTGCGGTTCTCGCAAATACATCTATCTAGTTCAGAACTGTCAGTATTAAGTGCTACATGTAAAATGACTCCGGCCAGTTATAGACTAAGAAATAATATTAAATATCTATCTCAAAATGACTGACGTATGAAAGCCGCCGGTAAGGTAGGTAGAGGACATTGGCCACACCAAATGTCGATAATGATATCCAGTCGAAATCATTGGACAGACGCCTGGGAAGCCTGGAAGCCAAGAACCCCCTTGCATGTTTTCCAGGCACCAATATGTTGCTTTCTTGCTTCCCCATAGCATTCACACATCGAACCTACCTTCTACGGAGCCCATCAAGTTGTTGTTACCTTCCGAGGTGGTCTTCAAACAGAAGGTGTCATGTTCACGATTCTCAAGCATATTCGTCGTGACTATCAGAGACAACACCTACATTTTGAAAGTGGTCGGTGTACTCGGATCCAACGCTTAAGGCTTAGTCTCCTCTCTGACACTTCGCAGCATCACGGGCGAGGGCCGAAACAGTATTATGAGTCGCCCGATCGTGAGACCGACCCATATGCCTGTGAGGCCACGGCATACAGAAGACTTCAAACCCATGCAATTTCCGAGAGCGGCCTAATCCCTCGGTTTTATGGGTCGGTAGATCGTCTTGACCTAAAGCTCTACTAACCGCACCTTGGTGCGTTCCTGAAGGATGAATATCCCCCGAGAGGGATTCTGTTGGAGTATATTCCCAACATGCGGCCATTGCATTGGACAGAATATACGAAGCAGCGAATGGAGAACTTCATCAGGGTATTAGGGACATTCATAATGCCCATGTTGAGCATAGCGATGTTCATCCGAGGAATATGATGGTTGTTGACGGCGATCCCGAAAGGGCCATCTGGATTGACTTCGACAGGGCGCAGACATTTGATGCTGATCAGATATCGGAGCTACAGCAGGGGTGGATGGATTTTGAGACGGACTTGGTGACTGAAATAGATGTTTTCATGGTGAGTACTATTCAGTATATGAACGCCCTCATGTCGGCACTTGCTGACGCTTGACGTTTGACTACTTTTAGGAGGCCGATTTCAAGGAGGGGCGGATGAATTGCACAAGGACTTACTATCGCTAGAACGTATTAGTCCTGTGATTGCAAACCATTTTCAGGTATTTTCAGGGAGTTGGGAGAATAGTTGGCTACAGTAGTGTAACCGCTGGCAACAGAGTCTGAATTACGCGAAGAAAATTCTATAGTTGTGTCCAGTACGCCATACAGAGAAAATCCAAGCCTTGTGCCTGAGTCTTGATCTTTAAAACATTTTCATTCAAACCGAGTATGCATTCTGCTACGGAGTACTACAGTTTATAGATCCATCCAGAGAACCCGAAGCAGTTAGTCCGTTGCAACGCCAGTCGGACGAGACCCCACCGAACCCCCGCGCCCGATCCTTCTTTGCCATCCCACCATCTCTCCTCCATAAACCAACTTACGATCAATTGATATTTCACGAAGCGACGAGCGACGAGGGACGCAGAATTACAATCCATAACCATCGCATTCCCTTTCTCATCTCATTAAGCACCCGTCCGTCTTCCGATTCCGAATCGATCGCCCCGCATCCCCGCGTTTCACACCCTACGATTTACGATCTACGACCCGCGACCATGGCTCCTACAATTCGTGTCATCGGCTCTCTCAATGTCGACATGGTGTCCGTGACACCTCGGTTCCCCGATGCCGGAGAGACCATTACTTCCTCCTCGTATTTCATCAGCGCCGGTGGCAAAGGCGCCAACCAGGCCGTTGCCTGCGGACGACTATCCCGCTCGAAGAACAACGCCTTGCCGGCATCCGGCAAGTCACCCGTCCAGGTGGAGATGGTTGGTGCGGTGGGAGGCCTAGACGGACACTTCGATGCGCTGCTGAAGCCGACGCTGGAGAAATCAGGCGTCGATTCCTCCCGCGTCCGGATCATCGAGGATGCGTACACGGGAGTGGCGGTGATCGTTGTCGACGAGTCAGCCGGAGGCGAGAACCGCATCTTGTTCTCGCCCGGAGCGAACTACCAGGGCATGAAGCCGGAGCCGCAGGTGTTGGGGACAGGGTTGGCGGCCCCCGTGCCGGACGTGATTGTCATGCAAGGGGAGATCCCCACGGATACGACGATTGGGATTCTGCGCGAGTTGGCGGCCTTCAAGGCGAAGAACCGCGCGGAGGGCAAGCGAGGCATTGAGGCTGGCCCGGACGTCATGCTTAATCCGGCCCCTGCGCCCCCTGGCGGCCTGCCGGAGGATGTGTATGCGGCGGTCGACCACTTCATTATGAACGAGACGGAGGCAGAGCTGATGTCTCCGCCGGCCGAGCAGCTTTTGAAGGCCGTCCCGGACGCGGAGGGCCAGCCTAGCAACGAGAAGGTGGCGCGGTATTTCCACCAGCTGGGGGTGACCTACGTGCTGATCACGCTAGGGTCCAAGGGCGTCTGGTACAGTGCCACGGACGCCGGGACCTCCGGCCCGGCCGACGGGGCCAACCGATTCACGAACCAGCTCCCCGCCGCCAAGGTCAGCCAGGTGCTCGACACGACCGCGGCCGGAGATACCTTCGTGGGAGCGTACGCGGTGGAGGTGGCGCGTTGGCGCGAGCAGCGACGAGCAGACGGCAAGGCCGGACAGGACGTGACGGCCGAGGAAAAGCCGGCACGCTATCACCAGGTGATGAACGAGGCCACGGGGTTGGCGACACGAGCGGCAGCCCGCGGCGTCGAGCGGCGAGGAGCGATGGACAGCATTCCGTGGGAGGATGAAATCTGAGCAACGGCTGCAAACAGGAAGGACCAGGCTGAGTGAGTTGTCATGAATGTACAATATTGCATAATGGAGTGGACTATAGAAATAGAACGACCCTGAAAAGTATTTGCAAACTATAATTATCGCGAGACCATGATGTAACCCAAGCCGAGTAAAAAAAGACAGCAAATGACCAAGCGAGGACCAGAATAGCGCGGCGTCAACCTTGCTGATCACCAGTGGCGAGAGCCAAGAATGTCTTGAAGCACAGAGGCAAAAAAGAGGACGCGAAGAATGGAATGGGGCGAGACACTCTATATTCCTCCACCCATTCATTCACGGTCCCGAAGCGCCACGAGACCCGCGACAGCCCTGGATGCGTCCGGGCGCGTAAGATGCAGCAGACCCGGTGTCTCGACCGACGACGACCAGGCCCAGTTCCTACAGAAACCGGGATGAAGATGGATTCTACTGCGTCGGATTACTATCTTTGTCTCCTCGCGGGGGGGCCCGTCGAACCTCGCAGCGTCTCAGTTTCACGTCGGGGGCACGAAGGATGAAACATAGGCTGGGGAGAGACGATGCACGAACAGCCTAATCAACCTAAAATATCCTTCCCTTGAAACTAGACACTGTCAATCATCAGTTGTCTACGGCAGACGGTCGCGGTGGGAATGCAGCCATCGCTTGTCTTCCGGGGGAATGGAAAACGCCGGAAGGGAGCAAGCAACTACGCAGTAGATGCAGTGGTGAAACATGGGATGGGCCTACGTGTTCGTGTTCGAGTGATGGACACGCGACGGACGGATGGAGTCAGACGGTCGGCAAGGAAGGAAGAAGGAAGGAGTCGAGGGAGAGACAGAAGAAAGGGTCGTGAGTCGTGACGGGACGCGTTGAGGCGTTGAAGGGGCGACGGATGATGGCTTCATCCAGTAGAACAGAACAATTGAGTTCAATGAATTAATTCCATGGGAGAGATTGGGTTTGTCAGGACGAGGAATCATTCGAAATCGGCATTAATTCGAGGAATAATGAAACCATGAAGAAATGATCCAGAGCAGAATTAATTAATCGAATAATGACCGACGCGCCTTGCGTCTCCCCCTCCGACACGCTCGACGCGCGCGCACTCGTTCTGCCGCCCGTTCATCATTCATGCCGTTCAGCCTTCATGCCTTTCCTGCATGATTCCCTGCCCTCATCATTCTCTCCATTACTTTTCCCCATCCGTTCTTCCCTTGCTTGCTCGCTTCTTTTATATCCTCGAGTGCCGCCGCCGCTGTCTTTTTCTCCTTCATCCCCTCTAGCACTGGTGTCGAGGTGTGATCGTGTACTGTACATTCAACCATCCATCCATCCAATCCCACTGCCACTACTCCCTGTCCCACGTCGATCAGACAATCCGACAATCAGCTCTTGTCCTCCGGTCTTCAACTAGTTCTGCACTACTCGTTATACTCCTGCCAGACCGCCAATCATCGCCTCCCCCACTCCCGCGCGACCAAAACAATCCCGTCGCCGGCTCTGCCTATCATCCTCCCTCCGTCTGCCTGTTTTTCCTGATAAATAAATCCCGTCACGTCCCTCAATCCCTCTGGAAGTCGCGTCTGTTGCCCTTCTTCCACCATGGCCACCCTCACCATGACTTCCACTCCCGTGCGACAGCCCTTTGCCAGCCTGGATGCCCCGCGGGTGCGCTCCTTGCTCAAGACCAAGATGAACGTCCAGAACAAACAAAATGGTATGCCCGCGCTAATCCCTTCCGATCGACATGTCCTGTACGAGTCTGCTAACCGGCGTGATCTCAGGTGCTCTTTTGACCAAGCGTCAGCCACTGTCCGACATTGACTCCGAGAACGTCGACCCCGTCACCCTGAACCACTCCTCGAAACGCAAGCGTGGTGCCGATGATGAGGACCACGAGCCTGTCAAGGGCCCTTCCAAGCCTCTCAAGGCTTCCCGCGTGGCGCTCACCACCGTCAAGTCATCGCCTGCGCCGCTCAGAGAAACCCCCTCGACTCCTAAATCCGCCCCCACTCTGAAGCCTGCCGGTCGCTCGCCGCAGCCCAAGCCCTGCAAGCCCTTCGCTCGTCGCTCGACCATCGCCAAATCCCGCGTCGATCCGACCTCCAGGAAGTCTGTCAACCGCCCCTTCTCTATCGCGACCGCCCTGTCCAATGGCAAGCCTAAGAGCCAGCCCGCCAAAACCCCTGCTTCCTGGTCCTTCGATATCTATGTGGACTCGGAGCAGGAGGAAATGACCAACCTGATGCAGCATTCGACCGGGGTGTTGGATATCAGCGACGACGAAGGCAAGGTGGAGCCGTGCACCCGGGGGAAGGAGAACATCCCTCCCGCGGAGCTGGGCCTCTCCCTGCCTCGCTCTCGTCAGCAAGAATCCCCTGCTGCCGCGGCCCGGAAATCGGTCATGATGGAAGAATCCCGCGCCCCATTGGGTGAGCTGAACACTGCCGACTACTACGGCGAGGACTGCCACGCCTTTTCCTACGCCATCATCTACGACGAGGAGTCCGCCGAGCCTGAGGACAAGAAGGCGGATCCCGTGCCGCGAGCCTCAGGCAGCTCCCACTCCACCCGAAGCAAGCTTTCCAGCGTGTCTTCCATTTCCTCCATCCTAGAGGCGACGGCGCCCAAGAAGCCTGCCGCCGAGCCTACCGAGCACACCGACGCCGAGGTTGAGATCTGGGAAAGCGGAAGTGCGGCGGATGAAGCCGAGAAGGACTCCGACTCGACCGCTTAAACATCTCATTTATCTTAATGACTTCCAAACCCGGCGTTGAAAATCAGGCGTGCTCGGTAGACAAACCAGGCGGCGTTTCATGAGACATCCTCGCTCGGAGGGTCTGTTCTTGCGACTTGTTACTCGATACCCGATTCTTTCCTTTGTTTTTTGCTACTTTCTTGACCCCTCCGCTTGTTGTCTCTTATTCCCTTTGTTAGTTCGATTGGTTTTGCTGGACTGCATATTCTACCTATCTCCTTGCCTACTCCCTCTATCTTACCTACCTTATATACATATACGAAGACAACTGTCAGTCTTGCGCCCTTTGCTTTGTGGTCTTCCGTTGGAATCTTGATTCATTCATTCGCTGGAACGATGCCATGCCATGCTATTTTGTACTATCTAATGATCGAGAATGCGTTACGTCGATGATGCCTTACGATGTATATACATACCATCTCATAATTGATTGATTATCAAAACTCGGGTCTCGAAACTCGTAGGATATATTTAGATGCTAAGGTAGCTATAGCTGTCGACCTTTCCCTTTCGCTTTCCTTCTCTCCGTCTCGTCCTCGACCTCCATCTTATCATCATCATCCTCCTGCTCTTCATCCTGCGGCTCCTGCTCTCCAATCGCCGCATTCACCGACTCCGCCGCCGCAGCCGCCTGCGCCTCCAGCATCTCTTCCTGCTCAATAGCCTCTTCCTCACCTTGACTTTCCTCGTCCTCCTCACCAGGCCCCACACTCTCATCCTGCCACCGAACTCTCCGTCCCGAAGACCCTTCTCCACCCCCCTCCCCGGAACCACCCGCACTCTCCCTCATCTCCCTCCCCATCTCCTCCGCCTCCCTCGTCTTCTCCTTCCAACTCGCCGACCCCTTCAGCATCGACCGCACCTCCGTCGCCAGCGCCAGCTCCCGCGGACTCGCCTCCTTCGGATTCACCGCGAACTTCGCCACCAGGTCCTCGAGGTCCCCGTGGTCCGGGAATGCCGCTATTTTCGCGAAGTCTGCGTCGTCTGGCACGGTCCCGTTCAGGAGCGCGATGATCTTGTTGCGCATGATGGTTTTGGCTTTCGCGAGTGTGCCGTTTCCGAACCACCCGTCCGCGACGGGGTCGCATGTTGCGCGGAGGAAATCTGGGGCAGGGGAGGGGGGGAAGAGGATGGAGTGGATGAGCGGGTCGGTGATGTCGCAGGCCATCCAGATGCGGCCGTCGACGTGGAGGGGGAGCGTGCCGGTGAAGATGTGGCTGGAGCTGGAGGGGGTGGTGATGGGGTCGGTGCTGGAGGTTGGAGTGTTGTCGTTGGGGCGCGAGAAAGTGTGGCGACGGCCGTGGCCGGCGTCGCGGGCGATCTCGGGCTCGCGAGGGATGAGGCGGAACATGACGGTTTGGTAGATGCGGTAGGACGGCGAGGTGCGAGGGTCGTGGCCGAATTTGATGATGGCGTCGCGCCAGGGCCCCGAGCGGAAGATGTACCCGACGTAGGGGATCGCGTGGCGCAGGAGGTAGCGCTGCTCTGGCGAGGTGATGTGGTTGCGGAGGCCGCGGCGGGTCCAGGCGGGGCGGTCCTGGAAGAGGGATTCCACGATCGTGATGGTCTCTTGGAGGCCTTTGTCGAGGGTGGCGATTGGGGGGAGGGTGTCTCGAGGGCCGGAGGGGACCGTGGGGATGTCGTAGGAGACGAGGAAGGTCATGATTTTGGAGGCGGTTTGCGTGTTCACGGTCGTGATGTTGCCGGAGGTGTCGACTGTTTGGCGCACGGTGGGGTTTTGGTGGTATCTGTAGGGGTTAGTGTCTGGTATGTGTGTCGTGGTTGGCATGGACATACATGTAGCTGAATGGCACGTCGCCGTGGCTGAAGGATGGAGGCGGGATGATGTCGACGTTGGATATGGCACCTTTGGACATGTCCAGGTCCCATTCCCTCATTTTGTCATCTATAATTAGTTAGCTTTCAATAAACTCGGCAAATGGACGAATATGATATGGTCATACAATCAAACGACAAAATCTTCTCCCGAAACCGATTACTGAACTCGCTGGCCGTCGTCGAAAACACAAAATCTGGCATTCCTACAAAAAGTCAGAACGTCACCATCCTCTATCCCCATAAACTTAGAACGAGAAAACAAACCTCGAAACACATGCGTCCGATTGATTGTCCCCACCGGCTCAACCTGATACCTGCCCACGTTATCACGCAGGGTCCTGGCCAGGTACTTGGCCCCGGGCCTTTGCGGCTCCCGATGAACGGTGGTGACAGGGACACCGGAGAAGGGCTCATCGGATCCCTTCTTGCGCTTGCGCCCCGTCCGCTTGGGCACGGTCACTTTCAGCAGGACGTTGCTGGACGCCGAGCTGGTGGACTGCAGGGGCCTGGACATGGCATCCTCCGGCCGCAGGAGCAGGTTTGCGGATGTATCGGCCTTTGGGGGATTTAGGATCTATGCGCATGTTAGATGGAAAGGACCTGACCTTGTAGGGGAGGAGACTTACCTTTGATATGCCTGCGTTGCCTTGCAGTGTGTCGATGGCCTTGTCGACATCTTTGATAATGGCTGGATGTTCGACACTGACGAGGTGTCGGGGAGGCACGGGGTAGAAGGGGGCGGTTCGAGGACCATGCGGTTCTGACGCTTGGTTGGGGTCCATGATGACTTTGATGAAGTGGTATACTATTTATTAAACCCCGAAGAGGTTGGGGATCAGGGGGTTTGGTCAAACCACTATATATCTCACTTGAAATATATTTCAGAGGGCTAGAACCTATTAAAATGCCCCGGTCTTATGATGAACGCAGCATGACCTTAAATTTTAAGTAAATAGAAGGGAATGGGCGTCAGAAAAACATATACTGCTCAAGTTCTATCAGAAGACCCAGTATACCGGCAGAAGCAATGCAATTATGCAAAGCACTGATTCGGAGGGATGGATGAACGCATGGAAAGAACCGCTAAATCTAGATCGCTTGCTGCTTTACGGCGGGTGCAGACTGCATCACGTGGCTAAGGCGGCACCGATCACCTGACCACCGTCTCCTGATTTCCCTCCAAAAGAACTCCTTGGCAAAGCAATCTGCGGCCGACAAGCCTTACTTCGCAATGTGCATATGGAACTGCATCCCTGGATGCAACGTTGGAGTCTGATTTCTTTTGCAATGCCCTAATTTGACGAGATCAGGAGATGACAGACTAGTGCAATAGTCTGGTTGTAGTATCCAGGGGAAAGGAAGTTTAATTCCAAAGGACCGAGTGCATGTGCTTGTTGCGCTCATGTCTACAGTCACGATATTCAAGAATCATTTCAAGGCCAGGTCGTATACGGAGTACCGACCGCCATGTACTCTGTACCTCTGGCCCCTTACTGGTCATCTACCGGTTTGGCCGTTGGTGAGGGTAAATTACCGTGGGTTTACGGGGTAGTTCTGGATTAACTAAGATCGGACGATATTTATATCTCGAAAGATGGGGAATTCCACGGCGAGGGAAAAGCAGAAAAGAGTAAAAATAAACCCGCATGTAGAGCTTTACCGGCCAGACCTTCGCCGTATCTCGACGTCGCTGTCGTGCGTGCCGTGTCCCTTTTGGAGGACGAGAGATGGGGAGACTAAACCGAGTCCCACGACTCCCACGTCTGAGCGTTCCCCTTCTCTCTCTCTTTCTCCCTCTCCCTCTCACTTCGCTCCCCAAGCCCCAAAGACCCTCGCTCCCTCGACGTGCCGACCGGATTTTTTGCGTTGCGATCGGACAGTCTATAATTCCCGACCTATTCTTGGGCCCATCGATCCTTCGATCCGATCCCCTTTCCTCCCAATTCCCTCGAACCATCATCGTCGCCAGAATTCCCGGGGGCTCTTGCACCCCACTTCGTTGCCAACCAGCCGCTAAGCGACACGGAAGACGATCGTCTACCGCAGACCAGACCGACCGACTTACGGGCTGCTCCTATACCACTACGGTGTTTCGCGCCTAAAGCTGGACTGACCGTCCCTTCTCCTCCCACTTGTCCCTCTCTCTCTCCAATTATTCTGAGGTAAGTCCACATCAACTCGTCTGCTCCTGTTTGTCTTGCGCCTTTTTGGGCCGACCGCTTTTTGTTTGCCTCCCCCTCCCCTGGTGCTACCTCATCGCTGGCTGGCTCGCTCTACCGCCTCTCACCTCCCTCTCCCTCTTGTCTGGCCGGTGGTTGAGGGTGCTCTCGTTTCGTTCTCTTCCTCCCTTGTGGTCTTGATTATCTTGCGTCTTCGAATTGCAAACCAGACCTTCCCTTCCGGCGCCTTTTTCTACATTGATCCGATTCGAGCGCGATGGCCTGCTCTGTTCTGATCGGAAATGCTCATGTGGTCGTTCCCAGGCCGACATAAACAACTTCCCCGGCGTGCCTCTCCTGAAACCGCCTCTCCGCCTTGCCCAACACTCAACCCCTCCCGCTAGTGTGCGGCATCTGGCTGTACTGGCTTTCAGTCTCTCGACCGAGTACATGTGGCTGTTCGAATAGGCCGCGACAATGAAGGGCTTCAGACAGAGAGTGGTGAGTCGGTCGCTTTTCAATCGTCGGCGTCCATGCTTCCCCCCGTTCCGTTCTCCCTTCTGCCCCCCCGCGTGGGATCAATCAGAACGACAACGCCGACTGTCTCACCTCCGACATCCGAGCTGACCCTGTCCTTCATCCCAGCACGAGCAGTTGTCGAGAGCAAAAGATGCGAATAAATCCTCCAAAAAGAAAGACGCTCAGAATCAATCGTCGCTGGGGATCCATCAAGGCCAACAGTCCTCGTCCCCAAACCAAGGCACCCCGACTTCCTCCTCGACGTCCGTGAACGATGCTAGGAAATCGCCGGATAATGCTGCGCAGGCCGGGTCTTACCCCCAGGGTCAGTACTATGTTCAGCAGGGTGCGGGAGCGGCCGGCCAGCCCGTGAATAATGGAGCCCCAGGAACTCCGACGAAGCAGGGACAGCAAATGGCCCCCAGTGTGGTTATTAGCCCCAGTGCGCCGGTGAGTATTCGTCCGGTCCCCCTCTATCCTTCCTGATTCTCCGCGACCGGTAATCTAACCGTTCCGTCTTTTGCAGCATGTCCCTCCTCCCGGTGCCGCCGAGACGATGCCGGGAGATCTGGCACCCCCGAGGAAGTCCCACGTTTTCGATCGCCTCCAGACAACGCCCAAGGATATGTCCGAGGGTATTCGGACCCCCAAGCGTCAGCATTCATCGCGATTTGATATCTCCGACCAGCGTCAGCGGGAACTGGAGAAGCTTCCTGGATTCCACGAGGTGCCCCCTAACCGGCGCCAAGAGCTATTCATGCAGAAGATCGATCAGTGTAACATCATTTTCGACTTTAACGACCCCACTGCGGACATGAAATCCAAAGAGATCAAGAGACTGGCGCTCCACGAGCTCCTGGATTACGTCGCCAACAACCGCTCGGTCATCACCGAACCCATGTATCCGCGGGTGGTGGAAATGTTCGCCAAAAACCTGTTCCGACCCATCCCTCCTCCTGTAACGCCCCAGGGAGAAGCGTTTGACCCGGAGGAAGACGAGCCGGTTCTGGAAGTGGCCTGGCCTCACATCCAGGTTGTGTATGAGTTCTTCCTGAGGTTCATCGAGAGTCAGGACTTCAACACGAACATCGCCAAGGCCTATATCGATCACCATTTTGTGCTCCAGGTATGTTACCGAAAGCTCTCGCCTAGATTCGGACTGCGACTGATACTCTTATGTAGCTGCTGGAACTGTTTGACTCCGAAGACCCTCGGGAACGCGATTTCCTCAAGACCACCCTGCATCGTATCTATGGGAAATTCCTGAACCTGCGGTCGTATATCCGTCGATCCATCAACAATGTTTTCTTCCAGTTCACATACGAAACGGAGCGATTCAACGGTATTGCGGAACTCTTGGAGATCTTGGGGTCAATCATCAACGGGTTTGCTCTTCCTCTTAAGGAGGAGCACAAGCTTTTCCTCACGAGGGTCTTGCTGCCCTTGCACAAGGTGAAGAGCCTCAGCATGTACCACCCTCAGCTGGCCTACTGTATTGTCCAATTCCTCGAGAAGGATTCGTCTCTAACGGAAGAGGTATGACTCTTATCCTGTTAACGAAAGATCGATGTGCTCACTTTGGTAATAGGTTGTACTCGGACTGCTACGCTACTGGCCCAAGGTTAACAGCACAAAAGAAGTCATGTACTTGAACGAAGTGGAGGATATCTTTGAGGTCATGGATCCGGCCGAGTTTGCTAAGGTCCAGGAGCCCCTGTTCCAGCAGCTGGCCAAGTCGGTTGCAAGCCCACACTTCCAGGTTAGTCTTATCTTTAGTGTTCTAATTTGCTTTCCGTGCTAAACCATCTTGTGCAGGTCGCCGAGCGAGCACTCTACTTCTGGAACAATGAATACTTCTGTAATCTGGTTAGCGACAATGTCGATACCATCTTACCGATCATGTTCCCTCCCTTGTACGAAAACTCGAAAGGCCATTGGAACAGGCAAGTCTTCGAAGCCCTTCTTGACCCTCGCCCCGCAAGGTCTAACTTCCCTTAGAACGATCCACAGCATGGTGTATAACGCTATGAAAATGTTCATGGAGATCAACCCCCAACTTTTCGATGAATGCTCGCACGACTACAACGAGCGACAAAATAGCGCTGAGCAGCGTGAACGAGCCCGACAAAGCCGATGGGAGAAGGTCGCGGAGCAGGCTAAAGATAGACAGAACGGCGTTGCTCCGCCTCCACTATCGTCGACGACGGCGGAGATCCCGGTTCAGGTGGACGAGGTTGACTCCCTCACTAATGATAGCCAGAAGCGTCTGCATGCCTTAAAGTTGGATGAGTCCGGTACGCCAACCGAGAGAAGGGCCACCGGGGGATCGGTAAGTCCTGCCCTATTCTGACCGTGCGCGCGTGTGGTTATTTGTCATGCTTTGACATCTTGCACCTCGCCGAGGAGTCATTTTGTCCCCCTTGTTGTCGTTATTCATTGCTAAGAAGTTGTCGATTTCCATGTATAGCAAGCGTGATTCTAACGTCAAACGTCCGTAATGCTCCAGAGACGGCGCCGAGGTTCCATCGATGGTCCCAGGAGGCGAAGAAGTGGCAGCGGCAGTGAGATTCGACCGCGACGAAGATCGGTTGGCTCAGGTGCCGTAACGATCTTGTCACGAAGCAACTCCACCAAGTGACAATCGAATTTATGGCATTTTTTCTCGTTAGACTTTCCACTACGACGGCATTAGCGATTACGAGCTGCGATGAAGTATATTTGATTCTTCTTGGGTTTTGATCCAAATCGCTTGTTCGTCTTATTTATTTATCTTCCTTTTTTTCCTTTCCCTCCATTTCCTCCCCCATCTTCTTTTCACGTTTTCCTTTTCAACATTTCCCTTTATTTCCCTTTTGTGTACATGGCTTTCAATATTCTTCTCTCCGCGCGCAGGGTCGTATTGAGCCCCTGTTTCTATGTGGACGTTTTAAGTTGGACTACTAGAACTGTGTTCGGGGCTGGAAAACGGGTGCGAATGGCGTTTCCCTCGATCGATATTGAAATCGATGACCTCATTTGAGTTTTTACACATGAAGTATTTACGGCATAGCCTTGAACCAGACTCAATCCTTCTGTTTTTTCCTTATTACGTAGCAGACATGAGCTTTGGCCTCTTTTTTTCTTTTTCTTGCCGCAGCAGTGGGACCACGTGCCCCGGTACCTTGTACCTGATCAGACGACGCGGTGATAGGCCCCGTAACCGATGCGCGGGTGATAGACGCGCGCCAGGCGGAATGGAGAATCAAAGACCCGGAATTTCCTCTTCAGGACTAGCGTTCTTGTTCGGGGTCTCTGCGACACCCGCGTTCTGCTCTGCTGCTTTCTGCTCATGTTCATTTGCAGGCGTGATTTTGCGCGCATTCACTCTTGACCTTGAGATACCCCATCCCCCCACTCCACCTAGGGGGCCTTCTAAACTCCGCTCTTTTACTAACTCTCCTTCCTTTCCCTCCTTTCCTTCTAATTGACTTTCGCCCCGGTGGGATTAATGAATTTACGACCGTGATCTTTCCCGTTCGCTGTCTGATGAAGCGTCTTTCGCCGGTCGAATAGTGGAAAACTCCGCCTGTCGCTATCCCGCATGTGAACACGACGTATACATAAGACTGTGCTGGTTTTCGCTTCCTGGCCGGCCCCTTGGCCTGGCAGTAATTCAATCCCGTTATACTTGCTGAGAGCTCCGAAGGAGTTGCATCAACCATGGAGCGAAACATCGATATCTATGCCAGCAAGCTGGCGGATGAGAAGCTTGGTACGTTCGGTCTTCGGTGACTTGGGACGAAAGGTTCAGTCAAATGCAGATCGTGGCCTCTCTGTCGATTTGATCTTTGGAAGCTCTTTGTTGCTTACGCTTCCTCTCCACTTAGATCTCAAACTCCGATCCAATGTCGCACTTGAATTACGAGACAACATAGAGCCACTGTGCTCCGGTGCGAGCTATCCCATATTTCTCTCCAAGCTATGGCCCGTCTTCAAGACCATCTTGAAGGGCGAACCCGTCTTTTCGAGCTCGTCGTTTGAGCAGGTCCGTTGCGACCCTCTCCCCGCTTCTCATATTGCTGTCGGATTCCAGACTGACTGTACCCTCCCTTCCTTCCATAGAAATTACGCAATTGCGTTCTCGAGACCCTTCACCGGCTACCAATGGCATCTCCCGACGTCGAACCCTACGCTGCGGATATGGTGGATATGTTGATGGACCTGGTTCGGATCGAAAACGAGGAAAACGCCGTTCTCTGCATGAAGACCATAATGGACCTGGAGCGAAATCAGGCAAAGGCGACCGCGGCTCGGGTACAACCGTTCTTGGAGCTCATCCAGGAGATGTTTCAGACGATGGAGCAGGTGGTTCGAGACACATTCGACACTCCTAACCAGGCGACTCCGTCGGGGATGCCCTCCACACCCAGTGCAACCGCCCAGAACTTCCAGTCCCCTCGGCCAGCTTCACCCGCTGCTTCTGTTTCCGACCTCGGCCCGGACCAGCAATCAAGTAACGTCTTGCTCAAAGGCATGCAATCGTTCAAGGTGTTAGCGGAATGTCCCATCATCGTTGTCTCGATCTTCCAGACCCATCGGAACTCGGTCGTGGCGAATGTGAAGCTTTTCGTACCGCTGATAAAGAGTATTCTGCTGCTGCAGGCAAAGCCGCAGGAGAAAGCGCACGCGGACGCCGCAGCTCAGGGCATGATCTTTACTGGTGTTTGCAAAGAGATTCGAAATCGCTCCGCCTTTGGCGAATTCATCACGGCGCAGGTGAAGACAATGAGTTTCTTGGCGTACCTTCTAAGAATGTACGCGCACCAATTGCAGGACTTCCTTCCCACACTCCCGTCGGTCGTTGTACGCCTTCTTCAAGACTGCCCCAGAGAGAAATCCAGCGCCAGGAAGGAACTTCTCGTCGCGATCCGCCACATTATTAATTTTAATTACCGCAAAATCTTTCTGGAGAAGATCGATGAACTCCTCGATGAGCGGACTCTCATTGGCGATGGCCTCACCGTGTATGAAACGATGAGACCCCTCGCTTATAGCATGCTTGCAGATCTGATCCATCATGTCCGAGACCATCTCTCGCGCGACCAGATCCGCCGCACTGTTGAGGTGTACACCAAGAACCTCCACGATGATTTCCCCGGCACGAGTTTCCAGACAATGAGCGCGAAGTTGCTGCTCAACATGGCGGAACGGATATCCAAGTTGGATGACAAGCGCGAAGCTCGCTACTTCCTGATCATGATCCTCGACGCGATCGGTGATAAGTTTGCCTCGATGAATCACCAGTTTGACAACGCTGTGAAGGTTTCGAAGTCATACAAAGAGACCAAGAAGGATATTGAACCGTCATCGGAGAGATACCTCGCAGACAAGGACCACCCGCCGGACTGGGACGAGATTGACATCTTTTCGGCTTCTCCCATCAAGACTTCCAATCCTCGCGATCGAGGGGGAGACCCGGTGTCCGACAACATCTTCCTCTTCAAGAACCTGATCAATGGTCTCAAGACCATCTTCCACCAGCTCAAGAATTGCAATCCCGATCACATCCAAATAGACCCGAACAACGTCCCGATAAATTGGTCCGAGGTCTCTTTTGGATACAACGCCGAGGAAGTACGGGTGATCAAGAAGCTTTTCCATGAGGGTGCTCGAGTATTCAAGTACTACGGTGTAGACCAGTCTCCCCCGGAAGTGAGCTACTCCTCTCCGTTCGACTTCCTGGCTAGCCAGTACACCGCGCCAATGTCTCGGGAGGAAAAGGAATTGCTGGAAAGCTTTGGGACCGTCTTCCACTGCATCGACACCGCGACATTCCACGAAGTCTTCCATTCGGAGATCCCGTACCTTCATGAGCTTATGTTTGAACATGGTGCTCTTCTGCACCTGCCTCAGTTCTTCCTTGCCAGCGAGGCCACGTCCCCCGCTTTCTCTGGAATGGTGTTGCAGTACCTCATGGAGCGCATCCACGAAGTTGGTACTTCTGACATGACGAAGGCGAAGATCTTGCTCAGGATGTTCAAACTCTCCTTCATGGCTGTCACCCTGTTCTCCGCTCAGAATGAACAAGTGCTGCATCCCCATGTCACCAAGATCGTCACCAAGTGCATTGAGCTTTCGGTGACGGCGGAAGAACCTATGAACTACTTCCTTCTGTTGCGCTCGCTCTTCCGCAGCATTGGTGGCGGCCGCTTTGAGCTGCTGTACAAGGAAATTCTTCCGTTGCTGGAAATGCTGCTTGAGACTTTCAATAATCTATTACTCGCAGCCAGGAAGCCACAGGAGCGTGACCTGTATGTCGAGCTGACCCTAACTGTCCCGGCCCGTCTCAGTCATCTGCTGCCTCATCTCAGCTATCTCATGCGCCCTATCGTCGTGGCGCTGCGTGCGGACTCAGATCTAGTAGGACAAGGTCTCCGGACACTTGAGCTATGCGTGGACAATCTGACGGCAGACTACCTGGATCCCATCATGGCTCCGATCATGGATGAATTGATGACAGCACTCTGGGACCACCTTCGTCCACATCCGTACAACCACTTCCATGCCCACACGACAATGCGGATATTGGGCAAGCTGGGCGGCCGCAACAGGAAGTTCCTCAACCATCCTCCGGATCTTTCATTTGAGCAATATACGGATGACGCCCCGAGCTTTGACATCAAGCTCATCGGACCTAGCGAAAAACGACCTTTCCCCATCGGAATTGGTGTGGACCTAGCGATTGGAAAATTGATGGAGTCTCCTAAGACCGCTGAAGCGAAGGCGTCTGACGTCTACTACAAGCAACAAGCCTTCCGTATGCTCTCTTCCCAGCTGAAGCTCTATATTGGACATGAGAGCCTTCCGGATGACCTTGCATCGCTCATTCGCCTGCATGCCAATGATCTTTTCGAGAACAAGACTACCGACATGGGAGATATCATGGATAAGTCGGACCGGTCAAGCTCCATCCCGAAGAAGCTATCCCAGGAGGGTTCCTTGAAGAAACTTATCAAAGCCTGTATCTTCGCTACTACCATCCCAGAGCTCCGGCAAACAGCAAGTACTTTCGTCGCCGAGACGTGCAAGCATTTCGCCATTGTCGAGGTAGGCCGAGCACTGGCTCAGGTTCGCCATACCAGAAAGCCCTTCGATGTTTCCAGTGGCGAAGGGCCTGTGTACCTTGACTCGCGCGTCCTCGCTGAAGCTGTGGTTGAATGTCTGTCCTCCGACAACGCCGAGGTTCGTGATGGTGCCCAGGCCGCGATGCAAGTCATGAAGGATGCAGCAGCTGTGATGTTTGGCACATCGGAGCGAGTATCAAAGTTGCCTTTCTTCCAGCACTTGGGTCGTGTCTTCTGTCACAGCTGTCACAGTGAGGAGTGGTTTACGAAGGCTGGTGGTAGCCTTGGTATTCACCTTTTCGCGACTCAGCTAGACCTGGGTGACACATGGCTCTTCGACAAGCAGTCCGAATTTGTCCGAGCTTTAATGTATGTGATCAAGGATACGCCCGCCGACCTTCCGGCGAGCACCCGCGTCCGAGCACGAGACACCCTCGACTTGATTCTACGAAAGTGCTGCAAGAATGTTTCCAAGGATGACATGAAGAACGAGAAGAGCCGTTTGTATTCTCTGTGCGGGTTCTTTGTGTACGAGCTCTCGCATATGAACAAATTTGTCCGCGAGGCCTCTCGTCGGAGTTTCTCGACCATCGCTGAAGTTCTTGGATGCCAGCTCCATGAGCTAATCTTCCCTGTCAAAGATCGCCTACTGCAGTCCATCTTCAATAAGCCTTTGCGAGCTCTCCCTTTCTCAACGCAAATTGGCTTCATCGATGCGATTACATTCTGCCTGGGCTTGCACAACAACATCGTGACCTTTAACGACCCGCTTAATCGCCTGATGCTTGAATCTCTCGCTCTCGCCGATGCCGATGATGACTCTTTGGCGCCCAAGCCTAATGAGTTCAAGAATGCCGAAATGATTGTCAACTTGCGGGTTGCTTGTCTGCGCCTCTTGTCGATGGCGATGAGTTTCCAGGAATTCGCCAATACTCCTCAAAACACGAGTCGTGCTCGCATCATTTCTGTCTTCTTCAAGTCGCTCTACTCACGATCTCCTGAGGTCATTGAGGCGGCAAATGCGGGCCTCAGAGATGTTCTTACGCAGACCAACAAACTCCCCAAGGATCTGCTGCAGAATGGTCTCCGCCCTATCCTCATGAACTTGCAAGACCCCAAGAGGCTGAGTGTCGCGGGACTCGATGGACTCGCTCGATTGTTGACCCTGCTCACAAATTACTTCAAGGTTGAGATTGGTGCTCGTCTCCTGGACCACATGAAGGTGATTGCCGACGATGCTCTCCTGCAAAAAGTTTCTTTCAGTCTTGTCGAGCAGAACCCGCACATGAAGATCGTGGCTGCTATCTTCAATATCTTCCACCTTCTCCCTTCAGCCGCGACCTCCTTCATGGAGCATTTGGTGAACAAAGTCCTGGACCTTGAGGAGAAGCTTCGCAGGACTTCGAATAGTCCCTTCAGAAAACCGCTCGTCAAGTACTTGAACCGTTACCCGAAAGAGAGTTTGGCCTTCTTCCAGGCTCGCTTCAAAGAGGAACGATTCGGGCGCTTCTTTGGCCAGGTTCTTGCAGACCCAGAGTGCGAGAGTTTGCGCGCTGCAGTTGTTGCTGATACCGAAGGATTCATTTCCGCCGCCTTTGCGCAAGATGCGACGGACGGCAAGAATACCGCTGCCATCAATGGAATCTATGTGGTGCACTCCATCTGCTCGTTCGAGTCTACCAAGCGCTGGTTGGTCTCGCATGCGGATCTGAGGACCAAGATTTTACATTCTGGACGTGACTTGGAAAGGAAGCTGCGCAATGATAAGTTGCCCGCCAACGAGCGACTAAGAGTCGAGCAGGCAGAAGATCAGTTGATGGATGTGTTTACTATCTATCTCGGAGAGTCGGTCCAGGACTTGGACTTCCTTTTCGAGGTGATGGATGGCTTGTCTGCCGATGAATTGAAGCGAACTCTGGCCTTCCCGAAATTCATCTATCGACACATCATCACCAACGAATCTATCGATTATAGGCGATCAGTTATCATGCGATGCTTGGATCTGTACGGCCAACGCTCGTGCTCTCAAAAGATGAAGACTTACGCCTTCCGTCATCTGGTGAACCCCATATTCGCGATGGATGTTCAGACAACATGGAACAATCCCCCGAACAGTCCGAAGTTGATGGACAAGAGCATGACCGAGTTCATTCAGAGTCGCCTGTGGAAGCCTCAACTCGCTGACCTGAGCGAAGAATCCAACCAAGCTGGCGTCGACCATTCCCGTATGGAGCTTCTTCAACTATCTGCTCTGCTGATCAAGTATCATCACCAGACTGTGCAGGACTCGCGAAAGGATATTATCAAGTTTGCCTGGAACTACATCCGACTGGAGGATATCATCAACAAGTACGGCGCTTATGTTCTCATCAGTTACTTTATTGCGCACTATGAGACTCCTTTCAAGATCGTTGTCCAGGTGTATGTCGCTCTCCTGAGGGCACACCAAAACGAGGGTAAAGCTCTTGTCACGCAGGCTTTGGATGTTCTGGCTCCTGTGTTGCCCACTAGAATACTGTCAGTCAGCAACGCTCAGACGCCGGATACTCGGTATCCGCTGTGGGCTAAATGGCCCCGCCGTATTCTGGCCGAAGAGACTGCCAACTTGCAGCAGGTTATGAGCATCTTCCAATTCCTCGTGCGCCAGCCGGATCTGTTCTATGAGTCGCGAGAGCATTTCGTGCCCTTGATTGTGCCCTCGTTGATCAAAATCGCCTCGCCTCCCAATTCGTCAAACGAAAGCAAGAAGCTCGCTTTGAACCTGATTAACCTTATCTGGCTTTGGGAACAGAAGCGCGTCGAGAACCAGGCTGCTCTGTCAAATGGCACTCATGAATCACCCAGCATGAAAAAGCGAAAGCTTGATGACGGCCAGGCCACGTCCTCTCCTTCTCCGGCACTCGGACCCCCTAGCTCCCGTGAACGCATTGAATACATGGTCCCTACAGACCTTCGGGCGAACCTGACGAAATACCTCATCTCATTCATCACCACTGTTCCCGAGCGATTCCCTGTGCCGGCTGCTCATATTCGTGATCTTCCCTCGAGCAAGACCCAGCCGCCTGTCCTCACAGGTGACATGATCAAGAAGGGCATGTACTTGTTGAGAAACTTGCTGTCCCCCGAGTACTGGGGTGATCTTGATATTGAACTATACCAGAAGGTCACGGAACCCATCCTTGTGGGAGAGAAGGCAGACAAGCCGGATGAGAAGCATGTCACGAGTATGGTCAATGCTTTGCAAGTCGTGCGAGTCCTTCTCGCGGCAAAGCCCGATGACTGGATCACAGCCCGCTTGCCCATGATCCAAAAGCTGTTCGAGAAGCCCTTGCGCTCGGATAACCCGGAGATCCAGGACTGCCTCCAGGGCTTGGAAGATGAAGTCGACATCTCTCCTAAGCTTCCACCTCCCGTCCAGCGTGTTCTCGATGCTCTTCCAGATGATCAACCGGAGGAAGAAGACGCGATGGACGTCGAAAACTCGCCCTCTGAGTTTGTGACCTATTTGTCCGCCATCGCTACCGAGACACTTTCAGCCAACAACTACGTCTCGAGCCTGAACGTTCTTTGGACGCTCTCCAAGAGTAAGCCCGCTGAGATGGATGCGCAAATCGCGTCGGTCATGAAAGCATTCTCCCAGAAACTCGCAAAGGAGCACGTGGCGGCCTCAACAAACAACAACGGCCAGAACAACAATGGCGGCAAACCCGCAGAAGGGGTGCCTGATCAGCAAGAATATGAGATTGGAGTTGACTTGATCTTCAAGACCATTGAGCTGATCTCTGTGCGCATGTCCAACCTTGGAGAGCAAAGACGTCCGTTCCTGAGCGTGTTGGCGCAACTCGTGGAGCGATCCCAAAACATCAAGCTTTGTAGCAAGGTGCTTGGTATGGTGGAGAGCTGGATTTTCCAATCGACAGAGTCCTGGCCCACATTGAAAGAAAAGACCGCAGTCTTGCATAAGATGCTCCTCTTTGAGTCGCGATCAGACCATACAATGCTGAAGAAGTTCCTGGATCTGGTTATTAGAATTTACGAAGATTCCAAGATCACCCGGACAGAGCTGACGGTCCGACTGGAGCATGCGTTCTTGATTGGTACCAGAACGGAGGATGTGGATATGCGTAACCGATTCATGACAATATTTGACCGCAGTTTGACTCGCCTGGCTAGCTCCCGACTCAGCTACGTCCTCACCTGCCAAAACTGGGACACCCTTCAGGATTCCTTCTGGCTGTCGCAGGCATCCCACTTGGTTCTGGGCTGTGTTGACATGAACGGCCCCGCGAAGCTTCACCCAGATGATTACACCGTTTACCCGGTGTCCTTCCTCTACAGCAACGCCGAAAAGGATCCAAGGAAAGCTGATGTCATGGTTGATATCCAGTTGGAAGCATTCGTATCTGAGCGCAGGCGGTTCGTGTCCGAGCTTGGCGACGTAAAAGCTCGCGATCTGATGGAGCCGCTCTGCCAACTCCAGCACACTGATCCCAATGTTGCTTACACTCTCTGGACCAATCTCTTCACAATATTCTGGTCTACCCTGTCGAGGGAAGATCGGATTGATCTGGAGAAGGGGATGGTTACTCTCATCACCCGCGAATACCACAGAGGACAACTCGACAAGAGGCCTAACGTTGTGCAGGCGTTGCTGGAAGGCGCCGTTCGAGCCAAACCTCGCTTCAAGATTCCTCCCCATGTCATGAAGTACCTGAGTCGCACGTATGACGCCTGGTACACCGCTGCTACGTACTTGGAGGAAACAGCAATCAATCCTATCATCGACACTCCAACCGTCCGTGAAAGCAATCTTGATGCCTTGGTTGAGGTTTATGCAGGTCTGCAGGAAGACGACTTCTTCTACGGCACTTGGCGGCGACGCTGCAAATTTGTTGAGACAAATGCTGCTATCTCCTATGAACAGCAGGGGATGTGGGACAAGTCTCAGCAGATGTACGAAAACGCGCAGATCAAAGCGCGCTCAGGAGCAATGCCATTCTCTCAAGGCGAATACTACCTATGGGAGGATCATTGGCTGATCTGTGCTCAGAAGCTGCAGCAATGGGAGATTCTCAGTGACTTTGCCAAGCATGAGAACTTGAACGACCTTCTCCTGGAGGCCGCTTGGAGAAACATCGAGAACTGGCAGAGTGACGGACACAGAGAGCAGCTCGAGTCGCTGATCAAATCTGTATCTGATGCTCCCACGCCCAGGCGAACTTTCTTCCAGGCGTTCATGGCGCTGCTTCAGTTCCACATCAAGAAGGACAACCTGCAGGATTTCAACGGTGTCTGCGACGAGTCGATCCAGCTGTCCATTCGCAAATGGCTCCAGTTGCCCAAGAGAATCACCAATGCGCACATTCCGATCTTGCAGCATTTCCAGCTCTTGGTTGAACTGCACGATGCAAGCCACATCTGTGGCAGTTTGGCACAAACCAACGACCGGAACCTGGATACGAAATCTGCGGAGCTGAAGCTGCTGCTTGGAACTTGGCGGGATCGCCTTCCCAACCTGTGGGATGATATCAACGCCTGGCAAGACCTCGTTACTTGGCGCCAGCACATCTTCCAACTGATTAACGCGACATATCTCAGCCTGCTTCCTCCCCAGACAAACAACGTGGCCAGCAACTCCTATGCTTATCGTGGATATCATGAGACGGCGTGGATCATCAACCGCTTCGCTCACGTCGCTCGGAAGCATCAAATGCCCGAGGTCTGCATCAACCAACTCAGCCGCATCTATACCCTCCCGAACATTGAGATCCAAGAGGCGTTCTTGAAATTGCGAGAGCAAGCCAAGTGCCACTACCAAAACCCCAAGGAACTCAACAGCGGGTTGGATGTCATCAACAACACGAATCTGAACTACTTTGGCGCGCAGCAGAAGGCTGAGTTCTACACTCTCAAGGGCATGTTCCTCGCCAAACTCGACCATGTCGATGAGGCGAACGAGGCATTTGGTGTCGCACTGTATTACGATCTGCGACTTGCCAAGGCCTGGTCTGAATGGGGCCAGTACAGTGACCAGCGATTCAAGTCCGACTCGTCGGATTACGAATTGGCTAGCAACGCCGTCAGTTGCTACCTGGAGGCTGCCGGACTTTACAAGAACTCCAAGTCCCGAAAGCTGCTCAGTCGGATCCTCTGGCTCCTTAGTCTGGACAACGATGAAGGACGTGTGGCGAACGCTTTTGAGAACTTCAAGGGCGAAACCCCCGTCTGGTACTGGATTACCTTCATCCCACAACTGCTCACCAGCTTATCGCATCGTGAAGCTCGCCTCTGCAAGGCTGTCCTTGTCAAAATCGCCAAGCTGTACCCCCAGGCTCTTTTCTTCTTGCTCCGTACCAACAGAGAAGACATGCTCAACATCAAGAAGCAGCACGACCAGAAGCAAGAGAAACTCAACCGGGCCAGACAGCAACAGCAGCAGCAGCAGCATGCTTCGCCGCAGCCCAAGCCTTCGCCGGCAGCCGCAGATGGCTCGCCCGCGCAGAATGGTCAAGTCAATGCGGCCCAGGGCATGCAGCCGAACAATCAGCAGCAGGTGCCAAACCAGGCCCAGTCTCATCCTCAGGGACTGCCTCAAGGACAAAGCCCTCAGATCAACAACTCGGCCCAAGCCCAGCAGTCTCCTGCACAGAATCAAATGCAGTTGCCCCCAGGACAAGGCCAGAATGGCACACCAGGCCAGGGTCAGAATCCTATGCAACAGCCTCAAGGGCAGAACCCTCTTCAGGCTCCTGGCCCGAACGGAATGCCACAGCAGAACCAGAACGGTGGCACCGAAGCAGAGAAGGAGCCTCTCAAGAAGCCATGGGAGTATTCGGATGAGATCATGTCCGGGCTCAAGACAGCTTTCCCGTTGCTTGCGTTATCGATGGAGACAATGGTCGATCAGATTCACAAGAACTTCAAGTGTCCACCCGACGAGGATGCTTATCGACTCATTGTTGCTCTTCTGAATGATGGTTTGGCGTATGTCGGCCGCATGCCGGGCTCGTATGCGCAGGACTTCAAATTGCCTGCCGCCACGGAGGCCAACATCACTCGCTTCGCGGAGACCATCCTGCCAGCCCACATCCGTAAATCCTTCGAGGCCGACTTTGTCGTTAAGAAGCCGACCATGTACGAATACATTCAGAAGCTGCGGCGCTGGCGAGACAAGTTCGAGGAGAAACTCGACCGCCGGCCTCAGTCTCAGTTCTTGGAGAGCTACTCGCCCCACCTCAGTGAGTTCCGATTCCTCAAATTCGATGAGGTTGAGGTGCCGGGCCAGTACCTGCTGCACAAGGACAAGAACCAGGACTTTGTTCGCATCGACCGGTTCTTGCCTGACATCGATCTGGTGCGTGGTATTGGTGTCTGCCACCGTCGTCTGAAGATCCGGGGCCATGATGGCAGCGTGCATCCTTTCGCTGTCCAGCATCCGGCGGCTCGTCATTGTCGACGAGAGGAGCGGATCCTGCAGCTCTTCCGTATCTTCAACGGGTTATTGGGCAAACGCAAGGAAAGCCGACGACGCAACCTGTACTTCCATCTTCCGCTCATGGTTCCGTTGGCTCCTCACATCCGTCTGGTCCGCGATGACCCGTCGTACATTTCCATGCAGGGAATTTATGAGGACTACTGCCGCCGGGTTGGCATCAACAAGGATGATCCTGTTCTCTTCACAATGGAGAAGATGAGGTCCTTGGCAGAGACAAAGCAGAATGTAAGCACATCACCTCATGCTCTGACAGTGGACACGACTAACGTTCAACAGCGAACCAACGAGCAACAGCAACTGCTTCGTTCCGAGATCCTCACAGCCATCCAGGAGAAATGGGTTCCGAACACCGTTGTGCTGGATTACTTCCAGAACACATACCCCAACTTCGCGGACTTCTGGCTGTTCCGCCGGCAGTTTACCTACCAATATGCTGCTATTGCGTTCATGACGTACGTGATGCACATGGGTAATCGGTATCCCAACAAGATCATGATCTCGAGAACGACAGGCGACATCTGGGGCTCCGAGCTCATCCCCGCCATCAATCCTGGCAAGGCCTTCTTCTACAATCCCGAACAGGTGCCTTTCCGATTCACTCCCAACATCCAGACCCTTCTGGGACCCATTGCCACGGAGGGTCTCTTCGCGTGTGCATTGATGGCGATTGCTCGCTGCCTGACCGAGCCGCGCCACGAGCTTGAGCAGCAACTCAGTATCTTCGTGCGTGACGAGATGATGTTCTGGGCCACCGCCCAACATCGCGGTTCGCTGCCTGTCCCGCAGCTCCGCGACCTGGTCTTCAACAATAGCGATGTGATCGTGAACCGGGCCGTCAGCCTGGCCAGCCCCCCCGAAGGCAATCTGCCCGCCAACCAAACCACCATCGACCTCATCTCCAAGGCAGTGAATCCTCAGCATCTGGCTTCTTGCGATGCTCTCTGGATGCCGTACCTCTAGACAAATCCTTTGTCAGTATTATGTTCTGATTTTCTTTTTCGTGGCGTTGTGCTTGTTTTGTTCCATCCTACGGGATTCTCGTGGAAGATGCGCATGGGTTGAATGGGGGTTTGTTGTTGCTCCCCCTAGGTATCTACTTATTATTCTTTGTTCTAGCGTGGCGCCCAGGGTCAAAATCTTTGATGGATGTGTCTACGACATTTTTTTCTTATTTTTCTGTTCTATTCTGTGATTGTATCATAATTAATATTCAGTCAGATGAATAACTTTAACATCACTGGTTTTCAAGTAATGCAATCAATCGTGGTGATCATAGTTGCTAGCTTATGCAAATGTGTATACAGTCTCGAACGCCGCGTCTCGAAAGGACGATAGTGTAGACAAGATGATCTAAAAGACTAGACCAGCGACGGCTTGGCCTTCTTCTTAATGCCCAGTCCATTCACCAACGGCTTCTTGGGCTTCTTGGTCCTTGCAAACGAAGGCGGAGGAGGCATCGCGCCTGTTGGCTTCGCATCCGCCGACGGTCCAGCACCAGCACCAGAACCAACACCAGTCGACGGACCCTCCTGCGCATCCTCCTCCTCCTCCACCAACCGCTTCACCTTCTCCCCCGTCTCCGTCGTAAACGCCCTCCTCGCCGCCTCCTCATCCTCCCTCTCCTCCCTCTCCCTGTTCTCATCCACCTCCCCCCTCACCTGCCCCAACGCCACATCCTCGCCCAGCCCCTCCGTCCGCGCAATCCTCGCATTCCGCGTCCGAATCTCATCCAGCGCATCCGCAATCGCCATCTCCCGCTTCGAATCATGCATCTTCTCCTCCAGCTCCGCCATCTTATCCCGCTCCTGCTGCTCCTGCTCCTCGCCCTCCTCCTTCTCCAGCCGATCCAGCGTCTCCTGCTCCGTCTCGTTGTACGTCCCCGCCGCCGCCGACGCGTCGCGCCACGGCTCGAAGTTCCGTTTCGCCCCCTTCTCCGCCCGGTAGTCCATGTTTTTCGGGTCGGTCACGAACGTGATCTCCCCGCTGCAGCGCGTGCATCGGATGTAGAACCGGTAGATCGGGATCGAGAAGTATTTTTCCTCCGTGGTTTCTTTGCGCGCGTTGAATTTCCGGCCGCGGTAGATGTATTCTCCTATGGTTTACTATTAGTATGCATGCATGCATGTGGGTGGGAGGGTAGGAGGTTAGGTTAGGTAGATGGAGGATTCATGGGAACAGAAATGACGAGGGGAGAAGAGGAGAGGAGAGTAGAGGAGAGTAGACATACCGCAGTGAGTGCATTTCATCGAGAACGGCGCCATCAGACGAACGGTGATCACCTTGGGGCCGGTGCTGCGGAGGTGTTTCGGCGTGCGGGTGATGGCCGACGGATCGAAGTCCGGGGGGTAGTATTTGGAGCTGGAGATGGGTGGTTAGCATTGTAGACTGGGATGAAAGGCAAAGAAAGGTTGGTTTGAATGGAGCTTCAGGTTGGGTTCTGCGCTCTCGGAGGCGAGATGCGAGGGTGGTGACTTACAGGACTTTTCGCTCGGACATAGTGGCGGGTTAGTGATGTAGAGTAATGAATAGGGTTGTCTTGAAAGGTAGGTGTTGTTTCGGATAGTGCGCCGTCTCCTGAAGATGAGGTCTGGCGACGGAAGTTGGGGATAGAGGAAGGTGAAGATGGATGGATGGATGCGACAGAGTCCAGTCGGGCAAATTGATAAGGTAAAGCGGCGGCTCACTTCTGACCGCCCAGGCTACGCTCGGCGAACCGCGCAACCCTCGAGCGGACCTCTCAGTCTAGTATGTCGAAGTACCGATAATCTTTGCATAATGTCTACAGACCCAAAATAGCGTATTTAAGTTCAAAATTGAAAATTTAAGAATCTCTAGCGATAGGGACTAGACTTCAATTTTTTTGCGTCGATTGCATCGCTTTTTCGGTGGAAAAATGCCCCAACGATGTCTACGCAATGTACTACCACTCTGAGGGTCGCAGGTTTCTGGACTGGTAGGGCTGGTTGGGGTGGTCACCCTCTGTACGCCGTATGCCAGCGCTAGCCTACGGGGTTGACGGCTAGAAGGAAAGCAATATTTTGCGTAATTCCTACACCTTCTAAACACCCGTTGCGAATAATTAAAATTATAATTCAAGATGCTCAAGTCCCTTAAAGTACGCTATAAAAATTTCAGTCGGATTGAATCGTTCTAAAGGGTTCAAAAAAGCCTCGATGTTCCCGACCAAAAACCTACCAGTCGAAAAAAGTGCGACCCTCAGACTGGTCGGCATGTTTGGGGTCATGTGACATGGCTGTACTCCGGGATATACTTCATGGCCGGGCATTGAGAAACCTACCACCCTGAGGGTCGCTGGTTTTCAGACTGGTAGGTTGATCTGGTCGAGTACCACACCTGTTTTCGACTGGCAGGGTCGGCCAATTGCGCTGGTTTTTGCATAATTCCCACACCTTCAAAATAGCCGTTCCGGAGATGAAAATCGATATGTAGGATAACTGAGCGACAAAGACTACGCTGTAATTATTTAAGAAAGTTTCGATCGCTATTAGGGGTGTAAACCGTCTCCATCATTTTCTACCACTCTGAGGGTCGCAGTTTTTGGCACTGGTCGGTCTGCTGGGGTCATGTGAATTGTGTGTTTTTTATGCATAAGATTAGTCATCGGTATTAAACTAACGTATTCCACAAGCGAGTCGGCACCACAAGCGAGCCGGCACCCCAACGCGTTTTGACCGCGATCAAAAACCTTACTCAATTCAACCACTAACCATGCCTCCAAAAGCGCGTCAAAAGTCAGGAAATTCAGCCGAGCAGGAGGGGAGGATTCTATTAGCAATCTCTGCTATAAAAAATAAACAAATTACCCAAATTACTAAAGCTGCGCGTCATTATAATGTGCCTCGTTCTACTCTACAAGATCGGCTACGCGGAAAAACAAATCGCTCAGAAACACGTGCCAATAGTCATAAAATAACTCAAAATGAAGAGGAATCGCTTGTACAATGGATTCTATCGCTAGATCGACATGGAGCGCCTCCCCGACCGTCCCATATACAAGAAATGGCCAATATTCTTCTTGCTGCGCGCGATACTACCCCAGTTCAATCAGTCGGAGTGAACTGGGTCTCCAACTTCATTAAACGACAAGATCGCTTGAAAACTCGCTATACTCGACGCTATGATTATCGGCGCGCTAAATGCGAAAACCCCAAAATTATCAGAGAGTGGTTTGATCGCGTACAAATCATTATAATGCAACATGGAATTGTACAGGAAGATATCTACAATTTTGATGAGACTGGCTTCGCTATGGGCTTAGTAGCTACTGCTTAAGTAATTACTAGAGCTAATTACTACGGAAAGGCCTCTCTTATACAGCCTAGCAATCGAGAATGGGTTACTTCAATCGAGTGTATTAACTCAACCGGTTGGGCACTTCCTCCATGTGTGATTTTTAAAGGAAAGATCTATATAGAGGGTTAGTATCAAGATATCAAACTCCCACGCGATAGCAGGATTGAAGTTAGTCCTAATGGATAGACTACTGATGAGATAAGCCTTCGCTGGCTTAAAAACCTTTTTATTCCGACTACTACTAGTCGTATAACTGGAAGATATCGTCTTCTAGTTCTTGACGGTCATGGCAGCCATCTTACACCTCAATTCGACCAGATATGCAGTAAGAATAATATTATTCCTATCTGCATGCCTGCACATTCATCGCATCTACTACAGCCTCTAGATGTTGGCTGTTTCTCGCCTCTAAAGCGGGCGTACGGCAGCTTAGTTGAGAAACAGGCACGCTTGGGAATCAATCATATCGATAAGTTTGATTTCTTAGAGGCCTTTCCACAAGCTCGTGAAAGCGCTTTTCAAGCAGATACTATTCGGAATAGCTTCGCAGGTGCTGGTCTAGTTCCACTTAATCCAGATAGGGTACTCAGTAAGCTGAATATTCAGCTAAAGACCCCTACACCACCAGGCAGTCGATCTACCAATACAGCGCCAAAAACGCCTTATATAACTAGGCAGCTTGAAAAGCAGGCATCTACAGCAAAGAAGCTGCTTAAAGCGCGTACGCAGGGCCCTTCATCTTCGCTAGAGATGCGATTTAATAAGCTTATTAAAGGTCATGAATTACACCTTAATGAGCTTATTCTTGCACGCGAAGAAATCCGTGAATTACGCGCTTCTCATGAAAAGAAGCTTCAAAAAAAGAAACGCTCTACTAGGCAGCTAGCTATTACAGAGGGATCAGCTATTCAAGAAGGCCTAAAGCGATTTCAGCGCGAGAATGAGGTTGATGAAGCTCAAAATACGCTTCCTCTAGACCCTGCACTTTCTGCAGTTGAGCCACGCGTACGAGCGCCACCACGCTGCAGTAATTGTCATATTCTAGGACATAGACGGTTACAATGTCCCAATCGAGTTCCTAATTAGTTTTTATATAGAAATGCAATTATTTCGTTGATAAAGCCTCTAGTATTTGGTCCGCGGGCAGAAATTGGAGCGGGGGTGCCGGCTCGCTTGTGGTGCCGACTCGCTTGTGGAATACGTTATGCTCTGCTCGAAGTATAGAATGGCTGCTGTGTCCCTATGCTCAAGCAACGCTCTGCAATACTACTATATGCGAATTATTAATGCTTGGAATAGTATTATTTAGCCTTACCTAAATAAGATTCCGTTGTCACCCCCACCGCTAGTATGAACCATATTTGCCCTGAACTAATCTAACTCGCGGTAGGAAGATCGCGATTTTAGAAAGAAATACTATACCATGGTTAAAAATATCTCAGGAAAACTAAACGCCCTTGTCTACTAGCTGCCCTGAAACATCCACCATGCATCCACAGCATCGCGGTAGCCCATCTTTTCCAGATGCTGGGCAACTCTGCGGCGCCAATCCTTTTTGGAGTCCTCATCCCCGTAGTTAAAATCCATTCCTGCTGAGAGTCGAAATTTTGCTCTAACCCATTCGATGGGAACGTAACCAGCAAGCTCCCAATCGATGATGCCCAGCGAGTCTGTGGAGGGATCGACCGGAAGATTCGTGGGGCCAAGATCGCAATGATAGAAGACCAGTGTAGAGACATCCATAGACATCTCAGTGCAATTCTTCAGAAGCTGCCGCGGAGAAAGGGCATCCGCCATCTTGCTGCTGGCTTTGACGAGGTACCGCTCCAATAGCTGACGCCCATCTACGCCACCAATAACCTCGCCCTTCCATGTTGCCAGATGATTGCAAACATCTGCTACCTTGTTGATGTAATACTGGCGAAGAGTCTCATCCATGTTGGGCCACGCCTCTTCGAGGAGCTGGCCGGGAACCCTTGAGACGACGAGGAAATACCACGAGCCAATCTCAAAATGATGGTATATGTCTGGAAAATCAAACCCCTGGGGCCGTTGGTCTTTGAGAAACTGTAGCGTGGCATGCTCTCTGGTCACACCGGGATAGTCCATGTGATGCGCTTTGATGAAGGCTTCGCCTGCCCGCCAAACGGCTGCTTGATTGTCGACTGCGTGGACCCTTGAGATAGACGGGGAGCCTTCTGTGAGGGGCCTGGAATCTGGAAGAGGCTCAGGCGCAGTGGAGAGGACGAAATGGCCGCCATTGCTGTCGCTCCAGCATGCTCGGTCAGTTGGAATCGGGTACGGGGGTGGCGACGATGAACGAGTAAGAAGAAACGTGTTGCATATTAGCCAGGAGGTTTCATTGATTTCCCGGATCGATTCATTAAGGTGCGGTTGAGGCAAGTCAACTAATGACATATTGGTTGAGCTGAACTGAGGAAGGGCGGTTAATTAGGAATTTGTAGGCATGCCACAAAGGGCTCCATACATAACGCAGGTAGAGCCAACTTTAACTCGGCGATCATTTGTTCATCAACCTAAAGAGTAAAAATCATTAGCCACCGCATATTATCGAATTATTTACCTTCTGTTACAGAGATGTTGTCGCCATACATCGTGATCAAACCCGCTGACTAAATTGCCACCGGGACTCTTGGCTTCCCGGCGAGGCTTTGTCCCCTCAAGCTACGACTTAGCTTCACCTCCAATGCCGAACAAGCCCTGCGGACTTAATACCGACTTCTTCCTAGCCGGAGTCCCTCATTGATCCACTCATATTACATCGCTAGCCCTATCGTCTTGGTTTGGCCCGCAGAGAGCTTCTCTGTCGACTCGTCATGAAAGCCCTACTCCGCAATAAGCAGGGCTGTTGGACCTGTCGTCTGCGCAAGAAGAAATGCGACGAAGGCCGGCCTCATTGCTCGACTTGTGATTAGCTTTCCATCCCCTGCTACGGGTATGGCCCGAAGCCCGAATGGATGGATCATGGCGATCAGGAGCGTGCCGTCGCAAATAACCTCAAGCAGACGGTGAAGCGTACGTCCCGGCGCAAGGTCACGGCGGTGCTCCCGAAGCGACCCGGCCCGGTCGCTAAGATCGCGCCGAAGCCGTCGAATGGCTCAGGGGAGAGCTCCTCGGCTAGTCCGGAGTCGAATGGCACGCATGCCTTGAATCCTCCTTCGGACAATAGCTCCTCGCAGGATGAGGCCCAGGTACTGTTGAGTGCGCTGGCTGTAAGCGCGTCACTCCGGTTATTTGGAATTCTCTAATACGCTTTATAGAATCCCCCCTCGTCTGAATGTACCCATGACGATTCTCTGGCGGATTCCATCTTCCCGTCATCGGCGTCCGAGTCGGCTCTCTTGATGCATTTTCTAGACAATGTGTTCCCGCTACAGCATCCGATGTATAAACCCGGCCCCGTCGAAGGAGGCCGAGGCTGGTTACTGGCCCTTCTACTTCGGACAAAACCTCTTTATCATGCTACTCTAGCCGTCAGTTCCTACCATCGTCGAAAGCTGGCATTTGCCTTCCATCACCCGTGCCAAGTGGCTGGTTTGGTCGAACAGGAAAAGCACCTTGAGATTTGTCTGAAGGAATTCCAACAAGCATTGAAAGCTGCCAATCTATCCCTCCAAATGCTTAGTCCGGATAAAAACAAGGGACTAGGTATTGCGGCCTCAGTCGTTCAGCTGGTGTTCTTTGAGGTATTTCCTCCCTGAAAGAATTTCGAGCGCATGCTGATAATTCTTCGCAAGCTTTTCACGGGACAAGGGAATGTGTGGAAAGTACACCTTCACGCAGCAACGAATATGGTTCTGGCAGCTCACGGCCATCATTTCAGCTGTTTCAGTATGGAGGGATTGTCCAGAAAAATTCTAGTTGACAACCTCCCTCTACCGGTTGAGAAGCCTGTAGTGGCCGAACAGGTTGTTTCGTTCAGATTCTTGACGGGCACAATACTCTGGCTGGACATTCTCTCTTCTATCACGGCGGGAACACCACCGGACTTGCTGTCTTGCCATCCCAGCGTGATCGGCCCGGATGCGCAGATCCAGCTCGACCTTATCATGGGCTGTAAGAACTGGGCGATGGTTCAGATTGGTCGCATTTCTGCACTGCATGCGCATAAAACGCAGGCTTTGCAGCAGGGCCACATTGCCTGCTCGGAAATCGAACAGACAATTGATGATATTCAGAAGGAAATCCAGTGTGGTCTAGCCCAGGGAGGGTTGGAAGGATTCAGTCTTTCAGATGGCACTTCCGCGCCGATGTTCACTGCCATGTCGGAACCGCGCATGTTGATCACTCACGTATTTGCTTGCATGGCATCGATTTATCTCCATCTCGTCACGTACGACTTCCAGGGACTGGATCCGTTAGAGCCGACCATCTCACAGGCCATGAGAATCCTCCAAACCCAGACTCCGCCTAATGTCTTGCCGAGTTTAGTCGCCCCGCTGTATGTTATCGGGTCTGTTGCCCGACCACGGGACGAGCAATTTTTCCGGGACGTTTTCTCGTCGCCGTTACTGTTGGATCCGTTGCTTGAGCATCGAGGGAGGATCCTACCAGTTCTGGAAGAAATTTGGAGGAAGAGAAGGGACCCCCTCGGTCTTACGTGGGCAAGTACCCTCGAACTGACCCGCAATCTCCTGCTTCATTGAGTCCTGTGTAACAGTCGGCCTGACTTGGGCATCATCGAGAATCCTGGGTCCAAGACATCACGGTACGACCGGAAATGGGCTGACAAATGGATCAAAAGGGGTTTATAACTAATCATCGCATAATCTGTTGATAAATATTCGAGTTGATTCTTGGGTAGAAGACTGATTTATCATCGACATCTGTTGTGGCCAAGCGCATCCCCATTGCGCCAGCATGCTTGCAGCTGACACCAACGACAAGTCTGCTGTTGATTGGCCATGAGCGCGTTTTACAGCTCCATTGGTGGTGAAACAAAGAGCAGGAAGAGTCGAGAAAAGATTTCCGAAGGATCCATGTCGCCGACTGACATCTTTGTTTCTTGTCTGCGCTCCAGCCTTCTATTGGTTGGCAGCAGCGGCAGGCACTGCGCGCATCGCCCGCTGATTGGCTGCAACCCGCGCCACGGGCGATGATTGGCAGCCCGATCCTTCAGGCCATTACTAGCCTCAGGCACAGGGATCTAGATAGGCCGATGGTGGCGCTTTCGTTTTGTCTGCCGGCTCTCACTTCGGAATATAAGTTTGCGCCCTTGAAATCTTAACTTTGATTGTCCTTCATCTCTCCTTTTCGTTGCCTCCAAAATGGTATATATCCTCCGGCTCCTCGCCAGCACTGTGCTACGAGGCCTCACCACTGTCTTCCATTTCCTCACTGTCAACTACTTCACTGAGCTCCCTGCTCCATCTGATCTTTCAACTAGACCAATGAAGAACATAATCATTCTTGGTGGCTCCTTCGCGGGAATCAGCACCGCACACCGCATTCTCAAACAATCTGCAAAGACCGGCCCTGTCAAGATTACTATCGTCTCCCCGAATACCCACTTCTACTGGAACGTCGCCGCCCCGCGTGCCATCCTCCCGGGTCAGATCGGCGACGACAAGGTCTTTCTGCCCATTGCGGCTGGTTTCAAACAGTACAAGGACAGTCAATATGAGATCATCACGGGGGTCGCCCAGAGTCTCGACTTCGAGGCCAAGACGGTGAATGTCGTCGACGAGACCGGCGAACGGACACTCGATTACGACTACTTGATTATTGCGACCGGCTCGCGCACCGCAGGAGAGAATCCTTTCAAGACACTCGGCACGACTGAGAAGACTCGAGACGCTCTGCACGATTACCAGGAGCAAGTGAAGGAGGCTAAAACGATCGTTATCGGCGGCGCCGGGCCCACGGGCGTTGAGACGGTTGGCGAACTGGCATTCGAGTATGGGAAACAAAAGCGAACCATCCTGGTAGGTCCCTCCCTGCCCCTACAGCGTTATCGCACATCCAAATCAAATTATTCGCTAACCCTACTCCAGCTCACTACTGCCACCCGAGTCCTCGACACCGCCATCCCCAGCGTCTCCAAAGTCGCAACCGACATCCTCAAGCGCCTCAATGTCGAGGTGCAATTCTCCACGAAAGTCGCCTCCTCGACGCCCACTTCCTCCGGCCAGCTCGAACTCACCCTCTCCACGGGCGAAAAGATAGTCGCCGACATGTACATTCCCACGTACGGTGTGCTGCCGAACAGCTCTTACATCCCCGCCTCGTATCTCAACGACAAGGGCTTCGTGAAAGTGGACAAGCAGTTCCGGGTGAGCGGGCAAAACAACGTCTTTGCGATCGGGGATGTGTCGGATCTCGAACCCCCGCAGCTTATGTTTGTCGACAAGCAGTCGACTCATTTGGTGAAGAATCTCGTCTTGGTGCTCGGGGGGAAGGAGCCGGTGGATTATAAACCGGGACCGAAAGGTATGTTCCTCTACATCACATTACCTCTTCTACCTACACACTACTCTAGTGCCCGTGAATCTAAATTTCAACTAACCCCGGAATGATATAGGCATGGGTCTCCAGATCGGCCGCAAAACCGGAACCGGGCACCTGGAGAACTTCAAAATCCCGGGCCTCCTGGTGCATATGCTCCGCAAGAACTTGTTTCTGGATAAGGTCCCGCAGTTGGTGGATGGGTCTGGTGTTTGATGGAGTTCCGCTCTGCTAATTGATACCTTTTGCTGATTCTGTTTACACTTTACATTGTATGTGACTGATTGTTAGAGTTGAATAGGGGATAAGAAGTGGAGAGGGTGGAGGTAATTAATTTATTATAGGTCATGTTAATTGCATATTATACCCCGTTCTTTCTATGATCCTTCGATGTTTCCAGAGTTTTAGATGAAGATGGTATCCGCCCATTTCAGAAACTGGGCTGCCGTGAGAGTAATGTTGTGCTCTAAGGGCTGATTTGGCGCGCAACCAATCACTTTGTCAAACTCGAGGACCAAGGGGGCTCCCTGGATGGTGGGAGGATTGGCGCCCTTGTTGATGTGGATAGTTGTAACCTTTTCCGAGTGATAAGTCCCTGGCGGATCACGAGAACGCTGGCGGGTGGCTGGACCAGTGACAGTGACCAGGCGTGGCACTCGTTTCTCGATTTCGAGGCGTTTTGTTGTCACTGTGACCCTGAGGAGCAGTACTATCTGTACCTGACCTCCTGAGTTTGCGAACCACCACGAAGCATCGGCTCGGAGTCTGTGCATTGACTCAGATGCTCCAGCTTCTATCACAAGATACGGCCAACCACCAGGCCTAAGATTGTCATTGATCCAGCTTGCGTCTGCTTCTTTTCTTGATGCTGTGGGGCCGATATACGTCGCGGAGCCAAGTCCAGAGAACTCTTTGACTCCGACACGCATATCATGAAGCTCAATTCTCAAAAAAGACCCAAGATTGGCGTGGGCCTTTTCTTGGGGTCGGGACGGAACTTTGATGATCAAAACCTCAATGTCTTCGAAATAAGTCAAACGGACATGCCCAAGGCTTAGGCGTTTGGATTCAATTTCGTCGTACTCGGACCTTTTTACCGGTTTGAAGGCCAGGTGTTGGGACTTTCCATCCCGTGTTAATGTCTCATATTTCGCCGCGAGCTTTTCGCGCAAGTCCTCGATGCTCACGTACGAAATCGGGGGGTATTGACCAGTTAACGCGAGTTCAGACGAAGATATCGCCATTCTTTCATCCGATCGCAGATTTGCTGTGGAATACAAAAGATCATCATCTTGCATAAAGAAGACTCAGACGGCATTTTTGAAAAGGCTGATAAAACATTAGCAAAAGATGACATCAGAAATCGGAACGTACCTTGGATTTAGCAGCGCAGAAGCCCGAGGAGTTTGACTCCAGTAGAGCTACGGTAAATCACATTTTAAGTGAGGGAAGAGAGAGAGAGAGAGAGAGAGAGAGAGAGAGAGAGAGAGAGAGAGAGAGAGAGAGAGAGAGGGTTCGGTGCAGAAAGAGAGAACGGACATGGATGGGGTAAGTGTGACAAAAGGAAAGAAGCAACGACACTTGCAAAGCTGGGAGAAAACCAAATTATTCACTCCATTCTCTAAGTATATCTAAATTGACATGCACAGTGAATTGAACAAATAATGAGGCTGCCGAAAGTGAAGGTCTTTCGAAAGCGTGGGGATTGTGCAAAAAGCGACGCAACTCGCCGACCCAACCAGTCGAGAACAGGTGTGAACAGGAAGTGGGAACGGTGGGTAGGTAGTTGATTTATTATGGCTCGGGTAAAATGCCCCGTTCTCCCTATGATGCCTCAACCTTTCGAGAGATTTCCTGTTCGTACCTCCGACCAAGGTATTAGGGTATTAGCTTCCCTACTCATCGCAACGCTGTGATTATGCGGACATGGTTCTGAAACGCCCAAAGGACCCCAGTGGCCTGCTCCTCGGACAGGCCAGACGACCAGTAGGTTAGTCTCGCTTCCAAGGCAGATTGGGTATCGACGCAAGTGAGGAGGAGATCATACTAGCAGCGGCAGGATCAGCAACGACCACTAACCACGGGGAAAGACCAAATGTCTCTACCTACCTCGGTGGGCTCATGCGTGTCCCTCTCAACGAACCGGATCCCCTCTTGATCGGGGCCCTGCGCGGCGCTCGACAGCGACTCCTCCAGGGAAAAGCACGTGTTGAAAAGCCTCCGGTGCCCATAGTACGGCGAGTGCTCGAGGATATGGAGCAAGGAGCAATGCTGATGGGCGAGGCGGTTTGCACTTTCGGACTGGTTCTCGCGCAGGATGACCGGGAGACAAAGGGCATGAGGCGCGGTGCTGAGGTCCAAGCAGCAGGGGAGGACATTGAAGAATGAGCCGACGGTCTGGTCGATCTCGGCGAGGAGGATGTCCCGTCCAGAAACTAGAGTTCCGAAGCAGATGGCGCTCTGGCCGGTGTACTGCTGCAGCGTCATACCCCATGCTACCTGGAGGACGGTGTTGAGGGTGTAGCCCCCGTCGGCGCAGAAGCGTGCGAGATCATTGTCTAATGAGAGGGCGAGGCTGCTTACTTTCAATGTTTCTTTCTCTGGGTCGTTGGCCCCCGGGAGGTGTGGGAAGATGCAGGGACGTGCGAGAGCGATCTGGCGCTTCCAGTATGCTTCCGAGCTGACCCTGTTTGATGGTGACGCCAGAACCTCGACGACGGAGCGATACAGTGGGCCCTTTTCGGACGAGAGAGTGTTTGTATAAGCATGAGTGAGATCCTTCAGAAGAATGGAGATGGATTTGCTGTCAAGAAACGCCTGCGTGCCTTCCAGCTTACAGTAGACGCGGTTTTCAACGGTTTGGTATACACTGAAATGACATGGCGGACTACCAGCCACATGTCTGAGCGGATGGCTAGACAGATGGCAATAGTCTTCGCTGACACCGGTGAAGACCGATGCAGCAGACACAGGGTCGTGAAAAACAACCTGCATTTTCGTCCACGGTCTTTCGGGTAGGAAGTTGTCGAGTAAAACGGTGCGAAGGGCCGCTTGACGCCGCGAAACCTGGGCCCAGGCCTCGCGTAACCGATATGGAGAAACAGAGCCACAATGCGAAACCACTTCCCAGAGAGTAAAAGACTGGTGGGTCATCGGCTCCAACAGTTGTGTTCTTAGCAACCCTTCATGGACCGCCGTGCATGGGTAAACATCCTCCACCAGATCCAGGTGGGAGATCCCAAGCTGGCGCTTTAACTGGATTTCCAAGATCCGTTCCTCGTCTGGCGTCATCCCGAGTAGGGAGAATCGTTTGTATTCTGTAGCAAACTGAACTACAGATGTGACAGCCTGTAGTGGCTGTAATGTCGCAGCGATGCAAACCATAGTCTTTTCGTTGAAGATATCCCGGACGGTAAGCGCCAGACCCTCCGTTTTGCACTGCATGACCACCTGCATTGCTGTCGCCGAGTCTCCACCGAGAGCAAAGAAATCATCACTGTCGCTGATCTCCTCGGCTGTTAACCGTAGCACTGATGCGACAATTGCTCGTAGTTGGTTAGCGGTGTCCCGTTGGACCGGCCCGAGCTCCTTCAGAGCCCTCGACACCAGTGTTTTATTAGGTGTCGAGAGATGGGCGGAGTTTAGTAGAGTTGAAATTGTTTGTTTTAAAGGCTTGCTTGTCCATGAAGCCAGTGCTGCGGACGTAATGCTGCTGCTGCTGCTGCTGCTGACAAGATCGCCTGGGCTGTTTACAGTTTCATACATCGGAAGCAGGCCCACCGGGGGAGATAGAAGGAGCTTTGACATGGGCTCCGCCAAATCAATGGCAAGTCGAGAGATCAGATACTCCAGTTGCTTTATCACAGTTTCTGCAAACTCCGAAGAAACCAAACCCGAGTCATAGAAAATGGCAACACTCACACCTTCCGGCGCAAGATCGCAGATAACAGTCAAGGGATGAGTACTAAAGTTGGATTGGGCAGGAAAGTCACCCATTGGATGATGGAACAAGCCTGGCGAGCTTTCTTTGCGGGCATGTTGCTGAACGACCAACAGGCTCTGAAACTGGCACGCAGAAGCTGCCTCGTAACTACACGTTTTGATCCACCGGAGACCGGTGTGTTCGTAGGGAATCAGCTCGGCCGCATGTTGCTGCATCCTAAGTAACGTTTCGTGAACGCTGTCCTCGTTCCGAAGAATCACACGCAGGGGCATGGTGGCGATTGTCGGAGCAGCTAGTTTGTCGAGGCCCGGGACCGAGGCATTGCGCCCGTTGACGGTGACGCCAAACACAACGTCCGATGAACGGGTCGTTTGCCCAATGAGGATGGCGTAGGCAAGCCGGATTACCGTCGTCCGGGTGAAGTGGCCATGAGGCCAATGCACAATGTGAAGTGGCCGGTGGGTGCGATTTATGGTTGTCGTCTCCGGCTGGAGGCTGCGAGGCGTGGAAGGGAAGTGCCGCATATAAAGGCCTTGGTGCTCTTTCTTCCAGAACACCCTGGCGGACTCGTTCGATGAGTCTATAGTATATCTGATAAACGGCGCGTATGACTGTGGAACAAGAGTGAGCCCTCGATATACCGCCTCGACATCCTCCAGAATGAGATCGTATGACCATTGATCAAAGAGGGCATGGTGCATCGTCAGGGTGAATGTTACCGGTCCAGCCATGGAGAGCTGCACCAAGGGAGTTCCGAGAGTCATGAATGTATCTTCGTATGGCTGCTCCTGACGTGTTTGTGCAGAACGGACCACAACCTGGAGTGCATGAGGGAGGAATAATTGTACAATCCTTGTCCGCAGTATCGGACGTGCTGAGATAACTGTGTCCCAGGCATCCCAAAATCGACCCAGATCCACCGTGGCCGGAAGGGAAAACGAGAAGTCAGCTTGGAAGGAGCCGGGCTGTTGCAAGCTAAATCCAATCATGGCTTCTTGCAGGGGGGTACAAGGATAGATGTCTTCGATGTCGCTGGGCCTGAGGTGACATTGCACCGCTGCCTGTTGAACAAGAGCATGTCTATCCCCGTTGACCAAGGAGAGGGGTTGGTATTGGAGATTGAGTTCACCATCTATCTTGCGGATTTCTGCAGCCAAAGTGCGTATTGAGTCGGCCTGGAATACGCTGGACATTGAGAACTGCAACCCTATGTTTCGGGCGTTGGCGACTAGCGATATGGCACTGAGGGAATCGCCACCCAGCTCGAGAAAACTGTCCGTTGCAGCAACTTTACTCTCAGGCATGCCGAGCTCGGTGGCCACGAGCTGTCGAAGTATCGTCTCGGTTGGTGTTGTCGGTGAGGTTGTTGCTTCAGCCATAAGGCCACTGCGATACTTTCGAAGTTGGGATAGTGTCAACTCATCCACCAATTCTCGCAACAGTTTCCGATCCACTTTGCCGGTTGGAGTCAGTGGAATTCGAGATATGGGGATGTATGTCGTCGGTATCATATGCACCGGCAGAGCGTTGTGTAGGGCATCTTTGAGATGATCTATTAGCTGATGAAACCCGGCATCGGGCTCATGGAATAGAGAGGCGGAGAGATCTTGGTAATCAGCAGAGCATCTGGGCGCCAGGAAGAGCACCAGGAACGGTCTTTCATTCACGACGCCAGCCAGTTCAACCACGACGCCATAGTCTGCCAGGAATTTCCGCGCGTGAGACTCGATTTCCTCGAGCTCGACTCGCTGGCCATGAATTTTCACCTGGGTGTCTTTTCTTCCGCAGTAGATAATCGATCCATCAGTTGCATACCTAGCTAGATCCCCAGACTTGTAGAGCCTTGCATCTGGACCAAGTCCAAAGAGGGATCCCCAAGTGGGAATACTCACAAACGCTGCCTCGGTCTGCGCAGGCCTGTTGAGATACCCTCGTCCGACAATGGGCCCTCCAATGACGAGCTCACCAATAGGCCCGATGGGGAGCAAACGCTCGTGATTCTCTTTATCCACAATCCACGCGCTCCCTCCGTAGCAGCGGCCGATATTTCCAGGGTCTCTGACATGCGACTGGACGGTGGAAACAACGGTGCACTCTGCCGGACCGTACGCGCAGATCAGGTCCACGTGCTTCCACTGGCTGATGTCAGTTCTCAATATAGGCTCTCCCCCGAGTACAAGCGTTCGAATGCTGGGCACCTCTGCGGGCTGGAGCATCCGGGCAACGGAAGGGGTGAGCTCGGCCCAATTGACCTGGAGATCGTTGCAGGATTCGGCCAGCCAGTTCATGCGCTGATGCTCGGATGGAATACAGACACAGCCTCCTAACAGGAGCGGAGCCAGGCACTCGAGGATACTAACGTCGAAGGCGAACGATGCATATTGCAAGACACGCGAGCGACCGTCGAGGCGATGGGCTTGGCTGGTGGCAAGAGCATTGGTGCAGAATGACCTGTGCTCGATAACGACGCCCTTTGGCCGTCCGGTTGAGCCGGACGTGAAAGATATATAGGCGGCATTGCAAGGACTGGTTGAGACCATGGGCGGCGATACAGTTGGTTGCCCGTACACCTCGTTGCCAATGATCATCTTGACCAGTGGATACTCGATTGACGGTGCGTCGCTGAAGCATATAATCACCTTAGGTTGGACATCCTCGCAGATATTCTGTAGTCGAACAGCAGGATACGAGGTATCCAGGAGCACAAATGCTGCTCCTACCTTCAGGACTCCCATTATCGCCACCACGGCCCATTTGGACTTGGGCAAGAATATGGGCACGATTGAATCTGGTATGCTGTTATGTTTCTGCAAACGGGCAGCAATTGTGTTCGAAAATATCTCTACCTCTTGGTAGGTGAATTCTCCGTCCCAGGCGCAAACGGCCGGCTTCCACGGTTCTTTCGCCGATTGGCGCTGGAACAGATGGTGAATACAATCCTCCACCAGGATATCAGATGACCGACTGTTCCAGTTCTGAAGCTGAAACAGATGATGGTCATGAATTGTACAAGATATTCTCGCTGGTTGAGAAGTGGATGGTGACGCATCGAGTAGGGCACCCAGAGCCGTGATCATATTTTGCGCTTCAGCTTCTCCGAGCACCGCACAACGATAATATAGTGCAAGCTGGATGACATAATCTCTCTCCGTTGCGACTATAATAATACCAACATTCTGAATTCGAATGTGAGTAAAGCAGAAACTTGGAGCGAACTCACCGAAGAGCATGACTTACCGACAAGACGGAGATCTCGTTAAACGGACACTTTGGCCACACGTCTGTGTCGTCCTCCCAATGCAATACCGTGTTGAAAGAGATATCTCCAATTGACTGGCTGCCCAGCCGCTGAAGACGAACAGCGAGAGGGAAAGGCTGGTCAAGATCAATATTGGCAGCCCAGTGCTCGAGCTGCAAGTGCTCCCTGGATACAAGAACGCCAAAGCTCAAAGCTTTTGACTCGATATAGTCAGCCAGCAAGGCTGCCCACACTAGCTTGAGAATATGAAAAGGAGACGTTCCGAAAGCTGTGCTTGGGCCACTCTCCAGGGTGACAAATGCTGTCTTTTCCTGGTCATCACTGGATGACCAGAGATTAGGGATGAGCCCGGGGTACTTGTCACACATACTGGGAAGTTAAAAGTTTAAGCTAAATTTGAAATTAAGAAGAATGGAGTTCGTCAAGCATGAACTCTTATACACAGCTATATAATCCAGAGAGATCCGTGTAGGAAGGTATTCTATCTGTGACTATGGCCCAAAAGATAACGAATGCCGCTTAATCCGATTTTAAACTGACGTCGTAATGGGAGAACAGGGATATCCAAGCTGGTAGCATGCCATATCTACGGATTAAAGGTAAAAAGGGCAACTCTTACTCATATAGAGGGGTGCAGAATAAGTTAGCCGAATTCTCAAGCTTCCTTCCCCAGGATCTACCAGGCAGCACAGGATCAACCAAACCGGTCATGCGGCCAGTACTTTCAATGTCCAAGGATACCTGTTGTTAATTATTTGCCAAGGATACAAACTGGGTGAGCGGAAATGATAAAAATCAGGGTCACTTTGAGACGGGCTTGAAACTATGATAGGCTGAAAGTATAGGGAGCTAATATATGTTGCTGTAGTACAGCGTCGTAGTGTATTGATAAGGCATTACATGCAGAAATAAACTAGCCTTGAGAATGACAAACCCGTCATACGAACCTATTTTAAAGTATAATAGTTTAGAGATTATTGCAAAAAGGGCTGCACAATGCGTCGGTTATACGTCAGAAAGAAGAAAAATAAGAAGTTGAGCGAGTAGGTTAAGCCCTGAAAAGCAAATAATGAAGCACTACCCCTATAACTCTGTTCACTAAGCTGCCACCTGGCAAAGCCGGCATCAGTGGTAGTACATCGTGGTGTACGGGCCTGTCTTGATCGAATACGAAAATGAGAGCCACGCCTGGAAGTCAGACGATTGCGATAAATCTAGATCAGGCCTGGATGCCATATCAGAAGGAGGTCAACACGGGGATAAGCCAATCCAGGGTGCTTACTTGTAAGAAGCCACGTTCTCGACGTACGTGCTGGCATGGTCCTCCCAGCCCCACCTCCGGAACACACTTGACAATGCGGTGGCAACCATCTCGTCATTCAGGCCGGTGAGAGGGAAATAGATCTTTAATTTTGGCCAAGGATCCCGGGGCTTGAGTTCGAGGTTTGCCAGCAGGGGGAGCCTGGTTGGTGGATCTCCAGGCCGGGTTGGTCTGTCCGGAGGCGCTCGAGTGCCCGGGGGGATCTCCAGCGCTTCCCACAGGTCCTGCACCATCTGCAGCCCTCGTTCCGTCTCTTCCCCCTGGAGCTTCCCTCCCAGCGTCCAAATGTCGGTAATCCGGTCAAACCCCACCTGCAGGTCTGCCAGGTAGAGCTTGAACCGGGTCACTGCTGGGGAGACCAGATCGCACGACAGGAAGTAAGCCTGCAAAGTGGATGGTGCACGGCGCAAGAAATCTTCCACTTCGGCAAGACCAGCAGAGAAAAGATCCCCTGGGTCGACTTTGCGCATAGAATCCCCAATCAACTGGAGAATGGGAGTGCCCGTCGCCGCGGATTTGAGCTCAGGGTACAGGTAGAGCTTGACGGCGATGTCCCCGTCCTTCAAGTCCAGCGCCACTAAGGATTGCGTCCGGGCTGGACGGCCAGCTAGCTCGTTTGCGTCGATCAGTGCCCGTTCGTCGTCATCGCTCAGCGTGAGATCGACAATCAACCGATGGTACAGCTGCAAGTCCAAAGAAGGACTCACGCGTTTCAATCGGCGAAGAGCCTGGTCAATCATGCCGCGGTTACAAGGATCCTCGCCCGTGCTGGCTTCATGACTGGTCGGTTCGAAGGCGATGCGGACTAGCGACTGAGATTGAGCCAAGTTCTGGCTGAATTCCAAAGACCCCAGGCCTCCAAGGAGACAGTCATAGAGGCCCGGGCGAGACTTGGGAAATGGGCCTAGCATCGGGATGACGTGTGTGGCAAAGAGGTACAAGTATTGGAACTGTTGATGGAAGTTGTAATGGGCAGCTGAGAGCATCCTAGCCAGCATGGATGCGGCTGCTTCCCACCATTCGCTCTGGTCAAGATTTGGGAAAATCAGGAATTTGACCAGAGCATCATACACCGAGGAAGATGCCACGGATGTCTTCTTGATGTCCATGTTGTAGTCCGGATCGATTGTCAGGAAACTGGGAGAGGGATGGTCGAGGGAAGTTGTCCCCATTATATAACTAAAACTATATCGACTCTGCGATAGAGGATAGATGGTGATGGCTTGGGTTGGACTGCATTGGTGCTCTGGTCTCGAGAATTGCACGCATACCCAATGCCCTGACCTGGATGGCCCTGCAAAATGCAAATCAGCGGGCTTCCAGCTGCGGCAATATTCCTATTTGTCCGACCTCGTTCGCCTTACCTTTACAAGACCAATTTAGAATGCATCCAGCAACCCCGTCGTGCTTGGCCTGAGCAATCAATGATCATTTGCCACGTTCACGCTTTATCTGTTCTACTATAGAACCATGCAATTTCGGCTTTTGGTTAAACCCCAGACGAACAACAAACATCTGTTGCTGGCAATCGACCAGAGGGATTTGAGGACTCTACATCCTGCGTTTCTTTGACGTCCAGTCCATTTCTCAAAGGCTTCTTCAGTTTCATCAACCTCATCATGGCTGCGGATCGTTCCCCCTGGCGTGTACTCGGCAAAGCACTTGGGTTTGCCAACCGCGACCAGGAGCTCTGGTGGCTCAACACGTCTCCCTTCTTCAATAATCTTCTCAATCAATGTGGCTATGAGGTGCATGAACAATACCACTACCTGTGTTTCTACCATAAACACATTGTCCCTGTCCTGGGCTCCTTTATCCGCCCTGGAAACTCCCCAGACCACCTCAGCTGTTTCACTCCAGAAGGTTATCCCTTCGAATTGAGCGTGAACTTCCAAGAAGACCGGTCTATCCTTCGACTCGGTTGCGGACCCGTCGGTCCCTTCGCCGGCACGGAACACGACCCCCTGAACAAATTCATGACGCGCGAGCTGCTGGCAAAAGCTGCTCAGATTGACCCTGCAATCGACCTGCGGTGGTTTGATTACTTCGAGTCCCAGTTCATCCTGCCCACCGAGCAGGCAAGAACTGTCTCCGAGCATGTAGTCCGCCATGGACGGCAGACCAGCCAGCTTGCCTTTGACCTCAAGAACGGGGGTGTCGTCGCGAAGGCTTACGTCTTCGTCCTTCCCAAGTCGATCGCAACGGGCGTGCCGACTGTCACCTTGGCCCTCAACGCCATAGAGGGTCTGGCAGACGCGGACTTTGGATCCAGCCTGGCTCTCCTTCGAGAGTACCTGCTACCGGGACCTGACTCCGACGCTCCTCGCTCGGAAGTCATGCTCATAGGGGTCGACTGCGTGGAGCCCCAAAGCTCGCGCCTCAAGCTATACCTCGTCAACACGCACCTCTGTCTCGAGAACATGCGTGCCTTCTGGACTCTTGGCGGTCGCCTGAGCGACTCGACCACCATGAAAGGTTTGGAGATTGCCGAGAACCTGTGGAATCTGCTGGGGCTCAGCGACACCGTGTATGAAACGGTGGACGTGGACAAGTTGCCTTTGACATTCAACTACGAATTGAAAGAGAAAGAGCAGGCCCCAAAGCCGCAGCTGTATCTCCCTGTTCAAGGCAAGGGTGATGAGTTCGTGGCGGACGCTTTGACCGAGTTTTTCAAGTTTTTGGACTGGCAGGGATTTGCTTGTCGCTATAAGCAGGACTTGATCTCGAATTTGTAGGTGACCCCTGTCCCCTGTCTCCCACAGTGGTGCGTTCAGGAAATGAGAAGCTGACTACGATATAGTCCTTGCCGAGACCTCAAGGGATCGACTGCGGTTCAGCGCTGGATTGCCTTTTCTTTCACGGAACGGACGGGTGTTTATTTGACCATTTACTTTCATGCAATTGGTGGGGATGTAGGGCGTTTGTAGGAACAGTGCGTCAAATCGGTTGGATTGAACCTCGAGGCATCCGGCTGGCTTTCTGACTTTCCTGTTTATTCAAACCCTGGTCAGAGGGCCTCGGTCGGAATGACGAGTATTGTAGTTTGATCCAAAAGCCTGGATAGACAGGGCTTAACTCGAGGAATAGTCACCAAAGGAGTCGGTCCATAGCAAAATACAGGGAATCTCCAGGTTCACCTGCTCGCTTGTAGGGCTTAACTGACAAGGTGTGTACCACGCCAAGCCCGTATTCTACTCGAGGCGGACATTCGATGTCTAAATCGAGCTTGGGCTCAGGAGACAAGGGCTTTTGTTCAGGGGAAGCTTGTCGAAGAAATAGCTCCTGCTCGGAGGCAAGACCCATTCATTCCTTTTCGGCTTAAGCACGGTCCTTTCCTGTACTGTGTTCACGAGACACAGAATGAAGGCCACCGGTCGTTTTTAAAATCACTCCTCATACCAAAGATAATCCCCTCCCCCCCAGAATATATCGCGCTCACATTAGACGGGTGAACATCTCCGAGAAGCGCACTCTGGATCGAACATACCCGAGAACTCTCCGGCATGGCTGACGTCCCTGAAAATCACTCTACCTCAGACGGTTCTTCGAAGGTAGGCTTCCGGTATTCCTTTAAGTGCGCGTGTATCCTGTCAATGCTAACGCAGTCGAGCAGGATGTGGGAACTCCAAACTCAACCACACCTGCCGAAGAGTGAGTCCCCCCCCCCTCCCCTCCATAAAACTGCGAAGCCATCCGTATTCAGCCAGCTCTGTCCCTATCAGATACTACGGCAAAACCCCCTCCAGTCTCATGGATAAGATCTGGGGGACCTCCTTCCACGTATGTCGGCAGGTGCCCGGCGAGTCGTTCCGGGCGGCCATGACCCGCCACGAACACTACCTCGCACTGCGACTTGGCCTTAAACCCGGCCAGAGAGTGCTCGACGTAGGCTGTGGCATTGGGGGTCCCGCGCGGGAGATCGCACGGTTTGCTGAAGTAGAGGTCTGCGGGATCGATAGCTGCCTCGCGCATATCCAGCGAGCACAGGCACTCACAGAGCCGAGCAACCTGTCGCCGGGCCAGGCGCGCTTCCTAGTCCGCAACTTCACCGCGACAAATCTGCCCCAGGGCTCCTTTGATCGGGCGTATGCCATAGAAGCGACATGCTACGCACCGGACCTCACCGCCGTCTACGGGGAGGCATTTCGAGTGTTGAAACCGGGGGGCGTCTTCGCGGTGTACGAAGTAGCGCTGACGGAGCGGTATGACGACCAGTGTGCGGAGCATCGAGAGATCCTGCACCGCATGGAGAGTGTCGCTGGAAATCCGCACCTGAAGCCCACGGTGGAGGTCATGGCGGCGATGAAGGCAGTGGGATTCGAGCTGCTTTCGGCGGAAGATCTGGCAGACGCTCCCGGCAGCTTTCCGTGGTATCGGTTGATTGACGGCTCGTTCAAGCGGATGGGTGGGTTTGGGGAGACCCTGGCCGGTGGGTGTCTGGCGGCTTTCTATAAGACATTTTCTTCGCGCTGGGGGCGCGACTTGCTCAAGTATGGGGAGATGGTGGGCATTTTGGCGAACGGGAGACAAGGTCACGTAGAGGAGATGATTCAGGTGATGCAGGCGTATTGCATCGCCGGGGAGGAAAAGCTGGTGACTCCGATGTTTTTGATGGTAGGGAGGAAGCCAGAGGTCTGATGTGGTCAGCTTGCAGTACAAGATTCCTCTTGATGAAAGTATACCTTTGGCGTCATGAAGGTGGATAAGTTCTAGTGCAGCTCCTGGACCAATCGGGATAGGGTTAGGGCTGCACGTCCCCGCTCCATCACGTGGGGATCGGCGCTGAGTCAGCTCTGGTCGGATGAGCATGACTTCAGCTGCCGACGCCGCTTGTCCCTGTCAAGCTCGCAACGAAAGATCTGCCGCCCATTGTCCATTGGCATTCCCTCTCTGCTGCCACCGAAGCAATGCGAATGGTGCCTTTTACAACGTGAGGGCCGCCCAAAACCTACCGATTCGCCTGATCTCCATCCTCCCTGTATATGACCTCAATTGTGCGCATGAGCCACTGCACCACCGCCCGCGGAAAAACTTCGGCAGTCACATTGCAACTATCGCATTGAACCCGGCTGAACCATCCCCATGGCCTCTCCCTACCAGTCGTCAATCTCGTTCTCGCCGTCGGTTTCCGGCGCCGATGTGACGGCTGCCGGCGCGGCGGGCGCAGGCCCCTCACGGCCCATCTCCGAACTTCCGCAATCTCAAGTCGACGCGATCATCCGGACCAAACGAAAGGCGCGGGAGCCCAAGGCCTGTTACCCCTGCCATGCGCGAAAAGTCAAGTGCGACCGCAACCTTCCATGCGATGGATGCGTCAAGCGAGACCACGCCGATCTCTGTTCCTACGAGCGTCCCTCCAAGAAACGAATCATGACGGGCTCCGTCCCGCCGCCAGCCGGAACGACGTATAGCGACAGCCCCGTGGGGGGAGCGACGCCCGGTGGTGTGCCAGAGCAACTTGGAATGCCAGCACAGCCGGATGGTGGCGTCCGTCTGAAACAAGAACCTGGTACAACGCGATCCGCGCCTTCCGTGCCGTTGGGGCCCAGCGGCCGCGTGTCGGTGGCGCGCGAGGAGTGGGATAATGTGCGCACGCGGTTGAAGGAGATGGAGCAGACGATTAGCAACCTTCGCGTGGGACTGGAACGGGCCGAGGAAGGACAAGCGTCGAGTCTGGAGACCGGCAGCGTACAGAGCGCGGATGCAAGTAACCGATCCAAAGGCGCTTCCCCGGAGCGAGAGGGTATCCACGCGGCCAATACCCTGGGCGAGGGCACCGTTCATCTGGGGTCGCGGTCCGTCCTTGCATACATTCTCAACAACAAGTCTGGGTCCGACCAGTTACAAGCGCTTCTGGAAGGGGGGATCTTGCCAAAATTAGGACTCGATAATGAGTCGGCAACTTACCCGTTTGTCGATTTGTGGTCTTCAGATATGTCGACTTTTGACCTCAGTGCCGTTTGCAGTGCGCTTCCCGGTGATCAACAGTGTAAAGAGTCAGTTTCCCTGGTGTTGGATTTCCAAGATGACGTTTAAATTAATGTCGTTGCAGGTTCTTCTATTTTTACCGAGACATCGCCGGGGCCATCTATCCTGTGATCGAGGACACGGCACTTTTCGAAATGCATCTCAATGTTATGCTGCAAAATCGCGCGTCAATTGGTGGAACCTATAGGGCCGATGATGATCAAGCACAGAAGCCGTTTGGCGTCTCGATCGCATTCTTTGGTCTGCTGTTTGCCGTGCTCGCGTCGGGCTGTCAGTCTTCTGATCTGCCTGGAAAGGAGCGGGAGTTGACTTCCCAGGTCTACGGTAAGATATTTTAACGCCGCTACTGGCCTTTGCTAATTCATTAGTGTGCTGCTCTTATCAATGTCTTCGAATGACGAACTTTTTGTCGCAGCCGACAATAGAAGCCATCCAAACGCTCCTGGTCATTGGGAATGTACTGTCCTATAATATGAACCCCGGAATTTCTTATGTCCTGCTTGGTATGACTCTTCGAATGGGCTTGGCTCTGGGTCTTCACGTCGAGACGAGTCGCTTCTCGCCGGTGGAGCGATACCGCCGACGACATGTTTGGTATGCTCTATTGCACCACAAATGAATAAAATCTAACATTCCTAGGTGGTCCATGGCGTGGCAAGACAGCCACTTCTCTCTATCTTATGATCGACCATCCACGACCGCTGTCAGTCAACCGGATATCGCCTCTCGTGGAGACTCGCGACCCGGAGATCTCTCGTATTTCGAAACCCTCTGTCGGATCATCGCTCTCGCCTTAGAAGTTGTCCGTGGGCGGATGTTAAACTCTCACTCCCAGATGGGCTTCAAGACCATCCAGACATACAAAGAACGGATACAACAGATCATGGTGGAAGCGAAACCCTATTTGCGCGACCCCAAATACTGTGTCACACCAACGGAACATCTCGAACGTGTCGTACTAAAGCTGCACTCCTCCTACTTCTCCTCCGAGCTCTGCCGGCCAGCGCTCAAAGCTTCCCCTGATGCGCACGACCCGGCTAGTTCCAGTATGCGCTCCGACTGCGTCAGCAACCTGATGACGACGGTCGAAGCCTATATCGAGATGCATTCCGTCAGTTCGCATGCGTCGCGCTCCTGGATTGCGCTGCAGCGAGCCATCAGCTCGATCTTCTTGCTGGCTGTCACGGAAGAATCCAAGACCAACCCCCGGTTTTGGTCTCTCCTGCAACAGATCAAAATGATCATTGCTGAGCGCGCCAACACAGAATCAGTCGACTCGGCCCCTTCATCCGATAACAATGTCACGGCCTTTGGCACCACCGTCTCTGGCGCCCCGACTAGCGCGGGCACCAGTCCCGCCGCCTTCTCTGCCTCTCCTGCTTCGGCTGCTGTCGCCGTTGAGACACAAACCCAGTGGGCCAAACCCTTGACCAAGACCCTACGGGCTCTCGAGAAACTAGAAGCGGCGTTCAGTTCGCAGACCCATGTAGCCGCCAGCCATGGGTCACCAGCATACCTGAACCCCGGCTCAGCCGGCATGAGCTCTCTCGCTCCTCCAGTTCCCGCCGCCATGACACCCAGCATTGGATCCCTACCCCCTCCAACGCCCGAGAGCTCGACGAGTGGCGAATGGTCTATCCCCAATATCATGGACCGGGCCGCCGAATATATCCATCCACCTTTGTGGAGTTAGTGGGACCGTTAGGCGCATATGGACGGACGGCATGGCATCTCTTTCTTGTTTTCTTCTAATGACTTCTATGGTAGGATGGGTTGGGTTCGGTCTGGTTTGGTATGGTCTGGTCAATGGCAGGATTCCGGCTCTCCTTGGAGTACAGTATATATATCATTGTTTGAATATTAATCATCTACATTGCACTTGCCTCTACCTCAATCCCCACAGAATCTAAATCTAGAAATCAGTACGGAGTAGCAGGACCAACCTCCCCAATACACTCGCCAAACCCGACCCCTTCGCCCGCCCACCCAGCCATCCTCACCACGTCGCCATCGTGCAGAAACACCCTCTCCTCCCCATTATCAGAACTGAAATTCGAATTCAACCAAACAGCCCTCTTCCCACCCCCCGTTATCTCCAGTAAACAGCCATACTCCCCCTCGCTCGTCCCACTCACCGTCCCCGTGCCTAACAACTCGCCCGTCTGCACCGCACACCCGGAACTAGCCACATGCGCCAGCATCTGTCGCGGGCCCCAGAAGAGCGTGTTCGCATTGGACGTGCTCAGACGGGTTACTACCCCTTGCTCCTGGCCTTTATCATCATATCGTTGTTCTTGACCTCTCCCGACATTGGACCCTGATTCTGTCGACGTAGCTGTCCCTGTGCTTGTCGACGCCGACGCCGACGCGGGAGTAGGAGCAGGAGCAGGCCCAGAACCAGGAGTATGCAAAACCTCCACCGTCAACTCAACATGGTATGTGAATTTCCCCTCATCCTGCAAATGCGGCAGCAGCTGCGCGCGCGGGGCGGGACCGGCGGCGCGGAACGGAGCCAGGGCCTCGACGGTCACGATCCACGGCGAGATGCTGGTGGCGAAGGACTTGCCGTTCAATGGGCCGAGGGGGGTCATTTCGAGGGATTGGATGTCTCGGGCTTTTTATTTGATTTCATTGTTAGTGGTATGACGGTGTCAAGATCATGGGAATCGATCGGATTGAGGATAGCCGGGACTCTGTCTACATCCCAGAACGAACCCCAAGATAAGACAAAGGATAGAGGGAGGAAAAGAAAAGCTCACCACTCCAATCATTAAGCACCACCACCCCAAACACATGTTCCTCTGCGTCTTTCGCCATCAACCCCTGCTGCGGACTAACCGGCGCACCGACCACGATTCCCAGTTCGAGTTCGTAGTCGAGGGCCCTCGACGCAGCGTATATCACCTCTTTTACCTCCTTGTTCTTAACATCTCCAGAAGAATCAGTGGCAGCCTTGGACCGATCGTAAAAGTGCCCGCTCGGTCTCACGATCTTCGTCCCTGAGACCACGACGCTGCTGGCTCGTCCGGTGTAGCCGATTGGGAAGTGGAAAAAGCCCGGCGGGGGTGTTGGGTTGTTGAGGATTGCGCGGCCGGCGTTTTGGACGTGGTTGAGGCTGCAGGAGAAATCTGTCGGTTTATCAGGCAGTTTGTTAGTGTTGGTCTTGGGAATAGGGAGGAGGGGTACCTCATTATGAAATGAGAAGATGACAAGGACAGCAGGAAAAGAAGACGAACCTGTGAAATTCGGAATCTGAACCGGTAAATGCATCGTAACACTCTCTACACTCTCTGTACTAGATTCCGGAAAAGCAGCCACGCCTGACGAGAGTGCGGATTGTAGGATCTCGCGAACATGGTGGTGGACGCGTTTCGGCAGCGCGGAGAACCGGTTCAAGGATTGGTCGTCGAAGACGAGAGGCGGCAGGTCGACGATAGCAGAGAAGAAGCCGGCACGTTGGAGGTCGCCGAGGAAGATGACGGTGTTGTGCAGACGAGTTGCGCATTGGGGGAGGGAGTGTGTGGGAGACGAGGCGATGCCGTAGGGGAGGTTGTGGATTGAGAAGTGGTGGCTGTATTGGGGGGATGTCATTGTGGGTCTTTTGGTTTGGTCTGGGGCGGATTGGAGGGTGGATATAGGCGTATTTATTTTAGTTGAACATGGGGAAGGATATGATTGACCGGTGAGTTTATATCTTATAGTTGGATGGAGTCGGGATGGATGTCCACATCCCGATGGTTCGGAAGAGGCAGCTTTTACAGAGGGTGCATACGGAAGTGAAGCATGATCTGGTCAGTCATCATTCATTGAATCAAATCCCAAAAGATCCTGGGCTTGCCTATCACAAGACAGCCATATTCTATATACAAATTTATAAAATCCCCTGCGTACAACTTTCCAGATTCTGAGACGAATGCACAGGACAGAACGCCGTGTTCGGCAACCCAACTGCCTCATGGCCTTGACACTGACATCCACAGCCTTGCAGACTCAAAGGGCTTATAGGCGTTGCCGACTCCCCGGTTGACGGAGACTGAGCCACCGGCGAAGTCATGGATATCCCTGACGCTTGTGCTTGCGGGATCAGAACGAGAGCCTTGGTCCTCGAGGCCCCGGAACCCAGTGTTTGCATGATCTGTGGGAGCGACGACTCTTACAACTGTTAGCTATTTGTGTCAGGAAGCGGATGTTATACGGACAACGCACCGGTAGCGACATAATAGAACGCAGATGATGGATACTGCGCCTGGTCCCAAGATTCCGAAGGGAACGGAGCATTCAGCTCGGCCACCGAATAATTGCTGAGTGCCGGGGAAGACAGATCGGGGCTGACAAAACTCAACCCGGACTCATAAAAGCCATTTGCCATCGAGGGAGGCGACGAGTTGGCCGATTCGCCCTCTTTGATGGGTTCGTACATCGAAGACGGTGTCAAAGGTTGGGAGCAGATGACGGGTATCGCCCCGACGGAGCTGCTGCAGGTAGGACAAACTCCCGTCGGCGCGGGATAGTATGGGTCGAAATGAATTGCGTTTTCCGAAGGAGACGAGAGTGGTTTCCCCTCAGCTTCATATGGAGCAACAGGTTCCATGGGTGATGGGCCTGGGTTTGGGTATCCCCAGCCATTCAGACTGGCAGCAGCCCTCAGTTCGCTGGCGATGACACGCTCTTGGAGTTTGGCGATGCGGTCGCGGATTTTACGGCCTGCAGTGAACATCAACATTGTGAGCATGAAACAAGAGCCAGATCAAGATGGCTTACGGTGGTTTCGCTGTGAGAGCCTATTCTGTAGTCTCCGTCTCTCAACGGGGTCTTGTTTTTGACCCGAGTCATTTGTCCGTTCCTCTTTTATCGCTTGGCTTCTCATCTTCTAGTCAAGACGTTGACAGAATGTGCTCGTGCTTTGTTATTACGTCTCTCGTCCGAGTATGTATTTTTGCTTGAACTGATTCAAATGGAATAGATGTAAGGCTTGAAGATGGGATTGCAAAAGGGACACTCAGGCGTAATGACTGTTCCCACGTAGTAGGTCAGAGTCCACTAAATGTCAGAGCTTTTATAAAGGATCCGACACACTGTGGCTTATCTGATTCAAAGCAGGATCCGTGCTGAACCTTGCACCGCTCTTGCCATTCGCTTGTCAGCCTAGTAGCCACCGAGTTTACAAGGTTGCGCAGCAGATGCTACAGCATTCGATGGCAGACCTGATCGAGAAAGGATAGTCGGTATACGAACGGTATTGGAATATCCACGGGCCTGGGACTTGCTCGGGTTGTACTATCTCCCTCGCCGAGAAGTACTTCAACACAGTTGCGCCGATGAGGGACAACTGCTTCCGTGATCCGTGACTCCCGAAAGCCACGCGGCCGTGTATCATGTTGGAGTACAGTTCGGCCCTCGATTCTTCCCAGGTAGACGTCGCACAGCCAATTCATATGAGTGGCCATTGAGGCTCAGATGGATGTTTGCCGACGCAGGAAACTAATAAAAGAGATCAAATCAAGCATCGATCTGGCAGTCGCTCATTGTTGGGCTAATCTCGAAAGAGTGTCGTGGACTAGACAAGAGACCCCATGTATGTCGATCAAATCTCAATGCAATACCATAGGCTAGGTTTGTTTGATCGGTACTCTGGATCAAGCCCAACCAACCGCTGACCGACGACCAGACCATGATAGTTTCTTTTCTTCTTCCCAGCATGCACGGATGAAAATTGGGAATGTTAGTTTGAGCGCGACCGTGCCGCACTCCGCAAGGTCATCCGAGATGTGAAGTTTGTGCATCTGGAAAAGCAATTTATGATAACATTTCAGGTGTCGGATGTCCATGAGCTCCGTTCGGGGGGGGTTCCCGCTCTAGGAAGCCCCTGTACAATGGCAGCTGAAAATCACTCGTCCTCCATCGACCTCGATATCCGGGTGTTCCGTCCCAGGACGCCCAAATGTAGGCCAAGTTGGGAATTTCGGTCTGTCATGGACCAGGATCGATCGGGATGGTCTTCAATAACATGGCGAAGACAAGGCAGTAGGGCGTCTGATTGGCAGCGTCGATGAACTTTAATCGATGGAATGCTGCCATTATCCGCAGACAATTTGTCAGGTTAACTCCAGAATGACAGAAGTGGCTCCGAAAAGCGCACTCTGCTGGGTTCGTTGACCCTGTTCAAGCAGGGCACTCGACCAATCCCACAACAGCATGAATGGGATACTTGGGGACATCCTCCAATGGCAGCAGACGGAAAGGACTATTTTCTCGCTGTCTGTTTTGCAATTTGTCCGTGAGGGCCGCAGAATTCAAATGCCACGCACAAACACGTCACGAGCAAAAAAAGCGCTGGCCAAAGCTCTCAGCTAATGGATGATCCGCCCTCAGCGATCCGATGTGGCTCAAGGTTGGGATGGCAACTGGCCAGTCAGCCACCGCCAAGAGAGTGAAGCTGAGATGATGGACCGATGAACTCGGCGCGTATCGAGCGCAGCCCCTTGTGCGACCTGGCGGAGGACGGGAAGCGCAGCTGGCGAGGTGAAGGTGAAGGGAAGAAATCCGAGAGACGAAAGACGTCGGCGGGGATCCCGTGACCGCAAAGCCCTGAGGATGAATCCAGACTCATTCGAAAGACGCAGAAAAGCCTCGGGATTTGACAGAAACAGGCAGCAACTGCCTTCTCCGGATGCAGGCCGACAAGGGTCATCTCACCGACTCGCTTTGTTTCTATCGCAGCGGCTTCTGGACCCTGAACGAGGGACGCTACGGGTGAGACTACTCCCCATACTGTTAGATCCAGCGATCCTTCCATAATATCAGCAGCAATCCAGAGCCATACAGTAACAAAGATTAGAAATGGCCGAAATGACAGAAAATCTGCTCACTGGGACGTTGGCGCCAGGCAGCCGAATTCCCCGGGATCAAGGCGCGATGCATTTAACCCTAACTTTGACCTGTCTCCATGTCTCCTCTAGAGTACACCAAATACACCAAATACTACTAAATTTGGCAACGTCGTAGGTACTGCCATCTTGCTCAAGCACTATCCCAGCATCCCAGCATCCCACCTTCACGGTGCCCAATCCTAGCCGTCATGCAGGCCATCGTCGACTCGGTCCGCAATCTACTTCCCTACCATGTCCTTTGTTACGGATCTCTGTTCGGCACGGAGATCTACCAGGTAAATCTCCAGAGCTGCGATCTATTTCCGATCGGAAAACCAACTTTTCCCTCTGTCCAGAGCTTTGTCAACACCAAAATCTGCTACCAAGCTCTGCCAATGCGCGAGTTCATCGTGCTTCAGAACCGCGTGTTTCCCGCCTACTTCCGTTGTCAGGTCGGCTTGGCTCTGTTGACGGCCGTGACACGCCCTCCGTATAGCCTCGGCTCTTTTGCAAAGCACCCGTTGGATTCGATTCCGTTGGTCGTTGTGCTCTTCACGGGCCTTCTGAATTGGTTTGTCTACGGCCCTCGAACGTCCGGAACCGCTGTTGTCAGAAGGTCCCTGCAAGGTATGTGGCGTGTCGGTTTGAAATCGGCCTGTTTTGTTTGTTTCTATATTTTGATCAAATTTTTATTTTGTTTACTTCCATTTGCTTTTGTATTTTTGCCTCTCGTACCCATTCCATTCCATTCCACAAGAAAGATCCCCAGAAAAACAATGCCTAACCCACCGTCGTCGCACAGAAAAAGCGAACGACGAGAACAACCCCAACCCCACGGATCCAAGCAAGCTCCACCAGGTAAATCGCAGGTTCTCGCGTAACCACGCCATGTCGATCCATCTGAACGCCATCGCGCTGGTTGCGTCGATCTGGTACGCCTTCTCGCTGAGTTCGAGCATCACCAATGGTTTGTAACTATGGCGTGCAATGGTCGGATCTATTGGAAACACCGGGCTGTTTGGGCGGTGCTTGGGTCTTTTCTCTTTCTCTCCGCTCTGCTACTGGTACGTATTTGTCATTTTTGTCAATGTAATTAGCCTATTGGTGCATGATTTCTGGCCCTGGGGCTGGGGAGTGCAGGTGGCATGGGTGTTATTTTGATCTCCTGCGTTGGGTACATACATTTGTTTTCTGGTTGGGTGAGGACTTTGGGCTGATGGATTGGACTGTGTCTATGTGAAGGGTCTTGCATTGTAGTTGGTTGGGATGTATATACAATGGCATTTTTATGCGCGCATCTTTGCAGTGCTTGGTCTTTGGGGTTATGTCTATGCAGGGTGCCATATACCGGCTTATTGAAGCATTAGACCACAGTGTAGCCAGAAATTTTATACAGTCCAGTAAATTAGCCCTACAATTTCTTCGTCTGGCTGACCTACTATCTGAAAATGTATAGGTTTATTGCATGAAGCCTTGCAGAATACATATATTCCGACCAGGCTACATCATACCAAACTATTGATATATTATGTTGTTTATTCAAGTGTCTGTTAAATCTATGATATAGAAATTATTCCTCTGGTACCATAATAATTTCAACTGGGGATGGAAACAAACATAAATACTTGAGGCCAAGAAGCTGACGAGAACGCTTCCAACTGCTCCGGACCATATCTCCATACTGGCCTGAATTGCCCATGCATTCTAGAGATCGCGTTAACCCACTCTACTGCCACATTAGTCCATGAGAATTGAACTTGAGATCACTCAGAATACAAATTCTTGCTCGCCCCCATCAGCGTTCCTCCGGAGATAAAAAGCCGGCTAAACTCCAGGAGTAAGCCGATAGCATTATGTCCATCGGTCAGCTTGATGACCGCGCATCTCCTTTCTCTGTTATCTCCGGCTGGGCAAAGAGGTGGAATTCGTAACCTCAATAGCTACTTGCACTATAAATGCGCCCCTCGACCAGCAATTACGGATCTTGTCTAACTTGCATCTCTACAGTTGTCTACTCGTTTATCCCAGCTACCACCATACAATGCCTCGTGTTTGGTTTATCACCGGAAGCTCTCGCGGCCTTGGACGCTCTATAGTCGAGGCGGCGCTCGAATCCGGAGACTCCGTCATTGCCACGGCTCGCAAGCCCGAGCAACTGACCGATCTGGTCGATAAATACGGCCCCCAGAAAGTCCTCCCGCTGGCCCTCGACGTGACCAACAACGAGCAAGTCATTCAAGCTGTCCATGCTGGACACCAGAAGTTCGGCCGGATCGACATCGTCATCAACAATGCCGGATACGCCAACACCACCGCAGTCGAAGATATCGACATCAACGATTTCCGCGCACAAGTCGACGCCAACTTCTTCGGGGTCGTGTACGTCTCCAAGGCGGTGCTGCCGATCCTCCGCCAGCAGGGCTCGGGGCATATCTTCCAGGTCTCGTCTCTGGGTGGACGTCTCGCGTCACCCGGGCTCTCGGCCTACCAGTCTGCGAAATGGGCCGTGGGTGGTTTCTCAACGGCCCTGGCTCAGGAGGTCGCGCCTTTCGGAGTCAAGATCACAGTGCTGGAACCGGGTGGTATCAAGACGGACTGGGCGGGCTCGTCCATGGCGATTCCGCCGGTCAGCGAGCCTTATCAGAGTACCGTGGGGGCATTCGCCGAGTTCCTACGCAAATCGCCAGGCATTGAGCTGTCCTTGCCTGGTCGAGTTGCGGCCATCATTTTGAAGATCGTCGAGCTGGAGGAGCCTCCTTTGCGTCTGCTGATCGGTCCCGATGCCGTGGAATACGCTGGCCAGGTGGCGCAGGGTCTGGCAGCGTCGGATGAGAAGTGGCGGGATGTGAGCCTTTCTTCGACTTAGATGGAATTTCTGCTTGCGATGTATTTATCTGGAGCAATCAGTGTTAGTTATGTAGTACTGAAGATGAATGTAAAGATAATGTGAACGCGATGAGATGAGAAGTGTAGAAGTAGAAGTAGAAGTAGAAGTAGAAGAGAAGAGAAGAGTAGAAAGAAAAAGGCGGAGACGCACGGGCCACGACGCGCCGGGAATTCCAGCCCAAGAAGACCGTCGGCCTTCTCTTCCTCCTCGTTTCTTCCCTCGTCCCTCCTTGCGCCTCGGACGTCGCAGTCTCCGAGGTTTCTGAATTATTCCTATCAGTCCATACTGCGTATCAGGAAGCTCATCTGCGTCCGCCCTCGCAAACGCCGTCGGAAAGGAGCCGCTCTCCTTGTTTGTTTATTCCGCGCCACCTCCGTCGCCCCTCCCTCATGCCTCTGCGAAACCGTGGCTGCCAACACTCCCTACATTCAATCCCCTCGTTCATCTTGAAGTACACTCGCAATTGAGCAAAATGGATCGGTTCCTGCGCAACTGGCGGCAGGACGCATTGAATCGAGGCCAGTTCGACTCGGCCGTCTACATCGGGGACAAAGTCTTTGCGTTGACCAGTGAGACCATTCTCTCGCCGTGTTCCCTGCCAGATCTATTCTAACGATGAACACTCGATAGACAGTGACTCCGATGCATTCTGGCTCGCCCAGGTCCATTTTTCGAATACCAACTACACGCGAGCCTTGGCCCTTTTGACCCGCAAAGACCTGATCACCCGCAGCGCCGCCTGCCGATACCTGGCCGCGCATTGCTACATCAAACAGAATCACTTCGAACAAGCACTCTCGGTGCTCGGCGATCATAATCCGACTCATCTCTTCCGCAGTAAGAACAGCCGTCGCAAAATCCAACACCTGAACGGGCGCAGCCGTGTCAACCTGCGAAATGGGAAAGCCGCTGCGATGTCGCACATGGACCCGAGTGAGGATCGGGAACGGGACGAATACAACAATGTTCGATTTGAGGCGGCCATGTGCTACCTGCGAGGGCTGTGCTTTGCGAAGCAGAATGCCTTTGACCGCGCCCGCGACTGCTACAAGGACGCGGTGCGCATCGACGTGCAATGCTTCGAGGCTTTCGACCAACTAATGAAAAACTCGCTCATGTCGCCGGCAGAGGAGCTGGAATTCTTGGAATCGCTGGACTTTGACTCGGTTGGCTGCCCGGATGCGTCAATTGCACAGGAGGCGGCCCATTTCACCAAGATGCTGTACACGACGCGATTGTCGAAATACTCGTCTCCCTCGATTCTATCCGACGCGACGGAAACTCTGTCGACACATTACAACCTCGCCGACAATCCCGATATTCTCCTTTCCCGGGCCGAGGCCCTATACACGCAATGCCGTTTCGCAGAGGCTCTGGAGCTGACCTCCTCGATTTTGTCCAACTCGCAATCTTCCACGGCGCTGACCACGGCCACCGCCCCCCATCTGTCCGCCCAGAACCACCTGGGACACGCACCGGCGGTGTACCCATTGCATTTGGCGTGTCTATATGAAACCGGTGCTACGAACTCGCTCTTCCTCTTGTCGCACACGCTGGCGGACCACGCTCCGGAAGAGTCCTACACCTACCTAGCCATCGGAGTCTATTACTTGTCGGTTTCCAAGGTCGCTGAGGCACGCCGGTTCTTCTCGAAAGCGTCGCTGTTAGATCCGCACTCCGCACCTGCATGGATCGGATTTGCTCATACCTTCGCTGCCGAGGGGGAGCATGATCAGGCCATCGCTGCATACAGCACGGCGGCCCGACTCTTCCAGGGCAGTCACCTGCCACAGCTCTTCCTTGGCATGCAGCATTTGGCGCTGAACAACATGTCGCTTGCTCACGAATATCTGTCTGCTGCCTACGCCATGTCGACCGGGGCCGCATCCGGCTCTGTCACCACGATCCCCGCCCTGCCGTCACCCGAGGGACACTCCTTGGGCGGTGACCCTTTGGTTCTCAACGAGCTTGGCGTTGTTCTATACCATCAAAATCAATTGGAAGGCGCCGTGGAGCTTTTCCGACAGGCCCTCGCCCTGGCCGGGTCGCTTCACTGCGAGCCAGGTGCATGGGTGGCTACGCGGGCCAACATGGGCCATGCATTACGTCGGATTGGTCGGTTTGCGGAGTCTTTGAGCGAGTTTGACGAATGTCTCCGGATTGGCGCCGCCGGCGCCAGCATCGGATACAGTCCGTTCCTGGGAGGCAGCGGTGGACATGCGTCTGGCGTTTCGGCCTCGGGGGTTGGGGGCTACGAAGATCGTGGTCTTATCGGATCCCTCCACACCGCGCGCGGTCTTGTACTCCTAGAGCTGGGTCGGACAATGGAGGCCGTCACGGCGCTCCACGAAGCTGTGCGCGTTCTAGGCGCAAGCGGCGGCGGCGACGCTGCCGGGGGCGCCGGGATCGCCGGCACGCTCCTCTCTCGTGCTCTCGAGATCTGGGCTCTAGAGGGCCACGGCAACGACTCGACGCCCGAAAGCGGTCGGTCTGGATCGAGTCGAAGTTCCGCGCGCGCCGCACGAGACAAAGGAAAAGGCAAATCCTCCCGGCGGCGGGCGCCCCCCGAGGAGTCCTACGCCGAGGAATGGACCGACGATGTCCCTCAGGTTGAGCACTCGCAGACCAATACCGCGACCGGCGAATCCGCAACGCTGGAGAAAGTTGAAATGGAGCTAGACGACGAGGCAGACGGGCTCCTCCGTCAGGCGATGGGTCGCACGCGCGACGGACACGGACACAGTCGAAGGCCCGGCCGGAGTCCGGAATTCGACCTCGATCTAGATGATACCCCGGCCGGCGCAGCAGGACGACATCGCGGATCTCGCACGGTGCGAAGTAACGCGAGATCGTGATGTGATTGGGCGATTTGAGTTGGGTTGGGTTCTCTGCAGGGCGTTTGGATGTCTGACTGATACCCCTGGATCTGGAAGGTTCATTCTTTTGAAAAGCATGGCTGGCGTCGATTATTGATTAGCTCGAGACGTGATATGAACATCTTTACACCGCATATTCATGTTGATTTATCCTAGTACCTTCCATTGGTAGGTTAGGAATGCAGTTCGGGACCTCGCATATACTCCCCCTTCTACTCTCCCTCTCCTCCAGTCTACAAATCCCTCCTCCTAAAATCCCTAACCCTAACCCCCCTCTCCCACAACTCATCCATCTCCTCCAACGTCCTTCCCCTCCCCTCCGGCACACAAAACCACGTAAACAAAACCGCCCCAAGCGCACACCCCGCAAATATAAACCCCACTTTACTCCCCAGCCGAGCCGGCTCGTACAGGAGATACGGCACGGCAAACGACACCCCGAACTGGATGACGACGTTGAACAGCGTCCCCGTCGTGTAGGTGACGTCGCGCAGTCGGGAGGTCGGGGTTTCGGCGGCGACGACGTGCGAGAGAGGGGCCCAGCCCAGGGAGTAGCCGGCGCCGAAGACGGTCACGGTTGCGGTTATTACGGCTTTGATGGTTCCGGATGGCGTGGAGAGGGTGCCGAGGCTGCCCATTATGAGGCGGGAAGTGAGTTGGGTGAGGGAGCCGAGGAGCATGAGGGGGCTGTGGGTTGGGGTCGAGGTTAATTAGTTGTGGTATGGGTAGTGGTGGAGGATGTCTAGTCTGGGATGTTGTTTTGTAAAGTAGGCGCAGGGGAGGGAAAGTAAGCGTACACTCTACCCACACGATCCACTAACCCCATCGTCACCAGCACCACGACGATATTAATTCCCGAGTTGATACAAGACATGCTGAACGGGTTCACGGCGCCCAAGGACTGAATGAAGATGGGGCCGTAGTGGCTGACGAAGTTCTGCCCCGTCAGCTGCATGAAGACATTCGTGCCGATCGTGATCATCGTGCGCTGCAGGTTCCAGCCCTGAAAGATCTCCTTGATCTGCCAGTCGTTCTCGGGTGTTTTGGTCGCGGCCAGGGCGTTTTGCAGCTGCTGGAATTCGTGCTCGATTTGCTCGGCGGAGAAGCGGCCTCGGCGAAGGGATTGGAGGGCTTGTTGGGCTTTTTCGGGCTGGGAGTTCAGCATGAGGAGGCGAGGGGACTAGATTATTTGATTAGTTTGCCTGGGGGGGCTGGTTTGACGGGGATGTAGGGCTCACCTCCGGCATGAACCATACCGAACATGCTACGATACTGGGGATGATGTAGAGTAGTCCTAACGGGATCTTCCAGGACGCGTCGCCTTTGAGATCGCTTGTTCCGCGACAAATGATGGACATGAGCAGCTGGCCGACCTGTTATCATATCGCTGTTAGCCAACCTTTTTTCACGACATTGTAAGAACAGAGGAAGAACAAACCAACAGCCCAGCCTGATACGTTCCCACGACGAACCCACGCACCTGCGCAGGTACAATCTCCGACTGAAAGACCGGAACGACGGCCAGCTCCATGCCGATGTAAACGTACGCCACGATGCGACCCGCCAGCATTTGCGCCTTGCTCTGCGCCGTGACGAGGATAGTAGCGCCGACCAGTGCCCAGAGACACATGACGAACATGCTCATGCGACGACCGAATCGTCGACTGACGAACCCGCCACACGCCAGGCCCACTGCGAACCCTATGTACGGCAAGCTGTTGAGCAGCGAGAGATAGGTGGGATTGAGCGCGTAGGCGTCTGTATCGGGATTGTACTCGCCAAACTTCTGCGTGAAGACACCCATTGCTTGCGTGTTGCTAAAGGCGCCTTGGTCCATGCCGAAGTTTACTTGGGATAGGGCGATGAGGGAGCAGGAGAAGAGGAGACGGGGGTTGAAGGAGGAGACGATGCGATTGTTTTGGATCACCATGGTATAGTTCTCTGGGATGGTTCAAGAAGACATGTGGAACTATGGCGTTGCTTAGGAAAAGCGAGTCGAGGAGGATGTCTGAGCGTTGGGCTGCATTGCATTTATAGTCCAGAGCCATCCTGTCGAGCTGTGATTATTTCTGAGCCTTCGCCAATGTCAGTTACTACCGTCTAGTAGCTGGAGGTATCAATCCAAGTCGTAGTGTACTCACTTTAGGTGCGGATGGCGCAATCCAACCATCGGGGAGCAACCACTTCTCTCCCCGATGCATCCACAGTACATCGCGACGATCCTCCACCTTCATCTTAAATACCAAGCAACCCCGGCGCAAAGAAGGTACCATTGCGCAATTCCTTAAAATCATCGCATATTATTCCCTGTGCAAAATGACCCGTCCTAACTTCCTGATCATCGTCGCTGACGACCTCGGATACAGCGACATTGGCCCCTTCGGCTCGGAAATCGACACTCCAGCCCTTGATTTCCTCGCAAAGACAGGGACTTGTCTCACCAATTTCCACACAGCGTCGGCTTGCTCGCCTACCCGGTCGATGCTGTTCTCCGGCACAGACAATCACATTGCCGGGCTGGGCCAGATGGCAGAACATATGGGGAACTCGCGCATCTATCAGAATCGCCCGGGGTATGAAGGATACTTGAATTTCCGCGTGGCCGCACTGTCGGAAGTATTGCAGGACGGGGGATATTTCACGACGATGTCGGGAAAGTGGTCTGTCTGCTCTTAATTAAATCTTCGCTAGCTAGTGTCTGCGAGGCTGATGTATTTATACCATGCATGCAGGCATCTCGGTCTCTCCCAAGACACTTCTCCCAGCGCCCGTGGCTTCGAGAAAAATCTCTCCTTCTTGCCAGGATGCGGCAACCACTTCAACTACGAGCCACAACTCGAGCACGCAGCCGACGGCATCCTCGCGCCCATGCAGTCGCGCGATTTCTGGATGCAAGACGACGCCTTCATCGATCGGACCACCGACCTGCCCGAGCCGTTCTACTCAACCACCACCTTCACAGACCGCCTATTAGACTCGCTCCGAGGACGTGACGAGAGCGACCACAGGCCTTTTTTCGCCTACCCGCCTTTCACGGCACCCCATTGGCCCTTGCAGGCACCACGCGACATCATCGACAAGTATCGCGGCAAGTATGATGCCGGACCGGGTGCTCTTCGACGACAAAGACTGCAGGAACTGGTCCGACTGGGTCGTGTGGATAAAAGTGTCCTAGACGCCCAGCCCCAGGAGCTGAATCAGGAGTGGGAGTCACTCAGTGCGAGCGAGCGGGCCTCGTCGTCACGCAAAATGGAGATCTTCGCTGCAATGGTGGACCTGATTGACATGAACATTCAGCGTGTCATCGACCACCTAGCATCGACGAACGAGCTTGACAATACATTCGTGCTCTTCATGTCCGACAATGGTGCCGAGGGCGCAATGCTAGAAGCTCTGCCAGTCATGGGCCCCTCGGGAACCCTAGCTTCCATAATCGACAAGTATTACGACAATTCACTCCCCAACATGGGAAACGCGGACTCTTTTGTCTGGTACGGACCGGGATGGGCAAGCGCGGCGATGGCGCCCTCGAGAGGTTTCAAGACGTGGATTACGGAAGGCGGCATACGGTGTCCATGTGTGGTGCGGCATCCGCCATTGTTTGGAACAAAGTCTGGATCTGAGGCAGGGGTAGGGAAGCAGACGAACTCGTTTGCCACGGTCATGGATATCTTCCCAACGATGTTGGAACTGGCAGGTGTGAATTTACCGGGGGCGTCGTTTCGAGGGAGGGAAGTGGTTCCTGTGCGAGGCTCCTCGTGGGTTCCGCATCTGTCAGGTGAGAAGGCCGACTTCCATGAGGGCGAAGAAGGCGAAGGTTATATCACGGGCTGGGAGCTGTTTGGACTGCGTGCCATTCGCCAAGGGGCGTGGAAGGCATTGTATATGGCTCCCCCGCGCGGCAAGGACCGATGGGAATTGTACAATGTGGAACGGGATCCTGGAGAGCTGGAGGACTGCACGGAGACGGAACCGGAGATCCTGCAGAGGTTGATTGAGCACTGGGAGGTCTATTATGCGGAGACTGGGATGTTTGATCCTGGCCAGGAGTTTCCGATTACGAAATGCTGAGGACATTTCGTAGCCGTAGAGCAGACGAGAAGTGAGATTCGAATATAAAGCCATTATGTTGTGATTCGAGAGACACGATCCAGAATTCCCTCGAGGATGATTCTCATTCTCTCTACATCTTTTGATTCGTCCTCCCACTTCCGCAACGTTTTCAGTGACAGTTTGACCAGGCCAATCCAATCATCCGGAGGCTGCAAATATAGCGCCGGAGCTGCTCCATCCCCAAAACGCCCAACCACGACAACCAGGATCAGAAGGGCCGCTTTAAACGAGGCGCGTAGGATAAACCAGGTTCCTCCGTGCCGGAAGTGAGCAGAATAATGAGGGATCAAAACGGCGCAAAAGTCAATACCTTGTTGGGCTAGAGACAACATCTCCTGTACTTCTTCACTTGATTTGGCGTCCAATAGACTCGGGTGATGGAGGATAACGTAGACCAACGGTCGGCAAATTTTCTCCCGCGATGAAAGATATCGGCCATGTAGAAAGAAAGACAAGTCGTTTGTTGGCGGCGAGGTAGGCCGAATAGGCGGTGGAAGGTGGGCAAACCTGGCTGAATTAACAGGTTTCAAGGGCTTTGAGGAATCCAACTCACCACAGCGATATCTGCTCGTCGCTATCCTTGCATTGTCGCACTAACCGGGTGAAGTTCGATGGCCACCTCCGAGGGCCACCCTGGTAAAGCAAGACGACAATGCTGTCAAATATCCGTCGAAATGATATTTCCGCGAGATAGAAAAACCAGCCTCTTTCTTCCTCGATCTTTGCTGATATGTCGGAAGCTTCACCCTGTCCAGCTTCATCGATGGTAGATGAACTCGCTGCGGGTGTAGATTGATTGAAAGGAGGCATGGGAAATGGGTCTGGATATCTGCAGTCTTCGAGGCCGGATGATCCTAACGGGACCTCCAGTTGGAATTCCCTTGTGTGCCAGAGTAAGTCAGCTAAGCAATCTACAAGCCGAGTAGATATGGATACCTTTCGGCTCTAATCAATGACCAGTATAGTCTCTGCTCCAGATGCCGGTCGACACTGTCCAACGAGGCTTGTCTTGAAGATAAACGGACTTTCAAGCGGGACGACGCCTGTTGGATACAGAACCAGGCCTGTAACGGCCGAATGGCGTGTTTCTCATATATAGACGCCAGAAAGAGGCATTGGATGTCAACCAGGGAAGTATGCAGCATTCCAAGCCGCTTCTTGGCCTCATTAAAATAAGCTTCGGCCACATGCTTCTCGGGTGGCGGACACGCGTCCGGCTCATCTAAGATAAACTTGTTTTGAGAAGGGATACTCAGGTGGGACAAAGCGCAGGCCAGTAACTGAAGACTTGAATTTATTAATATGTCAGATACGATGTCATGGAGATAACTAACCACAAGACATGATGGTGCATCCCAACCAGGTCCGCCTTTTGTTACCTGATGCGCAAATCGTTTGAGATCTTCGGCGTCAACGATTGGATTCCGGCGATTGGCTGAAGACAGGAACGCGATGCATGGTCCGACAAAATCTCCATCCAAGCAGTCGAAGTGGCTTTCTAAATCCCTTTTGTTGTTTTTCTCCTGCGATTCAAGCAAGATAGAGTGGATGGAGGAGTCAGCCTCCGTCACAATCCCCTTGAAAACCGGCCATTTCAGGATCGCTTCCGGCGCACAGAAGAACAATTGAGAATATTCGGGCATCTCGTTCGGCGCGATATCCGCTAGAAACGACCTGGAATCCGCGTCGGAATGACCATACTGAGTGTTCTTCTCCAGTAGAGTCGTGATGTGGCTCAATTGTTGCAAAATTTCCTTACTCGTCGGATCAATCCTGACAGAACTATAAGATGCGCCCCACAGTCAAAAAATCAGACACAACTTACTCAGGATGTGCTGGAAGCGTATCGGGATATACACAGTGGGCCTGGCGCTCAACACAGAATCCGCAGACTGGCCGGGCATTGTCACATCTCGTCTTGCGTGCTCGACAGGCATGACAAGCAGTTGTCCCGCGAGATCGTTTGGAATGCCTGGAATTGGAGTGGTCTAGAAGACTCCGTTTGACCATGATCGGGGAGTATCGGGGAGATAAATGAGGGGGAAGTGTGAGATCGAAGACAAGAGGGAAGGAAAAGAAAGGAAAGGAAGGACTCCGCGAGTGGAAGATGCCATCTTGTGGGGAAAAGGCGTGACCACTCCACTTTCATTTATTTTCTGCCACCACTATATACTCCTACTTCTACTCTAGCATCAATCTATAATCTATCCATATGCTTTCACAGTTTGACTCCCCTCAGAATACTCGAGTGACACTCCAACCCACGCTGATGACTTTAGTCACGATCAACAGGACAGTCGATGTGGCGTACGCCGCTCCGCAAAAAATGACGAGACCACTATAATTGGTCTCATTTTCAGAGAGTCCGGGGTTCTGCGACCCCAGAATCTCTCCTGCCACCGGGATCGCCACCAAGATTGCTAGGCCGAAAATCGCCGTTGTCGTCCCGTACCGTTTTCCATAATCCTCGGTTCGCGAAATCTGCGATATACAGACCGGCGACAGTCCGACGGCCGGGCTGCTCCAGAACCCAAATAACGCAGCAAAGGTCAGAATCGCCGCCGTATCCTCCCCTGCTTTCATCCATAGCGCAAGTACTAATAGCATGCTCACACTGCCGGTGATGATCATGACATTGTAGCGTCCCCAGTAGTCGGCTACAAGCCCCGGGATGATTCGACCGAAGATGAGCGTGGCGCTGAAGATCGACATGAGGTTGTACGATAATGACTCGGTCACTCCATGGGAGGAAGCGTACGAAGGGAGGTAATTGATCACCACCATCATGCCGATCTCCGCAAAGCAGACCGCGACGGAGGCGACGGTGAATACTGGCTCCCGAAGACATCGCAAATCCACGGAGCTGCCGGCCGACTTATTGGGCGGAAGTCGCGTCCGAACAAGCATCAGGCCGGCCGCAAAAAGCCCAATCGAGATAAATCCCAGAATTCGGATCATCCATGGAAACCCGATCTTCTCCATCAGTCCGCCCATCAACGCAGAAAACATGATGGTCGCGATACCACCGGAGGTGGTTGCAATACCCGTGGCCAATCCTCGGCGCTTGAGAAACCAGTTGTTGATTGATCCTAGGCTTGGAGTCAGGATGGCCGAGGAAGAAAGGCCACCCAGGATACTGAAGCCGAGTATAAATTGGTAATACTCTTACTTTTGTCAGTATACTTGACGAATATTGGGCAGGCTGATTAGTACCTTCCGAAACACTCAATGCCATTATCGATGCTGACAGGCCGACGCATCCAGGGACAAACGTATACTTCAGCCCGTATGAGTCAAAAATGGGTCCTATCGGTGATCATTAGATGAATTGCGAGTATAGCTCTACCAAATTGAATGGCATCCGCACCTACCTGAATGCCGCCGAGCCAGAACAGACAGTCGTATAAGCTAAAGATCCATGATACTTTTGCCGTGGAATAATCCTTCAGTTGGTTTTCTTCTAGCCACTTCTGCAGAATCCCGGTGATGTTCATCATGGCGAAGGTCGGAAACAGCGCACACCACACACCAAACACCACCAGCCATGCTTGTCGTCCTCCATCGGGATACTCCGATGAATCTTCAGCACATTCCACTGTCGCATCAATTTCTCCAAGGTCATACTGGTCCGGATCTCGCGCGGCCCCTGGCACTGTTGAGACCGTCACCTGAGGGCCGTCGGTCGAATGCATGGAGATTTATGGAGAGAAACCTGAAACAAAAGATGGGCGAGAAGGTGATCTCAATGGGCGCCCAGGGCAGGGGGATTTATGATGGAATTCCCTGGGAAGAGAATTGAGAATGGACCCGGGAGGATGGGCAATAGTTCCAGGTCGATCACTAAGCTATTCCTGTTTACTTCGTCAATTGAATGCCGGCATCCCTTGCGCCGATCTGACCGACTTGACGTACTTACCTACATTCCAGCTCTCCTATATTACGCAGCCCTGTTTCAAATCTACAAGAATTTATGGAGTCGAGCGTTACGAGTCCTCGGATCACTCGAACGCAGTTGCTCTACACCTACGTTGCGGCAAGATATTACTCATGGCAATCGATGCACGTCGATCATTGACGATATCACATTACAGTATCACATTCGAAGCAGAAAAAAAGAAAACCAAATATATTGACAGACGTATTTTAAAACAAATCAAGATAAGAAAAAAAGCAATAGAGGGAGAAATGTAGGGGATGCTTATTTCAACCAACTTCTTACCAGGCCCAACCGCAGATATCACAGCCTTGCTTTTTCCCTTTCCAATATTCCGCGAGCCTTCCCGAAGGATGCAGTTGTATACTGGTTCCCCTCTTTATTTTCCGTTCTCCTTTTGTCTGGCCCGATATTCTGCGGTGTTTCTAAAGTAGGAAGCACAGGGAAATTTCTGCAGGGGCATCTATTAGCGGATAATCGAATAGTCTCCGCCATGAGAGCGCTGTTGAAGGCTGAATGTCAGTAAAAGCCCTTCTACAATAATTCCCTGTAATGTTCAATGCTTTTGTGGGTCAAGGGCCATGTAATAGCATGGGGAATGGTCTGGTGCGCAAGGAGCAGTTTGAGATCATGCGACTTACTCGGAGAGCTTCGCCAAGTCTTCGTACAAAAGGTGGAATGGAATGATTAGATAAGTTAAGCATTTGGTAGGTGAGGATAGCAGTGCTTCTACTTGTACAAACTGCGTTGGAAGATTGGTATTCATGCCGCTATAGCTATGTCAGGTCCGGCTCTCTCGGTAGGTCAGATGCAATCTACATGGTTTATTCTGAGTCATACTCTGTGTCAAACAGATACATATATTGGTTCGTAATATTATTGGTTTGGCCAAACCTGCAGATATATTTGTAGGAATGTTTTTTAAGACATGATTGGTCATTGTTTGTTGTGTGAGCATCTTTTATTGGCGCTCTTAGTACTGAACCAAAACTACTGAATTCTAGATCAGTCCTCCATTCAATTCCAGGCGAACTCTAGGCCAAAAAGCAAAGAGGACAGACTGTGGATTCCAATGGGGAATCCCTTCGGCAAGGCTGGAAGATCGGCAATTCACTGTAGATCACCCGCTTTGTGGACATCTCCGTTAGACTGACCACTGAACCACTGGAGGGGAAGGGAAAGCTGTGTATACCAGTGAAGTTCCTCTATCATTCACTGAATGGTGTAAAACCTGTTGTTGTTTTTGTTGCTTTTGTCATGTGATGACTGGACCGATTGGCGTGGCTGGCTCTTTCTCCTACTGGCTCACTTTCTTTCTGGTTGTCTTCCTCCCCCACCAAAACAACCACCCACTTTCTTCCCTGCTTACTTCCATCCAAACCCACAACAAAGCCTTTACACAACCGAAAATCTTCTTTGTTTTGGTCAAACCACCTCTTTCATATCTCAAACCCATACCCAAACAACCCTTTTCCTATCAAAATTTCATCCTACATCATCATGCCTGCTAAACGCGCCTCGCTGCGCAAGAAACGCGCCCCCAGCGTCCAGCCAGCCCCCCAGCCCTCCACCAAGGCCTCCACCATTGGTCGGAAGAGAAAAGCTGCAGCGGGAGCGGCGCCAGCCTCTGAAACCCCTGCAAGGGGCCCGAAGCGCCAGAAAGGTATGATCTCATCGGCTTTTGCTCAAGTGAGGCGTCTGACTAACGTGGGGACAGCGACTTCAACTATTTTCAACGTCGTGCCTACCAAGAAGGTCGATGTTTAGGTCTGTGGAACCAACTGCTACGGTGAACTTGGCCTTGGTAACCTGTGGCGCAAGTCCGAGTTTGCCCGTCCTATCCTGAACGCCAACCTTGCGGCCGAGACCGTGGGTGTCGTTCAGCTGGCTGTGGGAGGTATCCACTCGGCTGCACTGACTCATGACAACAAGATCTTGACCTGGGGAGTGAACGACGATGCCACCTTGGGCAGAGACACCAAGGAAGATCCTGTCAAAGATGAGATGATGATTGACGCGAAGAACGAGAAAGACAGCAACAGTGACAGCGATAGCGATGACGATCTCACTCTGAACCTGAAAGAAGCTACCCCCATGGCCATTGACCCTTCTCTCTTTCCCAAGGGAACTACCTTTGCGCAGCTTTCTGCGACCGACAGTGCCACCTTTGCCCTCACCACCACCGGCTTGGTCTATGGATGGGGTACCTTCAGAGTATGTCTCGCACCTCCAGTAAAATGCTTGAATTGTACTAACTGAGAATACAGAACAACAACGGAGACATCGGTTTTTCACCCAACAACAAGTTCAAGCAGATCACCCCACTTCTTATTCCCGGTCTGAACAATGTCACCAAGCTGGCCGCAGGAGCGCAGCATATGTTGGCCTTGACTTCAGCGGGTTCTGTCTACGGATGGGGCTGCAATGAACAGCAGCAGCTCGGACGTCGCCGAACCTGTCGTTCGCGTGACGTGCACCCCCTTCTTCCTGACCAGTGCGCTCTGCCTGGTAACATCGTCGACATCGGTGCCGGTATGTACCACTCCTTCGCCATCCAGAGAACCGGCGCCGTGTACGGCTGGGGCTCCAACAACTTCGGCCAGATTGGCATCGCGGACAACGCCGGCGAAAACGACGCTATCATCAACTACCCCACCCGCATCAAGAGCATCGCCAAGAAGCCCAAGCTCGTCCAGATCCACGGTGGCAAAGACCACAGCATCACGGTCGACCAGAACGGCCAGTGTTTGACCTGGGGTCGTATCGAGAATAAGGCCCTCGGATATGACCCCCAAATCCTCTCGGAGGACGAAATCATCTTTGACTCTCGCGATAGACCACGTATTTCGGCGCAGCCCCACGCCATTCCTACTCTGAACAACATCGTCTACGCGACCGCTGGCACTGATCATTCTTTTGCGATTTCCGCGGACGGAAACGCCTACTCGTGGGGCTTCAATGCCCAGTGCCAGGCCGGAAAGCCATCCTCCACCGACGAGATCATTCTACCCACCCTTCTTGACGGTAAGCACATTACCGGCAAGAAGCTGGTATCTGCCTCCGCGGGAGGCCAATTCAGCGTCATCGTCGGGGAGCACGCCAGCCAGTAGGCTGGAAATTTATGAGCAAACGAAGATACGGGCTGAAGCCCGACCAACGGGATACCAGCGAACATGTGAATGGGGATGAGGTCGGGTTGGTCGGCGTTGTTGTACTGCACCGCGTTTGTTTTGTTTTTTTTGTCTTTTTTTTCTTTTTCTTTTTTCTTTTTCCTTTCTTTTTCCTTTCTTTTTCCTTTCTTTTTTCTTTCTTTTTTCTTTCTTTGCTTGTCTTTTTTTATTTTATATTCTTGTATTTTTTATATTCTATTTTTTTGTCAGAGTACATATTCGGCGGGCGCACGGGTTCGTTGTTTTTGTTTTTTTCTTTCTTGTACACATCTCAATGTTTTGAGTAGAATCGGAAAAGGAGAAAAGTTGCACATACAGCAGTGGACATTGTATGTACCAACGGAGTAGACTCGAGAATACCAGCGGCGGCTGTCAAGCTCCGTAGTTAAGCTTATTTGGTTCTGGATCCAGTCTTCTCCACCGTTCTTCTACGGCGAGTCACGGCACTTCCCGAACTTCCTCTTCGACTGACCGATGATAATGTCGAGGATCGTCAGGAGAGCTTTCCTCTCTCTCTTCCTTCTTCTTCTGAATCCTCGCACGGGTCTTCCTTCAACCCCTTTTTCCCGCAACATTCCTTGAACGGATAGGGGCAAGTATCCCGAGGATGGCATCGTCAGGTGCTGGCGGAGGCGCAGCCACGCAGTCAAGTCGAGGGCGTTGATCATCGAGAGTTTCTGCAAAATACTCACTTACCACTATTACGTCTTATCCACTTGAAGACATCCTACGCGCGCCTTCCCTGAAAAATCCAAACCAGCTCTCGATCAGTCAACTACGCACGGAGTGCGCGCTACGGGGAGGCGTGAAAGGGAATCGTTTTGTGGCGCCAATACTTCGCAAGCTGACGAGGCCTCCTCTTCCACATCCATATCTGTATCCAGATTTCCTATCCATAACTACGCCGTGGGGTCGTGGACGATCCTATAGCAATAGACGATGGAGCCTTGAGACATGTCTGACATTTTGTGGGCTTGGTCGGTTGGTCGGCAGGCAGGTGGTAACATTTGTACGACGGATTCGAGAGCCAAGATAGGCAGGTGAGAAGGTGAACCTGGAACCTCATGGTCAGTCGGACGGCGTTTGAATGCTATTTATATTTTATACCTTGGCTAATACTACGCTGCTCTGAACCTTAGCAGATTAATGCTACCTCCGGTATCCAGACACCGGCTGTTTTTTCTCCTTCTACCATGGTGAGACAAGGGGTCCCGTTACGGAATCACACAGAACTGACTCTGGAAACACTCGACAGTCAGCCCCCAAACAACCCCTGGACTACACTCGGTGCAGACTCGGTCAGACCAAGTGGAGTATACTGAGTATTGCAAAGTCTTGCCCTTAGCTTAAAATACTCTATTTTCTGACTCATTCTGACACCCCTGGTTATCTACCTACTGCGTAGGTACCCGTCGAGTGCGGCGCAGAACAGAGCAAACCGCCCTGGAACGTCGGTGTTCCTGCCGAGGCATTGTGGCTGAAACCGTGGCCGAAACTCGAATCGAACCGTTCTTTTTTTTTCTCAGAGCGTGGGGGATGCCCTTCCGAATGTGGCGGAGTCTAGTGCTTTTCGCCGTTCTTTGTCTGTGTGACCGTTGCGTTCTGTACCAGGCAGACATTTTATTCCTCATTGACCTTGCTCATACAGTCATCCGCCACGGTTACATGACGGGCGGCATCTCGTTCTGTAATTCTTTTCTGCGCTCTGAAGGGGCAAACGGTGTGTGCATGGGTTGTCAGTGCAATAGGCAGTTCTACGGCTACTTGCTTGAAAGTCGAAACCCATCGAGTATTTTCGGCGCTACTGAAGCCCACCGACGTGGGCCGTGCGCTAGACCGGATCCAGGGGCGATTGTCACGGATACGAGGCGGTTCAGCAGCATGAGTCTGTCTTCTGAAAAGACCGTGGCTCTACGCCGAAGAACTCGAGCAGGTTGAGACCACATGTATCCTGCGCAAAGCTTGTTTGGTTCGTTTCCAACTGTCCAATCCTGACATGATCACTGGGCAGTATGATCGATCCCTGAGCAGCGCACGCCAAGACACCAACCAAATCGCCGACAGTTTAGCGAGATCTTCCCATGAGGAAAAGGATCTGAATCCCTGGAAGGCGATGCACATCATTCTTAAAAATGGCTCTTCCCCCTTCTTGGCGGGCGCCGGGCAGGCAGAAAGCGCAGAGCGAGGCGCTTGGCAAGTGGGCTCTTCTACGTAGGCGCTGTCTATCCCAAATCCTTGGCGCCAGCCCCCATGGGCTTTACGTCAACTGGCGACGATCTCGCCTGGGTTGACGTATGGAGTACTCCAGACGGGCAGTCAACAGGTCAACTACTCCGGACGGTCTATCCTATCCTCCGGAGTATACTCTGGACCGAACCTGATTGCGATTCTCCAGGCAGAACAAAACAACCCCGCTAGTGTGCTGCCCCCAGTAGGATTTGGTTTCCGCCCGAGCGACCCTGGTTCCTGGGGCCGGTTAGCGCTGCGTTTAATCTGCCGGCCGACGCTTGATTTGGAGCTTGAGCCAGGAGTGTGCAGTTGCACATGGAGGGATTCCGAGGGTTATCAACATTCCACCATCGGGCGTAAGAGTAAGAATTAATCGACAGAGGATAGGATGCGGTGGGATCGACGGGCAACGCGTTCATTATTCTGATCATCGCGGGAAACCTGAAAAATCAAATTGGACCCTGGCGGAGGAGACGCCGCCCGTCAAGTGGAGCCTTTTCTGGTCAAGGGGTGTCACCGTGGCACAGTGGCACCCATGTTCAGAACGAAAGAACCCAGGAAAATGGGAGGAAAATAGAAGAGCGAAAATAAAGAAAGAAAGAAGAAGGGGAAAAAAAGAAAAGAAAAAGAAAAGAAAAAAACCCGGGAATGGCGAGGTTAAACCGGACCCAAACCAATGAGGGGACAGCCAAAGCTTGACGACGTTTCATCTGCTGAAGGGATCGCCGCGTCATTCATCGTCCCTCGTCGTGTTCCCCTGACGGACTGACCGTTTGCCTGCGTCGCACGCATGGATCCTGCCCCCTCCTCACGGCGGCTTGGATAGCGAATCGTCCGCCGTAATTAAGCTCCTACGATCCTCCCCTCGCTTCCTCCCCTCCTTTCTCTTTTCCTGCTCTCTTCTGCCCTTCCTTTCCCCTCCTTTCCTCCCCAACTTACGATGCGATCAATCCCTCGTCCGGATTGACGTGCCCTCGGCTCCCTTCTGCTCCATGGCCCTCTTCGGTTGCTCTCGATTGCGCCTGCGACTGAATTACTATCTGCTCTACGCCGTCTGTCTGACCGGCGTGTTCTGTGTCGTTGCCGTCTGGTATGCTGTCAATTCGGATCGCGACTACATTCATCCCCTCTTGACCCAAATCATCCCCGCCGGCCATTGTGCATGCCAAACCTCCACCACCTTCCAATGCTCTAGCTGCCTCTCCTGTTCGCAGCCCACCTCTCTGCCGCAACCCCCCTCAGCCCTCGAGTGGGAATTCCAAGTCGCTCGCGATGGCAACAACGAAGCCCTGGACCGCAACCAGTGCCAGGCCGCCTTCCCCGGCCTGTTCGAGGACACCAACCGCGCCGTGACGTACTGGCGATCGCACGGCGCACTGTCGACCGCCGAGTTGGACACCATTCGACTGGAACTGGGCATGGCACGGGCCTTCATCCACCGCGGCGAATTACATGTCGTGGCCGCGCGTGCCAAAGCCGAGGATCATCGGCGCAAAATCCTCGCCGTCCTGAGCTCCATCCATCGTGCGCTGGTCGCCGATCCTAACCGAGCAGCGCACCCGGACATCGAGTTTGTCTTCTCGGTCGAGGACAAGGTGGAAGACGTCACCGACTCGGAGAACCCCGTCTGGGTGCTGGCGCGATCCGCCTCCGAGGAGGCCGTCTGGCTGATGCCCGACTTCGGCTACTGGGCCTGGGAGAATATCCAGAACTCGATCGGCCCGTTCGACCAGGTGGTGGAGCGCGTCAAGCGAGCCGACCTGTCGTGGCCGGACAAGAAACGCCAGCTGGTTTGGCGCGGGAAGCCCAGCTTTGCCCCCAAGCTGCGCCGCGCCCTGATGGAGGCGGCGCGCGACCAGCCGTGGGGCGACGTCAAGCAGGTGGACTGGGACGACCGCACCAACATCCTTCGCATGGAGGATCATTGCCGCTATATGTTTATCGCGCATGTGGAAGGTACGTTAGGTTTTTGATCCTGGGGCATTTTCCCTCCCCACCTGGCTTCCGGAAATACTGACCGTCATCCTCGCACCGATAGGTCGCTCATATTCCGGCTCTCTGAAATACCGCCAAGCCTGCAACTCGGTGATCGTGGCCCATAAACTTCAATACATTCAGCACCACCACTACCTGCTCGTTCCCGATGGCCCGAACCAGAACTACGTCGAGGTGGAGCGGGACTTCAGTGACCTGTCCGACAAGATGAGCCCGCTGCTGAACGACTCCAGCCTGGCGCAGCGCATCGCCGACAACAGCGTGCGCACCTTCCGGGACCGATACCTGACCAAGGCGGCCGAGGCGTGCTACTGGCGGGGGCTGTTCGACGGGTACGCCAGCGTGTGGAACAGCACGGTGCCCGTCTGGTCGGAGATCTACCAGCGCGAACGGGGGCTGCGATACGAGTCGTTCATCCTGCTGGACAGCCCGATGATGGTGGAATTTAAAGCGACGGGGGGTCACATGCCGTGAACGAACATCTTACATCTCACTAATCATATGGGGCATCATGCATACCGGAGTTGGGGTCTGAGCGCTTACATGGGACGGTGTCCTGCATACTTTGATTTTTCTTTTTTCTTTTTTTTTTTCTTTCTACGGTCTGATATTTCTCTCGAGATACCTGGGAGCGTGATTTTCTTCGCTGTTTTCATCACTAGACCGCCATCTGCAGTCGTACTTCTAGACGCATATGGCTGTCTGCATACCCTGATCGTCAATCAGTTTATCAACAGCAATATACCAATCCAAATGTACCGTGATTTTAGGCTTCGATCTAGACTTACCCCGCAACGCATAGACTTCGATGACTAACGCCCCCTGGTCTTGATGACGTTCTCCATGTGTCATTCCGTCATGAATTAATTTGCAGGTCGCATGGCCCATTTCCTTCCCCTTCCCCAGCGGGAGAAGTTTGCCTGTTCCATGGGTCGCGCCAATTAAGCTTGCGGGCTGTTTTACCATAGTTATGGTACTTGTCTACTTTGAAACTGCAAAGAAATACTTCGCATATTTCCTTCATTTTTAAATGCCAAATGTGAGTTGCTTCGACTGGGGTATGCTGACTTAGTATATATAATGCCGACCGAGGACACGGATACACCTACGATCCGTAGCAATGCAGGGATAATCGCAGTAATGAAATGGTAAAAGTTGACTTCGAATGAATATTTTGACAGTTATCTCTGACTATCTCCTAGAGAGTTGTACAGCAAGAGTGGTTGGAAACAGCAAATAAGATGATGTCATGGAGGGCATCCGGCATTAGCATGTGGCGGCAATTCTTTCTTGTTTATCAGCACTGTGGGGATACGTCTGGACTACGTAATAACCTGCATGGACTCGGTGTCTAATAGCATAGACTTTATTGGAGGACATGATTGTATATTTGCCTCTGCATTTGCGTACTCTGTCTGTCCATGCTGTACTCGGTAGTCGAACAACGCATGAGACATGTCTTGCGTGGAAGACAGTCGAGGACGAGGATTGGTTTTAGAGACTGTTGAATCAAGGTTTCGGTGCTTCTTATTGCAGCTTGTCCATTGTTCTATTCACAGGTACTCCGTCGAGCTGTCTGAACCGGGATTGAATGGCGGTGGCGGCTTACCTAATGTTTGTTTCCCTTTTCTGAACTCAAGGGATGCATTTCCCTCCCTTGCCATCCAATCACCCAGACAAAGTGAGCCCCGACGCCAATTCATCTCGTTCATCTTAGCCATGCCACTAATTCTACGAAGTATCCCGTACAATTCAACCAAACCAATAAATCAATCCCGTCTCAATCGGCTCGAATCGTGAAGATTATGGCTACCCACCACAACTCCACCGGCGACGCCATCTTCAGCCATCAGTGGGGATCCAGACGCATCCTCGAATGAAATCCGCGGCTCGCCCGTATCACCGCCAGCCTCCCCTTTTGCCTCCAGCCCGACTGGCGATGCTGACAATCGATCCACCCTGAATGGCATACGTCGGGTCCACCCCAAGCAAGGAAGCTCCCACTCTCCAGACGAACCATGATCTGTGCGATGATCGATCCTGCTTTCGGACCACTGAGAGTCGCCAAGTGGATCCCAGGGAGTCCCAAATGGACCGACTATCGAAATGATCATCCCTCGCAATCGGCGCGATTCAGCTGAACCGAGATCTGCAGCCACACAGGGAGCGCCCTTCACAAATCACAAAAGCTTCCGAGCTGCTGGGTGGTGGCACGGGCAAGTCCGAAATGGGGTTTCATGCAGCTGGAGAGACAAACCAGCAGGAGCTGCTGCTGCGGCTGCAGAGTTTGAGTGGTGTGTCGTGTCGCTGAAGGGGGGATTTAAATTCGGGGGTCGCGCTGTTTGCTTCGCCTGATTCTCTTTTCTCTCTTTCTCTTGTTGCTGGAGCTGCTTGCTGCTGTGTGTTTAACTTTGTTGTGTTTGATTCTACCCTGTCTGCATCACCATGCCGACGCCTATTCCCCGTCCTAAGGGCTTGCCCATCATCGGCAACCTTTTTGATCTCGACTCCAACAACCCCTGGGGCTCGTTTAATAAATTGGCGACCAATTATCGTGAGTTTTCCCACGTCGTTTCCCTCCCTTTCTCTGCCTAATTGTTCTTATCTGGTAGGTCCCATCTTCAAAATCACCATCCTTGGTAAAGACATTGTTTTCGTGACGGGCGCCGCCCTCCTGGAGGAGATCTGTGACGAGAGGCGCTTCCGAAAATGCGTGACCGGTCCGATTGTTGAGATTCGCGATGCTGTCCACGACAGTCTTTTCACGGCGTACCATGACGAGGAGAGCTGGGGGATTGCACACCGTATCATGGCCCCGCTGGTCTCGCCGGAGGCTGTCGCCGGTGTCTTTGCGGGCATGCAGGAAACGTCCAAGGATTTGGTTAGGAAATGGACCGCCGGTCCTCGACAGCGCGTCAGCGTGACGAGCGACTTGGACCGAGTGAACCATGCGGCCAACATGCTCTGCTTCTTTGACCAACGCGTCCACTGCATGGACGGTCCGGAACCGGCTGTGATCAGGGCCATGGATAGCTCCACGAAGGAATCGATGAAGCGTGCCGCCCGCCCTTCATTCCTCACCTGGCTCTTCCACCAGAGCAAGTGGGACAAGGACATCAAGACCATGCGCGATTACTGCGCCAGCATCGTCGCCACCCGACAAGAGAACCCCACCGACAGAAAGGACATGCTCTACGCCATGCTGCACGGCAAGGATCCCCAGACCGGCAAATCCCTCACGGAGAGCCAGGTCCTCGACGAAATCATCAACATCTTCATCGGCAGCGCCACCGCCCCCAACCTCGTCGCTTTCGCCATGTACTACCTGATGAAGAACCCGGACGAGATCTCCAAGGCGCGCGAGGAAATCGACAACGTCGTCGGCGGGCCCTCCGACGAGATCGAACACGAGCACCTCGCCCGCCTACCCTACTGTGAAGCCATCCTGCGCGAAACCTTCCGCATGTCGGGCGTCGCTCCCGGCTTCAACATCGAACCCATCCCAGACGACAGCGACAGCCCCGTCTTCCTCGCCGGCGGCGAATACGAGATTCCGCGCAAGCAGCCCCTCATCGCCATCCTCTCCTCTGTCAACCGCGACCCCGCCGTCTTCGAGAACCCAGAGGCTTTCAAGCCCGAGCGCATGTTCGGCGAGAAATACGAACGCCTGCCCACCGGCGTGAAGAAGGGCTTCGGCAACGGCAAGCGCCGGTGCTTCGGCGCGCAGTACGCCTGGGAATGGTCCTTCATGGCACTGGTCACCATCCTGAAGGACGTGGAGTTCGAGGCCGCCGACGCCAGCTACACCATGGCCAACGCCGGCGTCAACTACAACGGGGCGTTCAGCGTGCGGCCGCAGGAGTTCTTCGCCGTGACGGGGCCCCGGCCGCGAGTTGGCTAGATTTTGGTGTCTATGATTTGTATGCGTTATATACCCGTTGACGTGAGATATGGGATTCTGTATGTTTGTTTGGTTTCAGCATGTCTGTCTAGTTTGACATGTGGGTTTATTTAATGAATAGCGATGAGAATGAGATTGAGTGTACCTGAATTCTAAACAATTTCTACTAGAAATGGTGAACCTAAACCAGACTAAACACAAGTAATCAGGACCGCTAAAATGGATCCACCAAGGAAGAGTCCTAACAAACCCTCCCATCCCTCAAAACCACCACATCTGACTCCAATCCTACGCCCCGTCGCAAACCCCCCTCCCGATGGGAAATCAGAATAACCGTGAACCCCTTCTGAATGATCAACTCGTCCACTAATTTCTGCATCCGCCTCTCAGTCTCCAGATCTAAAGCGGAACTCGCCTCGTCGAGAATCACGATCGGTTTCGAGTTAGGTTTTAGGCCTGTATCGGCGCTGTTGTAATTGGCGCTGATGCTGTCATGGCCAGGATCTAGAGCTGCAGATGGCGATGGCGATTGGAAAGACACAGCCTGAACCCTCAGCAGCGCCTGAGCGAGCGCGAACATCTGCATCTGGCCTGCTGAGAGAGGCGCGAAGGTGGATATCGGTTTCTCGAGAAGTTCGGGACAGGATAGGTACAGAGGACCCCGATCCGCGAACGCAGATACAGAAATACCGTCCTCCTCCTCCCCTAAACCAGACGAGGAAGAGAAAGCCGAACCGGAAGCAAAAGAGCAAAAATGTCTCCAAAGTCCAGTCCTTCGCAAAGCCTCCACCAGCTCAGAATCATGGCACTCGCTGTACGGATCGAGATTAAGCCGCAGGCTAGCGTCAGAAATGATATACGGGTCCTAGGGACGGCGATGAAGCCGCGGCGTCGCACGGTGTGGGGGTGGAGGGTGGCGATGTCGATGTCTGCAAGTTTGATGGAGCCGGTTTGGGGTGTAATCAGGCGGAGGAGGGCGAGGAAGAGGGTGCTTTTTCCGCTGCGATCAGACTTTCAGTTAGTGATGATGTGGGGATTGGATTGGGGATCATGGGAGGAAGGGGAGGAGAGGAGACCTTCCGGTCCGGCCGCAGAGAGTGACTCGTTGGCCGGGTTGGATGTCGAGGGTGAGGTCACGGAGGATGAGAGATTGTGGTCTGCGATTTGTTAGCGGCTTGCTGTCTATTCATGGGCGATACTAACGAATAACCCGCAGATAGATTCTTGATCCTAATCGACCACTTGACCACTGTGCGGACGGCTCCACGTACTCCCAATGTCCTCGCCTTCAGGCGGAGTATTTAGATCCACAGACCTCAGCCTCGCCACCGCACCGAGGGACGTCTCCAGACTAGTCCAGCCTTCTACCAGACGCAGCAACGTCGTATTCGCAGCGATGATCATATTCAACGCGACGCCGACTTCCGCACCCGTGGCTGTGTTCCGCAGGGCCACTGCGGATGCAACAAGTAGTAGTGCGATTCCTGTGACTAGGAAATCCAGAACAACATTCAACCATCTTTGCAGACAGAGAAGAAGGTAGAGAGGGCTCTAAGAGGTATCTAGTTTACTGATGTTGTCGAGTTCGAAGGACGTTTCCCAGCCGGAGGCGCGGATTGTGGCGATGCCGTCGACCTGTTCTGATTTAGCCTACTCGACTACCAAGTTGGCAGTTGCTTATCGACGAGTTGGATGTCTTGGCCGAATCTGGATGTGAATTTAGTTTGGGCCTTTCGTGTATTGCCGAATGATAAATTACAGACCTGTTTAATACATTTCCAATCTCGAAAGTCGAAAAGTATGAAAGAGGGACCCTGGTTCCTATTAGCGATCTTCACGCCTGATAAGGCATGGTGGAACGAACTTCATGATCTTTCCGAGGAGTCGCGCGTGCAGGGTAGAGCCTGATCTGGGAGCGATGATGATATGCGTTGACCTGAAGTTGGTTAGATAATGCTGGAATAGTACAGGTGCATGGAGAAGGAGAGGCTACCACATAGTCCCATTTGTGGCTACCCAAGCCATTGGAGACAGGGTGAAATAGCCCAGGATATATGGCCATGATTTTTCTGGGTTCGAGTCAATCCACCATTTCAGGACGTACTACGAAAATGTAAGACAGAATGCGTAGATGGCAGTGTAGCTGGCCATGAGAAGCATGCTGAAGGTGCCAACCGAGCCGAAATAATAACCTGGTTCCATAATATCCTGGTCTTAGTCTCCGTTCGTGTGGCGGGTAGTTATAGGTCTGTTACCGTAGAGTGCGAGATCCCCAGTTCGTCTGGACACGTCGGCAGCAGCGTAATCCATGCGTTTTCGATCTGCTAGCGCTGGCGAATTGCTTTTGGACTCCTCGCGTTTGATCCCTTGAGATGGATTGACTTTTGATATTTGAGCCCTTGAGAGAATAATTTCATCCCGCGGGTCCAGGACCTGTGCTTGTCCATCATGGAGCAGGACAACCTTATCCGCCAAAGGATAATACTGGGCTGAGCCGAGTCAAAACGATGAAAGAAGACCAGAGCAGCCGAACCTACCACTATTCGTGATCAGAAACACGGTAGTACACATGTCCCGCAAAAGTCCCCTCGGACCCAACAAGGCCGCGACAACATGATCTTCGACTTCCCCGTCTAGGGCACTGAACGGGTCGTCCAGGACTAGTATGGAGCATCGAGAGTAAACAGCACGCGCAAGAGCCTGACGAGCCATCTTAGCAATACGAACGAGAAAAAGCCCGAGAAGGGGCTTACAATGCGCGATTTCTGCCCCCCAGAAAGATTGATACCGCCACTTCCAACCCACGTCCTGTCTTTGTCGACTAGCGATTGTAGATCGGGACTGAGTCCACAGGCTTCAATGACAGTGTCATACCAGTCATTATCAACTTTTGCGGTCCCTTGGCAGATAGCACCTCGAATCGAAGCCGTGGGAAGCCAGACGGACTGACTGCAAAACCCGATCCGCTCGTCTGCAACAACGATTCTTCCTTCTTTGGGAGCCATTTCTCCTAGGATTGTCGACGCGAGGACGGATTTTCCACTACCCACAGCCCCTGAGCACATGAAGATCGAACCCCGATCTATTCCAAGATTCAACCCGTGCATTATAGGCTGTGAGGTAGGGGACGGTTGTATTTTGACATCTTCCATCAGGATGGCGAGTCGTTGGCCGGTTTCGAGATTGTATTCACGTTCGGCGACAGAGTTCGGTGGTACAAGAACACGTTGGTCCAGTAATGAACCCTTCAGCAGATAGGTCTGGATCCTGTCAAAGTTCGCCAAAGCTGCCACTGCACGAGTGATCAACGTCATGACCATATTGGCCGGATGTGTAACCAGTGCGAGAAGGGCAATGGAGGTAAAGACCGTGTCGGGATTCAACACGGCGTCTCCACGTCGAGAGACGGCAAAAAGCACCAACGTTACGACAGGGGAGAATATGCCCAGAGCATTGGCTATGATGAGGTCAAGTACTGCCGTCAGCTCAGTTTCAACCACGCAGGTGAGAGAGTGAGATGCTACCGCTCGCGTTGTACGCCACCATAATCCACCTCAAGCGTTTTGACATGGCAATCTCTCGGTCTCGAAGATCCGAAACAATGGATCTCGTAGCCTCTTCAAGACCGAGAATCTTCATGCTTTTGACTCCCCCCAGCACCGCGGTGATCATTGAAAGACGACGCTGAGTCGCAGAGCTCCAGTCTTTCTGTCTGCCTTGAAGGTGCTTCGCGACGTAGGCGCTCATTCGTGAACAGCCTGCCATGCATTAATCTCTCTGGATAATCGAGCTGACTCTGTCTCTAAAGTTTACCGAATATAATCAGCAAAGGCAGTCCGACAAACCATCCAATCTGCCTCGCAAGCAGTGCCGTTCCGACCAGCACCTCTCCCATCTGAGCCCATGTCTCATGGACCATCTCCGCAGCGGTATCGACGCTGTCCACGTCAGCGCTCATAAGCGTCAAAGCTTTCCCATTAGTAACGGGGGAGCTCTCGGCATTTAGTGCTCGTGCGTGGATAAGGCCCACGAGAGCTCCTCGTATAATCAACTGCAGTCGGTTCAATCTGTGTCGATATACTGACGTTGAAATCTGCATCCACCGTGTTAGAACCTTCTTCGAGAAAGGTCCGAGTAGTCCATACCGCAAGGCCAGAGTATATAGCACCAGTGAGTACGACAAGCCAGTACCCGGAATCCACGCGCTCATCCTGCGAACCTCTCTGCTGTATGAAATCAATCGTCGCTCCAATGAGCACGGGCTGCGAATAGCGGAAGGCTACCAAGGAGAACCGCGGTAGGATAGGAAGTAGAAATCCTCTCCGAAAGGCTTTGAATAAAGCCAGCGGCAGCGTAAACTTCGTTTCTGGCTTCGCTGGATACCATATCATCAGTGTTCCTCAAACCCAGCAGCCCAATTCCAAGCGGAACTTACATCTTTCTGCCCAGGCATGAATCACCCGTTCGCGCAACACCTTAGATGATAACGCTCGATCAACCCCAGGTAAGCTTTCCGGAACCAGAACATCGCGATAGCCCTCCCTGAGAACGGGGTTAATCCACCAAAAGAACACACGGCCAAGAACCCCTGTCCGTTCCTCAGCTGTGAGGGATTGATATCGAGGGTGTAGATTTTGGACTTTACTCCGCGACTCTGCCACCAGAAGACCTGCTTCCAATACAACCTGGATGAGTAGAAGTGAATGCTCTATCGGGGTAAGATTGTGCGACGGCAGGGTCAATGCAATCAGGTCTTTGATGAGAGATAGACCGACGTAGAGAATGACAGAAGTCGATGGCCGCACGGTCTTTCGGTGTCCAAGGCGCAAGAGGACGAAGAGCTCAGAAGAAGCGAGGATGGATGCGATGGCGGGGATTTGGTCACGGAGGCTATTTGGGACTGTTGGTGATGCGAGGGAGATTAGTTGGACGCCGGACAACGCGACGGCCAGTACCTATTTATTGACTGAGGATTAGTGATGCTCCAATCCGGCTCCGACCAGAAATAACTAGAGGTACCGACGGTTTTGATATGACTTTGAAAGTCAGGAAGGACTTTGATGGACGCGCCGCGGAGACGCCATATTTCGAGAGGTGCGTAAAGGATGAAGATCGACGATAACAGGCTCGAAGATATATTTAGCCAGGGGTATTCTGTGAACATGACTCTGAAGCCTTTAGCACTTGTGAAATGTTCAAATGATCATGGGGAGATGCGCCTGGAAGGTAGAAAACAATCGGTAGTCTGGTGTTTACGCGCTTATCAAGCCATGTGTCGCTAAGATGGCGCCATCCCCTTATCAGGGATCTAGGAGTATATCTGGTGTAAGTGGATTTTATTCTTCAATTCAGCACGCCAAGACCCCAACTGACTTGATATCAATTCATAGAACGAGGCAATCACATTCTGCCCTTCAGGCTTAGTGGCCTACGGACTAAACACGCTGGGACTGTATAGATTTACGTGGATCGAACATTACAAAGTGGTCCTCCTCGGAGGCAATTTCCAATGTTATGGAGAGCTCGGTAGGTACTCACGAGTTTCACTCTGCAGACAACTTAATCCGACCCCTGAGTATAGGTCTACTGAGGTGCCACCAACTCCGTCAATTCAAGCATCTCAGGGTTTCTTCAGCAGCGTTGGCATTGGCTACACCCGTTAGCTATGAATGGTTGCTATGCGGCCTGCTGTAAATCCGGACAGCAATATCATACTGGAGTTGGAATTGTATTCTCAGTGACCACGGACCAAGGACTGCAAGCGGAAATAAAAGGGAGAATGGAACTGTTACATGCGGTATAGGCCTATAGGGGTATGGGTATCACCCACATCACTTCTAAGCGTCATGTCGTTGACTGCACGCGGTCTCGATATTTCTCTTCTTCAAGAGTGCTGACAAAAGGGGTAAACCTATAAAGAGTGCAGACATAACCGGCTTAGGATCACAAACCACCATCTGTCACATTCCTCGGAACACTACAGCTCAACTGGGTCTTCTTTTTTTTTTATTCGATCAATCTCTCCATCTGATTGAAAGCGCAATGCATAGGAGGTCAACTTTCGTCCTAAGCTTCGCGATACTTGCGCAGTTATTCGCACTCTGTTCAGCTCAACCCGCACCAGAGACAGAACTACCCAATACCGCTACAAGTCCTGAAAGAAGCCCTGCCTTTGACGATCTGGTCCACGATGGTCGGAAGTGTTGCATGCCAAATGAGGGAGAGGCCTGGCAGTTTGTCGATGGGAATACATGTAAAGAATCAGCCACTGATATCTGGCCGCTTTTCCCAGGTGCAGAAGCCATAGGGGCCTGCTGCTATGATAATGTTCACCATGTGCTCCATGTCCATGACATCCAACACCTTCCTACATATACCCGGGACCTGGACGTTTACCAAAGTGAACAGCACCCTAATGGTGTCTGCAACCTGGGTCTCAAATACTACATCACCAAAGCAGAGGTCTACGGCGGATATGTGAACCTCTTGATTAACCTCAATGTCGACTGTGGCACTTACAACGAGTCTGATGAGCACTGGGTGACCGTCATTTTTGATGAGAATTGGAACTACGGCGCGAAGTTTACTTTCGTCATTAGCTTTGTCGGGCCGACCATCTATTTGGACCTGAGTACGAAAGTCAACAGAGATTTAAGCATCTCTCTCCACGGCCATGTTACGGCGACTGGTGTTATCTCTAGCCTGGACGAGCTCTATGACTCTAGCCTGGACAAGGCGGAACTGCGCCAAATTCTCGATGGAGTGGATATCTGTCCTCCCCATTAAGGCAGAAAGATGCCATAGGTACTTGGCTTGAGTGCCGCGATATACTATTTGATGTACCCTGAAGGTGGCTGAGAAGGGAATAATGTTCTTTCACGCCTGATTTATGTGTTCTGCTATACTTGAATCGGCTTCTGTGGTTGTGCTCCTTCTTGAAACATTGTCCAGGACTCTGAGTGGTGGTATCAATGTCGCTATAAATTTGAATTTGCAAACAGGAATACATCAGAAGGATAGTATGGCAAATGACAGATAAAAGTACGAAGGGCGATGAAGTCTTGGTACATGATAGAGTGTAGTTAAGCACAGCCCTGGTGCTTGTTAAAGAATAATGGAAAAATGCAAACAGCTATCATTCGATGGATATGAGCTCAACGAAAACCACCCATGTAAATAGCAAAGAAAACCCTGTGTAGTAAAACAGTTTACAAGAGAAACATACGTCACGCGCATTGCTTATCCCATTCCCGATCTTTCGAATTGTCCGAATCATATCTCATTATCCCCAAACCCACAACGAACCCCAAGACAAGGAACTCAGCGCAAACGATCCAGTCCCCCGGAAGACACCAAGATACGATCCTACCACCAAAAATTAGTCTCCAGACAGGTTTAAACGATGAGAAAGAAAAAGACATACCAACAACCACTTCGGCGCAAACCCCGCCATCCACCACGCGACCGACGACATCTTGCCCACCCACGTCAACCCCGTCTTATCACCCAGTACATCATCGACGACCCGGCGCGCGAACACCCCCCGCGGCGTCGCTCCATCGACCATCGACCCGGCCGCCGTATCGATCAGCACCTGCTCCGCGGGCTTCCAGGGCGAGGTATCAGCGAGGTTGGCTTCGGGGTGATTCGAGAAGATGTTGGTGCGGACGACGCCGGACATCACGGTGATTACTTTTACGTCGAGGGGGGCGAGCTCGAGACGGAGCGTTTCGCTGTATGAGAGCACGGCGGCTTTTGAGGAGTTGTAGAATGCTGGGATCGGATGGGGAGAGGTTAGATTTAAATGCAAGTGATTTGGTTGGAAGTGAATGTATGGAGGGTGGAAGGGTAGGTAAGAGAAGGAAGGTAAACTCACCACCCCAAGCAACAGGCAACACGGCGGCAATGGAGCAGATATTCGCAATAGTGCCCTTCGCCTTGATGACGAGCGGGGAGAAAGCTTGCGTGACGCTGACGGTGCCCCAGAAGTTGACGTCGTGGATGGCTCTTGCGCGCTCGAGTGTCGTTTCCAACGCAGGCTGGATACACGACTGGCCAGAGTTATTGATCAGGTAGTCGAGCGTGCCGCCTGTTTTAGCAGTGACGGCTTCCACGGCCGCGTCGATACTAGACTGCGACGAGACGTCGAGCTGCAGGAGAGTCACGTTCGGGAGGTGCTCGAGTTGCGACATCTTCGAGACGGTGCGCGCGGTTGCGAAGACGTACAGGCCGCGCTCGTGGAAGGCTTCGACCAGCGCGGCGCCGATGCCGCCAGCGCTGCAGCCGGTGATGAGGACGGTTTTGGGCATTTGGGGAGTTGGTTGAGACATTGTGGATGGGGTTGAGGTGAGAGGATGGAGAAGCTGTGTTGATGTACAACCGTGAAGAGAGAGAGAAGACAAAAAAGAAAGAAAGAAGACCGGGGCGCATTCACTTGGCCTGCAGAAGATGACTTCACTGGACTGCCTGCCCTACGGCTGTCGGAGTCCGAAACCCGCCTGTCATCCCCACCTTTCGTCTACATCCTTCGCGCGTCTTGGCTTCAACTTGGCCCCCAACCAGCGGAATTAATGGTGGGCCCGTCGGAGTCATTCCCCTGCTTCCGCAGGAAATCGGAATTGATCAGGAGCACCCGCTTCAGGGATCATGTCATTGACCGAGCCAGTTGTGGAGAGGTGCAAAGGCCGAGAAGCGATCCGAATGGCGATGTGTGAGTATAGTCGTCTGTGTCCTTGAACTGCTAGTCTATCATTGGAAACCGTTTCATTAACTCTGGTATTTAGCTGCTCTAGGACAGAAATATCCTCTTCTCGCTCTCGCTGGCAACGCTCTCGATATCGTCTCGTCCCTTCCCAAGCATTTTCGATGTCCACCGTTTCTGGCCGACATGGTACCCGGACTGTCCGTTGCCGTGACCTTCACTGAGTTCTTTGCCTTCGCTTCTGTATGAGCTGAATCCCGGGATCTTTCTAAGTAGAATGCGGGTCGAAGGCAGCGAGCCGGTGATCAGTGCAAGTCCAAACTCGACGTTCATCCAGATCAGGGGGGTAGCACCGGAATCTGAGAAAGGATATGTGAGTGCGATGTCATAGATCAACAGAGGGCTTGGATACATACAGGTGAAATCTGTATCATCTTTCTGATACACCAGCGTTGGAAGTCGTGCCAGACCGGCCACACAGGCCACCAGACCTGGGTACGCTCATTAGTTCTAGCACTGGGATTACGACACGACGTCAGATACTCACCCAAACCAAACAGACCGATGACAGTCAACCGTCGCTGTAGTGGCATCTGCAGCTTCCAGATTGTCGGGATAGGCAACACGAAGATGGCGAGATCAACGGCAAACATGAGCACGCCTTGATACATCTCGATATCGAACAGCGTGTCCGAGGAGAAACACTTATAGTTCGGAGCCGTCTTGTCGTACGCCGCGCGAACGGGAGAACACTGCAGAATCAATGGCAGCTCTCCGGAAATAGTCAAGAGGACCAGGAACCCAACGATTCCGAGGCCCAGCCAGCGGATGAGTCTCGTCGGGAACGCGCGCATGATGAAGACGAGCAGGCTTATCTTGACGGCGGATGCGACGAAGAGGTAGGTGCAGAGCGAGATGTAAATGGCCTGCAGATATGCTGGTCAGATTCGATGCATTCAAGCGTCAGGACAGTCATACATACGTATTGCATCGTGGCGAGTTGCTCGTCAGGCACTGTGTCCATGTGTCGTCCGATACCGAAGAACGTGAGATAAATCGAGAGAGCAGCAAACAGCAACACCAGAATCTATCCTATCGCGTCAGACTCCAATGCAGACAGCTTCTCGGGTTGAGATAACCTACCAGAGCCAGGATAACCAGGCAGTCATCGAGCCCGAACGCACGGGTGATGAACTTGCGCAAATACAGCTATAGAAAGGTCGGCGTCAGCATGTACAATATGCACTTCACCACGCAAGCCACAAAGCTTAAAGACTGGAATCAGCATACCCTCGTACAGCAGACCATCAAGGCCAGAATCGCCACTGTCGCAACGACCGCTCGCACGGTCGTCACCATCGGAGGGGGCATGTTGACTGCGCTCTCAAACGTAGTGACCGCTGAAGAAATGCAGACGATTCAACCACGCTGCTATTGGATCGACGCCTTAAACTGAACAGAACATAACGAAAGAACGAGCAGCAGAGCCTTGGGAAAGGAGGATTCTTCAATCCTCGCATCGCACAGGAGAAGGCACACTCTGGTGGGTTGACACCACCGATCGCAACGTCCGCCTCCATCAGCACAGGGCACTAACACGGGCCGTGCAAGGAACCGTTCCCATTAGTGTGACTGCAAGTGTCGAGAAACGACAGGCAATCGCATTCTGGCCTGTGCAGGGGCAACTAATGACAACGCCCGGATAGCACTAAGTGGACTCGTCTCGGCTCAATCCGCCCCCAAAAGCACAAGAGGCTAGTCTAGCCGATGCTGGTTTTATGCAAGCTATTTGCCTGCGGTTCTGAGGGGCTGGATATTGCATTTTTTCCTCGGCCTTTTCTTTTCCTATGCGTCTATTTTGTGGTGTAGTTGTAGAGGGTGTGACCAGGGTAGGTATTAAACATTGACAAGTGCCAATTGATCCTGGACGCCACTATAAACTGTGAACTGCAAATTAAGAGGCTCATGCTTGCCTAGCAGGAAATCAAAATATTGAGCTGAGGATTAGAGGACCTAAACTTCCTAAAGGCTCATTTGAATTCTGCCTGATGGAGTCTCTGCACGGAATACTAACTTTTAGCTCCCCATAGCATGAATGGGCCGAACCAGGCCCGGAGCCGTTTGCTTCTGAGTTCTGCAGTTATATTAAATTTGTCTAGTCGGTTTCCACCTGTTCATTTAGGCTGAGATCAAGAAAGAGAAGATATTCGAAAGAGCCAATGTCTTCGTGAATATGAAACCTAACATGTATTAATTTTATCTATAAATCTATATTCTATAAACTGTATCGACATCTGTCCTGTTCACGTATGCTCATAAGCTCAATTAACGCCCAGGCTCAAAATGCAATGCAAAAGCATCCAAACATCAACAATGACATAGCAAATATGACGAAGCTAAACACTCATCAACCTCAATTTGATTAGCTTCAAGCTTTCCCACCCTTCTCTTCATCATCACTAAACGCGAACCGAGAGTACCGACGGATCGACTCTCCCTTGAAGTAAAACACATAAGGGATCGCACAGCAAGCCAGCGCAATAAACGCAAGCAAGGAGCTAGCCCACTGGTATCCCAGTCTCTCGTACATCTGCTCGGTAAAGAGCACCGTGGACGCACCCCACATGGAACGAAGGAAGGTCTTGGCTGCGAGCGCAGAGGCAGCTTGGTGTTGATACGTATCCACTTTTCAAGTTAGTATGCAGGTTGAAACTAGACATGCAGGCACCAGGGACTAACCTAAGTAGTTGTTCGCGGAGTTGTACAGGAAAATGAACCCGAACCCGACAGGCCAGCCTCCGATCGCAGGCCCGATCCAGTGGATGCGCGGGTACGATGTCCAGGCGAAGATGAACAGGCCGACGGGGATGAGCCAGCACGAGAACATCATGGGGATCAAGCGCTTTTCCGGGGGTGGTTTGCCGTCGTATTGGGCTGACACGGATAGATAGTGTTTGTTAACGAAGGGAGCGCAGGCGGCACTCATGAGGACGCCGATGGCGAGAGGGATGAACATGAGGCCTGTGGATCCGGCACTCCATTCCTTGCCGGACTGGTAGACGATGGGATAGCTAGGTCGAATTGTTAGTGCTCATGTTGTAAAGCAAATAATAGGATATGTGAACTTACGCGACGAAGAACATGTACAGCAGACCGTAGAGGACGGACATGTAGATACTGATGAAAAGGACGATGGGTTCCAAGAACAAGAGCTGAAACGGTCGCAGGAGAACAACCCGCAGCTTTTGGCCAATAGGCAGAGGATCAATCTCGGTCTCTGTCACGAATTTGGGATCATTCTCCGTCTTTCTGAGCTTCTTGGCTCGCTTCTTCAGGATGGAAGGCGCGTAGGTTTCTGGGACCGTGAATGTGATCAGGACCCAGGCCACGAACGCCAGGATTAGTTGCAGCCAGTAGAGCCATCTCCATCCAGACGCATCGAACAGGTAACCACCAGCGAGGGGTCCAATGGCGGGTCCGAGGAAGGGACTAGCGGAGAAAGCAGCCATAGGAACACCTCGCTCTTCGTTTCTCCACAAGTCTGCTAGAGTCCCGCCGACGAGGGTCATAGGGGCACTAAACGCAATTCCATCAATTGCACGGCAAACGATGAGGGTTCCGATGTTCTTTGACACGGCGCAGGGAATGACGAATATCACAGCGATCAGAAGAGTAACGGCGTAGACAGGCCGACGGCCAAACATTTCGGACATGGGTGCGAATGCCATCGGACCTGGGCTGGGTTAGCTTGCGTGTAAGCTATATGGTACTTGGAAATGACTTACCAACTCCGAAGCCAATGACAAAGACGGTCACAACAACAAGACTGACTTCGCGGCTGACCCCAAAGGATTCTATCGGGCCTTCAAGGCCCGCTGTGATAACGCTACTGGCAAAAGCAACGACGAAGCATGTGAAGGACACCACCATGGTACAGTACCATTTGAAGGCCTTAGACCAGTTCTTCGGGTTCTCAGGGTCGTCGATCTTGAATGTGACCAGCTTCCAGTCCTCCATTTTGCCCGTGGCGGAGGAGCGAATTGGCTTGATAATCTCTCCTTCGGCGGTTTCCCGGGTGTATTCTTCAAGGTTGGCATTGGTGGTGACTTGGTCGAGTGGTAAGTCAAGAGGATAGGTTTGACCTCGTCCGGATCCTATCGAAAGGGTCCGGGAAGCCTCTGTTTGGCTCCCGTGGTTTGGTGCCTGCATCTTGTACTTGGTATAGGCAGGAACTAAAACGTGGATTGAACCGATTGATAGATCTTGCTTGGGGAACCATTTTTTCGAAGCAGGGGCCTCCGATCATTCTTATAGCTGAGCATTCTCAGTCTGAAAACCGGATCCACGGTCACTAGTTGCCGTACGGCGAGCAAATGATCAGAGATTGTTGGCGACATGGAAAAGAAGCATATGAAATGCTCGCCATAAGCGGCAATCGGGCCGTTCTTGGCACGGGACTCACCATATTGCCTAATTAGAACAGGTGGCGCTAACCGTAATAGGTAATATGCCACGAAAGATCTCTAGCAGCATATCTTTTCTAAACCATTGATATGTGGTTGTCAGTGGCGTATATGAATCAAGGCCTCGCTCAAATAACATCTAGAAAGTGCAGGTAAAACGTACGTTGTTACTAAATCCAACTAATCTACTTAGGACTGCTCATTTATCATCGATCTACACCCCCGACCTGGAGGCAGCAACGCTCTCATTGAGACGGTTTTGGCCAATCAATATCCTCTCTCGCCGATGGTCCACGAGTCTGGGGTATTGCTTTAAGGCATTGGCCTTCCTACCGAGGGAATCGTTCCGATTGCTGCCGGTGTGGCCCACGTAGTCGAGGAATGGGCCCGTCGGCGAAAGGAATATGGGGGTTTATGGTAGAGGTTGGCACGGGCTATAGTACAGTAAATTTTCAAAGAGGAATGTGGTCTAATCACATTAAGAATTCCATAAGTTGTAAGGGCCGAGGCCAGAGTATTGACCAAGGATGGATGCGATTTCAAATACGGCATCTTCATCACATGATAACGGTCTGTATCTAGTATCGACTCATCATGGAGGGTCCATCGCAAGTGGGCCACTGAAGATAAAGGCACGGTCTGGAGTGCTCTCTGGTCTATCACTACTCCATACTTCACGCCCAGGCGGAAAGTGCCAAGAGCCTTGGCGCCGAACCGGACGGTTGTCGGAGAGTATTGCCCTAAAGGGGATAGCGGTCGAGACATATACCTTTTTAGGGAAAGAGAGCTGGACCATGACTTCATAAGGCGACTGACAGGACGGTTTGGGAGACCGAGAAATTACCCTAACTTAATCTTATCTCTGGTCTGAGATCATAGACCTTGGATTATTGGTGGCGACTGTGCTCCATGACACGTTCAGCGAGCATACTAGGTTTCTATGGCGGGTGCTATCCTATCCAACGGTATGAGGATGTGGTGTATCTGAGTTCAGTCCTATATTTGAAGGGAGCTAATGAGCTGTGAAATAATTGCACATGAAAGATGGTTCTGAAAAGGAACTCGAACATACCAGAGCGACACCACTGAAGATCCTCTCAAAGACCGAGTCTTTGTTAAGATCCAATCGAGTGCTTGATAAATTCCACTGCCTTGTTATTATGATCGCAAAAAAGCGAGGAACATAGGGAATATTATATTCCCCAAAGACGGTTTGAAATGCACGGTTTGCGCTCCATTGTGCTCTATGTCCTTCCAGTGGGGACGAGAATAGGAGCAGACCGAAGACCCTTTCGAACTAGTCTGCCGACAAGCTGCTCGATATAATCCACATATTCTTGATTTGCTGGTCCATATGCCCTGAGTTTCTCGTTGGCAACCTGGAGTGGGAAAAACGTCGATGCGGGCCCAAACAGCTTCATTTCATCTTGCATCAGATATTCCATACTCAGGCAAATTTGCTTGGAGAGTGTCAATGTCCTGCTAGTGATATCACCCACGTCTTTCAGGCTAAGTAACGAAGTTTCGCCCAGCAGTGTCTCGGGAAACAATAGCATCAATCTCTCAATTTCGGAGAGGCAAACGATGTGGAACGCCCACAGGTGAGTGAAGACGTTTGCCATGGTGACATTGTCATACCAGAGGAACGACTCTTCAAACGTGGGGGGACTTCTTGAAGAGAAAGTCTTATCCTGATTCCAGAAGTAAGGCCGACCGATTTCAACTCGAGTTGAGGTTTCCCAGTCCTCTAATTGACGCACAATGTCAATAAAGGATCGACAGATGCCCCGTATTTCGGAGATATCACTGGCACAGGGCGTATCGAGAATTTCATCACATTTCCGAAAGAGCGAGGGAATTATGACAGCCTTACTCAAAAGCCTCTGCATCAGTGACGGGCTGAGGATAAAGAACGGGATTTCAAACCATTCTGGTGACGCCAGAAAGACTGGCTGTCGGTGTCGAAATGCCTCCACTGTCTGGATTGGTGGAAACGTTAAATCTGAGTTCAATTCCGGGGCATGAGCTTCAAACATACCAAGAGTGGACGGAACCCCACGAATAGCTTATGTAGCGCGCCAGATTTGCATGCCTCTGGACCGTAAGTTAGGAGCAAGAGACCAACTCCTTTGACATGAGCTGTCAAAGCTGGAAGGGACTCTGGGAGCATGAGCTAGATCTAGGTTAGTTTCAACTCAAAGTGAACATGTCAGGGATAAAAACCTCAACCAAAGTGAGACACATAGCGGCCGCTATCAAGTCGGTTCTGAATGTGTGATCTGGGCGAGCAAAGCTTTTCCGGAGAGCCCGAATTGCAACCTGATAAGGCTGTGAGCAACTGAGAATCGACTGATTGGCTTCTTGCTTTTGAGAACCGATTGAGCCCGCCAATGCTTTAATGGCTGTGGGAAGGACTGGGTCCCTAGCACTCTGGTTTTCAAGCACGGGAAGAACCTCTATCCAAGAGCCACATATGCGAGAGCCTTTGTCATCTGTAATGCCATCCGTTATCATCAATTGATCTCCTGGGATATAGTTCTGAATGATAAGTCCCATGAAATCATTATTATCTGGCCTTAGAGATGGCAGCAGTGACACAGAGTCGTTCGCGTATTGGCTATGCTCCATGACATCATCTGGTGAATGGAGATGGCTTTTGGAGTATTGCTGAACCCACTTTGAGTGCTGCTCTTTAGCTTTTGGGAGCCCATCTTGATATCTTTTTGGACCTTTACTGGAGCGTTGATGGAAACCGTCCTGGGACACAAATGTCCAGTTGGTGCTGTAGCCATCACAGAATCGTCCTGATAAAACACATTGACTACAACCTGGGCGTTTTCCATCACACTAACAGATAATCAGCATTTAGAAATTCTAGATAACCAGATTTCAGCTTTAACTCACCCCTAGCTTTCGCGTCCTACATGTCTGGCAAACGGACTTTTGCTTGACCTTCATGTCGCATCGACGGCCGAAGAATCATCTAGTGTTCGGTTGTGGGGCAACAGAGTTCTTTTCATTGGAGGATATACAGCCCAATTGTCTGTGTGAACGAAGTGCCCATCAGTCCTTGTGGGATAAGATGAGAAGGTGAAAGCAACGCAGCTGTCTCGAGGCGGCCTTGGCGGGTAATGCCACCTTATTTGGTTAGCGCGGCATGGATGATTAATAGTGGGGCCTCCAGCCCGGAATGCCACTGTCTTGGCGATTTATCTAACCGCTTTGGGTGTCATATTCCGCCAAGACCTGAGGCAGACATCGTGATTGGGCAACGGGCATTTATACTGAGGACTGAGAACTGTGGATAGGAGCAACTTAACTCAGAAGTTTTAATCTGCTATCGGGCATTTCTAATAATTAGTCAATGACATAGTCTGAGCTTCACTAAGCAGATGCCCTGGATTTGTCAAGTAGTGGTCAGGCAATGATATATAACTATCCCCGTGCAACGAACCTCCTTTCTAATCGCTCAAGAAATCATCATCACAATTCATATACTAGGAAACAACCCTCTGAAGAACTTCTACCACCCGCCTTACTCTTTTTCCACAGTCCAAACTCTACATCATGGCCCCCTCTACCTTCAAAAGCTCCCTCACAATGACCCACATCGGCACCGCAACCGCCATTCTAGACATCGACGGGGTGAGATTTCTCACCGATCCTTTCTTCTCGCCAGCAGGCACAGAATGGGACGTAGGAGTGGCCGTCCTCAAAAACACCGAAACCCCAGCCCTCGGACTCGAGAACCTGCCGCCCATCGACGCGATCCTCCTCAGCCACGAAGACCACCCCGATAATCTTGATGAGCTCGGTCGTCGCCTTCTCGACGGACGCCACGTCCTGACTACCATGGACGGAGCTAAGAATCTCGCCCCTCGACCTGGTGTGCGGGGCCTCAAGCCGTGGGAAACTGTCCCCTTGGTCGCTGGGGGGAAGAAGTTTCAAGTCACGGGGATCCCCTGTCAGCATGTCCCTGGGAATGAATGCACGGGGTTTGTTCTCGAGAGTGAGAGTTTTGGAACACGGGAGGATGGCCGCCCGAATGTGATTTATTTCTCCGGGGATACAGTTTACTTTGACGAGTTGGATAGGATTAAGGAGAGGTGGCATGTTGTTGCGGCGGTTTTGAACTTTGGGAATGCACATGCGCCTCTTCCTGAGGGCCCGTTGCAGATTACGATGGATGGAAAACAGGGAGCGCATTTGTTCCGGCAGTTGGGGGCCGATGTTCTGGTTCCGATGCATTTTGAGTCGTGGGGTCATTTTACGCAGTTTGGGCATGAATTGAGATCGGTTTTGGATGGCGAAGGGGTCGGTGATAAGGTGTGCTGGCTCACCCCGGGGGAGGCTAAGATTGTTATTTAGTTCTTTTTTGACCTGTTTCAAAGATCAATTGTATCCGTGCCGCTGTGCCAATGTTATTTCAATTTGGCTTTTATAATATGGTAGTGAGAACAATCCCTTGTAGTCATTCAGAGAGTCAGAAAGGACAATACTCAATGATCATTGCCATGTATCCAAATCCTGCTTTTACAAGGTTGATTTTGCAGACGTTGAGCAACATGTCTTCTCGTTCTCCCCACAGGTTGATAGGCGACAATAACAAGATGCGGTGATTGGTGTGTCTGCGGATGCCAGTGCGAAGTCCCGTTGATTACGAATGAGCAGAGCTTCCTTCGATTTGCCAGACCGCGTCAAACACTCATAAAGACCATGAAGCCCCCATACGTTGTTTACCCGAGCACGACGTCGAGGGTAAGTTTCACTGAGGCCAAGATCTTCTCGGAAAGCCACCTCAGCTTCTTCGAGTCGGTTCTGTTCCAACAAAAGAGCGCCAAGGGCATGACGCACGGGTTGCATCCACGCTGGTGGATCACAATAGGGAATCGCGTCCTCCAGCTCCACGGCCTTTCGGAGACTGGAAAAGGCTGACTCAATGTTGCCCTTGCGGTATTCCAGCTCGCCTTGGAGCATAGCTGAAGCCACCCTCAACACATCGAGTTCTTTGGCTGGCAAGCTATTAAGACGGCTTTCCGGCACTTTGGCGCGCGCGGCTTCAAATTCGGCTTGCGCACGCTCAGCTTCAGCAATGTGTCCTAGGACGCTGTGGGCGATTCCGCGTGCATATAAAATCATTGCGGTAGTGGAGCAGAACAATTCCCGGTCTGTTGGTAGCTCCAGCCTAAGAACTTCGTCCCATCGACCAAAACGGACCAAAACATGCGGCAAAATAGCAAGAATGCCTTCTGTCCAGTCGGCCATTGGTGGACTTCTAATTGAAAGAACTTCGACGTTCAGAACGTCATACAGTCGTTTCGCAGCGGATATGGCGTCTTTGAATCGACCACACATGATAGCTCCATACACCTTTGCGTAGATATTATGCGCTCGATACGCCGTGTAAAGAATAGACCCTTTCTCTTGAGAAAAGTATTTGTCGTCAGCAATTATCGCGTCGTGGTTTGACGATACAACCCGGCGATAATCCCCAACTGCAATATCAATATGACTTCCCATGTGCAGCATATGGGAGGCTTCGGGAACGAGGTGGCGCAAACGGTCCGCAGCCGGCAAGGCTATCTCCGGAGAGGGAGACATTTCCATGAGATGGATATACAAGTGGCAGAAAGCAGGCTGGTCGTAGCCGTCACGTCTTGCCAATCCGGATTCCAGAACGGTACGAGCCTCTACAGTGAGAGGATCACTAGGCTCGCCAGTATCCACGTTCCACAAGTCTCGAGGCCGACGACACATGAGAGCGTCCACAAACAATGCAATTACATCGCGATCCTTGGGGTATGCATGATATACCGGGCGCATTGCCTCAGCGTAGGCCTCATTCAGCGTCTTCAGGTCGGTAGGAATCTCTGCGGACGGAAATCGAGCGGCGAGAGCGTGGATCACGTCGCGTTCTACCGGAGAGGCTTGGGGTGCAAGCTCCAACGCATTGGCCAAAGCATCCTTCGATCTCTGGACGGAGTGCTCCAAATCCTTTCGATCAAACCGTACCCAGGCCTTATTGTAGTTGGGACCGGCGGCGTAAGCTATCCCCCAGAATGCCATGGCGCAGTTGGGATCAGACATGGCGGCTTTTTCGAAACAACGAACCGACTCTTCATGGTTGAATGAATAGGCCCATACGAGACCACGATTGAACCATAGTTGGGCCTCTGGTGAGTTGGTCGTCACTTGGCGTTCGTACGTGCCGAGATCATAGTAATTGTCCGAAGGTTTGGTAGTAGGAGGCACCTGGGGATTTTTTCTAGCAGTGATAACTCGTCAGTCATGTGAGAACTATTATTTGAGAAGCAGGAGCTAACTGACGCCATTTTGGTAGTAGTCCTATCGGATTGTTTTGCTCTGGAGGTAAGTACTGTTGTCGGGAGTAGAGTGAGGGGCAAGAGAGCTTCTCCGCATTTATATAACAATGGCAGTCAATGGTACTTCTACAATGACACTCACGGTCGGCGATTCGGGGTCTGATCGCCACAACAACACCTTAAACACGCCCCACTAATTCGGCGATTAAAATTGGGTTTCATAGCTTGTAATATAGAGATTCGCCAGCATCTGCAAGGGTGTTGTGATTATTGCTCGGGCCATTGAATTGGCTGATCTTGAGGTTGATGGTCGTATGAGCGCTCCATGGTTGAGAAAGATCTATGATTTTTGATTATTGGACAGGTGTGAAAAGGCCAACTAACCCTTGAAAGCCTGATGCATTTGATTCCGTCCGATGAGATTCGCGCAATGAAGCTCATCTGGCGTGATAGTAGAATGCCTGAGGCATACACGGAACAACGATCTCCCGCGTGGAGCTCACACGTGACTGATAAGCAGGCGATAAGCCGGAAGCGGACTAGCGCGGGGCCGCGTTTCCCTCGCAAAGAGAGAGAGAATTAATTTTACGACGTCGAGCAGCTTCAACGCCCGTCGCGGTGCTCGTGAACGCCCAATCATACTACATCTCGGAGGTTTGTCTTTAGACACCTCTCTACAGTGAGTCTATTTCCTTCGTGGAGCATTCATTTGTCTCCTTTTGTACCTTCGCCCTCCTCCCCCGCGTTTTGAGTCGTCGTTGACTCACCCCGGAAAGCACCCCACCTCTAGAATATCGTCCGTCAATTTCACGATGGCCTCCGACTCGACCTACTTGGCCATTCCCGGCTCGGTTGCCTTCTCGCGCTCCCGTGGCCACGCCATTGCTGCTAGCATTGGTGCCCAGGACGTTCGCGCCCAATGGGTCCATTACGTCCACACGTCTCAACCGTTGGATGAACCCCAGCAGGCCATCCTGGAGCAGTTGCTCCACTACGGTGATATCACGGACATCCCGGAATCATTCGCTGCCGAAGATGGCTCCTTCGATGTTTTCTACGTCTTCCCCCGGACAGGAACCATCTCTCCTTGGAGTACCCAGGCCACCGGTATCTCCCATGTCTGCGGTCTTCGCAAGTATGTGAAGCGCATCGAACGTGGTTTGAAGATCTCGTGCCTGCGCGCCGACTCCTCCGATTACAAGCCCGGATACCAGGACATTCTGCATGACCGGATGACCCAAATTATCGGCAAGGACGAGCCTGACCTGCACTTGATGTTCTCCGAGCACAGCCCTCTCCCCCTCGAGACCGTGAACCTCCACGGCAGCGACAAATCCCCGAAAGAGGTTCTACAAGAAGCGAACAAGCGTATGGGACTGGCATTGGAAGAATCGGAAATTGACTACCTCGCCGAGGCGTATGGTCCGAACGGTCCCATCGCTCGTGACCCCACCGATGTCGAACTGTTCATGTTTGCTCAAGTCAACTCGGAACATTGCCGCCACAAGCAGTTTAATGCTTCCTGGGTCATTGATGGAAAGCAGATGCCTAACAGTCTATTTTCCATGATCCGGAACACTCACAAGAAAAACCCTGAACACACCGTGAGTGCTTACAGCGACAACGCTGCTGTGCTTGAGGGAGACGAGGCTGCTTTCTGGGCCCCTGACTCATTTACTGGCGAGTGGAATCACACGAAGGAGCTCGTTCACTTTTTGGCCAAGGTTGAGACCCACAACCACCCTACAGCCGTGTCGCCCTACCCTGGTGCTGCCACCGGATCTGGTGGAGAAATCCGTGATGAAGGAGCTGTGGGACGTGGCTCAAGGCCCAAGGCTGGTCTTTCGGGCTACTGTGTCTCTGACCTGCTGATCCCCGGCTTCAAACAGCCGTGGGAACTCGAAGTCGGCAAGCCAAACCACATCGCTAGCAGTTTGGACATTATGCTGGAAGCCCCCATTGGCAGTGCTGCCTACAACAACGAATTTGGCCGACCTTGTATCTCTGGTTACTTCCGTACTCTCTTGACTGAGATTGACATTGGCAATGGACAAACCGAATTCCGTGGTTACCACAAGCCCATCATGATCGCGGGTGGTGTTGGAACCGTCCGACCCCAACATGCCATCAAGAAGCCGGAGGCTGTCAAGCCCGGTGCCTTCCTTGTCGTTCTGGGCGGTCCGGCCATGTTGATTGGTCTTGGTGGTGGCGCTGCTTCCAGTATCACCTCGGGTGAAGGATCGGCCGATCTTGACTTCGCCAGTGTGCAACGAGGCAACGCCGAGGTTCAGCGCAGAGCTCAGGAAGTCATCAACGCCTGTGTGGCCATGGGCGACAACAACCCAATCAAGTTCATCCACGATGTCGGTGCTGGCGGTCTTTCCAACGCTCTTCCTGAGTTGATTCATGACTCGGGCCTGGGCGCCACCTTCGAGCTGCGGGAGATCGATAATGCCGACCGTAGCATGAGTCCTATGCAGATCTGGTGCTGCGAAGCTCAGGAGCGGTACGTCCTGGCTGTTGGTGAAGACTCCATGAACAAGTTCACCGCCATTGCTCATCGTGAGCGCTGTGGCTTCTCCGTCGTGGGCCGCGGAGGCGGAACCTCGGAGGAGGAAAAGAGACTCATCCTTCTCGATCGGGAGTCCAAGGAGTTCCCCAGACCCATTGATCTACCTTTGAATGTTCTGTTTGGAAAGCCACCCAAGATGACGCGCACTGTGGACTCGCGCAGGCTGAAATTGCCCGCAATTGATGCAGGCCTGACCACGTACTTGCCTGAAGTTGCGCCTAACCGGGGTGAGCTCATCAGCGAGGCCGCGAACCGAGTGCTATCTCTCCCTGCTGTCGGGTCCAAGTCTTTCCTTATCACCATCGGTGACCGGACTGTCGGAGGTCTTACTGCTCGTGATCAGATGGTGGGCAGATGGCAAACCCCCGTGTCTGACGTTGCCGTCACGGCAACCACCTTGCTGCAGGGAGTTAAGACCGGTGAGGCTATGGCAATGGGCGAGAAGCCCAACCTCGCACTCATCTCTCCCGGTGCTTCGGCTCGCATGGCTGTTGCGGAATCTCTGATGAACATCGCGGCTGCCGATCTGGTTGATCGTCTAAGCCGAGTGAAACTCTCGGCCAACTGGATGTCTGCCAGCAGCCACCCCGGAGAGGGTGCTGCTATCTATGAGGCGGTTGAGGCCATTGGTATGGATCTCTGCCCCAAGCTGGGCATCAGCATTCCCGTCGGAAAGGACTCCATGTCCATGAAGATGAAGTGGACCGATGATGCCTCCAAGGAAGCGAAGGAGGTCACCGCCCCGATGTCTCTGGTCATCTCCTCTTTCGCGCCTGTTGGTAACTACAGAAAGACATGGACCCCTGCTCTTCGCCGTCCTGAGGATGTTGGTGACACTGTCCTCATGTTTGTCGATCTTTCGTTCGGCCGCAAGACTTTGGGCGGCTCTTCTCTTGCCCAGGTCTTCAAGCAGGTTGGTGACGAGTGCCCCGATGTCCGGGACGTGGACATTTTCAGAGACTTCTTTGATGCTACTCAGCAGCTGCAGGAAGCGGGTATCGTCTTGGCTTACCACGACCGTTCCGACGGTGGTCTCTTCACCACCCTGGCTGAAATGATGTTTGCCGGCCGCTGCGGTGTTGAGATCATGCTTGATAACATTTGCTCTGGCCTTGACACGAAGAGCCTTGTGGAGACCCTCTTCACCGAGGAGCTGGGTGCCGTCTTCCAGGTGCGCAAGGAGCATGAGATCCAGTTCCGCTCCTGCTTCGCTACTTGTGGTCCTCCTGCTGGCTTGATTCACAAGATTGGACGTGTTTCGGAACGTCACAAGCAGAACCTTGCCATTTACCACAAGGCTAGCATGGTCTACCGTAACAGCCGTGCCAACCTGCAGCAAACCTGGTCCTCGACGTCTTACCACATGCAGAAGAGGCGTGACAATGCCGTCTGTGCTGACCAGGAATTCGCCAACATCCTCGATGACGCCGACCCTGGTTTGTCGTGGAACCCCAGCTTCGACCCGAAGGACAAGGCCGTGCCTTTCATGACCAGCTTGACGCAGATGTCTCCGTTCAGCAACAAGCCGCGCGTGGCTATCCTGCGTGAGCAAGGTGTTAACAGTCAGGCTGAGATGGCCTTCGCTTTCAACATGGCTGGTTTCTCCGCCGTCGATGTTCACATGACCGACGTTATCTCGGGACGCGTGTCGCTCTCTAGCTTCGTCGGTCTTGCCGCCTGTGGTGGTTTCTCCTACGGAGACGTCCTCGGTGCTGGACAGGGTTGGGCCAAGTCTGTTCTGCTGCATGAGAACACGCGGAATGAGTTCCAGTCGTTCTTCCAGCGCCCCGACACTTTCGCTCTCGGTGTCTGCAACGGTTGTCAGTTCCTGTCTCGCCTGAAGGAGTTGATCCCCGGTGCCCAGAACTGGCCGAGCTTCGAACGCAACGCCAGTGAGCAGTACGAGGGCCGTGTCTGTATGGTTCGTGTCTCCGATCCGGATCCCGCGAGACCCAGCGTCTTCCTTCACGGCATGAACGGCTCTTCTCTGCCCATTGCCGTTGCCCACGGAGAGGGACGTGCCTCCTTTGCCCACTCTTCCACCGTCACGGCCCAAACTTTCGCTCGTGACGGTCTTGCCCCTGTCCAGTTCGTCGACAATGCCACCCTTAAACCGACTACTAAGTACCCCTTCAACCCCAACGGCAGCCCCGAGGGTATTGCGGGTATTCGCAACGAGGACGGTCGCGTTCTTGCTATCATGCCTCACCCGGAGCGGACCGTCATGGGCGGCATCGCCAGCTGGCTGCCCGCGAGCTCTCACCAGTGGGGTGACATTGGTCCTTGGGGACGCGTCTTCTACAGCGCTAGAAGATGGGTTGGCTAAGCGGAAAGCTTTGACGACTCTAATTACATACGCTGCAATCAACTTCAGTTATGTGTTGGTACTTTTTTTACGGTACAGATTAAAATAAAAGCCGACCAGATGTTACGAAGAATGTTCTACGTTTTTGTTTTGTCCTTATGTTTTACATATCAAAATGATGAGTTGCATGCCGGCATATTCGAGGAAATATAAATACATTTTATTATTTTGGATATAGTGATCACCGTCTTCAATGAAGTTTTGGTGACTGATTTGATTGATTTTCTGGCTGCTGCATCCTACTCTGTCTGCACCACCAAATCACCAAATTTCAGGCTCCGGGGCATATTTCTAATGCACTTCCTCCGCTTCATGGTTAAACATCACTAAATGAGTGTGTTAGCCATAGGAGCTTATCTGAACCACACCTGCCAGCGACTGGTCCTCCCTCGTCTCACTTCGATACGAACTTATATCCCTGTCCAAACTAACCCCGAGGTGGTTTACGGCTGACAGCGATCTACAGCCTTTTACTGACCCTTGGCTGAGCGGGGAACACAAGAAGTGCAGAAGTCAGAATCAGCCCGAGAAGAGCCGGCGTTTCGCTAGTAGTCTAGTGTTGCCGTTCGGAGAGTCTGCGCCGCTCGCTCGTTACTGATATTCCTCTGCATGTAAGACGAGATCTCCCATTGATATACCCCTTTAGCTTTCACGCTCATTACCAACAACCCAAATGGTGAATCTCTTGGTAGATCGTGACGCACATTATTGGTTGGCGCGTAGGCAGCCTTCATTCGCTCCGCCTCTTCCCAAGCGCACGTATGGGCGACAAGTAAAATGCCTTGGACACGCTAAATGGGCCCAATAGGCCACCTGCAGCACCAATTGGCTACCCCGACCCCATTTGGTGGTTGGGCAATCCTGGTTATCAGGTGTCCGTGATCAGGTAGAAAAAGCTGCGACAATCCGGTTCGCTCCAGAATTCACCGATCACGGAGCCAGTCTCACCGGAGAAGCGTGAGGCGCTTCTCCAGGGCCCAGCTGCGACTCCTCCACCCGGTTTGGAGTCAAGCTTGGAGGACCCTCCCAACCAAAGGGCTGTGTCGTATTTCGTCATGATATTCTTCGGCATCTTGGCAACGTTTGCATTGGTCATTCGAGTCTACACGAGGGCTTTCATTCTTCGTCGGATGAAGATAGCGGATTGTGAGTTGGGTGCCAAGTGACCTTGTCGACTATAATTTAACGGTCCTAGATTCGCTCATTCTAGGATGGGTACTCTTCTTACTACCTCTTAGTCCCCGCGCATGGCTAATCGTGATCAGCTTAATTTTGTGGCTTACCTGGTCACTGGCTGGCTTGCTGCCGAGTCTGCTCCAATGATCGACCAATGGAATCTACGCCTCAGGAATTTTCTTGACCTTCTTTTTGTATGTGTTTCCAGATTATCTGGGAAGTTAGGGATCCTAATAAACATCAAGCGCTTCTACGTGGGTTCCGCCTGCTATGGAGGGGCGATGCTCTTCATCAAAGTCGCCATCTTGCTCAACATACTGGAGATCTTCTGGCTCGAGCAAACGCTAACCAGAGCATGTCACATTCTGATGTGGGCCAACGGCATCTTCTATATAAACTTCATCTTTCTTCAAATCTTTGCCTGCCGCCCGATAAATAAGAGCTGGGATGTTTTCATCACCGACGGAGCCTTTTTTAACACGCGACTCGTTACCCTCGTCGCAGGGGCAATCAATACCGTCTCGGACTTGATCATTCTCATTCTACCTCAGCGGCGTATCTGGGCGTTACAATCGCCATTACGGAAGAAACTGGCAGTATCGGGACTATTCTCGCTCGGTCTATTGTACTGGCCCCTTCCCTGCACCGCTTTCTCCGCTCGGCCTCTATCCATTTCTATAGCCAATCAGTAACTAACACCCCCAGCGCCTGCATCTCCTCGATCGTGCGACTGTACTATTCCGTCATCATCAGCTATTCCCCGAACCAATCCTACTACGGCTACATATCGGGAATTTGGACTGTCCCCGAAATGGCATTCGGAATTATGGTTGCCGGATTTCCGCTCCTGCCGAAATTCATCAGCCATTTGCGGGAAAACAGCCAGATAGCCAGATTGAAGACATCAATTCGGAGCTCGCGCCTGACACCCTCAGGTACAGGTCGACGTTCGATCATCATCCCCTCTAACCCGTCCTCGGCACGCGCTCATTTGAAGAGACCTAGAGATCCTGACGAAGACTTGCTGATCACGTCGCCGAGTCATGCGATTATTGAGAGAAGCTCGGATGGGATGTGTTGAGACCCCCCCCTCTTTCTTACCTTCTATACACCTTTTCCTTTTTTGTACCATTAGGTGGGATCGCTGGCATGGGGTTCATGGGCCGATGCTGCACGGGCATTGTCAAGGCGCTTTTGATTTTTGGTCTCTAGTACCGACTAATGTGTTATGACAGTAGAGGCCAGCATGTTGCATGAGCTATTCATATACTAATAATCTCATATATTTACATCACTACCAAGTGAATGGCCAATAAGGGAGTCGCTTTCTTTTAGAATCACACAACCGGAAGCTATAAATTCTGTCAGCGTAAATCGCATCTCGGGCCTAGCTGAAGTAATCAAAATAGAACCGAATGACTAGCAAAGTGCCTAATTCGACCAGTGTTGCTCAATCCTCATAATCGAGAGCAGTGTCCGCCGTCGTTCGCCATATTATGATCACTAATGACCACGGGAAAGACCCCTGTCAAACGAGGCTGAATGCGAAAAAGAAAAACCAAAGCAATAAGCCATTTCCTGATTCATGCACACGCCAAGTCTTCTCCTCAGCTGAGACAGACTCCGTAGGACTGTAGTTCTTGGCGCTAGCTCCTAGACTAGTGAGTGCTTTTGCTCACAATGTTCACGAGTCTCTTGCTCGCCTCGGCTGGTGGAAAGATACCCGGCAACGCCTATCGGGTTTCCGCAACATAACTTGCCCGCTTTTTGATGCTTGATGTACGGCATCCCCGGTTAAATTACCCGCGGATATCGATTCGAAGTCTTGGGGATTCATTCGAGCCGGCTGAAAAATTGTCGAGGAGTAACCATTCGGATAATCAGGTTATAGCCGTCTTTCACAATGATCTGGAATGTGTGATTTAGTAAACAATAAAAACCAGCTCTGTGGGATCGGAGTGTTCCCCAGTAATGATCAACCGCAAGGGTCCTCGCTTTTCCCCGTCCCTGGCGTCATTCATCCGAGCTTGCCGCAACTCAGCAAATATTTGAGACAACAGGGGGTCTGGATCATTTCGAGTCCATCAACCCAACCTCAACCGGAACGACCACATTCGCGATAACATCATGCCACAATGGTATCAAGACCAGTTATGTCCGCACGTTCGTAGGGGGCATGCACCATGATGACAAAATCTTAGAGGTGGCTGACGAACCCCTCTTCCTATAGTACCCTGCATATGCAAGAGCCGTAGCAAACATGCAGGGTAGGGCTGCGATATCTGCTCGATTGGTCGGGTTTCTATGCTACCCCTCAGAATGTAGCTGTGCTAATGTGGGACCCCTGCTGGTTCCTGTGGCAAGGGAGTATGTCTCGGCGAGTGCGACAAGCTGAGCTTCGGGTCTTTGCCACGAAGAGGAAAGCCTGATGGGATCCTGGTAATTTCAATGTTGAGACAGATCGATTCATTTCGAAAAGGGATCGAAGTGGGTGAACTTTTCAGATTAGTGGATCAGTCATAATTGAAAGACTAGCGTGCATAGAAAGAAGTGTACGGAGTAGCGTGGGCAAAAAAGGCAGCCAGGCCTTTTTTTTTTTTTTTTTTTTTTTTTTTTTTTGCCAGTTCGTGTCCGCACATCCCAGTTATATTGGTGGGTGAATCTTCACACTAGTAATCAATAGTAAGTTGAGGAGTTGCGGGATCATCACTTCCGGCCCGGTCCTTCCGGATCCCCCCGCAGATTGAACTTTTCCTATTGCTTCAAAGGTTTGTTGCTTAGGTCGCTTATGCATTCTGCAGGTTACAGGACGCCAGGAATTCGATTTTCCATACAAAATGAACCAAGGATCTGATCATCGCGTCAGATGGCCTGATTGAGTCATAAGAACGTGACTGCAGTATAATTCAGCTTGGACACTATCCAATTAGAGTAGGTGATATGTTCCTCATACTGAGTCTCGTGATAGGTATCATCATCAGCTGAAGTGTGGATCCAATGGTGCCGATGGATCGAGATCGAAGCAGTTCAGCTTCAAGCCAAAGGAATGTACGATGCATCATCACACTCGCTATCGGTTCTGATTGATGGAGAAATAAAGGCTTCTGACGTGATTCATTTCGCATGTGCAGATCCTAGGTCTCAGCTGAAAATACCTTGTAACCATCCCAGTCTCTGATCTAGGAGCTTCCCTGTTTGATATCAGTAGACGAATGCAAGGTAACCAGCTCCTCGTGGCAGCCCAAGAACTCAAGTATAAATCCTCTGAGGATTCCGTCCCAGAACACCTCCATACACCACAAGCTTCTGCCACTTCATCGGGTACTCAAGCACGTTTCATCCTACATCATCTCCCAAAATGCGCTTCACCTCTGCTGCTCTCACCACCTCGGCCCTTGTCCTGGCCGCTGCCGCTGTTGGTCAGCAAAACATCTATCCCCCGGGAGGCCCGGGCTTTTTGCGGGTTAGCCTCGCCGACGCCGACGAGGGCGAATTCACCGGCTGCCTCGCCGACGACGGCAAGTGGACCGTGGCAGACAAGTGCACCGAAGCCTTTGGAAACGGTCAAGGGGGATTGGGTACCGTCTCTGGGTGGTTGATTCTGGACGACGACTCCACGATCACCACGGTTACTACCACTTGGTCCACCTCCTGGCTTGGCACCCATGCGGATGGAAACGTAAGAAGACTCTTCCTGTCCATGTTTGCTTTACTGTTCGCTGATAGAAGCTCTTTCTGTCTCTTATAGAGGAACGCCTCGAACTTGTTTACTCCAACTGACGACGACGACGACGGTGCGCCCCATGGAGGACCGGTGTGGTATGCGGAGGCGATTCCGTCTGGCGACGATGCGGTGGCTGTGCGCGGTGTGAAGGTGAACGAGGGAGACGTCGGGATTAGCTTGTTCTTCCATGCTACTCTTGGGGAGTAGGTCTGGCGAATAAGACTATTCGTGGAGGAACATGGCTTGGTTGGGATGGTACTGACAACAAGCGTTTCTCAATTGTCGGAATAGTGGGGGAGTATGGCAGTGTGCCACTTTAGCTTCCACTGTTGATTGAAATGGACAAATCATGGTAAATCACCATACAGACAAGCTTTAATTGTAGGTGTAGATATCCAATAGCCAGGTAACCGATTGTGGTAGCAGAAGCGGTTGGATTGATGAAACCGTTGTTGAGGGTTGCAGGAGGGTTGAATCTCCTGGTTGTTTTCCATAAAGAGTCATCACGTGGCAAAGGTCTATATATCCACAATATCCATCACATGAAGTTTTCTCTAGATCTAGACCCTCGGTGGAATATAATGAACGGACATCGAGGCAATCAAAGATACAAGATCAATGGACGATCATCCTTTGTCCATTTACTCTGCATCTCTGCATGAACATTTCATTTCATTCTAGTAGTAGCAGCACGCCATCTCCACGTCTCAGAAATAGTGCTCACTTGAAGTTGACAAGCCGAGCACGTTAGATGACTACAGTGCTCCCCCGTAAGATTCGTGCTCGACATGGCCAATTTCATGCCTCGATGACGTTAAATAGTGGACCACGTAGAGCTCGGAAGTACCGCCGAAGATGGTACAAATCCGATTGCGAGCTCACTCAGGAGAAAAAACTAGAAACCAAAAAGGCAGCAAAAATTGCACGAAAAGAATCTTCAAGAAGGTAGGAAAAGTGGGTCCTGATCATGTAAAGGAAGTAGATCCCGGATTGCAATGGAATCCTGCTGCTCTGCTTGCTGCTTGAGAATGGGGGAAAGGAGAGAAAAACAAGTCGCTGTGAATAGCGAACCTATCTATTGTTCGATCCATAAGCCACAGGGTCAAATAGTACACATAACATTCAATCCCGACCAGCCGTTGACTCATGCCATGCTGCTATCCGGCATCCCGGGTACCTGTACCCGGGAAGCACCCGGGATCAGCGTCGATCCCCCTGTATCACACAATAGACATAAGGCCACAATAGACATTGAAACCACACCCAACACACAATTGCAATGCAGTCAGTCCATGAGTCACGCCACAAATCACGCATCGCCTCATCTAGATCCACGATCCGCAGGCACGCCTTGTCGACGACAAAACCACGCAACTAGAGGGTGCGATGCAGCCATTCGGGGCCCGAGCCGAGGCCGGCGTCTCCACCCGCCAAAACTCTGCAGCGCAACTCGGGTCCTGCTCCCGAGCTGCTTCTCGCCCTTATAAATAAAGGCCAGGAGGGATGTGGTGATGCAGATACAGAACTGAATAACTTCAAAACCAATCAATCAGCCATTGCTTGATCCAAATCCCAGATTATATATTACTACATCCTCAAATCATTCACAATGTTCCATACCGACCCCTTCCCCGAAGTCTCGCTTCCCAAGTTCTCCTTCCGCCGCGCCATGAACCTCAATTCCGGATCGTCGCACACTTCCAGCCTACTGGGGTCGCGGAAAAACTCGATGTCGGACTCGCGCAAGGGATCGTTATTTACGAGGTCGGCTCGCTCGAGCATTTCCGAGGAAAGGAACCAGTCGAAGGTGAGTCTTGATTGTTGCTGTTCATTTGAATGTATAGGTTCTAACTATGTCTTTACAGCATGCCTCTCGGTGACGTCATTCGTCTGCATTCCGACAACATATAAAAGTTTTAAAAGGCAATTGCATTTGATATGGTATGTTCTGCTGGGATGGTGCAAGTCCTTCGACGAACTCTTGCTAATTTGCGACAGATTTGTTTTTTTGCGATCGAATTATCGAAAAAAGTTTGCGGCATTTTTTTGTTTCGAAGCCGAAAAATTTACGAATTATGACGTCATTTTCTTATTGGCGGGTAAGTCATGCCACTTGCCGGGTTCTAGATCTCGGGCTAATTATAGATTCTGCAGGGTTTTCCGCGGTTGAATCTTTGGACATAGAAAGATCCCCTAAAGCAGTTATAGCATTTCGAGTTACTTAGATACTACTTAATATTAATCACATCTTGACTTCAGTTCCTGTCAGTCAGCAGTTCCCGCAATACCCGCTGGGTCTCGCACATTTACTCGGAATTCCGGGTCAACCGGAGCAACAATGTCCCCGTTTTACGAGAACTCTTTGTTATGAAAAGTCTCCGAAGAATCCAGACTTCTGCGCTTATTAGATAATTCTTGCTTTATAATTGCAGGATCCTTGACTGGATACGAGACGTTCGTATAAGATAGGGATGGGGACCTTGCTTTACGTTAAGCTTATGATCCCCGATCTAATCCCTCTTGCATAACCCCATTTGCCATCCTACACTGCTCATACTAAACCGAACCCGCCAACTCCATAACATTCCTTAAAATGACCGTCAGCCCGAACAGAAACATCGCAATCGTGGGAGTCGGATCCCTCATGTCCAAGTCCCTTGCTATCTGGCTAGCCAGCCTAGGATGGAACATCGCCCTGATCTCCCGCTCCGAGAAGAGCCTCTCCAACATCGCCGACGAAGTGCGTCAGGCCCAGCAAGAACGCAAAGGAGGAAAAGTCATCTACCGGGCTGCCGACGCCAGCGAACCTACAATCCTCAACGCCGCGCTGGACTGGTGTGTGCAAGAACTCGGGGGGAAGTTGGACGTGTTGAGCTACAACGCTGCCCGCGTCAGTCTGTCCTCTGTCACCGACATGACGGCCGAGGAGCTGGAGCAGGACTTTAAGGTCTCGGCCGTGGGCACGCTTACTGCTGGTCAGTGGTTTGCTCGCGGGAATGCCAATGTGGAGAAAATTGCGGAGGGCGAATGGCCGGTTTTCCTTGTCACTGGTGGCGTCTTGGATAAGCAGCCTGAGGAGGCCCTTGCGTCGCTATCTGCCGTCAAAGCAGCTTCGCAGACACTTAGTCGCATTTTTGCAAAGTCATTGCCCGACAAGGCGAATATCCTGGTTGGCATGCCTCTGATCTCAGGACGGGTGGTCAGTCCCGGGGACAGTGAATATAGCGAGAAGTTCGATGCGGATGGCATTGTGTCTACCGTTTTCAAGCCTTTCTTTGAGGACCGCGAAAACCGAAGGGATGGAAAGGAAGGATGGGTGGTTGAGAGGGTGCTTTAGATGCGAGGATTTCATACACCCTCGGGCACAAGAGCTTTGGGGAAACTCCTGAAATGATCCAAATTGAAAAACGTTGAACTATGCTTATATCCACCTAGTGTTCACCGTTTATTGAATCCCCACACAAGGATCCTAATCCAAGTCAACTACTATTCATTCCTTCGCGTTTTGCATCCCTCGTCCTCATTCTGTCCCAGTAACCTAGCACAATATAACGATCCCAATCCAAAAGTCACATTCCCAACGAAGTCCAACCACAACCACTGCGTAAAAACCCCCTTCCCATGCCCAAGTCCAAACCAAGCATTGAACGCGAGATATGGAACCATGGAGAGGCCAAAGACCGTGAAGCTCTGCCGAGTCATATTGGCTATACCCAGAAGTAGACCACAGGTCGTGGCCTGTGCACCGAAGCAGCGCATAAGAAGCAGTGTTGTGCGATCTGTGGAGATGTACGCTGCGGTAAGGCAGAGATGGATTACGGACGTTGGATGCAACAGACACCTAGATGATGTAGATTTGAGCTAGAGCAATTATTTCACGCGATGTTGCTTCCCTGGGGAGGAGAGCTCACCATGCGCCCATGCTCGAGTATCCGAGGGCCATGATTCTTTGGACGCGTTTGACTGTCTCTAGTCTTTGGGGGATGGTTTGAGGGGCCATTTGGAAAACCGGAAGATATTGAACTTGACTGATGTTGCAGTGTAAATCGATAGAGTCCGGACGACAAACATGGGGAGTCAGCAGACAGCCTGAAATGTCGTACAAAACCCGCCAAGACGGACTCCGGACCCGAGGAGTTGAACAAAGACAAATCTTGTCATGATTTGTTATGTGTCTCTTTTCATGCCATCATCGTATACCGAAGCTTTAGCTCAATGTCTGTCTAATCATCTCGCTCACAAACCGTCAAACCTCCCCACAAGCCTCTTGTTCTCTGCCACGCCGATGTAAACTCCATCTCCCATCCAATTTATCCGCATCACTCTTTTCCCACGGAAACACCTTCTCAACATCCCTAACCAGCTGCTCGTGTTTCTCGCTACGTGGCGTGACCCTCGCGCTAAACGGTGCCGGATGGCTAACGACCCCAGGCTTGAACCCTATATCGGGTTCAATCTCCACCCCGGTGTCGGTCGTTCTCGCCTTCCTGATATTGAACACTGCCAGTGACTGTGCTATGGTCAGGAAGATCATCGAGTCGGCGAGAAAGCGGCCTGGACACACGCGTCGTCCGAACCCGAAGGCGAAGCGATGCGGATCAAACTCTGGAGTTAGGTTCTTGTCGGATGATAGGAAGCGGTCAGGATTGAAGGTCATTGGATCGGAGTAAGTTGCTGGATCGTGGGTAAAGAACCTATTCACTTCATTAGACGACGGATATAAGGCAAGGGGGGATAAGAGGGTTACAGACCAAACATTAGGCAACAATGTCGCCCCCCGAGGAATGGAATATCCCTCGAAAATGTCATCGGCTGTGCTGGTATGCGGCAGACCCATCGGTGCGACGGGCTTCCATCGCAGGGTCTCCTTAACGAGTGCGTCTATATAGGGTAGGTTCTCGCGGTCTTTGGAATTTGGAAGACGTTCGGGTCCAACAACGCGGTCGATTTCTTCCTGTGCTTTGTGCTGGACTTCTGGATATATCTGCATGGCGAGGAAAAACGATGCTATAGCTGAAACTACCTTTGGATTGTTAGAACGGTCTTCATTCAGGCCACTGCTAATAGATAGACTAACGGTATCCGCTCCAGCCGCGTAGATCGATAAAGCCGTCCATTTATGAAAGTCTTCGTCCTCCGGACTGAGGTTCTTCTGCTCTAGGAGTCCAGAAAGGAGAGATGGGGTGTGCCTACCGTGGGAAATTTGCGCTTTGACGAAGGCATGAGGCGTCTCGGTAAATTCCATTAAATTGCGACGCCATTTCCGACCAGACTGCTTAAATTTGGCTCCAGGACACCAGTCCGGTAGCCACTTCACTTGATGGAATTAGCTCATTGTCAATTTGATGATCACGCACGAAGAATACTCACAGAAAGGAAGCATATCAACTACCCAGCAGCCCGGGACAGCCGCCTGCGCAAATTCAATCCCGATTTGCTCAGCCCCGGCAACAAGAGGATCTATTCCGTGGGATTCAATTGTGTAACCGTATATACTCTTCATGATCACGGCGCCTGCTTCTCTGGGAATGTGTATTTCAGCCACATTTCTCTTGTGTCGCTCGAGTTGGGTATTGCTCACCGTCGAACATATTTCACCAATCCACTTGGGTCTTTTAACACGTGAAGTAAAAAATGGCCACATTCTGCCTCCTGCAGAGACCGCAGCGGCGTGTCTGTCACTTTTATCCTGGATCCAAGAAGCCGGGATGCGTTCCGCCGATGAGTCCGTAACTGGGTAGAGTATGGTAGAAGGGCAACGGCGTTTTCCCATCCGAGCCTATATATCCAATTAGCAAGCTTCGCCGTATAGAAATCGTTGTCTCGGAGAGGAAGGTAGGTAGTATAGGCCGTACAGTTCACCCGCGAACACCTGTTTTGGCCGCGATGAATAAATCGCAGAACGTTTCTCGAGAAGCTCAAATGCAATTTGGGCGTTATTTATTATAACGAATACATGGCCCATTACCGTGACGGAGCTTATAGGTCCTTTTGCCGATTGTTAATCTCTGTTTCGAGTGTCTTGAACAAACCGAGAGGGGTGCAACAAAAACAACGTACCGTATAGATCTTTGTGCCTCAGCCAATGTAGAGCTTCCGGCTCCTCTGACTTTGGCAAGTCGGATAGATTTCCGACAAAAAGGCTTCCGTTTGGTCCAGGAGGGAGCGGGAGACCGCGTGTTCTACGGCGCTTGCGATGTCGATGGAGAAGCAAGAGGCCGGAGAAGAGGAGGGTTAATTTCACCACAACATATGATAAAAACATGGTGAACGAGTGGAAGACCTGAAATAGCAGCACGTTAAACATGTCCTCGATATTTGGATATTAGTAGTTCGTTCTGGTAAGGAATGACGTAACATGAAAGTTTAGTTTGGCGGGATTCAGTGAATCCCGCCCCTTGGAAGCATCGTCTCATCTCATTGGATTAACCGAATGGAGACCAGGAAGCATAAGAACTAAATTCAGGACATTTGTGTAGAAGCAGGTCTGTCTGTATGACCTGTATGATTATTAAATGCAGAGGAATTGGGCCTAGAACTGGTTTTTCTTTCTCTCTCAACGTTCCGCAAAGCTTCTTCGCAGCCGACTAAAAGAATGCAAATGGAAAGAGAAGGACCAAGAATAAGTTCAAGTTGTTTGACAGTATCAGGGTAATGACCTAAGCAGTGTAACACGTACAGAATCAACACAGACTGAAGCCTAACTTATGCCAATATAGGAAGGAAGGCTTGTCAGTGAATCTACCAATCGCTGTAAAAGGACTAGGCATTCGTGGCAATGGTCGATGGAAAGAGTTCTGTTCACTAAACCCCTATCCCTCGGACTTTCTGTGCTGGTCTTAGGTGGATTCACCCTTAACTGAATACATCACCTGTAATCGTCACAGAAGCCTGGATATTTGCCATACTCCCTGATGGCTTTCGTACCAGTCATCAAGACATCCAACACTTTTTATCTCTGGCATACAAAATAATCCAATGAGCACGATATCTAAATATCTACCATCTAAGTGATTCTGGAAAACTACGTATACTCCAGTCAGAAATAAGGTATTGTCCAACCATTATGACCGAGACAACCCTAAGAGAACACCAATACCCAGACCTTATAAATTTTATCTATCCTCTATCTGACATACCATAAATCTAATTATCAACAACCTGCACCTTGATCGCCTTAGCCGCCGGACTACTCGCCGTTTCAAATGCCTTGATTCCCTCCTCCAGCGTAAACCGATGAGACACCAACGGTTTCACATCAATCACACCCGCCGCCACCAGACCAATCGCCTTCGGATAGATATCATGGTACCGGTACTGGAACCTCAAATCGATCTCCTTCGCCGACATATGCATGAACGGAATATTCTGGAAATCCTTCCCGACTCCGATCACAAACACCATGCCCCCGAAGCGAGTTGCCTAGACCCATACCATATTAGCACACTTCCATACCCAACGTCTTTCAACACCATCATTCTTCCGGAACAAGCAACCGCACACTTCAGAAAGATCCACTCACATATATCCCCGCCTGCACACTACTCTCCACCCCCGTACACTCCATCACCAACTTCGCCTCCGCCCCCAACACCCCCACAATCCTCTCCCCGACCTCCTGCGCCGTCTCCCCCATCACTTCCACCTTCACCGTGCGCACCCGCGGCACCAGCTCCTGTGCCTTACGCAGCCGATTCTCATCCACATCCGTAATCACAATCGGCTCCGCGCCCGCCGCGTTCGCCGCCAGCAGCGTCACCAGACCAATCGGCCCGGCGCCGCAGATAACGACGGGGTCGCCGAGACGGAGACCGGAGCGGTCGACGCCAGCGAGGGCGACGGTGAGGGGTTCGAGCAGCGCGCCTTCTTCGAAGGTTAGGTGGGAGGGCAGTTTGTGGAGCCACGCGGAGGGGTGTGCGTGGTAGCGACGCAGTGTGCCGTGGTGGGGTGGTGTTGAGAAGAAGACAACGTCGGGACAGGCATTGTATTGGCCCGTTCGGCACGGCGTGCAGGTTGGTTTGGAGCAGGGGATGCCGCATTCGAGGGCGACTTTGTCGCCTATTCATGTTCATGGCAGTTAGTGCGTGTTGGTGAGGGGAAGATAGTCTTGGGCCTGGACCTAGAACTGGACTCGGAGAAGGGGGAAGGACAGGGAAGATACATACCAGGCTTGAAGTCCGTGACGTCCTCGCCGACACGAACGACCACCCCGGCGCTCTCGTGGCCCAGTCCGTTGTCCCCCGTCACGACCATCGGCCCGATGTGTCCGTGTTTCCAGAAGTGGACGTCAGAGCCGCAGATGCCTGTGGCGCGGACGTGGATGAGACATTCGTGGGGTTTGATGGAGGGGATGTCAGATTCCACGAGCCGGAGGTCATTTTGGGGGCTCGTGTGGATGGCGAGGTTTTTGGGGTTGAGGGTATTCATTTTCAGTGGTTTAGATTGAGTATTAGAGGGGTGACTTGTGCTGAGGTAGGATGGAGGGATGAGATGAGAAAGTAGAGGATGGGATTGAGGCACAGGTTTATAGCTCTCGGTATGTACAGTGATTGCATGGACTTCGAGCTCCGAAGTTAGGGCTGGAATCGTCATCGGGAACCCGTCGGAGGTAGCGCCGAGAGGTGGTCCGCTCGGGGATGCCGTTCGGAGGTCTGCATCGGAGTTCTGCAGCACGGCCATTGCCGAGAAAACAGACCTTTCCTTAGTCTTGGACGAGTCTGGGCTGTGGTATGCGCACTAAGTGGGCCAGAGAAAATTCAAACCTAGTGAGTCAAATGGCTACCTAGACAGACTCTGTAGGATAGTCATCTCGTGGTGAGTAGGCAATGCTACTTGGACTTCAGATGTCTATTGCTAGAAAGGACAAACGGCCAATAGAACTAAATAGACAGTCACGCTATTCAAGGACCAGGTTATGTAGAAACTATATAGCTGTAATGAAACTTCTATCTAAATTTAACCGGTATAAACAATGCGTAAAAGTAACACCCATCAGGTATACACCATCCCCCCATTCGCACAAATAACATCCCCCGTAACCCATCTCGACCTCTCCTCCGCCAAAAACGTAACAATATCCGCGATATCCTCGACCGTCCCGCACCTCTGACCCGCAGGCACCTTCTTATTCTGCTCCTCCATGCGCGCCAGATGAACCGGCCCGGCAGCCTGATACATATCCGTATCCACCGGGCCCGGATTCACCGCATTCACAGTGACACCGTATTTATGACCCAGCTCGGTGGCCCAGACACGGGTAAGACCCTCGACGGCAGCTTTAGAGGCCGCGTAGACCGACTGCGTGGGGTAGCCGCCGCGAGCAGAGATCGAGGAGAGATTGATGATTCGGCCACTACGCGGCAGATATGGCAGGATGGCCTGGGTCATGAAGATCACGGCTCGCACGTTGGTGTCCATTAGCGTGGTGTAGCTGTCGAGGGTGATGTCTTCGAGGGGCCGGTTGTCGCCGGCGCCGGCGTTGTTGACGAGGATGTGGATGTGGTCGGTTTGGAATGCTGATAGGGTGCTTTGGATGATGGTTTTTGGGGACGTCGGGTCGGTCATGTCGGCTTGGATGGCGATGGCTTGGGTGTTGTTGTTGCGGAGTTCTTCGACGAGAGCCTCTGCGGCGACTTTGGAGGATAGGGAGACATAGTTGATGGCCACCTGTTTGGATTAGGTATTTGGTAGGTAGAGAGGGATGATATGCTATACCTTTGCTCCCTGTTTGCTGAGACTGCGGGCGATTCCTGCTCCAATGCCTCGGGCACCACCAGTGACGATGGCGACTTTACCTTGTAGCGACATTGCGATAGTTTGAGGTGTAGAATTGTATTTTGCCAGATGCATGAGCTTCGGATGAAGCTACTTTAATTCCCTAGCAAAGAATCTGCCACTAATTCGAAATCATTCTGCATGTTGACGCAATAAGCTCGGGCTGTGGCCGTCGGGGCTATCTCCGGGGCCGAGAACAGCGCGTGGGCCGAATGGTGGTGGGTGTTAGAGCCTTTTTCCAGCCTGGAATCTAGATTCACGTCAACAGATATTACAAAATTTAGAACACCGAATATCTGGACCAATGTTGAATATGACCCATGCCCCTGTCGTTGCCAAGCAGCAAACAGGCTAATTAGGGCACGCCGACGGTCGGGGATGATCCGAGACTCTCGGCGGATGCGCCGTGATTGGACGAGCGTCCGGTCTGGGGAAAAATGGAGTCGTATTTCTTGGCCTGCGATCCCCGGATTGTCAGCCATCAGCAATCAGACCGGAGAAATGACGCACTCCACCCCCACTGGCATCCCGATCCAGGGTGGATTGGGTGTTGAAATCAGACAATCAGGCCGAGCCCGCCAATGGTGGAAAAGACCGAGGGTGAAACTCGTCGAAACGGCACGGCCGGACTGAATCCCAATCGCATGACTTGAAGCCGATCGACGGGATGTTAATGTTCCCCCACGGTTTTGTTCCCCCGCATTCCGGATTCGTCTAGTGGAGGATGTAACCCGTCAGGCTGCCGTCGTTGCTCTTTCCGGAGAGAATAGTTGCGCGAGGATATAAAGGCCGGATAGGGCCGGTACTACTCCGCAATTTCTCCACAGACTGTTGAACATCGCTCCGCTGTTCTGGTTGTTAGTTTACATGATGGTATCCGCAAAGAAGCCGTACTTTGGCCTCACCGGGGGGTGGCTTACCTTTTGGTTGACGGTGAGTTGACCGCATCCTCTATCGTCTCGGATCCTTTCTAACATGATCGGGATGATTTCAGGTAGCATGTGGTACCGATATGACCTTGTTCGGATACGATCAGGGTGTCTTCAGTATGTCGCTCGTTTCCTGCGTCTCCCCTTTCTCGATCTAATAATCTATTCTCAGGCGGCGTTGTGGTGACACAAGACTTTCTCGAACTTCATGATCTTGTCGGTCCCACCAAAACGAAGACGCTATCAACGGTCACCGCCATTTATGATGTTGGTTGCTTTCTTGGAGCAATTCTTGCATTCAGTTTCGGAGACCGACTAGGCCGAAAGAAGTCCATTCTTTGGGGCACGGCAATAATGGCAATCGGGACCATCCTCCAGGCGTCCTCGTACAGTTTAGCCCAAATGTTTGTGGGCCGAGTGGTTCTAGGGTGAGTAACTTATGGGCTGGGGCTGTTCCTAGAAATCCGGCACGATGCTAAGATGCGCAGAATTGGCAATGGGATCAACACAGCGACGGCACCCATTTGGCAAACGGAAACAGCCCAGGCCAAATGGAAAGGTAAATTGGTCATTTTCGAACTCGGACTCAATGTCGGCGGATACTGCATCGTCAACTGGATTAATTACGGTCTTTCCTTCCATGAAGGAGCTATCGCGTGGCGGTTGCCAATTGCTCTGCAATTTTTCTTCATATTTGTGCTGTTTCTCACGATCCCCTGGCTTCCTGAGTCTCCTAGGTATGCATGTCTCTGTGCTGTCCGCGATTGCAACAATTCTGACAAATCTCAGATGGCTTATCTCGCATGGCCACAAAGACGAGGCTATTCAGGTTATCGCTTGCATCGAGGCGAAGTCTGTTGACGATCCGTATGTTACAACTCAGCATGATGAGATCAAGTTCAGTATCCAGTATGAGCGAGAACGGGCTATTCGATGGCGGGACCTTCTGCGCGGAGCCAAGTCAGACGGCACCAAGACCCTCCGAAGATTACTTCTGGGCGCTGGGACACAGGCCATGCAGCAGTTCCAAGGTTTGTTTTGAGATCATATCTTCCTGTGGCTAATTACCATCAGCTAATCTCCTGTAGGAATCAACATCATGAGTTATTATCTCCCCCTAGTGCTCATAAACTCCGTCGGACTGTCAAATAGTATGTCGCGACTCCTGACAGCCTGCAACGCGACATCCTACTTTTTCTTCTCGTGCATGGCAGTCACCATGGTGGAACGATTCGGCCGAAGAGGGCTGATGATGCTCTCTGGCTTCGGCCAGTTTGTTTCATTCCTGATCATTACTATTCTCCTCAGCCTTGCCGAGAAGAATCGAGTGTACGCCACCGCATCAGTTGCCTTTTTCTTCTTGTATCATGTGGCATTTGGAATCGGCATGCTGGGTGTGCCCTGGCTGTACCCGACTGAAATCAACTCCCTATCCATGAGAACCAAGGGCGCGGCAGTCTCGACGGCGACGAACTGGTAAGCTCTAGATTAATTTACTGTTGAAATTATGTGTCAATCGTGAACTAATAAATGATGATCAAGGATAACCAACTTCGCCATCGTCGAAATCACACCCATCGGGATTCAAAATATCGGATGGAAATTTTGGATCGTGTGGACTGTTATGAATGCCGTCTTCCTGCCGACAATTTACTTTTTGTATCCTGAGACAGGTTTGTTCAATTACCATCTTCATGGGCTACCGTCTTACTGACTGCGGCATAGCAAACCGGACGCTGGAAGACGTTGATGCCTATTATCGTTCTAATCCGCCCCTGATCGTGGTCGGTGACCCGGATGCCACTTCAACAAAGCGTCCTCTCAGGTTCATCGAACACGAAGACGAAGAGGTTCAGCGCAACGCGAAGCAATCCCAGTATGGGGGCACTTTGAAGACTGGAGACTCGCCTAGCGTGGAGCATGTAGATTAGACGTAGACCCAAAGTAATGGTGGCACATTTTGATTATGGGGGCGGAGTTCATAGTCTGCTTGATTCAGTAGATCGAGATCTTTTTCTTTCAATATATTCCGTTATCAACTTGTCCGAGGATTTTCCGTCTAACGCGCTGTGATATTTGAGCTTGGGTCTAGAGAAACGCAGCTGGAAAATGTCGTGTGAAAGACTAGAACTTCAATTCCTTGAATAGCATGGGTCCTCAGCGTAAATAGCCTATATCGATCAGTCAGTCAAAGGGGCATCCACGGAGGTCCTGTATAATCTTCCGATCCTTCAAAGATGTTCTGGATCATGAAGCCACCCGCCGCATCTAGGAGCTCCGCATTGGATGAACCCTGTGGATACCATGTTAGACTATCTTCTAATCCCATTGACAAGGGGTTGTATATTGCGTTTGTCGGTGGCGCCGAGGCTGGCGCTAACGTGAGAGACCTCAAGCTTTCTTCCGATCCTTCGCCCATGGGTTGTTCGTAGCCTTGCTCTGGTCAGGGTTAGTAACTTGGTTCGATTGATACTAAGAATAGAAGAAGAACAAGGGGAAAGAAACCAAGGATTGGCTTGCTTACCCAGGAGCTTTTGTAGGATATTTTGAGCACGAAGCGCCATGTCGTGCGAGCCTCCAAGGCTCCCCAGACAGCTAACAGCCTGCTGTAAATGGCTCTTCCAGCTTGGGGCTAGCGGGTGCGAGGGACAGTATATGTAGCACGTTGCCTGGACAAAGCTTGCTGTGATCAACCAGTATGTGGCGTACCAGGCTATCCCCCTATTTCTTTTTTCGGTAGAGTTGAAGAATCCACAAATGGAGAGAACGCATTCGTCTGCGGCATCCAGACACGACTTGATCGGCCCTGTACTTGTGTTGATATCCGACCTTGTGGCTACAGCCTCGAATAAGAATGGACGATTCAGGACAATACGCAGATGGAACGCTCTCCACAAGAGCACTCTTTTTGCCAAGTCGAGATGCGGTTTCAAGGACACATCTGGATCAAGGTATGGTGGTAAATCCCTCCACCAATGCGCGATGCTCTGGTCGAGATTCATGGCCTTCTCGTATGTCGGCCGGTAGTGCGTTAGAAGCTCTACCTGGACGGCGTTGGCGATCTTGGCAAGTTTGACTTGAGCGATCAGAGAAGAAGTAATCGTCGCGTCTGATCTCGAGTCTGGCAATTCGTCCATATCCACGGCAAGGTCATGATCATCCAAATTCGCTGGCAGTCTGATGTTCACGCCAACTAAAGACACGGCCGGTCTTCCCAGTGTCAACTGTGCTCCGGAAACAAAAACGAACAGCGTCCACCACACCCGTCGCCGAATCTCCATCGTAAACGGTGACGTACTTGGCATGGCAAACTCTCGATGCAGCCCTATAGCGAGGGCCATGCTAAAGCCGATGCCAATCAGTATAAACCCCGCGTTTGGTTTGTTGCGCTTTTGGAGGTAATTAGCCAACAGAGTAATGGCTTGTACATAGCTCAATGACCCCTTTTCGAGGACGTCCATGGTCAAATGGCGACGCGCCTCTTGGTAGAATGGAATGTCACATTTCGTCGCATTCGAGTCACCTGCAAAAGCGCCGATCGCAAGGACGGCATTATATAACAAGGGCCAAGACCCATCCCTTGGCTTTGCAAGAGCACCTAGTAATGTCAGGACAATTTTCTATAGACAGCTTCAAATAACTTACCCGATACTCGAGCACGGAATGTGCCTTCATGAAGAATGGGGTAAGCCGGGTGATACAGGGAAAAGTACTCATCAATGTACCCATGGACTGCTTCCGTCGGCTGAGATGCAGCCGGCAGAGCGTCCTCATCTAGGGACGAAGGGGTATTGATACTATTTAATGGCAGGTAGAGTGGAAGTGACTGCAGAAACTTCAAGGCAGCAATACCGGACTGAGGTCCGGTATATCCTGCTTTGTGCGGATCGACGGTCAGAAATCCCATGCCGTCAATTGAATTATCGAAGTCTTGCGACTCGTCGAACTCGTAGTCTTCCGCATTGCTGTGCTCTGTTATGGCTGTCGAGGTCTGTTCAGTAGGATGCTCTACTTCATTACTCAATTTGCGCTTCCTTTTTGTGCTTGTAGCTATGCCGTGTGGGCTTTCCCGCGTGTTGCGCACGGCTTCTTGCAAGTCAACCGAGGGAAGATATACTTTCCAAGCGTTCTCGATGTCCTTTCGGATGCGCTCAGATTCCTGAAGACGTCTTGATAGCTCTCGTTAGTTCGAATACGAATTTAGCTAGGTGTCTAAAGACCAACCTCTGAAGCGACCAAAGCCTTTGGGATGGAGAGGTGTACTGGCATGCTTTGGCGTCTCGGAGGCAATTGGAGCAATTCTCATCACCGGAACAGCGGACTTTGCGTCGCTTGCACTCGTCGCAAGCGAAAGTCTTCCGGAGCACCTGCGATGCCCCGTGATCCAATTCGCTCATGATTGCAACAGACCCATGAGGATGAGGTCAATTGCCGGGCCGAGTAGAGCTGTTGGCTGTTGAAGAGTTGGTTGGCAGTCGACGGTGGCGGGGGGAGAAGTGGGGCGGTCGGACGCTCTCCGGCGGCCGGTCAGTGGTCACGTTTAAAACTTATGCATTTGGTGTAAGTAGTAGACAACTTGCTAAATATTCTAGCATTAAGCCTTTCTTGCATGAAATTAAAACTACAATTAAACCCCAAAAAGACCACCTTAAGGGTCGGATGCATGGGTTCGCGGTCTCCTACCAACGACCTCCGACCCCGAAACAGTTCGGAATACCGAAGTCGAGGATGGCATCTCATGTAGAGACACAGGTTCCTGCTCCTGTTCATGGTGCTTCTTCCTTCGGCTCTGAATCCAAGGCCGAAGGTTAAAGACCCCTCCACATATGAAAATGCCGATCCACAGTGCTAGCTCGGTGCCATAGATAACCATCCCGAGAACATCGATGGTTGGTTCGAATACTTGGTTTGGATAATTAGTAGATGCATTCCTCTCAGCGACATGAGATACTCACAAACAGACACCAGAGAAAACAAGTCCCCAGCAGCATCAATGCCCACAAACAAAAAACTGATCCCTCGCACAGTCCTGTGAACATAGATGTCCCAGTAATGTGTAAGAACACCGGCAGCCAGCAGGCAGGCGCTAAGCACAGCCATTAAAGTCATTGGCCAACTGAGGTCACGATTTAGTGCCGCTTTGAGGGCAAACACCAATCCTACTTCAATGCCTCCCAGCCCTGCGAGAAGGGGAACAACGGCGGCGATGCATTTTGGGATGGTATATTTCTAAACATTGTGAGTCATTTCATTTGAGCAGCCAATACATGGTGTCCCCACCTTCCCATAGTACAGACACTGGGCCCATGTGAGCAGACTGAGAGCTGTCAGGATTTGAGGCTGTATGCGAAGTGCCACGTTGAAATTCTCAACGATGTTGTACACTCCAAGAGGCACACCGGCTGCCGCCCACAGCAGCATCATTGAGGGCTGCAGACCCTCTGTATCATGTCGCCTGTAGTTGATGATAATTTGCGGGAGTAGCTGATGAATGTCAGCCTTTACCCAAATATCAGAAGAACTAGGCAATCTAGCATACCTGAATAGACCAGCACACCTACGTAGATAATGTCAGCTAACTGAATTGTCACTGTATTGGTGGGGTGTGTACTGACAGCACCGATAGTCCCGAGGACATTTGCTGCCACGGGTACATCCATCTTGCAGTGAGCAACGGTTGACGCAGTACTCCTTCATTGCACTCCGGACTGGTTTATCATTGCGCTGCGGTGTCGATTACGCGAATGTGGAGCAAATTTCCTTGAATTCTAGTTGGCTCTGGTCTGGCCCCAGTAACTCTTGGCAGTCTAGCCGTCTTAGGGTGTTTCCTGCCAAACAACCCCTTGACTCTCTTGGTACTTGCTTGAATATTGGCAAAGTGCTTCGGAGTTGGCATCTCATAGAAACCCATATTGTTTCTACCCTTCTGCCAGGGCCGATAGAGCTTCACTCTCGATCCCGCTTCGGCAACAGCCCATCTTGGTCTCCCACGACGCGTCCAGGACGTCTTTCGCCAGATCGCCCTAGCGGCCTAGCCGTTCAACGCGATGGAGAGACTGCCTGCCGAGATAATCGACAAAGTCGCCTCGTATCTCTACGAACACTCATCTCTGCATCCTCGTGAGATCGAGGAGGTTCATCGCTGTTCTCCCTGGTCGCAATTCGAAGAGAATCTGCTTGACTGGGGCGGTCAAAATCTAGCCCCGTATACTGTCATCTCGCGCCAATGGCAGGCAGCCGTGGAGAAGCTGATATGGGAGAAAGTTGTTCTTCTAGATGAAGAGGGTTTGCAGAGCCTAGAGCAGTATACTTCGGGTAATTTGTATCGCTGCATGAGACGCATGCATATCCGGCATATGATAGTGGACGCTTCGATTGGCATTCCGAGGACCAACCCCCCAAGCAGCCAAGTTCCCAAGTCAATTGCGAATGATTTCCCCACTGTACATAACCACAAATACCGCAATTTGATCGTCCGCCTCTTCGGTCTCTTGCATTCGTGGACTTCTGGTCCGTATGTAACCCCGGGCATCGACTTGTGGCTTGGGGGAGGTGGCCCATATACTAAGGAAGGGGTTCTAAAGGTGATAGACGGGCAGGTCCTAAAATCTCTGTCCGTTGATGAGTTATATGAACAGAATCAAATGTCCCATCTGTTTCATCTCACGAGCGAGGATGTGTCGGATATCCCAAACGTATCCTGCGTCAAGAGTTTCAACGTTCGGGAGATAGCAAACACCCCAGTCGCTTTTCGCAGAAAGTTCAGTCATGTTCGTCCGTCGGCGTACTTTCAGACTCTATCTTGCCTGTCGGGCGTCAAACGGGCCTGGGGTAGAGAAACATACGTTATCCCGCCGGACGCGATACGAGCTCTCCAAGAGCATAGACAAGGTGTGAATACTCATCGAATAATATTGAAAGTTTTCTTCGCATGACCAGAATGACTCACCTGTTATAATCTAGAGCTTGCGGATCATCTGCCGCTCGTACCGTCTTCGGTCGAAACATTCAAATATACGCTCTATCACCGCCGGGAGATGTCATACGAGTATTGGGGCGACGCAGCGAATTATCTATCCCCCAGCGGACGCGATGAACTATCCATTGCATTTGGCACGCTCGGCACGCGCCTTCGGACGCTGACGCTGGACGGTGTCAGAATCAGTCCTCAATTTTTCTATTCTCCCTCGAGAAGTAATGGTGAGAGTATGAAGGTCATGCACTGGCCCCATCTCGAAGTCCTTCAGATCCTCGACATGCCGCCATATACAGCAGATGGTACGTTGGCACGTTTCAAATCCATGCAGGTAGCTTAGACTGCAGTCACTGACGAGACGCAGGAAAATGGATTATCGACGAGGACGCTGAAAAAGAAAACAACGCGAGATATAGAAGGAGCTTGTGCGGCCCACGAGACATGTGGACGGCTCATGAGTATGGAAAACGTGGGTTGATGAAAAACCACCAACTCGACAAACTCTACCAAGCTATGGGGCGAGCTGCTCGGCAGATGCCTCGTTTGCGACTGTTATCCTTTACGTTTCGTGGGGAAATGTGTAAAGATTTTTCAGATGTCAATTTCGATACCAGCGAGTCCCTTCATCTGTCACGGGACCGAGAGTCTTCGGCAGGAACCCGGCTGGAAATTAATACTGTGTGGAAGTATCAGCTCGGGAATGATGTGATATCTGCTTGGGGGTTGGAACGAGAGCCGATCGAGAAAACCGCCCATGGATGGGTGATCATGTCTCATAAATGGCCTCTGTTGAATGGGTAGAATTGATAGATATTCAAGGACGTGTACAGAGTATGGATAGCCATGATGGCTGGTTAGGTGTCTAGGATTTAGCTCCTAGGCATAGGTAATGGCAGAAATTAATGCAAATAACTACCTTACACAGTGCGGCGTAGGCGTCCATGGATATAGCCGGATGACCGAATTCCAACAAATCATGAATAACCCGGATCATTAGATCGGGTGGCGAGTGGCGACCGAGATATCGACTAGATAATAGTGGATATAGTGGAGCCATGCAGCTGGATGACCGATTTCAACCAATCAGCAAGGATTTTAGGCAATAAAGTCAAGCACTCTTGTATTGACAGGTACAATTTCTATTCAAGGGTTTTGCCAAATGGTGACTCTTAAAAGGGCTCTTCGCCAGATCTGTGCTTTCAATTTTCAGTACCCAGCCCTCTATTATTTTGCTACTACCTAGTTCGACCAGCCTACGCTCCCACAACAACCCCAGCGCAGTGCCCACTGAACCCGACCATGCCTACATTCCGCAGTCAGGATATCCCCAATCTCCACGGCCAGGTCATCATAGTCACCGGAGGCAACGTAGGCCTCGGTTATGAAACCATCCGCCAGCTCAGCGAGCATGACCCGGCCTGTATCTACCTGGCTGCTCGATCGCAAGTCAAGGCCGAACGAGCCATTGCAGACCTCAAGCAGAGCAACCCCAATTTCACCAACATCCGTTTCCTACAACTCGATCTCGCATCGTTTGCCAGCGTCAAATCCGCAGCCACAGAATTCCTCAGCCAACAGTCCCGCTTGGACATCCTCGTCAACAACGCCGGCATCATGATGACCCCCGAAGGTCTCACCACCGACGGGTACGAAATCCAGTTCGGAACTAATGTCCTCGGCCCAGCACTATTCACGCAGCTCCTCCTCCCGGTTCTGCGCCAGACCGCAAAACTAAATCCCCAGGCCCGCATGGTCATGCTCTCTTCTGCCGCTCACACCCGCGCCCCCAGCGATGTGTACAAGTTCGACGAGCTGCGCACGACCGCCCCCGACCGACATACCACGGAGCGATACACGACGTCCAAGCTGGCCAATCTCCACTATGCGAAGGCGTTGGCGGAGAGAGAATCGGAATGCAAGATCATTCCGGTCCACCCCGGTATGGTAGCGACGAATCTCCACCATGCCTCCACGGGTACTTTCCTCAAGCCGTTCCTGAATGTCGCTGTCTGTCTGGCTGCCACGCCTGTCGAAAAGGGCGCCCTTTCGCAGATCTTCGCGGCCGTGAGCCCCGACGCGGAACATGGAAAATACTATGGGCCTATTGGCAAGGTGGAATCGGGCTCGAAACTCGCTCAGAATCATGCTCTTCAGGAGGAATTGTTCAGCTGGGTTCAGGGCGAGTTGGCGGGACATGTCGAGGCGGTTTTGTAGAGGAGGTATGTTTTTGTTTGTGTGTAGTTAGTCACGTTGCTTTTATTTGGTAGTGTATCTTTGCATAATTCTCTAATCTGCTTCCTCGATCACAAGGATAGAAGTTCTAATAACAATTTTTATATATCTCTATCTATCCTAGAGCTAAAGGAATTGCCATTCAGGCGTCTAACAATACCAAAATCTTGCATTCTGTGCATCTAAAAGTCAAACTTCTGCTGTACCAACTCCTCACTCAAAGCCCAAAGCCTTTCCGCAAACACCGCGCTCTTAGCAAATGCTGCAACTTTTTCATCATCTACCTTGCAGTCCGCAAGGTAGACCCCCTTAGCCTCAACATCCGAGATATCCACAGGCGGTAATCCATGATCAACCGCAGCAAGAACGGATGAGTTCGCCCCTTGATCCGGGGTTTTCGGAGCAGAGTCAAAGCCCAGCTCGGAGGCTCTCTTAAGGGCCTGTTCGATTTCGCTCGGGGTAGCATGTCGACTGATATTCGTGTCAACGGCGCCAGGGTGCACCGCAAACGACGAGATCCCGTACTTGGCCTGCAGCTTCTGGCTCAGGGAAACCGAGAACAGCACGTTCGCTGTTTTGGATTGCGCGTAGGAGAAGAAGCCGTAGTATGTGTCTTCGGAATGGCTACTGCCGGTGAAGAACTCGGTCTTTTGCAGATCGGGGCGCTCGTCTTCGGGTAGCTCGGTTGGGAGTTTGCGGAAGTTGATGTCGGAGAATCGGACGGGGGAGAATTGGTGTCCATACGAAGACACGTTCACGATTCTTGTCGGGTGGGAAGAGGTCTGGGAGGCCTTGATCATCTTGGGCAGGATCAGGTTGGTGAAGAGGAAATGGCCGATGTGGTTCGTGGCAAAGGTTGTTTCAATGCTATCCTCGGAAAGGGTCAATGTAGGAATGGCCATCACTCCGGCGTTGTTGACAAGGATGTCAATGGTAGGGATAGTGCCATCGTCACTGATCTTGGTTGCAGCAGCCCGGACGGAAGTTTGGGATGCAAGATCCATGATCAAAGCGTGATACTTGACATTTGGGTGGCTTGCTTTCAGAGACTCGATCGACGCCTGGACTTTCTCGACCGACCGGCCCGTCACGATGAGGCTTGCCGGGGACTGGGATGCGAAGGCAGTGGCAGTGGCAAGCCCTAAGCTGTTCGGGGACACACCGGTGACGATGATGTTCTTGCCGTTGACAGCATCGGGAAATGCTGCCGTGATTTCAACAGCGGAAGTCAGGGGCCCAAAGCCGGGAGTAGCTGCCATGTTGTTGAGGTCTGGTTTAGGGTCTTTGAGGGTGAATTGAAATGAGAATTGACAGAACTAAGGCCTTTTTATATTAGGGAAATGAACAGACTCTGCGACCTCCGTTATACCTTCCTACCTACTTCCATCTACCTGGATATCTTTATTGTTGCTCAGTTGCCGGTGATTGGCTAAAATCTGTCATCCAGCTGCATCCATGGATCTAATGATTGGCTCCAATGGATGCCGGTGATCCGGCGCTTTCCATGCAAAAGATTCAGTATGATCACGGACAGGCTCTAGGTCAGCCCATTCCATCCCCGTCAGCTTTTCGGAGTTTAATTTGCAATCCCCGTTCCTAAACGTGTAGCAATCTCTGGCTTCAAGGATCAATACAAGTGGAGCACTTCCCAGTAATTGCAATACCCCGTTCTGCCCCAAGCCCACGCTACTGCTTATATAATGAAGCTTTTGCCACGGCCCGATCGGTAACGAGTGGAAAGATGGCGTAATTTTGAGCGGAACCTCAGTCTTTTCTGCCCCCTTTTCACTTACAATCCTACCTAATATTCTTTGCCATCTTATGCATATGATTGCCATCCACTCAGATGAGCAGCATGGATAGCCCCTCTACAACTCCATCTAGCGTGCCACAGTCACCACTCATGCTCCATCCCATGTCCTCGCAAGAGCGGATCCACCGGCTCGACGAGGACTGGACGGGGGTCACAGATCCTGCGCTACGCAAGAAGCTGCAGAATAGAGTCAATCAACGTGTTTTGCGTAGGTACCTCAAATGCACCTTTGCTCTTTAACAACGCATTCTGCCCTGTAAACTATAACCTTCGTGGTTGTCTCTGCAATCCACTGCGACAACAACTAATCCCTTAATAGGCGCGCGAAAACACGGTAACCGGCAAAAGGCCCTTATCCTGCGGTCCAAGAATGACAAGGCAGGTCGGCGCCGTTACGCACTGATTCTTCCACGACCAGATCAAACCAAAGGGCCACAGCAGCTATCTCTTTCTCAACCAGCATCGCTCCTAGAGGCTGTGGCGATGATGACGCGCTTCAACGCAACGGCCTACGAGCGATACTATGCCGCAGATCCATGTCTGGACCATTTGCTCACCCTAACCAAATTCAACGTTCTTCGCGCGTTCGTGGATAACATGGCATCTCTGGGATTAAGCATTCAGGAAATGGGAGATGACGACATCTCCCCATTCAATACGCCGAACAACCACGATGACATTATCCCCACTAGTCTCTCTCCCACCGCTACTCAACGCTCGATCCCTCACCATCCCTGGCTAGACTGTTTCCCGTTCCCCGGGATGCGGGATAATCTCGTGCATGCCGCCGAGTCATTTAACGATTGCGAGCTCTGTACTGATATAATGGATCCGTCGAATGGCGACGTGGGAATGATGGTGTGGGGCGATCCTTGGCTGCCGCAGAATTGGGAAGTCTCGGAGCTGTTTGTGCAGAAGTGGTCCTGGGTTATTGAGGGGTTTCCGGAGGTCCTCGTGCACAGTAACTACTGGAGGGATAGACGAGGGTTACAGAAACTGAAAGTGAGGCCTAGGTGACGGTATTTTGCAGACTTACTTTTCAAGGCTGAAAAACGTGGCCTGAATGCTCTGCGAATTGCTCTATCCCAGATGCTTGAGTGTGATTGGAGAAGGGGCGTCATTCAGGCGCATTAGTGCCGAAGTAGGATATGGGTCGAGGCCTCCACTTATCCACTACCTCGACACGGAGAACTATGTACTAAGAAGGGGCAGCATCTATAACTACCGGGAGAGTGGACGAGAAGCTAAATCGTGCAGAGCGCACATCTCGGTGCTTTAACATTACTAATTATGTTACCTTCAATGCCTGTGGATAATAAATTTCCACTGAACGATAAGACGGGCGGGATAGATACCAAACAATTCACTTCGGACGGAAGAGTGCGGAAAAGGTCAAGTGAACTTGATGGAGCCGAATATATCCAGATTCAATTGATGGGACTGAGGATGTTTGAGTCGAACACATAAATATCCCAATAATGCACGGATATCTCCAGGAATTGGCAACCAGAGATATCCCTTGCATGCTTCTTGCCGCTAGTCCGGCGGTGCATGCGGGGAACCCGTGATGTGATGCGATGCCGATGGCGTGATTCGCTGACCGACTCCCCTCGCGGTCCTTCTTCTTTGTTTCCTCCTCTTCCTTAACGTCACTTTCCACAAAGCCATGTCGGTTACTCGAACACCATCCGATTATGAAGCCGAACGGCCCCTCCTGGACGGGGGCGCAGAGCCCGAATACGGCGCTGCCTCCGAGCCGGGGTCTACCCGACCGGCCGAGCGTCGCTCGTTCGCACGCAACCTAGGGACCATCGAAGCATTCGGGATTGTCATCAGTATTGTTATTGGAAGCGGCGTCTTCACTTCGCCTGGGGCCATCGATACTAATGTTCCGTCGCCTGGAGCGGCGCTCATTGTGTGGCTGGTTGGCGGCATTCTGGCTTGGACGGGAGCCAGTACCATGGCGGAGCTGGGGACTGCAATTCCGGGTGAAGGTTTGTGATGCCATCTAATTCAATTTTTATTGAGCCAAGTTCTCACTCGCCTACAGGAGGAGTACAGCCTTATCTGCAATACATCTTCGGCGATGTGTTTGGGTTCTTGGCCGCGTGGACATGGATCGTGGCGGTGATGCCCGCAACACTCGCGATCTTGAGCATTGTTTTTGTCGAGAGTATTTTCTCAGCAGCCGGTGTTACCGACCAAGCTGGCAGTATTGGCCATAAACTTTTGTCCATCCTAGTCCTGGTAGCTGTCAGTGTGGCCAACTCGATTAGCACCAAGGTCAGTACGCGACTGAATGGCTTCTTCGTCACAACCAAATTTGTCGCAATCGCAGGAATCGTGATAGCCGGGCTTGTTGTTGTGATTCTTCAGGTGTCGGGAATCAATCGCGATGCCGGACCAAGGGATTGGCACACCAAACCTTGGTTTGGTTTCCGGGACACAATAACTCCCGACGGAAGCCTGATTGACTGGAGCCAATTGCACGGATGGGAAATCTTGGGCCACTACTCAGCGGCGCTTTATGGCGCTCTGTGGGCGTATTCTGGTTGGGATAAGGTATGTTATCCAATAATCTGAACGGAACTCCAGCCAACGTATGAAGGCAATTTATGTTTCTGCGGAATTATCTGCACCTGCTCGTCAACTCCCGTTGGCTATCAACACCGCAGTTCCTATCATCATTCTTTGTTTCATCGCGGCGAATGCTGCGTATTACATCCTTCTCCCGTGGAACGTTGTGTCGACGACCGATAGTGTGGCAGTGGTAAGTCTTCGCGTCCATCAATGGGAAGAAATCTATGCTGATATCCTAGACCGCCATCACACTTCTTCTGGGTCGTGGATTTGGGATCCTAGCTGCAATCACAATCTGCCTTGTTGTTGCAGGTTCTCTACTCGGGAACTCCTTCGTGGCTGGTCGCATGGTTGTGGCGGCCGCAAACCTGAACTGGCTTCCCCGATTTCTCGGTTTCATTGGACATATTGGCGCCAAGCCAAATGATTCAAGCAACGACTCATCCTCTGAGACTTCAGCTTCTCGCAAATCCGATGCACCAATCAATGCTATCATCTTGTCCACGGGCCTCCCGATTCTTTACATTCTATTTGGTAACTTCCGAGCCCTGCTGACGTTCAACGGGCTAGGCGAGTACTCTTTCTTCTTCCTGACCGTGCTAGGAGCGATTATTCTGCGCTTCAGAGAGCCAGAGCTTCGCCGTCCTTATAAGCCATTTATTTTGATCCCGGCTATTTTTGCCGTGGTTAGTGGTTTTGTTGTCGTTCGGGGCGCTGTTTTCGCGTCATTGCCGGCGGTCATTTTGATTGTGGTTTGGCTTCTTGGTTTTGGTTTCTACTATGGCTCGAGGAGATGGAGAGAGTCTAGAGACGCATAATCATCTTTAGAGCGATAGAATAGCTTCGTTTATCGTTCGTGCAGCAACAGTTTGGGAATCTGCTTGATGGCATTTATGCGTACATTCGATGAGACGTCTACCAAGACAAAAGACAGGCACTTTGGAGAGACTGGTTTATTTTTAGTATGCTGATTATTATCTATATGTATATTCAACTCAAATAGTCTTGAAAAGAAGAGCATTCAGACACGAGAATTATGTCTTGGGGCTAGTTTTAGGCGCCAATGGCATACCCCTCTTTTCTGGGATGATCGCCCCGTCATCTTTAGCGCCTTTCCCATGTTCTTACCCACAGTTACATGGATTGGATCTTCTGGGGACGCATTTGAAATAAAGTATTTATATTTTCTTTGACTTGGTGTTTATCGAATGACTCATACACTACCTCAACTCGACAATGCAGAGTACACCGTCGGATGGATCACGGCTTTGCCGCATGAGAGGATTGCCGCAGAAGTGATGCTTGACAGAAGGCATGCGCCACCGCAGTATATACACCCTCATGACCACAACACCTACACTCTGGGTTCTATCGCTGGTCCGAATGGGAATCATAATATAGTCATCTTCAGCTTTCCGCCTGATTGGTATGGGACCACCCCGGCCGCCCTATATGCCACCCAGATGCTGCTCAGCTTTCCATCGATTAAATTCGGGCTTATGGTTGGAATTGGCGGGGGCATTCCAAGTGAACGAATTGATATCCGACTGGGCGACGTTGCAGTTAGCAGACCCGAAGGCATTTACGGAGGAGTGAGACAATATGACCGTGGAGAAAGGACTGCATCAGGTTTTGAAGAGTGTGGCGCCTTGAGTCCCCCACCTAGGATTCTCCTCAACGCTATGGTAGCACTACAAAGCAAACACATGATAACTGGAAGCGCAACACCCAATATATTGGCCGCGGTGTATGAGGCCAATCCGCTGATGGTCCGCCCGAGCAAGGGATACAGCTATGCGTATCCCGGAACGAAGTACGACCGACTATTCTGTTCGTCTTATGAACATCCGCCGGGCAGAGATGACTGTACTGCGTGTGGCGGAACGTATGAAGTGAAGCGGCCCGAAAGACCAGATAATGCTCCTTCTATCCACCATGGCACAATTGCCTCTGGAAACATGGTCATCAAAGACGCACGAACTCGGGACTTGCTCGCCAAAAATTGCATTTGTTACGAGATGGAAGCAGCAGGGCTGATGAACACCATTCCTTCTCTCGTCATTCGAGGGATATGCGACTATTCTGACTCGCATAAGAACGACCGATGGCAAAATTATGCGGCAATCGTCGCCGCTGCGTATGCAAAGGAGCTTCTTCAAATTACGGGCTGCTACAATGCTCCGAGATTGGACGCTCGTCATGGTATGCGTAACTATCAGCCCCTTAGTCTGCATCTGTTCTTGTTCGCTAACATCAACGAAAGTTATGTCATCTTCGCCTTCTTCACTGGCTGCTTCGTCACTTGCCACTACTATAAACGTGGACACAATGATGTCAAGAACCATGTTCGCAGACTTGAAGCTAGACAAGTTCTCTCGGAAGATTATTGATTGGCTTAATCCTCCTGATCCTTCTACAAATTCTCACAATTCCAAAGCTGTTAGGAATTCAGAAACTGGGATTTCGTTTTTAAAGAGCAAAGTATTCCAAGAATGGAAATTCGGGGTGTGTCGGCATCTATGGCTCCACGCGAAAGCGGGAAGTGGAAAGACAGGTCTCGCATCAACAATCATTGAGCAACTTCTGCTTGAGAGAAGCCCCTTTCACGTGGCTCTTTACTTCTTCTTTAATTTCCATAACACTGGTATGCGGACTCTTGAGGACTTCATATGCTCGCTTGTCGCACAAATATATTGTCAGTGTGAGAGTTCTCGAAAGGAGCTTGACGAACTATGGGAGAAATGTGGAAACGGCTCATATGGACCGGGACTCAAAAAGCTATTAGGAACGTTTCAACTGATGGTGCGCCATCTTGAGAGTGTTAGGGTTGTCATAGACGGCCTAGATGAATGTCAATCCAGGAGGGAGTTGCTCTTATGGATTAGGGAAGTTGCATTGTCTGAGGCTATCAATCTACAGTTTCTCATAACCAGTCGGAAAAAGGAGGATATTTAAGTCTTTTGGAAGTTCAAACATTATATAACTTGATTTCAACACAGCAAAGTGCCATGAATAATGATATGGGCTTATACATCCGACCAAATTCGAAACAAAAACGATTTCACGATGCGACGCGTGCAAAAACATGTACCTATACGGCACCTGCTCCTCTACCAATCTAAGTGCTGACACAACCAGGAAAATATGAAACCAAATTCAAACACTATGCTATGTACAAAATACATTCATCTACTACATGGCAGTCCCAAGTACTCGACCACTCATTTCTTCTCAAACGCATGCTCAATCCTGCCCTCGTCCGCGGTATGATTATACGGCCGATCATATCGATGCTCCATCTCCTCGTTATGCCGCCTCACATCCTCCGGTAGATCCTCGTGTCGCTTTCCCTCCATATCAGCGAGATTGGACTGTCTGCCGTCCCGCAGCGTGGGGTGGGCATTGTTGGACGGCATCGGGTGGTTGGGGGTATTTTCACGGTCGCATTCTTCTTGCGGATCGTGCTCGTTGGCCTGCGAGAATTTCTGCGCGGTATCGTGAACGTGCGCGCGTTGGGTGGAGAGATTAAGGTTGATTGAATTGCGACCGAGAGGAATGGGGGAGATTGGCATCCGTAGACGGGGTGGGATTCGGAGGAAGGGGCGCATAGTACTCATTGTTTTTTGGTATTGAGAGTGAGAGATTGGTTTGGTTTTAGGTCACCAAATTTTGAACGGGCAGGGGGTTAAAAAGTAAAAAAGTACTTGGCAAGATCGGATGATGAGATTCCTTCCAGGGGGGATCTACAAAATCCGGTTTCCAGATCTTCCCCGTACTCGGGGCCCGTTGGCAATGACGACCCTGATGTCATAGCTGTGGGTTCCTGGACCGAGCTTGATCTACCTGGAATCTAAATCGACGCCCTATGATAAATCGTATAGCAGATGGCCAAGTAGAAACGCTTGAAGTTAAGCATTTTAAAAAATTGGGCTTGCTACGCCAGGTCTTGTTACTGGCCGCTCTCCTGCTAAAGTCCCAGATAATGCTCTAATGTTATCTGCAACACTTCCTCCTTAGTTGTTTCCTTGACTGCTTTCATTTATCTGGTTCTTACTCCCCCCTGGTGCACGTTATTTGCTTCAACCCACGACTTTACTAACAATATTAGCGTCCGATTCTCTCAAGTACTCCCTCCTTCTCCAACAATCACTCTCAAATATGTCTCTTCCCAACATGGCAAGGTCTTTTTCATCACCCGCGCCACTTCAGGCATCGGTCTCGAACTTGACAAAATACTCCACGCCAAAAGTGCGAGGGTCGATATAGACGATCGCTCCGCGGATGACAGCACCCTGGCAATCGAGTGCATTCGACACGCTATACCCCATAGCGACGGTACTCTCGAGTTCCTCTCGGTGCCGTCGTTACACAGAGCAAGGATCAGGCCCCGGGCTCTGTCCGTGTCACCTGGGCCAGCAGCCAAGTGACCAAATTACCCTTTCCGCCACGTCCAAGATCGGAAGTTTTCGCCAGATTTGATGACGGAGAATAATGGGGCTTATTAGGTACACTAGGGAAGGATTCATCATTATGTGGCGGACACCATGCTTCAGGCGATGAGATTGGAAGAGAAGGGTGGAACTAGGAGAACCAAGGGGTTCTGGGTGTTTTTTTGAAGAAAGAACGAGGGATCATGGTGACATCTGGCTTAATGGCTTCATCTGTCTACGGCAGGGGGCATTGCAAGATGTTTCGACTATCTATAGATTGCTCTAGTTGTTTTCTCTGCTTTTAATTCATTCTCGATAATAGTACAGAGTACAGCCTGCACATGTGAAATGGGGCGCATTTGAACCCTCGATCATCAGTCGATCTGATCCTTCGTTGTCTAGAATTGCATGGAACAGTACTTTATACGATGTTGGTCCTTCTGAGATAGTTTATTGGAGGCTAATCGAAAGACAGGTGTCGATCATTACGAATGCAGCATGGCGATCCTTGTCAGGTTTAAAGTAGCAGTACTACTGTAGAAACACCAACAGACAGGATCTGCTACCAGACGGTTGGGTTTCTTTCATCAGGCACACTCCCCAGTTTATATTCTGGCACGGTGTTCAGATACAATTCAAATTTATATGCTTAGCTCTGAAGATCTTCGTATTAAACTCGGTCAAAATAGGCTACACGATTTGAATGAGAGCGAGAACGAAAGGCTGCAGCCTCCAAGCGATCATGTCTCGCCCCCAAGGCTAACATGATGGGTCTCCTTCTAACCAACAACATCCCGATCCAGAACATTTATTTGTCCTGATTTAGGGACATGTCAGATCGTAATTTTATGTTTACGACAGGATTAGGACGGTCCACTGATCGGCTTTTTAAGGCTCTTGTTATGTTTGGGGCATTGCCAACAATTAGGAGTATGTGATCTTCCAGCCCACGACGATATAAATATTGGGCATGGCACCCGTACCATGACCAATTCATCAGAATCAGTCAATTATCGCTTTCCAAATACCATGCAGCTTGCCACATCTCTCACCGCGGCGCTTTCTACTGCCGGAGTCGGCCCTGCCGTTGCCTTCAACCCCAGTACTGTCGTCGCCAGCTCCTCATCTACCCCCAGCCCCTCTATTACCCCAGCCAGTACATCGGCCATCGCCTCTGACATGAGCGTCACTATGATCAAAACGAAGGAAGGGGAATGCTTCCTCGAGTTCGAGAATGTTCTCGGCTGCACCGGACGCAGCGAGCTCATTGGCGACTATGACGACGAAACCGGGTGCGTCCCGGCCGGTAAGTCATCTTTTATCCTAGCGAGCATTACTCTTCTATACCCTTGGGCCAAATATTAACTCGCACAGGGATCGCCGAGCCTATCGTCGGCGACATCTGCGGCAACCACGTGACCTTTTACCCTGTGCACGACAACTACATCTACGTCGAGCAGGCAGATCAGAACATGGAGGTGCAGTCCGGCGACGTATACTACAGCAACGGTACCAACTGGATTGGCCATCAGCTGGGTCTTTCCCCTGGGTGCAGCTTCAGGGCTTCGGGCCAAGCTATCGTCGGTCCGCAGGAATGGTGTTTGCCTGAAAACGATGGTTATTCGAGAGTTCCGGATGTGCCTTCGTATCAGCCCACGAGCGCCGTATAAACGTTGGTTGATCCGATTTGGGCTTGTATATATTGAAGATTGTTGGTGGGTTTTGGGTTGTTTGGGAGCAGGGATAGCCTAGATCATTATGTATTGTACATGGGTGTTCGAAATATAAATAGAAAACCAAATTGGGTGTGTGAAATGAAATGGAAGGCAAAGAAAAATAAAATGAATAAATAAAATGAAATATAGGGAGGACAGAAAAAGGAAATATGTACTGCATCTAATACGAAGCCTCGAAATGATTCACAAGGCAGTGCAGACGCATTAGCCCTGCGAATACAGGGGTCTGCAGGGTAGGAATGCAGTGTTGAACACACCCATAAGGGCTGCTCATTTCTGCAGCTGATGCGACCAACCCATCAGCCGTGCGACGTATACCTACTCATACTCTGCGGTCTGGAATAACAGCTTCTAGAACGGCGGCCTGACATTCCAGGTTGTCGTCCATGGGTCATCACCTGATTGACCCGGGAGGAAAAGAGAAACAGAAGAAAAAAAACGCAGTCCTCGTCATCATCGCATCCCCCACGATGCCACATCCCATCCATCCTCATCCCTGGAGCTGACGATCACTGCCCGACGCCAAGCACCGCAGCTCCTTCTCCATGCTTTGACGCTTATCCACCCCCACACTTCCCCTCATTTCGCTGTCTTGGTCACATTGCTGGCGGCACCGTTCCATCCGATCGCGCCGCATTCCCCTGCTTTCATTGATCGTGATTGACTCGTGGAAGATCATCACCCCTTGTTGGCTTCGGAATGACTCTGTCCGTTTCCCCTCTCTTTCCATTTGGCTCCGCGCAGGGACAACACCGCGTTAGCCTTGGTACCTATTTCGTTTCCCCCTCTTTATAGATCGGGTATCCATCATCTGATCATTTGGTTCTCCTCTTCGTGGTCTTCCTTCGACCGCGCCGTTAGTAACAATCCAGAGTCTCTGATGTGGTCTGTCGCCAAAGGTCAACTCTCGAACTCCTTGGAGATTGAAGGTCTATTGGAATGAGGTTTCTATTCAAGACCTGATAGTTCTGTGTTGTTTGGTTCAGCCATGAGTGCGCCGCTCTTCCTGCGGTCGGCGCTGGGAGCGTGTCGAGCGGCTCCCGGCGCCCACTCAGGGAGATCCCTTCTTTCTATTAAACCTCCAGGTAAGTGGATTCTACGCTTTAGCTCTGGAGCAACAATCCCCAGGTTCCACTAACCTTAATCACCGGGTGATTAGTGACTCAGCTTCAACTGCCGTATCTGGCAAGTCAGCGCAACCGCGAAACGTCCTCTCTTTTGAGCTGGCTCACAATTGCCAAAAGGCACGCGAGCAGCTCATCTGCTCCTTCGCCGGTTCCCGTCGTCCCCTACTCTGCTCTCACCGTCGGCGTGCCTCGAGAGACGTACCCGCACGAACGTCGCGTCGCGCTTACTCCTCAGAATGTCGCTCTGCTGCGCAAGAAGGGTTTCTCGCGCGTTCTGGTTGAGCGTGGAGCTGGCGAGGAAGCCCAGTTGCTTGATAACGCGTACGAAGCGGCTGGAGCGACCTTGGTCGAATCATCCGCTATCTGGTCCGAAAGTGATATCGTCTTGAAAGTCCGCAGTCCACGACAGGATGGCCCGGTCAACGAAGTCAATGCGCTCCGTCAAGGAACTACCGTCGTCTCGTTTTTGTATCCCGCTCAGAATAAGCCGCTAGTGGAAACCCTTGCGTCGCGTGGTGTCACCGCGTTTGCGATGGATATGGTACCGCGGATCTCCCGTGCCCAGACATTTGATGCGTTGAGGCAGGTTTCACAGCACCATCGCAAGCAAACAGTTACTAATTTTGGTTTTATGCAGCTCCATGGCCAACATTGCCGGATACAAAGCTGTTCTAGAAGCCTCGAACCATTTTGGCCGTTTTCTGACGGGCCAAGTAACTGCTGCTGGGTGAGCTAATCCTTCTGGTTTGCAGAGCTATGCTAATTGAGTGTCTAGCAAGGTTGTGACTCTATCAGCATGACTGGTTTCTACTAACAGAGTTTTTTAGATACCCCCCAGTAAAGTCTTAGTTATTGGAGCTGGTGTAGCCGGTCTGAGTGCCATTGCTTCGGTAGGTCGATCTCTGTAGATTCTTAACGCTGTACCAACCTCTCTTCCAGGCTCGTCGACTAGGCGCGATCGTTCGTGGCTTTGATACCCGTCCCGCAGTTCGTGAGCAAGTCCAGTCTTTAGGCGCCGAATTCATCGAAGTAGACATGCAGGAAGATGGTTCTGGACAGGGTGGATATGCCAAGGAAATGTCCAAGGAATTCATCGAAGCGGAAATGAAGCTTTTTATGGAACAAGCCCGTGAGGTGGACATCATCATCACTACCGCACTGATTCCAGGCAAGCCTGCCCCGAAGCTTATCACCAAAGAGGTATGTTTTTCTGGTCGCTTAAGTGTCAGCTCGCTCATACAAAGTTAGATGATTGCTGCCATGAAACCTGGATCTGTTGTCGTCGACCTTGCAGCAGAAGCCGGTGGCAACTGCGAAGCGACCATCCCCGGACAATTGACAACCTACAAAGATGTAACCGTCATTGGTATGTTGACTCTACAATATCAAGGGTTGCACGCTAATTAGATCAGGATACACCGATTTTCCGTCCCGTCTACCCACTCAGTCCTCTACTCTATACTCCAACAACGTCACCAAGTATCTTCTGTCAATGGCACCACAGGAAAAGTCATTTGGCATTGATCTTAACGACGAAGTGGTACGCGGCTCTATCGTCACGCTTAATGGTGAAATACTGCCTCCGGCACCTCGTTCAGCCCCTCCCCCTGCGCCGAAAATAGAAGCAGCTCCGGCGAAGGAACAAGCGGTAGCCCTGACTCCTTGGCAAAAAGCGACACGAGATGTGACGACAGTGACAGCTAGCTTGGGCTCCGCCCTTGCTCTAGGCAAAGCGACAGGTCCTGTGTTTATGAGCAACATGATGGCATTCGGTCTTGCTGGTCTCGTTGGCTACCGTGCTGTGTGGGGAGTTGCGCCGGCGCTTCATTCCCCTCTGATGAGCGTCACCAATGCGATCTCGGGTAGGTTTTCTCTGCAGCTCGGTATTTCAGCGCTCATGTTATCTAGGTATGGTCGGTATCGGCGGTTTCTTCATCATGGGTGGCGGATATGTTCCCACCACGATTCCAGAGTATCTTGGAGCAGCGTCGGTGCTGCTGGCATTTATGAATGTATCGGGAGGGTTCGTTGTGACGAAGCGCATGTTGGACATGTTCAAACGTAAGAATTTTGGTTCATTTCTCTTCACCTGCTGACTCTTTCAGGCCCAACCGATCCCCCTGAATACCCCTGGCTTTATGCGATACCCGCCGTGGTTTTCGGTGGAGGCTTCCTCGCCGCTGCTAGTACCGGAATGGCTGGTCTAGTACAGGCCGGGTATCTCGTCAGTAGTTTGCTGTGCATGGGTAAGTATCACAATCCGTTTGAAGACCGGTGGCTAAGATAACAGGCTCTATTTCCGGTCTTGCGTCGCAGCAGACCGCCCGACGAGGGAACATCCTCGGTATTCTGGGTGTAGCATCTGGAATTCTGGCTTCTCTTGCGGCAGCAGGTTTTTCGCCCGAGACCTTAACTCAATTTGGTGCCGTTGCTGGGCTGGGCTCACTTGTTGGTAAGTTCGATGAACCAGAGTATAAGAAGGTTTCTCATTTCCTACAGGAGCATTGATCGGACGCCGCATCACACCAACCGGGCTCCCTCAGACTGTCGCGGCCCTCCACTCGGTAGTCGGATTGGCTGCTGTTCTTACAAGCATCGGCAGTGTCCTGGCTGATATCGGTCACATTTCAACGCTACACCTGGTGACAGCCTACTTTGGTGTTCTAATCGGTAAGTTAGCTGCATTAGTGGGCGCATTAATACTAACAGTCATAGGTGGCGTTACTTTCACTGGCTCGATTGTGGCTTTCATGAAACTGGCAGGTCGGATGTCGTCGCGGCCAACTATCCTCCCCGGTCGACACTTGATCAATTCGACCTTACTCGGCAGCAATATAGCCACCATGGGTGCTTTTGTTACCATGGCACCGGCGTCTCCAGCCATTGCAGCTACGTGCTTGGGAGCGAACACAGCGCTCAGTTTTCTGAAGGGTTATACTACGACAGCTGCTATTGGCGGAGCTGACATGCGTAAGTTACCATCCTGTTGACAAGCTTGCGCTGACAACTGTAGCTGTTGTAATCACGGTTCTCAATGCGTACTCGGGGTTTGCCCTGGTCGCTGAAGGACTCATGCTCAACAACCCCCTCCTGACGAGTGTCGGTTCTTTGATTGGAGTTAGCGGTTCCATTCTGTCGTATATCATGGTAAGTTTGTCGAGCCTTGCCATAGTTCCATGCTAATTCAAGCAGTGTGTCGCCATGAACCGATCCATCACCAATGTTCTGTTCGGTGGAATTGCAGCACCGCAGCAAGCAAAGAAGATCGAGGGTGAAGTCACGCAGGCTACTGTTGATGATACTGTCGAAGTGCTTTCGAACGCGGAGAACGTCGTCATTGTATGTTAACCCTCGCTGTTCATACGTGTGCTAACCCGCATAGGTTGTCGGATACGGCATGGCAGTAGCCAAAGCGCAGTACGCTCTCGCCGAGATAGTACACATGCTGCGCGCCAAGGGCATTAACGTCCGTTTTGCTATCCACCCGGTTGCCGGACGAATGCCGGGACAGTGCAATGTGCTGCTCGCGGAGGCGTCGGTTCCTTATGACAGTAAGCCATCATCCATCGGATCAAGGATAAAGCTAATCAGTGCAGTTGTTTTGGAAATGGACGAGATTAACGACGACTTTTCCGACACGGACGTGACCTTGGTAATTGGCGCCAACGACACCGTCAACCCCATCGCCTTGGAGCCGGACTCGCCTATCTCAGGCATGCCCGTGCTGCAGGCATGGAAGAGCAAGGAGGTAATCGTGATGAAGCGGGGAATGTCCAGCGGATATGGTGAGTTCCATCACCCAGTCATCAAGTAGATATTAATGAGACCAGCCGACGTACCGAACCCGATGTTCTACATGCCCGGAACAAAGATGTTGTTTGGCGATGCGAAGACCTCATGCGATGGTAAGCCACTGCGATTAGATATAGATATGGTCAATTCTAACTCTTTCTAGCCATCAAAGCGAGTCTCGAAGCGCGTACATAGGCTGGTTGCTTCTTCTTTTCTTCTTTTATTTCCATTCTCATTCTTTCCTTCGCTTTACGTATCATTGAGCAGGCGGTCTCTAGTAACGTCCAATAGAGGCATACACTTAAATTGCGTCCTATAGCTCATCAATTAGATGTCGTTAGCATCGCTTCTTAACTCTGGTTCAGTAACTGTCAGTTATGGCCCACAAAAATTCAACGACAAAAACAAGAGCAAACGAGAAACAAGGCACCATTACAGCCCATCTAGTGAAATTGAAAGAAAAGCAAAAGACGAGGAGATGGAATCCATTTCCAAGGTCCTCGACTCGCGTATCCAGAATCACGCTTCAATCCGAACCGAACCCACCCGACCTCGCTTAGACGCCGTCCGGGTGCCGAGTGCCATCCACAACTTGGTTAGCAACCAAGTAATCCAACCAATGAACCGCTCACCGATTATTACACCTCGACACGAACCTCAGCACTTGAATCATGAACCATGGAGCATGTCAATTCCTCCATGCCCGTCTAGCGTACGTCTGTGTCGCGTCAGTGCCGGCTCGGCATTTATCAGATCAGATCTATCCGATCGATCCAGATCTGATCCACAGCAGCCGGTCAAGCAACATGAAGGAGAAAGGCGCAGCTGAAGGTAACTTCGCTTCGCATCGCTTAATCCTATACCAGGTCGTCTTTCTCCATATCGTATCTCACTCTCGAGAAATCTACCAGCTCAGCTCAGCTCGCTTAACTCTAAGTCTGCCATCATGCCATCCTCCGTATATTACTAGCTGCTCTACGCAGATCTTCTACAACCGAAGACCTTGACGGTGTACTCATTACTAATGTGATCATGGCAGCTGACAGGCGACGCTTAGTGCGTTTAGTTCATCGGCTCATGCCGCCAGTCGGGTTGTCCGGACGTCCGATAGTCATTTCAAGGTAAGGCAATTTCGATCGATCGTGATAGGTTAGGTCAATGTCGATGGTATCGTACGACTCCTCCGTGTACTATATTATACTGTACTCGGTAGAAAACTAGAATAGGAGTGTCCACCGGGTCAGGCTGGTGAGCCTTTGGGATTCGAGATGAAGTAGATATTTACGACGTACTCTTGAGGATAGGATAGATTAAATTAGACCGTCTCAATACACCTGCTGCAGAGTCCTGCAGAGTAGGTAATATCTTTCATCTTTCACTTTTCAGTTTCACCCCTGGACCTCCTCCGCCAGGTACACTTAGCGTTACATCCATGGATGCTATGTATGTACCGTGCCGAATACCCACACTCCACCTCCATCTTCATCTCCCACCCACTAGGGAGTATGGCACGGGACTTCCATATCTACCGACTTCAGTCCCACCGACCAAGTTTGATAGGGATTAATTTATTTGTCAGGGGAAAGCTGAATGACCCGTTAATATACAGACAATATCGAGATATTAAATCCCAGTTCCGGGTCGATCTTATCCGGATTTTGTTTCCTCTGCAGGTGGTTAATTTGTAGCCCGTGTCTGTACCACTCTGTGGGCAGGCTCCTGTAATCTGGAGTACTGTACGTACGGCGTAAAGGGTGTTCAATTAAAGTATGTCGAGGACTTAAGGAGGATGGTTGGGTTTTCTTGATTTAGGTATGCTTTGGGATAGATATGTATGCGCGGTACATACTCTGTTACTTCAACCACCAACGAAACTGGAATACATCAAGACAGTTAACGGTCGTTGAAACACCCTCAAACGAAAATCATCAATCGACAGTAAATCATGCGGCTCAAAACGAACGCACAGTCAGAAAAAATCTGACAGAAAAAAAAAAACCACCCCATCAACACGAGTCAGAGACCCGCTCATACGGGAGAAAGTCTCCGACACTGAAGCACCCAACCACCTAAGAACACAGCCTGCCACCACTCAAGTGGGTAATACTAATGTGTTAATAACGGAGTATATTTCCCGTCCAGCTCAGACACGCCGCAGTCGCCACGTCCAGCTGAACCACCCCATAGACGGATGGAACCTGGAACAGTGGAATCCGCAATCCGAATCACGATCGGGTCAAGGAAAGAGTGGAGCGCCGACACTCCCCCCTCTCCCCTGAAAACAATGGAAACTGGAAAGAAAAGAAAGGACTTGTGGACTGAAAATCAGGCACCCGAAACCTTGCCCGCGGACGTCGACAAATCAGCGTCTCCCTGCAGGTCAAGATACGAGGTGAACCGTGGTTCACAGGCCGCACGGAGGAGATATCGCACGGACTCCGTCTGCTCCGTGCGTCGTTTCGATCGTTATGCGTGTCGTTCTCTGGATCGGGTTGTTTCATCTCCTTCCCCTTCCTGGGTACTCCATCCGTGTCGTTAAGGTAGGAGGAGCAGGGAGGAGGAGGTGGTTTCATCGCCTGATTCCCTTTCCAGAAGAGTTTGTTCGGGTCGGGTCAGCCAGGGTTAGGGTGTTCTAGAGACGGGATGGAAGAACCTACGAGAGTCATAGTCGTAGTCCATACTCCGTCCAGATGAAACAGGGAAGACACGGGCCGGGTGAATTAAGGTCTCTTACTTAGACCATATGGTCACTCTGTCGAAAATGCACCTCGGAAATCGGAATCGACCGTCAAACTCAATTCGCCTCAATATGAGGTCAGAACATGTGGAATTTAGGTTCTCACGGATGACTGCATATGGATGGCGCCATCTGATTATAATATTCAATATCGTTGTAGGGATTCTATTGATCTTACGAGGTATACGATGCCTTGATCTGTGCACGGTGGAATCATGTATAATCCTGTCTGTGGATCTCGGAGCTGTTCGGCGACAGGAACTACGCCCAACGCGGTATCGCATCTCTCCTAAGAACCGACTCCACCAAAACTCCATCCGGAGTTCACCGCGGGATATTAATCGAAATGAACCAATTAATTAGAATTCCCACTCCCGTCTCTGTCTACCCCAAACAGCCTACTGGACATCCCGCGTAATATCGAATCGAACCTACGGTGAACGGGAAAAGGAGTTCAACTTTCAAGTGTGCAGCGATCGCGCTGGCAGGGAATCATGTTTCCAATTTTCTGGGCCGCGCCAGAGTACCCAGTATCCAAGTCTATATAATACACGAAAAGAAAGTCCCGGCGGATCCACCATGGGATTAGACTCAATGCAATTGAGTAAAGGAGAGCGACAGAGCGGAACAATAATACCGTCTGTAGGAAAGAAAAAAAAATGAAAAAAGGAATGACCGGAATCCCATCCGATTGAACGCCGTAAGATCGCTGGACTCCGTAAACCAATTGCTCAAGACGACCAAATAAAAAAGAAAAGGAAAAAATAATAAAGAGGGAGGAATTGATAATAAAACAGTGCAAGCTTAAAGCTTGGACAGGTGCATGTCTGTCATGTCGATGACAGTCTGCAAGCGAAAAAAATTCGTAGCAGCGTCAGATAATAAGATTAGGCATTAGGCGATTTAAGAGTCGACTTTCTCTTCGCGCGCAGGAATCCCATGAAGCTTTTCGTCGTTTGCTCCGGGCTGTCCACCTTCGGTTCCTTGAACAGTCGCAGGCTCTTCTTGCGTTGCAGCTTGCGCTTGCCGTCGGTTTCGGCCACGTCGTTCGGATCCAGGCTGCGAAGGCTGTCCACTTCGGACCGCAGGCTGCTCGACGAGTACACGCTCGACGCGGTCGAGCTCTTCATGATGGAATTCCGGATCGGCAAGGGGTTGCGGCTGCTGTGGCTGGCCGGCACGCTGGACACGCTGTAGGACGAGCTGGAGCGATGACGGGTAAAGTTCGGGCCGGAGTAGTACTGGGACCCCGGACTAGGGGTCCGGGAAGGAGGCCGGCTGTTCTGCGGCGACATCGAATACTCGGAGCTAGCGGCGGATTGAGAGCAGGAGAAAGGTCGAGCGTGCGAGTTGTCGGGAGCGGGGAAAGTGGAGTGGTGTCGTCCGTGGAAGAAAGGAAAGTTGGCGCTGCGAATGCTCTGGATCGACGGGGGTCGTCGCAGAGACTCGGTGGGCGCACGAGACCGCGTCGTGGGGGTGAACGAGGACACCTTCTCGGAGATGGCGGTTTTCGGCCGCGAGAATGTCATCGAGCGGGCCCGCATCGAGAGCGTGCTGGACGGCTCGGGGGATTGCGTCAGCTGCGGCGTCGGGATATCGTACGACCCCTCGAGATCGGTGGTGTTCAGACGCAGTCCGCTCTTCCTCGACCGTGCCTCGCGGTTGAAACTGCCCAGGAACGGTTGCGACGAGGCGGCGGATTGGAGCGAGTAGACACCCTCCCCATCCCCGAAGGGTTTGCTGCTGCTGTCACTGGGTCGAAGGGGAGCTGACTTCAACGCAGGGGGCACCGAATTCTCCGAGGTGGGAGACGGTCCGGTCGGGCTAATTAGGATTATATTAGGTTTGGCGATGGGTTCCACGTAGGTGACCTGCTCAGCTACGAGCACGTCGGTATTATCATCGTCATCGGAATACACGGATGACGAGGAAGAACGCCTCGACAAGGCGGGAGACTCGGGCGGGACGTAGACATTAGGTTGCAGGAAGACGGGAGAGTGTAAGGGCGAGGTGGAATCGGGCGACGGCAGCTCGATGATCACGTCGTCATCGTGGTCGAAGATGTAGGAGTCGGCCACGAAGGTCGTGTTGCTGCTGCGCTTGACGGTATCCATCGACACGGGGCGAGAGGCCTTGGTGGTGGTGGTGGTGGACAACGGGGACAAGAGACAAGGATAGCCGGCCTTGTCCATGTTCAGTTCGGAGGGGTCAGCATTCGAGAGCTCGTCGGCACTGGCGTCGGAATCGCAAGCCTTGTAGGATTCCACGGGCGAGAAGGCGTTTTCCTGACCACCCAACTCTGGTTCGGAAATGTCCTCCTCGTCAGACTCGTATCGTCGGGGGAGAGGCTGCTGCTTGATGTAGGGGAGCGGAAGAGAATCGGCGGATTGATACATGACAGACCACTCAAATAAGCACCCGGTGCTTAAGGGCCAAGAAGGAATAGGGGGAAGAGGAGGGAGAGGGCAGAGGATGTCAGACAGGGCAGGTCGATCAAACAAATCAATTGCAAATCACGAGCAGGGCAGGGAATTAAAGGAAGCCGGGCGTTGGATGGGAGAGGTAAGCTGATGAGATGGCCCCCAGGTGAACCGGGGAATTCGATGCACTATGGGCAGGGAAGAGGGGGGCGAAAGGGTAGAAGGATGGAAGAAGAAGAGGCACGCAGATATGGTAGGAAAGGAACGAAAGCGTAATATAGGAAGATCCAAGCTTCGGCGGGGATCGAATGGCAAGGCGGTTTTCCCAGCAGCATTCTCGGCGGCCCACACGGGCTGGCATGGCCAGGAAGTGGAGCGCAGGGAGGAAGATGGCATGAACAAGTGACGGGAATGAAAGAGTCGAAGAGGAAAAACTAAAGATCGGCGTCATTCAACTGGAGACGGACGGACCACTTGGGTCGATCCACCGGGAACTTTTGTGTCAGGGACACGTGCTTTACTGTATCAGTTTACTGTTTTACTGTTTTACGAGTATTGATTTATCAGTCCTTACAGAGTCACCCTTGCATGGATTGAGCAGTTGTCTGGTAGGTGTACAGAGTAATACTATCTGACTACACAGGTGGACTCGGGAAGTGACGTATCAAGTCGCGGTCAGTGCATTCTTCTCCTGGTATGAAGTGTTGGAGTATAGGAAGGCAGAGTATCCAGGGGAAGCGTATCGATCGTCACGATACACTCTAACTGGTGTTTTCCTCCATACGACTCCGGAGTAGGAAGACGAATTGTTGGGGCCATGTGGATGACTCCCAGAATAGCTCTACGTAGTATTCCTGGTCCGAATGAGCATCTCTCCGCAGTATTGTATATATTGTATATTGTATGGATAATTGCCAATTCTCTCCTTGGGCGTTCTCATTTTCTCTGCGTAATAATGATTGCCACAAATCCCAGGCGATCCCGACAAGCGACCGAGAATCCGACGGGACGAACGGAGCGTTAAGCTGCGACTCCACCGGTGGATCCGATCTTTTTTTTTTTTCTTTTTGGTGTTTCTCATTTTTTTTCCTTTTATTTTATTTGATTTTTTTTTCTTTCCTTTTTTTTCCCTCGCAAGGCTGTGTTTGTGTCCTTCCTATTCAGTTCTCCATCCGACCCTCTACTTCTCCCGTCCACAGACTGATGCTCGATGCGAATTTCCTCAAATCCTCTGAGTCTCATCCATACCATTACGCAGTATTACTTGACTGAAAATTCTAATAGATTAAAATAATCAAAATGACCTCGCAGCGTCGCCAAGATGGCCGCCGCTGCTCCAAAACGGTGGAGCAAGTCTAACTCAAACACGCCATCCCCCATCCAAGCGAACTATCTTCCCGTCTGGAGTTCATCCGCAGTTTGAGGGAAAGACATGATTTTACATCCCTTTTTCACGTACGATGGAATCCTCCGTACGTCCTAGAGAATACGGAAACCCATCCCCTGCAGCCTCCTTGCAGCCCCCAATCCGGATCCTCGTACCTGACTATCGCCGGGTACCTGAGCCAGAATAATATCATCACTGATCAGAGTATCCACGCTGGTTGGTGAATCCGGATTGTCCCCCACACTGGCTCGGGTGGAATATCCGAATGGGCGGTTTCAGTTTCATTTGTTCCTGGTCTGGTGGGTTGGCGTTGCTATTTTCTCCCCCCAGGGATAGGGGTAGGGGCTGTGTTGCTGTTGACCTCATTTTCCCTCGTTGCGCCCGATTCCGCCGTTTATTTATTTGTTTGTTTGTTTGGTAGGGGTTCTTGGGTCCTCGTCTCTCTCTAGACACTCCGATCGGAGATGATCCCATCGAGTCAACGAGCACAGATGCGTCATGAGCAAATTGGCCACTCTCGATCCCGCTAGCCAAGTTAATCTCTCGTAAGACCCCCGGAGGCTGGCGATAGGACCGGACCACTTTAACTTCCACCGTGAAGCAATGACATCGGCGCGCGAGGGCATGCGCAAAAGTTAAACTCTGACGATGTCCGCTCAGCAAAGGCCGGTTCGCCCGTTGAAGGGCCCGACGATGCTGCAGGAACGCGCCGGTTGCAGTGTGAAACAACCCCGACCTGCATGGGCCAGGGGATCGCTCGACGAGCTTGCTGTTTTGGGCGTCGCCTGCGTCCATGCATCATGTACTCTGTACGATGATCGAATTTTTTTTTTTTCCTCCATCCCTCGCTTGAGAGGGGGCCGGTCTGCTCGGCGCTCACGAATCCGGAACTTATCGAGGACATGTGGCTGGTCGAGCGCAAGTGCTTGGTCTGCGTTGGATGCAGGTGCGAGTGCGTCTTCACCATGCGGCGTCGACTCGAGCTGGCTGGCAAACTATGCGTGCTCCCATCCGTACAGTGCATGGTGCAGGTGCATCTACCCAGCGCATTCGGGGTCTTCTTTTCCAATTGGTCGATTGCCGACCAGCCTGCGATATTCGTCCCTCTGCACTGCTGCACAATCCCACATCCACATCCACGTACGGACGATATGCCGTTTTAACTTTGTCCACCGTGTTAAATATAGCCCTACTGCGTCCACTACGTTGCCAGCCTGCCGATAACGCAATGTGATACGCTCTGTCCCCCGTCCGTGCTTAGCTTCCATGCAATGTATCACCTGCAACGCGACATCGTGGCGTCCACGTCGGACCAGTCGCAACCGCTCCAGAGGCTGGTCACTCCGTCGTGGTTTGCCTTTTTCCCTTGCCTTGAACTTCCCCAGATGGTCCAGGCGAACAGGGTGGACTTGAAACGTAGCTTCGGCCTCTAAATGCATTCCGTCGTACGGAGTATACGTGGACAAAGTATCTCTGGACGGGATGCATGTATGCATGACTAGAACGGATTTGACTTTCCCAGCCAGACTTTGCTTTACCTAAAAGTTCGGAGGATGTCCTCTCTCCCTTCAACGGAGTCCTACTAACTAACTACGTAGTTATCGGTCTCCTGCAATACCCCCTCTTTTTCTCCCCTCCTTGACTGCAGACTTCATCCACGGCCGAACCTAAACACGCTGTATATTTGGCCCCTTCTCTTTGCCACCGACGCGTCGCATCCTTGTATCTCACTGCATGCTTTGTTCGGTCCATGACGACGGCCATGAGGAGGATTCCCGTTTCCCCTCATGTTGGTCCTTCATTGCTCATCATCCTATCTCCATCATTCCCCCTCATTTCCTGCCTTGACGTTTCAGGTTTCAACATTGTCGATCTGCGATCCTTCGACATAACCTTTTAGTTGATGATTATCCAGGGGTTCGTTCGTAGTATATGCCCAGGATGGATATCTTCCGCCAATAATACCTCATTCAACCTGATCAACGGACCCGAGATGATAGATTCGATATATATTTCTGAATCCGGCAGGTTGGCAGGGCACCGAACTATGTCCGTGGTGGAATTATTGATTTGACTTTGACTGGGGAGTACCTACTACCTACTTACCTATCTGTCTATTGATTGAACATCACGCTGATAGCGAGTTATGGCAGAAACATTAGAGGGAGTCACTTTAGCCCGATCATGTCCGAGCGCTGCAGTAGGAAGTAGGATAACCTGATACGACGAGTCAGTATCGTCGGCCGGAATAAGCAAGTCTAAAAATGGAGTCAATCATCAGTACTAGTTCTCCTTGTATTCACATCGACTATTTCCTTAATACATTCTACATGCAGAGTACATCATCCAGCGTCCGGGTAGTGTTTACCCAGTGGCCTAAGCATACATCATGGATACAGATGTGTACATGTACATGTACTTACATCAAATGCATAATGCAAGAGCAAGCAAACAGTGGCAAACCATGCACCCCGGCAGAATATCCAGCGCCCAACTACGCGGAGCTGTGACGGCGGCATCTGCACTACGTATGCAGGAGAGCGCCACGGAGAGAGGGGAAGCGAATCGAAATGGACGGATGGACATGACAGGGTGACAGGTCCACGGAGCAAACGAACTCAGGGGATGCCAAGCTTGTATGTATTATCCTCTCTCCGTGTTTTTTGTTATTTCAATGGTTATGGCATGGCATGATTTACTCCGGCCGGAGTCTTGAATATGGAGGTGGATAGTCCCGTAATGCTAATCCTACTCTGTAAAAAGGGATAAGCGATCGAATGTCAGAAAAAGTGGTCAATCCAGTCAATAATCAAGATGCATCCGCCGCGCCAATGGCCGGCAGGGATTAAATCAGGTTTTCCCCTGGTCAACTTCTCTTAGTCGGACGGATGCTCGGAGGACTGCCGGATTGACATTCCCGGCCTTCATGCCAGACCTGCAGACCATCTGTTCTGCATTTGTCCTGGATAACTAGGAGTAGTGTTGGTAGATTCAGCGCTGATAGACATGACATTCTCGACCTCCCTATAAACCGACACGAGTCTTCGTGTACTATGTAGGACTATCGTCCTACATATCCAGGGTTAACCTTCTTCTATTACCCCTCCATTCCAAGGAGACAGGCGCTGGCATTCGCAGCGATCGGGAATGTCTCTCATCTCGATGACACCTGACAGATCAACATGCCAGGGACAGATTCCAGATACCCGAAAGGATTCTATTTTTTTTTTTTTTTTTTTTTTTTTTTTTTTTTTTTTTTTTTTTTTTTTTTCATTGGGTTTTTTTCTCCTAGGTTGAATTGGGTCGAGGATATGATTATGGGGCCTCCGTGTATCCATAACGGGTCGGCCGAGTAAATCCCCCTTCCTCATCCCCGGCCGTGCCTTGGTGAATATCACTACCTTAGCTAATAGTGCTAGGAATACTAGAGAGTTGGATTCTTCACGGCGCCGAACCCCGAGCCGTTACGCTACCGTAGTATTTCTTCCCTGCAAATTTTTCATCCCCTGGAAAAGTGGACGAGTAACTACTCCGTACTCAGTAAGTCAGGAAGAAACTAATGTAGGTACCGGCATGACTAGTTACCTGGCCTTCTCCATCTCCGTCACTTTGCCAGACCGACTTTTCTTTTCCGTAGCACTAGCAACTAGCAACTAGCAGGTTGGATTGCATTGAGGCCAATAATCCGGGATCAACGAGCAGAAACTTACTCCTAACCTACGCAGTACCTACAGAGCAGTATACGTAAGTCGATCCCGATCAACGAATAATTGGGAAAATCAAAGTCAAGTGAAGAAACGTATCCCCCCGAATGCAGTAACCACTACACTACTGCGTACCCCCTAATGTACCTTGGAAACAATAGCCAGTGATCTTCGGCGCCGGTGGAGTCGTTCAACGTCGTCCCGTCCGAGAAGACAGAAGGCAGGAATGTCATATCGGCTTTAGGAGGAGTTGGACAGCGTATCCACTGAGGAGTGGGAATTGGGAAGTTGGTTTTTCTAGTTTTGTTGCTGGCTTTTAATCTTCGCGCTACGGAGAATTTTTTCTCGTTGGGGATGGGGTTGGGGAGAGGGTCTCTGATTTCCTCTTTTTTTTTTTGTTTCTTTCGGAGGGTCATCACCGCAGATACCCGCTCCCATTACGGATCCAGCGTAGCTAAAAGAAAAGTGTCCCAATCCCAAATGCTAAGTGGAGATCCAAGTCAAAGGTTTCACCTGACCCTTTTGGCCTACCTATAGCTCCCTGTTTATTACCTATTCTCGTACTGCGCAGGCCAATCCCCGTTCGAGGATTGAATGTGGCAAACGGAAAGTGCAGAACCTGGATAACGACGTGTTCAGATTTTTCTCGACTCAATAGTTCGAGCACCAGCGCATGCTGGGGCCGTCTGTCCGTCTCCAGTCTCCAGTTTCCAGTTCCAGTTTTCTACTTACCGTAAGCTAGAGGTAGAAAGGTATCTCCGTGACGTATCCGTATTGGTGCTAGATATATATCCACTAGATGGTAACGCTGTTTACCAAGTACTGCGACATTCAGACTCCGTACCGAACAAAAGAATAAAACCAGCCTGTCCTCTTTCTCTCGCCATATGCGTACTCGGCTGTACTGCGTAAAAGCACGCCCAATAAAACTAGCTACATATGCCGTAAAGCGAATGCTCCGTTGTGGGATCCCACGCCCCATAACAACCTACTCCGGAAGCACTAGGCAGGTCTCCGCCCCGAGGACTACTACTCGGTCGGTCTTTTTATAGCACCTTGACATCATGCCATTGATGCTTCCGAGGGACGTTAGGTCAATATGGCAATGAGATCGAATGATCGAATGATTCTGGCTTTCGATGTCCGGTCTCCGGTGGCTTGGGGAGCTAGGCAGTTGGTGTTAGTGTAACGGTTCTTATGCAGAAGGGTAGGTAGGTGGATATGCATATGTTGATTAGTTATGTATTTATGCTTCAGGGGATTGGATTATCCAGGAACAGAGATGGTATAAAGAGGTGATGTCTCGGTGTTTGTACTGCTGTCGTATGTTCGCAATGTAAACCCTACCTCGTGGGTACTTGGATGGATACTCTTCGTTCCTAGAACTTGTTCCCCCGTGTGACAACAATGTGATTGAATAGACCTATATTGAGCACATATCACCACGGTCGGTCCTTCGAAAGGCATGATGCTATGATCTCAATGACAGCAGGCCGTGCCGCCCGTAAATCTACCCATCGCATGAGGAGCGACCGAGTCAACATGGCTGCACTGCTCGCGACACAACTACTCAAACGGATTTCTAATAATCTGTAAGAGTCGAGGCAGCGCGATATTCATTGTCCATAGTAGATACCAGTAGAATGTAGAGTATAGAGCACGCGACCTCATCGGTCGGTTGATTTGTATAATTAGTGCACTTTCAGGATTCTTTTTGAACTTCTGTATAGCTTCTGTCGCTTCGTTGTAGCTTCAATTGAGCTTTATTTCTAGGTATAAAGCAACCCAACAGCCGTCAGCGACTTCAGAAGAGCCTGCCAGGGCGCTGTTATTCGGGTATAATGCAACGCCAACTCTCTTTCTTCTCGTTTTTTCCATGTAAGTCTATCTAGAGCATCTCCTTTTTATTCCGCGAGTGGGATTTCCTCCATGATCATCGTGATCGGTTATCTATGTGAGAGAGCTCCGCAGAATGTAGTAGGTATGTAAGACATGCTTTTTCTGTGCGACGATAAACGATCGCCAGGAGTGGCTTCGACATTCTGGGTTGGTTAGCTGAGTATGTACAGGCCATTCTGTAGGGAATGGTGAAGTGTTTCGGCTTGGAAGAATGAGGTTGACTCTCATCTCGCCTTTTCCTTTTTGAATGCTTTAAGCCTAGCTAGGATAGACATTCTCTAACTCAGACAGAGGGCTGGTTATTGTTCGCATTTAATGCAATTATACATTGGTGATTCCTTCTTCAGCAGAAATATTTTTGCACTTGCCGGTCACTAAACCAATCAACAGACTGAGTGTCAATGCTACTGTATGCAATTGACATTGCAATTGTTCATCTTGGCAACAGTGGGCTATCATCAGGCGTAGGTAGAAGGTCTGTGTCTATTATCGCTCTCTATGGTACTAGTACGACGTCATTCTGTTCTGGGTGATATCAAGAATGTTCCTCGAACCTAGGTAGGTTCTTGAGGATGCAGGTTTATTACTTCAACTGATCATGGGCACCGATACTGCATAGGCAGTGTAACAGGCCATGGTTCAACTTAGCATGGTCCCCAGGCGTTCTAGATGCCTAAGGTGTAAGCTACACTACCAAGCATCGCCATTTGCCTACGTTTCCATGGATGGCCATTCGTGTGCAACAACACTGACCTCTTTCTCCCTTTAGCAATCCTTCTGATATTCAACCAAGGCAGCATGATTCGTTCTGTGAGCGCGAATCCTCCGCATCACTACCGTGTTTCTATTAGATGGGCCAAAAGGTCCTCATCGCCACCAAAGTTAGAGTAAACAGGTTAGAAGTGTCTCCGACTGGTTCAAGACCAATTGCAAGCATGGCGTTGTCTACAGTCCTGTGACTTTGTCTATCCCGCAAACATGAAATATGCGAGCGGTATCCAGGTGATAGCTGATGAATAGGATAAGAGTACAATAAATCTGATCAATACAATGCAATGTTTGATTTTATATACAGTAATGTATAGGTTCAGCATAACGTAGCCATGATTACATTACAGGGGCATCTATGAATATTTCACTAAAACAAGAATCAAAAAAGAAAAGGAACTGCCATCAGCAGAACCAAAGCAAGAAAGTATAAATGTAGAATACAGACTGAAACAGTCAATGGCAACCACCCTTGACCGGTCCAGGCAGAAGAAAACCTTTCACTCACGTAAACTTTAGAAAACCGGCAAAGCCGTCCCAATGCTGCACCTGAGAAATGCCCTAAAATTGGTCGCGATGAAGGACGACCAATATCATGATGGTCATTCATTAAACAATGATAATAAAATGCTGGAACCCCATATTAAAAAGGCTGAAAATGATAATCAAGAATCTCGTCACCCGTGCCATACAGCACGGGCGAGCTTCCAAAACGTCAACTTCGGGTGTATTTGACGATGGTGTGAATATGTCGAATTCAGCCGCGCTCTTCGCGGATGAATCGTTTGCGACATGTCAATTCCAAACGGTGTTCTATGAACAAGCCCAAATCCACATCCCAAAGCATTCAAGTTCGCACTTAAGCCTTGCGGGAACGGGTGACAGGACCATTGGACCGGCCAGTAGACGAGGCGTTGCCGTTCGACTTGGCGTTTCCGTTGGGGGTCTTTCCGTTGCCGTTGGTGGGAGGCACCTGGAACTTGGCCATGTCGATGACAGCCTGTCTGCCAGTGTTGCTGCGGGGACGAGTGCCCTTGGGGGTCTTGTTGTAGGTGGCGATGTAGAAGGAGATGAACAGGAAGAGGTATGAGGTGATAATGCCAATTCCGGCGAAAGCGGCGAACTCCTCTCCGGCACACATGCCCATGTTGGGTGCCCAGGGGAAGTAGGTGGAGGAGAAGTAGGTGTAGGACGCGAAGTAAATGAAGCCTGTCGGTCGTATTAGCCTTGTTTCCCTCTCCGCGATCGACTCATTTACTGTACTTACCAACATCAATGACGAACTGGATGATCTGAAGACGGGTGATCCACTCCTTCCACCAGATGCGAATGCCACGAGCGCTTTGGAAGTAGTACCAGTACATGACGACGTGAACAAGCAAGTTGATGGTGATAGGGACCCATGACACGGCAGTCAGACCGATCAGCTGGGTATAGCACAGGAGAGCGGTGGCACCGTGGTGGTAGGTGTGGAGGAAAGTCAACGGCTTCTTCTTGAGGAAGAGGAAAACGGTGTCGATGAATTCGAGGTATTTGGTCAGGTAGTTCAGCTATCAGGACGGTTGGATTAGCAAGCCTGTCAATATTTCCGGAAGCGTTTGGCGCACTCACATAGTACAAGACGATGAGGGGTTGAGTCCATCCACCCCGGTGATCGCAAATCGAGAAGAAGACACCATGGTTCCAGAGAGTCGGCAGCAGCTGCTCAATAAAGAGCGCCAGCAGAGTTGCGCTGATCGCAGTCAGGTAGAAGTTGTGGATCATGAACAACGTGTTGAGCTTGAGCGCCGAGAAGTTCTTCATGACGGCGCGACCACCGAAGATGACCACGTAGTAGGTGACGAGCATCGCAGCGGTGGAGCGGATGTCCGACAGAGGGGTTTGGCCCTCCACGAACTTGAATTCTTCGGCAGGATAGCCCACAACATACTCGAAGGCCTTGTTAAAAATCGGCCATAGGTGGATGCCGAACGGCCGATCGATTGTCGGGAGGGACACGTTTTGCAACAATTCAGCCGCCATGATGAATTGTCAGAATCAAGCGATGATTCTGAAGAACTTGAGTGTTTTGCGATAGCGCTGCGCTGTCCTCGTTGAGAAAAAAGCGAGACCTGGGCGAGTTGCCAATTTTTTCTCTCTTGTTTTTCCCTTCCCTTTTTTTTCTTCGGGGAGGAATTTGCTGACAAGGCCGACAAGGGTAAAGCCGGAAAAGGTCTAAACAGTGGAAGGAACGACAAGAAGCGAAGGACCGACTGCGGAAGAGAAGAGAAGAGAAGAGAGGGGAGAGAAAGGAAACGGTTGAGGAGAGCAAAGTCGGCTGGGGCAGAGAAGAAAAGAAAAGGAAGAGAGACAGTGGAGAGAGCGAGAGTTCGCAAGGAGAACCGTCGATCCGCGTCTCTTTTTTGGTTCCTCCGGCGCGTCCGCTGCGGCCCCCAAAGCGGTCTAGTGCCTCGGCCGGCTTAAAAGGGGCCCGCCGATCCGCTCTGCGTTCAGGCAGACAGAATCGCTTTCATCCATTGTTTGCAGCGCCATCTTCTTCTGTGCCTCCGTCCAGGGTATTCGGAGTGGGAAAGGGAGCTATACTTCATGCCCTGGCGCAGTTACACAGCTCCCCTCATCCTCAAGCCCCATCGCTCCCGTGGTTCCATCCAGCCATTTGTCGCAGGCTGACCACTCAATTTTGGCTTTCACATGCGCAATTCCATGTTAATCTGCCACGATGGGGTTTAATTTCAACCTGTCATCTCACTTGCCAATAATATCCTGGCACGGGCGGATTACCCCCCCCAATTCCAGGAACGTCGAATTTTTCGGATATTTATGGACCCTGGGACGATCACTAATCCGAACCCCAGGTTCCCTACGCATGAAGGACTTGGTCTCCGGAGTCTGGCAGAGCCTTGCGGAAGCCATTGTGCGGTCATCGATCAATCGACGGAATTCAATCCGATTGCCTGGTAGCACAATCATGACAATGCCCTCGACGCGAGGCTTGTCCGACCTGAGAGATGATACAGCATTGTTCCGACTGGCACAGGATCTCTAGGATAGACTTCCCAGCATGGGGCTTAATATGTCGCAGGGCTATCTGAGGTCATTATAAGGACCATGTGGACCTGATGATCAATTGACTGACATTCATCGCTCTTGTGAAACATGCAATTACCTCGTCTGGAGTATATGTTTCCCAATCAGGTAGTTGACGGTTCAACAGTCGTCTGAAACTGGAGGTGGCCTCAATTTTGAGTCTTCCATATAGATCAAAATATAACAGTTAACGTTTTGACTTCAATCAATGTCAATCCGTGTCAATCAATGAGAAACGTACCGTAGAATGCAGAACTCAATTCCTATAGAATCCTTCAGTGCCGGATGCTGACCTCGGCATCTCAGAACAGCCTTGCACGGCGCACAGACCAGACTCATACATCACTTCGCATCTAGACCAAACAAGAACGAGACCCTTGCTATGGGCTTGCAGCAAGACAATTTGAGACAGCCACTCGTCAGCATCTTGTTACAGCCTGGTATCTGGAGAAAGAAATTACAGTTGAGGTCATGTTTCTTCATCATTTTTATCGGCGCTGCTCGATGATACTCTTGTAGAAGCCTGCAATTTAGCCTGTGTAGCAGTCTTTCATCAGCTCTATTGTATGTTGGAGGGTGGAAAAAGTAGGACCTACCTCTTCCTAATAAATCCAATAGTGTCTGCCATGTAGGCTTCATGGCTTACTGCCTACTTGAGACCGTGGTAGCCACCACAAACCAGACAGTTGGGTTTTCGCCTCCTGTTACAAAAACATCATTTAATCTGAAACTGAGAACATGCAAAAATATTTTATTTCGTCAGGTTGGGAAATGAGTTGAGGGGGCATATGCACATATTGCATGATGAGAATCGAGTGATATTATATATATGGAAACGCAGGTTTCTGATCGGGACCTGAGTAAGAGAATAAAGCATTCATTCTTTATCCAGGGAGCCAAGAACATGATTTAGCAACTGCGCCCATAAACACAAGAACAGTCATGTCATGATGACCATAATTCCTACTGGACTTGCGAATATGGCAGCACCATTTATCCGGGCACCTATACTGCGTAGATGCCTGAGGCAATACTCCACAGCCAATCAGATCCACAAGGTTATCTGACTGTGCATGGACCAATCACAGCGGAGAAATAGAAATCATGGCGCTGGTGTGGCCTCAGGCACCGAGCCTCGGGCGGGCACGGGAGCCGCTGCAGCCTGAGGCGCCCTCGATGACGGCTATCGCAGCCTGAGGCAGCGACAACCTCACACCACCCGCAAAAACCTAGCGCAGCCGGACTTCGACTTCGTCAACACCTCGTTCCCGTCCTCCCATCACGTCCAGTCAATTCCCACCTCCTCCACCCCCTCCCATCTCACAACCCACCTCTCGCCATGTCGTCGATTTCCCTCTTCCGTATCGCCACCCGCGCCGTGCGCCCTTCCGGCTTCATCAGAACTCCTCAATTGCCCCGGTCCCGCGTGCAGGCCCCGATCGCTCTCGCTATCAACCGTCCCAGCTTCAGCACCACCACCCAGCGTCGCTCCGGCCACGAGGACGAGACGTACGAGGAATTCTCTGCTAGGTATGAACTTCTCCACAACCGAGCCATTGGGATCTTGTGCGAGCGACCTGGGGAGATACGCGATTCCCCCGGTCGCAGGGGTCGTTTCTCTTGTCTTACCCGGATCCGAGCGAGAGTCACCTTACTCCTGATGCCGATTTTCGCCCTTTAACTGGTCGAATTCCCACTTACCCTTTGTGATTTGATGTTCAGATTCGAGAAGGAATTCGACGGTGTGCAGGATGTTTTCGAGCTCCAGGTATGTCCGATTTACCTTGCTTTCTCTTTTCGCACCGAAATCCCGACCTTTCCGTTTTGTCCACTGCCCGATCAAGCCTTGATAATCAGCCCACCCGCCATTGGCAGATGGGCGGCCCCAACATCACTACCCATCTATACCACAGCTTGGCTATAGCAGTCGAGGCTAACATTACCTTCCTGTCATAGCGGAATCTGAACAACTGCTTCGCCTACGATCTCGTCCCTTCCATTGAGGTCCTCTCCGCCGCCCTCAAGGCTGCCCGCCGCGTCAACGACTTCCCTACCGCTGTTCGCATCTTCGAAGGTGCGATTGTCCCTCCCTTCCACTGTCTATGAAGACCTTATCCTCTGGATAATCTCAGAAACTCACCCTCTTTCTCCGAACAGGTGTCAAGGCCAAGGTCGAGACCCAGGAACAGTACAAGCAATACCTCGAGAACCTCGAGAGCCTGCGCCTGGAACTCGGCGTCGCTCTCCGCGAGGAGCTCTACCCCGAGGAGGCCTAAATTAGGGAAATAGAAACGAAAACCAAGGACCACAAAAATTATTTCCCAATCCCACATTGTTTCTAAAGTCCTCCTCCCACCACCCTCCCCCTTCCGGACCCCCGGATCTTTTTGACCGCCGTTTGATTACTTTTCATGTCCCGTTGATAAGATAGGAAAGCTGTATACATACTATTTCTAGAATGCAGTTGGAATGAGGAAGCGTGTCTCTCTCTCTCTTCGCTTTCGCTCGCGTTCTCGGTGGTCTTTCTTTCTCGTGTCTTGTGTTTCTTTAATCATTTCCGTCGTCATGCGGCGGTTAATCCGACTCTGGGGTGAGAAGGAAGGGAAGGGTGGAAGGTGGGTAAGCAAGTGTTTGAAATAGGGGTGAGGTGTGCATGTGCTTTTTTTCTATACCAGTGCTTTCTATAAATCTTTTGTTTGTGTGAGCATTTGTTGTACTCTGTATTATTGGAGATATAGTGAAAAATAGGGGTTGTTTCGTTTTTCTTACGAGTGTCTTTATTTGATATTGTATTCCCATGCACGATAAATGCCGAGTATCATTCATTCTACCAGCTGTCAGTTGTCGAAAGATGATATATGATATATGAAAATGAATAGGTGAACCCGTCCAATTCTATGTGCTTCACGAAAGTCATGACCAGCTCGGGATACAATGAAAAAAGAATAGAATATAGATACAATGCAGGCCGGCCTAGCATCCCCTGAACAAGTTGGAGAACATCAAAACAAAACTATAAATAAGGAAATATTAACCACCACCGAGAGAGAAGAAAGCAAAGATACCCAAACCAAGAAAAACGCCACCACAATCAATCAACTTCGGCACTTATTGTCGTGAATCCTGAGTATACAACAATAGAATGGAAAACCAAAGCGGGTCTGACAATTGCACATCAAGCAATGAGCTTTTATCATCGTGAAAAAATGGAAATGAAACAGGGGAGAAGAAACATGAACATGGTGATTCCTTGGGTGGACCTGTCTCGAGGCCAATGCTCGAGAGCGCTATGCATATCCACCTCTAGGAACGAGACCTGTTGCAAACACTGAATTATTGTGTAGATGCTGGTCTATTGCCGCGGTCTGGCTGGGTCTATTTAATGCATTCCGACGTATTCGAAATAGTTGGGTCGGCAATCCTCCTTGGCCAGCCAGGGTTCACCCTCGTAGAATTTACCAGGGGTGCAGCCGGAGCACTTGGGCGAGTTGGGGCAGTTGAAGTAGGGAATGTGACGGTATCCGATGTCGCGGAACCTGTGTAAGAATAACGTTAATTTGTGTCAAGTTAATTTCGTCGGGCGGACTTCCACTTACCAGTGAACCTTGGACTTATCAGCAAAGAGACCCAGGGCGATCGAGTGGACGGGAGCATCGCCCCATCGTTCGTAGTAGAAACCACCCGTACGATCCAAGTAGTCGAAGTAGGCCGAGTATTTCTCGCCCCGGAAGAACTCCATGTCTCCGATTTCGAAGTTGGACCAGAAGTGACACGTAGAGTATCCGTTGGCACCCGAGGTGTGCTCCGGGCGCAATTGGTCATCCACCAGCCAATCCATCATGTTGTTATCGGACAGGTAGGTCGGGTTGGCGGCAAGGAACTCCTTCGTCTTCGGCCACAAGCTCGGAATACTTTCCGGGGCATCGAAGAGGTTGATGGTGAATCCGTAGGTGATGTTGCGGTCTTCCACGAATCGGAATACGTCATAGTCGATGTTGCAGAAGAACTGGACCTTGGGCTCGACACGCCAGTAGTAGCGGTACTTCTCGAGGGCCGGATGCTTGTAGAACATTCCACTGTTCCACCGGCACATGTTATGATAGGAGACCTTGTCGCTGTACTGAATACCCTTCTCCTTCAGCATTTCAGCCGACTCGCGGAAGAGGTCCTTGTTGATGAAGTCGGGCATATCCCAATGTTCCTTGGGAACCTGCTCTGTTTAAGAGGTCAGACCAATCCTGTTGATTCATAAGTATAGAGGCTGTCGTACCGAAAATGCATTTCGCCTTGGTCTCCGCCTGCGTGCGCTTCTTGAACTCCTGGGTAAAGGGCTGGTCGTTGAAGAAGATCCAAGGGTAGTTGAACTTGTTGTTCCATGTTCGCTCCAGGTCACGCATGGTCGGAATGAGGTCGTCCAATTCTTCGTTTCGGACGAGGGAGATCAAAGCCGCGTTGGTCCGGGCAGAGTTGGGGCTATCGGGGGCATAGTCGTTGTCTTCAGCGCGCCATAACTTGCCTTCGGGTTCTCCGGTTGCTGCAACGAGAAGAGTCAGTCAGCGAAACAAGTGACTTCTGTATGATGCGGAAAAAGTGGCAAATTGAGTATCGCAAGGACTGAAGACGGGCAAACGAACGTTCTAGGAGAGGGTCTGCTTTTATGCCCTCGTAAGGCTGCTGGGACCCCTTAATGCTGATGGCGGACGGGCCTTTGTTAGATTGGAAGATGAGGAAGAGGACGAGGACGCAGCATGCTGCGGCGAGCATGCGAATGGGTCTTGCGACAGCCATCGTAACTGTCAGAGGCAGACCGAGGGGGATGGATCTGGGAGAGTTGGCTGGACTGACAGGAGAAGCGGAACTGGCTTAATTGATTGATTATTATGGGCAAGCGCCGCCTTTCCCCGAGCGGACTAGCGCGGGCGGCAGTAAATCAAGAGGCGTCCGTGCCGCGTCAACTTCCGTCGCATTACTTTCGCCCTTCCTTCTCTTGATTGCGCATCGTGTGGATGATGGGGTGTTGGGCGATAGCTCTCGACCCGGTTTCTTCGTGATCCTCCCACTATGGCTGTTGCTGCCACGATCAGCACGCTAACGGAAGAGCTAGTCGCGACCGTTGCGAAGCTGGACTCAAAGGCATCTAGACCTCCAGGTGATACAAAGCACATTGTATAACAACAGCTGACGGGTGCTTTGTAGGATACGCCGCGATCGAGGAATTTGAAGCGACGTGCCGAAGAGTCTTTCAAATCCAACGCCTATGCGCGCACGAACCAGTTTGCCGTTGCCAGTCAACTAGATGGCCTGCAGGAAAAGTTCCAGGTTCTCAACAAAGATGATCTGGCCGATGCGCTGCGGTCTCGCTTGACAGAGCTGGAGGATCACCGAAGCTCTTGGTTTCCGGAGATTCTCTCTCTGCTGCTGCAGCTTGCAGACCGTCCGGCGCAGCTGTCGCGGCTAGATCGCATCGAGCAACCGAAGCACGAGCAGGTCAAACCGGTTTCCTGGAACGATTTGGATGCCGCTGGATCGGCATTCTGCGATGAAGATATCTGGGAAGCGGTCGACTTTGGTGCAGAATCTTCCGATGAGGATCTACGGTCTGTGTCCAGCGTGGGCCACTCGCGGAATCTACCACAAACCTCTGTTGTCCCGGATGAGGACTATGTTATCCCGGACGATGCATTCTCTCCTTTGGACGACGAGGATGTGATACTCTCAATTAAAAGTGCCCAGTTTTGGAGAGACGAAAACCATCACAAGGCCGATCAACATCAGAAATTCTCTTCTCGTGTCATAACCGAGCTTCAAGTTGTCAGAGAAGCCATCTTCATGCTGCAAGGGCTTCCTACTTCGATGTTCTGGCGGCTTGACGACAGCATCGAGGTGGACCGAAGGTACAAACTGGCCCAAGTGTCCGATGAAACGTTCTTGCCGTTATTACGGACATTATGCTCCATTGGGGCTCGACTAGACATTCTGAGACGATTCGTCAGGCTTCCGCAGACCATTGCGCACGTCCAGACCTTCCATCGGGATATTGAGGATTGTCTACGTGGATTTGACGAGTTTTTGTCGACTGTGCAATCTAAATATCTCTCGCAGAATGAAACTGTTGCCGTTAGTCTCCTGCAGTTATCCGAAGACGTCCACAGAGAATCGAGACTGCTGCTACTATTGACGGATATTGTTTCAAAGCTCAAGCGCAGCGGATCGGAAAACCCCGTTCGGTGCCTGGATCTACTATACGACCTAGTTTGCATGGCGCAGGCCACTGGCTATGACGATGAATTCAGAATTCTGGCTAAAATGTTTTTCTCATGCTTCAAGACATATGCACGGCCGATAAATCTTTGGATGGAGACAGGAGAGTTGAAGGACTCAGTCGGTGGAACACTTTTCATTCTAGACAATCGCAACGACAGCGATCTTCGGACACTTTGGCATGATTGGTACACCTTGGATGGCGCGTCAAGGCTCTTGAGTGTCCCGAAATTCATTCAACCGCTTGCGCGCAAGATCTTCATTACAGGAAAGAGTACGGTGTTTTTACAACACTTGAACGTGTTTCATGAGCAGGAGCACACGCGCGAAACTCCGTTGACATTCGAAGACGTTTTCCCGCAAGACGCCTCTTCTCTTTATCTCCCGTTCTCTGCGCTGCTTGAGTCTGCCTTTGGGAGAATGGTTGACAGGCAGCACTCTCTTAAATCAAGTTGGTTGCGGCAGGAGCTTGATCAGCAGTGTGGTCTGTGGACCTCACTCGAAGCTTTGGAACATATTTATCTCTGCAAAGATATGAGCGTCGTGGGGCCCATCGACAATAAGATCTTCGAGTTGATCGACCGGGGCAGGGGTGCTTGGAGTGACAGATTCTTGCTGACCGAACTGGCGCAAAGTGCCTTCAGCACCTTGCCTGTGATTGATCCATCCAGGCTAATCGTTCGATCCAACAAAGACACACGCGACAAGCTGAATGGGCGCCATCGATCCGTGAAGATACTCGAAACCATCTCGTTCGATTACATTTTGCCCTGGCCCGTTGCGAACATCATCACCAAGGATGCCATCCTGGGTTACCGGCGAATCTCCACAATTCTGATGCAGATCCGCAGGGCAATGTACACGGTTCAAAAGCAGCGCCTGCAATATTCCGACCGACCGGATAAAATATCTGGCAAAGGCACGAACCCCTTGGACTACATTTTGCGGCATAACATGCTTTGGTTTTTGAATACTCTCTATAGCCACATGACGGGATTTGTGGTTTCAACGGCTGTCGAGTCACTGCGCAAAGCTCTGGACGACGCAAACGACGTGGATGCGATGATCGCTGCCCATCGATCGCACATGGTATCTTTAGAAGAGCAGTGTCTGCTTTCCCAGAATTTGCATGCTCTCTATCAAGCTATCATCACGCTGCTCGATCTGTGTGTTAGCTTTGCGGATCTCCAGGCTACCATGAAAGGTGCATCACAACCCGAGTGGAGCAAATCGTCGCGACATGATTATGACGATGAGGACGATGACGAAGACAGTGACGACCCTGACGCGGATGGAGACACGATGGCGCCATCCGTCCATGAAAGCCAATATGATGAACGGTTGCACGATATCAAGAATCAATTCGACCGGCTCATTGCTTTCATGACGGCCGGATTGAAGGGGATTGGACGAGTGGATGGTCAGCTTAGCTGGGAGATCCTAGCAGAGAAGCTTGAATGGAGAAAAGCACGGCTGAATGGTGTTTGATGGGTTGCTTGGATAATTTGGACGAATGACTTGATGAATCTATGTCGCACTTATGGAAATCTGTCTACATTTAATACCCCGATAGAGTCAAGGAGTTTACTTTCTCATTCAAACTGTAAGAACTGTACGGAGTAAGAACTCGATAGTTAACTAAAAATTCAGCCTGAGGCAGCGCTGAGTCAGCCAATTAAGGTACGGATCCACCGCGACCAACGAGCGCATCTCCTCCTGTCCACTTTTTCTTCCCTGTGCTTTTTTCGCGCTTGATTCTTGCGGAGCAGTCATCTCCGGTTAGTTCGAGCCATCCCAACCGGATTCTAATCCATACTAATTAACTAGTTAACCTGGATGTACGGCTGGCATTCCTTCGCCCGCTGCGTCGAGCAATTGCCGTTTGGGGGCAAATTACGCGTTTTGGCTCTAGTTCCATCACGCTATCTTTTTTTTTCTCTTTTTTTTTTTTTCTCTCTCACTTCATGCTAGTGGGGGCTGGCATGACATTTGATCAAGAAAACTCAATCGTTACGATCAACTCTTGTTGAATGCTTTTCTCTCCTCGCTTCTCCTAGGATCGAGAGACTATCCCTTCATCCGATAAGGCTTCCCCGTCACCGCCCCGCTGCCATGCCTCAGCAGCACTCGGACCTGATTGTCGACGGCGATGCCCCGCCGCCTTATGGGGAAGAAACGAGAAGTAACACCGAGTCCCACGACGATGCGGCGTTATTGGTGCGTATTATCGCCCCTGTGAGATTATTATGACGCATGCTGACTTGTCACCTGCAGAGGACCATGGGTTACAAGCCCGTAAGTTGGATGCATTTCATGGCCTTTAGGCTAGTTGGAACACGAGCTCATGCAGGTCTAGGTCCTCCATCGGACTTACTCGTTGTTTGAGAACTTTGCGACCACGTTCGGTACGTCCAATAAGAACGGTTGTTCTATAGTAGTCTTCCTAACGTGTGTTGCCAGCTGCTCTCTACTTCGTCGGAGGTGTTCGTGTTACCTTCAGTACTGGTATCGCTGCAGGTGGTAACCTGGCTTACTGGTTAGTGCTCGTCATGCAGTTGCAAGGATGCTGAGGCTTACGATGCAACAGGACGAGTTACATCGTGACCGTGGTCTTCACCTTCATCACAGCCGCTGTGATTGCGGAAGTATGCTCGGCCTCGCCATCCGCTGGTTCGATCTATCTCTGGGCTGCCGAAGCCGGTGGTCCTCGGTTTGGTCGACTGCTTGGCTTCATCGTCGCCTGGTGGAGTACGACGGCATGGACGACATTCTGTGCGAGTAACACTCAGTCCGCCGTCAACTACATGCTTTCGGTGAGTCGACCCATATGTTGGCTTGCAATGAGTTTATGCTAATTAGATACCAGGAATTGACCGTATTCAACGTCGACTTCCCTACTGATACATCGTCAGTGAAATTCCGTGCTGTGCAATGGATCTGTACCGAGGTCTTGCTTGCCTTGGCTGCGCTTCTCAACTTCATGCCGCGTATGTTGCCACTCGCTTGCGCTTTGCTCAGTACCCCGTGCATATCACTCACAGCCTCAAAGCCAGATATTTCAAATGGGTGTTTTATCTCTCCTCTGTCGTCGTTCTCCTGGACTTCGTCCTGAATGTCATCTGGCTCCCTATCGGCGTTCACAACACATGGGGATTCCGGACCGCCGAAGAGGCCTTCATGTCCACCTACAATGGCACAGGTGCACCTCCAGGCTGGAACTGGTGTCTGTCCTACCTGGCCACGGCCGGTATTCTGATCGGATTCGACGCTTCTGGTCACGTCGCCGAAGAAACCAAGAACGCTTCCGTCACTGCAGCACGTGGGATTTTCTGGAGTACCGTGGCCAGTGGAATTGGTGGTCTGGCTACCATCATCTTGTTCCTGTTCTGTGCAGTATGTACTGCCTTTTTCCCGCAAACCACAAATGACGATGATTCAACTGACCTATCCACAGCCTGACCCTGACACGCTCTTCTCCTTCGGCTCCCCTCAACCATTCGTTCCTCTCTATGCCATCGTTCTCGGAAAAGGCGGCCACATCTTCATGAATATCATCTGTGTCTTTGCCCTCTGGCTCGTAAGCTCCCTACACCCGATCGCCCAACACCCAAGTTAACAATAAACTAGAACACGGCCGTTGCCATCGTTGCTGCCTCCCGTCTCGTCTTCGCTGTCGCGCGGGACGGCGTCCTCCCCTTCTCCGGCTGGGTCTCGCGCGTCCACCACGGCCAGCCGCGCAATGCCGTGACTGTCGTCTGGGGTGTGGCTGCCCTCATTACCTGCACGCTGCTCCCCTCCGACGTGGCTTTCACCTCGCTCGTCTCGGCCGCGGGTGTCCCCAGCGCCGCCGCCTACGGGCTGATTTGTCTTGGTCGACTTCTTTGCACGCCGACGCGCTTCCCCAAGCCGAAATGGAGTCTGGGGAGATTGAGCAAGCCATTCCAGCTCATCGGCGTGTTCTGGAACGGATGGGTCGTGGCGGTGCTGTTCTCGCCGTATGAGTTTCCAGTCACGGGGGCGAATCTCAACTGTATGTCTCTTTCTTTCTCCATTCAAAAGTCGACTTTATTGTTATCTTGGGGAAGGTCAGGCTAACCAAAAGTAGATGCCCCGATTATAATGGCCGCGGTCACCATCTTCGCCATCATCTCCTACTTCGTCATGCCCGAGGAAGCCTGGCTGCCTCGCAACCGCATTTCGCATTTCATCGATAGCAAGGGCGTCACCGAGACGGTCGAGGAGGTCGATGTGGGTCGGAGACCGCTGACCTCGCCGTCCCCGCCGTCAGGGGACGCGCAGGACGGAAATGCTAGTGGTGGAAATGGAAATGTCGATTCGAGTGGGTCTGCTGCTGTCGAGGGCGAGTCCGGGGAGAGACGGAGAAAGGCAGCTGGTGTGAGTAGTGGTGATGAGTAATTATCAGCTACTGGTTTTCGGACTTTTTCATGCTCTTATAGTCCGAGACCACGAACAGATAGAACATGGGGTATATAATCTATATATGCTTGCGACAGGATATGCATAGGCGTGTGAGTGCGATGGGGATGATTACTGATGATATGATGAAAAGAGGAGGTAATGAGTCCAGTTCAGTTTCTGCATGTATGATAATGATATTTAGATGAGTATGGCAGATAGAGATGCCAAAAAGTTTCGATTTTACTTTCAAGAATGATAAGCACTTCCACATGTCTTTCCCGATTATCCAGCAGCCTTGCCCTGACCACTTTCTCTTGCCGTTTTCATATTGACTTTGCGCCAATTTTGACTTTCCAACTATATCTACACACCTTAAACCAACCGCGAAGTTTCATCAACCCTAAAGGCTCTATCCATCAGCACATGAATTCCAGCAACAATTCTCTCGCAACCACAACCACCTTTCAAACCTTCTCCCATCCTTTGCAGGACGAGAGTTCAGAAAGTATTCCGTGTCTAGGCCCGGCATTTCATGCATTTAAGTCATCCGAGAATCCCTGCAACCATCTATCCCCTTATCAAGTAGTAGAGAATATCCACCTCCCTCTCCTTCTCTCACACATACACCCACAAACAGTCTAACAATCTAACAATGACCGACTTACTCCCCGCCACCTCCGACTTCCAATCGCGCGCCGAATCCGCCTTTCAAGTCTTAACCACCGCCGCAACCAAGGCACGCCCTTCCCATCCCCTTCCCCAAACACCAGACATTAAACTAAACCCTCTAGATATGGAGCCTCCCCCTCCAACAATGCAATCTACGCATAGAAAGCACCTCCCCCTCCCCCACCCCCTCAATCACCTTCCGCCTCACCATAACAGCCGAGATGCTGAACGGCGGCGGCGCCCTGCACGGCGGGTGCGCGAGCACGCTGATCGACGACCTGACGACGGTGTTTCTGGCGGCGGTGTCCAGGCCGGGGCTGTATTCGCAGTATGGGGTCACGCGGAATATTCGGGTTGCGTTCTTTGAACCCCTGGTGAAGGGGGGCGATGTGAGGGTTGTTTGTGGGATTGAGCATGTGGGCAGGAGGTTGGTGTTGCTTGGGGCGAGGGTCTATGATGCCAGGGGCAGGATTTGTGTCATGGGGGAGAATGAGAAGGTTAATACTGATTCTAAGGTTAAGGCTGCTTTGTGATTTGGGTTTGGGGGTGGTTCTGGTTCTGTTCTAGTGTGTTGAATGGGAATGGGAATGATATTGGTGATATCTGGTTCTGTATGTAGGAGTATGTAGTCTTTTCTTTTGAGTGTAGTGGCTCGAGTGAACCATGTCCTGTGCTCATCATTTTAACCACTCCACCAATCTAACTCCTTCCACTCATAACAACTCTCAGCAAATAACCAACTAACCAACTAAGCAGAAATCCTCGTACACCGAACCTGCAACCCCGGAGGCGGCCCAGCAGCAAACAACCCCTCCGGACTCGGCTGATCCAACACACTCGCCTGCTCCAGCTGAAACCTCTGCACCAGCACCGCAACCTGGCGTTTAATCAGGGCCAGACCCAAGGGCCTACCCACGCAGCTTCGCGCCCCATACCCGAACGACATCATGCACACGGGGGCCACGGAGCCCCCGAGCGGATTCTGCACCGGACGCGCCGGATCCGAGCGGTCGATCCACCGCTCGGGCCGGAAGGTGTCGGCATCAGCGCCCCAGAGGTGTCGCGCGTGGTTGATGGCGATCGGGCAGATCCCGATGTACACGCCTGCGGGCACATGGCGGCCGCCGATGGTCGTCGCTTCGATGGTCTTGCGAGGCAGGAAGGGGAAGGCTGGGTAGAGGCGGGCGGTTTCCATCACGACGCCGTTCAGGAGGGGGAGTTTGTCGTATTGGCTGTTTTGGCCCTCGGATGAGGACTCCTGGGCCATGTGTTCGTGCAGCTCCTGGCGTAGGGCTTTCTGGACTCCTGGATGTGCGGCCAGACAGTAGATCGTCCATGCGAGTGTGCTGCCGGCTGTTTCGTAGCTGTCGGTCTGCGTTAGCATCTATTCCATCTGGCAGAAGAGTCTATGTAAAAGAAACTCACCCTGCAGCCATAATCGTCATAATCTGAGGCACAGCCTCCTTCTCCGTAAACTTCTTCGACTCGACCAACCGACTCAAATAGTCGAACTTCGACCCCTGACTCCCGCGCATCCGCTCCCCGAGCATCTGGACAGCAAGATCGAGCTCTTCCACGCCTTGGAAAAGCTGGCTCCCGACGACGCCATTCTAGCGACCAACTCGTCCTCGTTCAAGTCTTCGCTGATTGCTGCGCGACTGACACCGTGCACGCGATCTCGTGTCCTCAACACCCATTATCATATGCCTCCAGTCAGAATGATCGTGGAGCTGATGACTTGTGGTGATACGGACCCGGATGTCATGGTGTTCATGAAATCCCGGCAAGAGGAGATCCGGACTATCCCGTATGTCGTGCGGCGCGAATCCTCGGGGTTCATCATCAATCGTATCTGGGCTGCCATCAAGCGGGAGACTCTGAGCGTTCTTGCTGAGGGTGTTTCAACGCCTGCAGAGATTGACGAACTCTGGGGATCTGTTGTGGAGTCGACTCGACCGGGTCCCTGTAGGATGATGGATGGTGTGTTCACCTGATCTCCTAATTCAATGATTTGATACTAATGACATCCAGAGGCTGGACTCGACACCGTGGCGGCCATCGAAGAGAACTATATCAACGAACGCGGTCTGCCTTCCATCTATACGACCGACTATCTGCGAGACTCGTATCTCTCCCGGGGAAAACTGGGCGCCAAATGCCACCAGGGAGGCTTCTACCCCCCAGAAAGAGAGATGGCACTCCATTCGTCCAAGTCTTTGGAGGATTCATGCGGCCAGACGGTGGTATTGCCGGGGATGACCGGAAGTCAGAGTCGATTCTGATTAACTTCAAGGTAGAATTAGGGCTTCCGTAGGTTTAACCTAAACAAAGAGTTCCTCTTCAAGGAAGGAGTATTATATCCTCTAGACTGTATAGTCTATCTCACATGTCAGAAGATGGGATCGATGTAGTCGCACGCGCATTATAAAGTTGAAGCCGACTGTACGTCCCTCTATCGTCTCCATCCTCCACCATCCTCTCCCGTATACACACGTATAGCTTCACCATCACCATCACCACCACCACCACCATGCTCAACCCCCTTCATCTCCTCGATGCCCTCGTCACCCGCCTCCTCCCACCACCCTCCGTCTTCAACAACAAGCTCTGGATGCGCTGCAGCGTCCTCGCCGGCAGCCTCAGCGGCCTGACGTTCCTCTTCGGCGTCGTGGCCCCCATGCTCCTCCCCCCACCCTCACCCTCCTCCGACGCCGTCACCATCCACGCCTTCTACCACGCCCACCGCACCGGCAACGCAGCGGGTGCCTTCCTCCTCATGATCTCGGGCTTCCTCTACGTGCCCTACGCCGCCATCATCTCGCACCAAATGCGCCTCATCCCCAACCTCAACCCCGCCATCCCCTCCCTGCAACTCGCCATCAGCGCCGCCTCCGTCCTCGCCTTCGTCATCCCCTCCCTCTTCCTCGCCACCATCACCTTCCGCGACTACGGCCCCGACCTCACCCTCCTCCTGTCCGACCTCTTCTGGCTCACGCTGGACCTCCCCTGGGTCCCCTTCTGGATCCAGGGGTGGACGATCGCCTGGGCCTCGTTCGCCGATGAGAGCCCGAACCCCATCTTTCCGAAGAGTATGGGGCTGGTAAATTTCATCGCGCCCTCGTTCCTGCTCTCCTCGAGTGGCGTGCATATTCAGAAGACGGGCCTCTATGCCTGGGACTCGGGGTTGGTGTGGATTGCGGCGTTGGTGGCGTTTGGGGTCCAGTATTCCACGGATACGATGGTCTTGTGGCATAATATCAAGTATAGGCCGGAGTTGCAGGGGAAGGGGGAGTTGGAGGGGGTAGATGTGGTGCAGGTGAATGGGTTTGGGGAGGTGTGATCGTATCTGATATATGTTTATGATGGGGTGGGCTTGGGCTTGGACCTGGACTTGGTTTTCACCTGGATTGTGTTCATGAGATAGGATGCGTGAATTTTAGGTGGAACAGAATAAGGGATGGTAGAAGTATGTTTCAGTTGAATGTGTTGCATCAGATTCTCAGTAGCAATCTATGTAGTCCTGTCCTATACAAGCCAATCACTTCATCAGAGAAGTGGTTCAGTGAAATAACCCCAGGGGCGCATGCATGTTTAGAACCTGGTTATACGACTGAGTTTGATCTCTGCTCCTGAGAAGTGTTGTTACAACTATTAAAGCGACTACAATTGTCTAACATTAATTCGTAGGGACAAGATGTGTGGATATGATAGTTTTATGTATAACCTGGCTGAGCTGATCCAGTATCCGAAACTGACACAACACTGTATGCCTGTCACGATGATTCCAATGATTAATATTTGCACGAATCAGAATCGTATGTATAAGTAGAAGGGTCCAGCCCCATGTCCAGGGTTAATGTTTTCTATCTCCGTTCCTGAACGCCGGTCTTATCGCATGACTTGAAAGATGAACGATGATAAGAGAAAAGAAAAAACGAAATCCCGGCCTCGCTAATGATGGCTTGATCAAAGAATAGAACTCCCCAGGCGGTCTATGATAGGGTATCGAGGTGTGGATTGCTTGTAATGAGCAATAAATGGCGGAGGTATAGGTGTGTGTGTATATGTGAAAGGTGAATGGCGAGATGCGTAACTCATGGCAGGAGAATCGAGGACCGGACGTCGTCCATCTTGTCGATCCATCCTTCGGGGAAGGCGCGTTGTTTGAACCAGGCCTGCTCTAGCTCATCGAGGGCTTTGTCGACGTTCTGGAAGAGATTAGCTGCGTTCATCGTTTCAATCACGCAACACCTTACCTTAAATCCAAACCGCTGCAAATCGAGCATGGTTTGTCGCACCCATTTCTGTTCCCGTTCATCCCGAGTCTGACGCCCCGCCGTAAACAGAGGCCAGAGCACTGCCAGTTGCCCGACATCCTTGGCAAGCTTGCCGATCAGACTCAGAATGCGCGTGGCGAGCATGTCCATCACGGCTAGAGGCGGCTGCCGGTCGGGCCGCTCGGCCGCCGCCACCTTGTGCAGGTAGAGACTGGTCGCCTTTTCATACGCCTCGATGCATCCCGTATATTCCAGAATTTCGGGGAAGGGATATCGCCGCAGACTTTCGTCATCCAAGTCGCCAAGTTGCTGGAAACACTGGGGGGCGTTGAGTCGCCACTCGGCTAGCCGGGTGAACAACCCACGCGAAACCAGATCTTGCTGCTCGTATGACATCCACCCCTGGCTTTTTGCCTTTCCGAATGAGCTGATGGCCGCCTGGATCTCCATCATGACGGACCAGCATTGTCGAAGTTCCACGAGTAGCGAGTGCTCGGCCGGCGTCTCGGTCGAGAGACTTGGGGTCCCCAGATTGTACTCCCAACCACCCCCATGCGTTCGCCAGTAGCTCCCTTCGACCACCGTCCCTTCTGAGGTAGCACACGCACCGGCGACGTCGAGATAGGATAATAGAGAAACGAGGAATTGTCGCAACGGATGGTTGGTCTCGGCGACGCGTTGAGCTTCCTTGGCGGGGTCGCTATTCGGAATAAACAGGAGACGATAGATTTCGCGGGCTCCTTTGAGATGGACACCCCAATTGTGATGCTGCGAGTCCATCATCTGGACGGAATTAGACACTTCTTTATTATTCAATCTGGAACCGACTCACCTCGAAAAGACTCAACAGTAAACAGGTGGCAAAATCTGTTAATTGCAAATGCTGCCCCGCTTGGTTGTACCTGGTTCTGAAAGATTTGACGACTTCCCCGTATTTGCCCATGGCGTGTTGGAAATGAAGGATCCGCTGTTGACCGCGCGAGGTATTTGCAAGATGCAATGCACCCAGCGCCTGCATCGCACTGGCCATGGACGGAGATGATCGGGCAAGATCGGGGAAATATCGACGGTAAGGATTGATGTTGATGGAGTTGTCGTAGATGAGAAGTAATGTCGCCACTCGATCAATGAAATGGGTGTAATATCGGCCCTCTAGATCTAATGAAGCAGTCATGAACTCGGCCGGGGATACCGGGTCCTGGAAGCGATATTTGACGGGTTTCGTGTCCGGGAGCGTCGTGGGAGACACCACCACTGCATCGAATGGTTCGCCACCATCGTCTCTCTCCCGTTTGATCACTTTCCCGTCGACCGCGAATGTGGTTATCGCGCCGGCCGGAGGCTTCTTTTCACGCTTCTGGGACCCGGGGGGTGATGATGATGATGACGAAGAAGAGGAGGATTCCTGGGGTTGCGGAGGACCGTAGACCTTGAACGTCATACGCCCTTGGGTGCCATCGCATTCGAGACCCAAACGCGCGCAATTCTTGCAGGTTGGTGACGCTTCGTCACAGCGAACGTGACGGCGGCGACAGGTGGAGCAGCCGGTGAAGCCTCGGTGATGCCATCTGCGCACTCTCTTCCGTTTCTCAGGCGCCGCGGGCGCAGGCTGAGGTTGAGGCTGAGGAGTGGACGAGGGCTGCTTCACCGGGGCACAGACTACCGTATGGACCTCCATGGAGAGCAGAGGCGAGTGGAAACGAGAGGCGAATGTGGGGTCGAGACATGAAGTTATCGCCGTGTGGAGGAGACAATCCGCCGAGAGGGAGGGCGAGGAAGATATATGCAGTCGACAGGGGAGGCAGCAGATGAGCACCGTGCAAAGAAACCCAAGAAAAGACGATCGATGATTGACGGACACACAGACAGAAAAGAACGAAGGATGAGAGTCCCAACGGGGAGGAACCGAAAGAAGGGGAAGCGAATCACTGGACCCGGTGGGGCTCTGCCTGCCTTTCCTCGCCCAAAGGTTCGCCTCGTCCTCTCGCCATCTCTGCAGATCATCCTTCTCGCTCGCTCGCATCCACCGTCCTCCTCCCTTCTCTCATCTCGACCATCTCAGTCTATCTACCGACATGGATTACGCTGGCGGGTGTCGGCGGATGGCTTTCCAGACGCTGATCGACCCTAGTGGTTGATCATACTGTTCCCAGTTGCGGCGCAAATGCTTCACTAAATGGCTTAGTTGCAGATTTAACCTTTTCTCTCCCCCCTCATATGCACGGAAAAAAAATACCTCATCTGTATCCTTGCCAATGGAAAATCCTCCTACGCCCCTAGGACTGGGTTTGCCGCCGTCTGACTTCACACGAAGAAAATCACTAGCCGACCAACTTCTCTGCGCGGTTCCCCACACGATCCACCGCTGCGATTTCCTACCGGTGGAGTGATGTCGCTGGTGCCTTCGTGATTCGCCGATCCCACGAGCTAGAGCCTAGGATCCCCCTGGCCCTTTCGCGCGATGAAATTGACAAGGGGACGAGAGAGGGGGAAGAGATGATGTCCTCGAAGGATTCACGCCGACAGCTCACTAATGCCCGCTATCTTGGCCCGCTAAGGACCAAACGCAGTCGGTGTTTGTCTGTCGGCGCTTTACTCGATGCAGTTGTCCCCTTGTGTCCTCTGATTCGAGCGTGCTGGTGCAATCCGGGACCATCATCCAGGGTTTTTCCCCCCCTTCTTCTTTTTTCCCTCCCGCGTGGCCGGAGGATAAATGGTCAAACTGGGGGTGGAACATATTTCCATTCATTTTTCCCCTTTACCGCCCCATCCATACAGAGAAAAAAATGTGAACCGGAAAAGCCAGGGGAAAAGCGGCTTGGTTTCAAAGATCAACGGTCTTTGCTCCAGTTCACCTTTCCTTTTCCTCACGAATTGTGGGCGGATGGATCCCGTCCCGGTGCGCCACGCTCCCAAAGTGCCAATTCGCCAAATCTTCACAAATGAGCAGAGACGGACTTGGCGCTGGTCCGACTCCGAGCGAACCTTTGGTCGATTGGGATTTTCTTCTCTGGCCTTGGGATGCGAGTCTTGGGGCATTGGCATTCCTGAAATCTGGTCCGCTCGGGGAGAAACAAGTTCCTTCGCATTGATTGGGCTGTGGAATTCGAGAAACTTTTGCTGTCTACGTTGCGTGCGTTACTCGTCGGAACCCATGGTTTGATGGAGACGGTCCCACGGATTCATAGTCTTCAACTTCGCCTGCGAATGAGGTCACTCTGTCTTGGCTCCCCGTCAATTAGGCGGCTCACCTTAATTCTTTCCCAGGTTGAGTTCGTTAGCCTGGATCGGCCGACCAGAAACATATGCCGGGAGAATTTCCACCGAACGTTCTGAGTCGATCTATCTTCATCACCGGCTGAGGCTTAGCACATTACGCAGGATTGTCACTGTCTTACTTTGTTTCATTTGGATGCATCTTTGGGGGAGAGGATGCACATTGGATCAGGAGGCAGGGCTTACGACGACCGCCTTTTGGATAATCGCCTCGAATTTGAGGAACTTGGCCCGGTCTGGCCGGGCCGGGCCAAGTCATCGTTCGATGAGATGCATCTTCACATGCAGGTCACGGCCAGCAGGCAAACAATCGGCCTGTCAATTGCACCGACTGTCCTGCGTACTTTTGACCGTCTGTCCGCTGTCAGTGTCACCGACTCTCTGGAAGACTCACAATGGACAGGTCAACAATCCCGGAAGTACGCCGGGCTCAGCGGGCCGTTGCTTAATTACCTGTTTTCAGGGATCTCGTGCTGCTTAGCGATTAGCGAGATACGATATCCTAGCCTCCTGCCATCGGCATCAGGACAAGTGATCGCCATTTGATTGGCGACTCCGTAGTGGTCTAGTCGAAGGATCTAGGACGCGCTGAACTTCCGGTCCCCTGTCCAGAACCCACAATTCCGTCGGGTCATGGATATTATTGCAAGACAAACCCTACCCCATGGAGCCACACGGAAGTCATCCTCGCAACCATAAAACTCAAAGTAAATGAAGGCCACGACTCGCCAATCACAGGAAAGGGGATGGTTGACATGTCCCCGGTTTCATCTCTGGCGCTCATTTCCTGTCTGGGTTAATATTGGCGCCTCGTTGCTATCGAGATCTGCTGCTAGTGGCTCGGTACGTAGTCCTGGGAGAAGTCTTGACCTGATTCTACAGTCTGGACTGTTTATTCTTCCTTTCATTTCGTACACCATACGGAGTAGGTGGTTTAGAAACCTCGTGTATTCTTCGCATCCACGGAGAATCTCATTATCAATCAAAAGATAGAGACTCTCCACATTCCACATTCCACATTCCACAATTCCACCGGCACCACGCCCCACCGCATTCTCCCACATGAGTTTCTCCATCGTAGTTTCTGGTTGAGCACAAGACCAGAAGAATATTCTTCAACGACCCCACCGAATCGACAGGCCATGCGAGTCCCGTAGTTTACCTTAGACTCTTAGTCTAGCAATACCCCTGAAGACTCAACCCAACCCAATCCGGCCAACGGGTCCTGACAAGATCCTAATCTAAGTAAACGCCCAAGCAGCCGGCCCACCGTAACCACCCTTCTGCAGCGCAATCCTCGTGCAGGCATTCTCCCCATCCATGCCGTTGTTCGTGATCGCGCCCGTCGTGCCATTCGTGTACTCGAGCCAGACCGCCCACGCGTTGGAGTCCGTACCTTGCCCATTGCATAGCCAAAAGGTCAGGAATGGGTTCAGGAAATCGCCAGACCAGCTCGCGAAGTCGGTCACCGAGCCGGATGGGATGTAGCCGCTGTGCGGGACCGTGTAGGTCAGTTTTCCTTGCGGAGAGATGTAGACTAGTTTATTTTGAATCCAATCCGTTAGTAAGTCTTGTTCGAGTCAGGTGGGATATACTTCGGATATCCACGGTAATCATCTCTCAGGGTGGAAATTGGAATGTTTCAATTCCCCCCAGAAAGCAAAATAAACAACCCCCAAAAGCAAGATAAATTAAACTCACCCTGCTGACCGCCTGGCACGCCCGCGTTCAGAAACAGCTTCCCATCCTGCGCCTCGAACGACGTCGTGTTCACGGCCTGGCACCCCGGCACATTCTCGGGACAATAGGATGCGGTGGGTTTGCCGGTCCAGAAGGATCCGGCGCTGGCGCTGAGAGGGCCCGAAAGTGGGCTGTTCGACCACCGGATGTTCAGGGTGAATGCAGATCCAGATTCAGATCCGCCGGGACTGGGGTTCGGAGTAGGTGAGGCTGAGCTAGCGGGTGAGGATTGGGCGTTGGCGAGAGGGATTGTGGATAGGAGGAGGGCGAGGAAGTTCATTTTGCTGGAAGGGTTTGTTTTGGATTTGGTTGTAGGTGCTCTGTATGGTAGTGTTGGGGATGTATGAATGAGTCCGAGATGGGTGTATACAGCATAGGAGACAGACGGACCAGAATGTGCTCATATATCTCCGGAGATGATCTCGAATCGATCATGATATGATATGATATGATATGATGTCCCTCTCCCCACCCGAACGGCGATGCCGAGGGTTTGCGGGGGTCCACTTGCACTGAGACACATGAGGTCATCGAGTCGGAGCAGCTGCTCAGACTAGTTTAATCGGCGCGGATTTTCTCGCGTGGCCGGTGGGTTTTTGGCAGGGGTCAATCCGGTTTTCTCCCTGGTAGACGGAGCATCGGCAGTTGGGATCACTGATCCATCCAGATTCCAGCGAGGAACTTAAGGAAGTGCGGAATAAACATCGGGGGTGGAGTTGAAGGGCCTGCAAAGGTGTGGAGACTGGAGAGTTGGACGGTAGCTGCGGCTGCTGTTAGTGAGGCGGCAAAAAATAGCTTGGTGCCTGAAGTGGTGAGATCATGATTATTATGGGATTGGGGATTTCCATATCCAGAGTCTGATCATTAATGCTCGAGCCGTCTTTGGATGATGGTTAATTGTCGGCGGTCGTTTTGGCCCCGACTTTGATTAATTATTATTCATCGATAATGATTATCACCGTTGAGGCCGGTGGAGTGTCTGCCGTCTGCAATTTATTTAGCCACGGGCTTTTAATTAATTCGGAAATTTAGAATTCAATAGGCTCTCACCGGCCCAGACGCAATTTATTTCGGCTCCGTCTAATTCGGACCCTCATTTATACCCTGGAAGGAGTAGGAGTGAGCCTAAACAACGCTTTCGCTTCTAATCTTAGTCAACATGGTCCATATTGTTGCGTCCGGTAGAAGCTTTGTGGGGCTATTTGCATCGTTTATCGTCGGAGTACGGAGAACACTGGCGCTGAGGTCCGGTCTGTTGGATAGCGGTAGACTCTGCTCCGATCTGCAGTTGTGTTTTGATGAAGGATTGAGAGGATGGAAGTGTTTTGGAGAAGAAAAGAAGTTGGCGGGAAGAAAGGGATGGGAGCCTTGTGGCCTCAGTCATCCAGGCATGAATACTTAGATCTCATCATAAGATGAAGTCAAAAAATAAAGTCTAATATCTTCAAGAGCTACCAATGTTGATCGTATAAGGGCACAAGCCCCATTATAAACTCACCAACCCAACAACACAATTCCACTTTAACACTCACGAACCACATCTATGTCCTAGTTAATGACGAGCCTCTCCAGGCAAGCTAGATGCCGATTGTACTGGCCCTGCGATCTCGATTTCCCCAGTCGATCCCGTGAAATCAGGGCTTTCTGGCCTCATGGCGACTCTTGCTATACGTGCCTTTTCTTCATCGCTTGCGTCGGTGAGATTCACGGCGACTTCTTCGCCGAAGTTCTTCGCGATTTCCTCCAACGTCAATCGGGCAGTCTCTGGGAAGAAGAAGTAGATCACTAGGACGAGTCAGAAGGTGCTGGGAAAGGGAACATGTTTGCTTCCTTACCCGGGATAAACGCTGCTGACCAGCAGATGATAACTAGGTAGAACTTCCAACCAACATTGTTGAACCCCATGGGGGCCGTTTGTAGCAGAATCAGGGTAGCTTTTGAGTCAGCCAATCGTACTGAGACCAGAGAGATGCTACTCACAAGCAAACTGCCCAAAAAGCGAGAATCCCATGCCAATTGGCCGAATCTCGGTAGGGAAAATCTCTGAGACGTAGAGATACATCGTGGTGTCGCAGCATGTGCTGTGACACATCCTGTCAGTGCATGGCAATTAGAAGGTTTGGTTATAACGTACCCCTGGAAAGCCAAGTACAGAAACATGAAGAAGACCCCAAACCCATTGCCGACCTTGTTTGTAGTGCCGGCATATTCGGCAGTCATGGCGGCCAGACATGATGTGCTAATGACAATTCCAACAAAGCCCGTGATGTACATGCCTCGGCGGGAGTTGACTTTGTCATGCAGCCAAGCACCCAGTGGATTGTAGATGACACCTGGTGTGGTCAGCAAAAGCTTCCTGCATGTTATCATCGAAGACATACCGGCGGTTGTCAGCCAAAGAGCGCTCAGAAGCAGTGGCATGCTTCCCGTCATTCCAAGGTTGGTGTACAGAACCACAGCGTAGTTATTCTGGCAATGTTAGCTATGAAATCGAACTGTAGGATCGAGTAACCCACGATAATCAACGGACCACCAAACTCTGCTCCCCATTGCGTGAGAAACCCAATGGCCATACGCTTTCGATACGATTTCTTCTTTAGGATGGCATTCCACACGTTCCCATACTCCGCCAGCTTCCTCGCTTCCAGGTGGATCTGCTCCGCCGTCTGGAAGTATTCGTCCTTGGCGACCATATTATCCGGGTCGTCCGGGGACTTGCGCAGCTTCTCCAGGACCCGTCTGGCCTCTTCATGCTTGCCCTTTGCGATCAACCACCGCGGAGACCGAGGCAGCCACGGCGACCCGAGAAGCAAGACTAACGGGGGCAAACATTGCAAGCACAGCGGAAATCTCCAGCCGAAGCTGCCCATTGTCGCGTCGGAATAGTAGCATGCATAGCCCACCCACCCCGCAAGCATGTAGCCAAAGACCAGAAAGATGGCATGATGGCCGACAAGCCAGCCTCGACGCAAGGCGCTGGATGTTTCAGAGAGATACATGGGACAAACAGTCACCAGGATGCCGATTCCCAGACCGCAGACAAACCGCCCGGCCTGGAACATGCTGAAGACTCGTTAGATAGCCTCCTTGCTGAACCTTTGATGAAGGGGCATGTAAGAACATACGCAAGAGAGTTGGCGCCCCCCTGCAAGGCGCCTCCGAACATGGAGAAAAACGCACCCAGCTGGATGTTCACCTTCCGGCCGAAGAAATCGCAGGACCACATTATGAAAAACGTGCCGACGGCTCCTCCGGCGCTGAACACGCCGTTGGCCGTCGAGATGACCGGGGTTGTGGTCGAAGCGTACCCCGGTTCATCATCTGCAGGGAGATCGAAGTAAGAGTACCATCCTGGCTGGCCGATCGTGCTTGTGATGATGGAGGCGCAGTAGCCATACGTCTGTCCAGGAACCAAGCCGCGTTAGATGTATGCATCGTCCAGGGTTGCAATACTGACCATGGAACCAATGGCAACGAATATGGTCACCAACTTGTTGTAGGTACTAGTCTGCGACCCAAACTTGCCCATCCTGAGTTGATTGCTGTCGCGTGCAGCAGCAGACGAAAAGCTCCAATTGGTGAGAGGAATTTTGCAGCAGCAGAAAAAGAAAAGAAAAGAAAGCCAGATTGGATTGATGCAACCCTGTACGGTCCGCCACGCACGAGTCAGGTCTGGACAAAGCCTCGCACTTGGGACCCGAGAATCGGGTGTATGACTTGAGTTGACGATGTTCAGAACAGGAGAGGAACAGCACAGGTCAGACTGCTGGTTGATGTAGGAAGGTCAACCCCCATTGTCAGCCACTACGTCAGCTCCCAAATGTCACGATACGATAAGAAGACAGGAGACTCCCGGCTGGGCTCATTTCCCCTTCCTCACTACTTCTGACAACACATTAAACGGGGAATCAGCTATCGAGAGAAACCCTGGTCCCAACATGCACGAGGCCGAGAGAAGCCGAGTCGAGGGCCAGAGGTCGAGGTCATGATAGGCGAGACTCACGCCGAGAAAGTGAAATGCTGGTTCTTGTGGATAGAGGCACGGCGTTAAGCCCCTTGCGGCAAAGATCGGAATCTGCTGGATGGTGGTTTGTTGCAGCTTCGATTGATTGCATGGGATTTGCATTCACTGCATTTCGAGTGCATTTCTCGCTGATCGCAACCGAACTCGTATTGATGAAGCCATTCCGATGCAAACATTCGTGAATTCAACCGCGCCATTCCCAAGCTCTTCGCCATGATTATCCTATATTCGTCTTCTGATGTCATTGACTCTTTCGGACGCTGTTCCATGGACTCTCGCATGGTTATTTGTCCGCTTCTGTACGACACCGGAGGCAGTGTGCTGATCATTATTATCTCAATGGCGTACTATGCCGTGCCGCGTGCGCTAGAGATGCATGGCCCATCCCCAGCACATCCTTATTTGCCGGCGCCATTCATCGACACTGCGGAGACTTCTCTGGACAAAACTCTAATGCTGATGGGCGCCAAATGGTCTCGTCTTCTCGGCGCCCCTCCTTCGTGGATGGTGAGACTCCGATGCGATGAGATGACGGGCGCCGAATCTGCGCACGATTGGGCCGGTTGAAAGGGCAGCTGGCCGGCGTTAAAATAGGAAACTTGAGTAGGAAAGCTTCTGCTTATACGGAGGTATATTCAACATTCCATATTATCATCAACAATGGCAGGCAAATCGCCCTTCGACCTTCCTTTCGATGAGCTCCCAAACCCGAAGCAGGTGTGGGTTGGAAGCCCTGGCAGCTACGAAGAAGGACTGGGAAAGCTGGCGATTTTGACCCCTGAAATCGTGGCCAGGGCAGCCGCAAGTGAGATTCGAACTGGTCGTCGCGTTACCATGGGCTGGGACTTGACCAAGTTGGACTTTCCGAATCTGAATCGCCAGCCATGTCAGCATAAAATCGTGCCTCTCTTGGGTGGCATCGCCTTTGATGACATCTATACCATGAACCCCCGTAGGTCTCACATTGACAGTGCATCTGCGACTCAGTGGGGTGTGTCCTAACAGGCCTATAGAGCAAAGTAGTCAATGGGACGGCCTTCGTCATTTCTCGCAGACCGTCCCGGGTCAACCTGAGCGTGTTTTCTACGGAGGCACGACCGCCGACGAGATCAATGACCGTCACAACGATCGCATAGGCATGCAGCACTGGGCGCGCGAAGGAATCGCAGGTGCTTCCCTCTCTCACTAACCCCCGGCTGTATCTGAGGTGTCGCAAACTCAAAGCTGACATTCAAAACAGGGCGTGGAGTGCTGATCGACTACGCAACGTGGGCGGAGAAAAAGGGAATCGAGTACAGCACGTTTTCGACGCATCAAGTCCGATTGTCCGACATCCTGGAAATTGCCGAGGAGTCCGGCATCGTCTTCCAGCGAGGCGACATCCTCTTCGTCCGGGTCGGCGTGACCAAAGAGTGGGATACTGTGATGACCGCGCAGCAGAAGCAAAAGTACTCGCAGGATCCCAGTCCCGAGCATGCAGGCGTCGAAGCAACCACCGACGTGCTGCGATGGCTCTGGGATTCGGGGTTTGCCGCCATCGCTAGTGACACGCTCAGCTGGGAGGTACGAATGACCGTTTTTGAGTCAATGGGCGCGGACTAAATCAGCGTATGACAGGTCTATCCTCCGCAGTCGGATGTATTCCTGCACGAATATGTGCTTGCTGGATGGGGAATGCCAATCGGTAAGGAGGACCAATGCAGCGGATCGTACAAGTCACTAATATTCCAAATAACAGGCGAACTATTTGATTTGGAAGCCCTGACTCGAGTCTGTCAGGAACTTCAGCGATGGACGTTCTTCGTGGCGTCGGTGCCCTTGAACATGCCCGGGGGAGTCTCGTCGCCGCCAAATATCATGGCCATTTTCTAGTCGCAGCGTAGTCAGGCCATAAGTAGATTTCTTATTTTTGTTTTCTCAGTCCGTTTCAAACCAGAAAAAGCAAGTCCTAGGCAACAGACTGTGTCCGATTGATCTCAGATCGGCACCACAGAAAAGGATAAATGCTGCGTCACGTCGCTGTGCATCGGGTCTTTTAGCAGGCCTATAGAGTCGATTCCTGGACTCCGGAGGGCCAACTGGACCTGTCGTCCAAGTGAAACCAGCCAAGTCGCCTGATATACTGGTCGAGTGACGGTCTGCAGTCCAGGTCTTCCGTGAGCCTGCGAGGTGCCACGGCCGATCTTGGGCGCAATAGTATGCCATTTAGCGCCCTAATTCTGGCCATTCTAGGCGGAATGGCTCTGTCAGATTTTGAATGGTGGCCATCAGGCGCATTAACCAGGAAGATGCGTCCGAACTAGTCAGTCCAGGGTCTTGAATTAGACCGACGGATGGCGGGAAGTGGAATCCGCCTCTCAGAAGGCTTCGATCAATCACTCGATCAATCAATCAATCAAGCCACACGCCATTAGTCTGTGCTGTCTGACCCCCTGACCCCGGCATACATAACGGCTGCCGGACAAAGGAAATCCCTGGACTCCGATAATTTTAGTGCCAGCTCAGGCCAATCCGCTAGACCAGGAGCCAAGACGCTGTGAACGATCCTCAAGTTGGCCCTCGCGTCGTCTCGCCAGCCTCCAGCTGGGCGTTTGGTTTGTGTCAATAACCGCTGCAAAGGCGCAGGATTTGCAAGCAATAGTACCTCGCGCCATTTTCTTTCCTTTCATCTGCCGTTGATCTCTATTGAACAGGGATCCTCGTCATGGATCTTCCCAATTCGAAAGCCTCGAGTCTGCTGCACCAGAGTTGCACCATTGGTCATCAAAATCCTCGAACTGCATCCCATAGTCCCCGATGAAATGGAAGGAATATTCTCGTGGGAAACCGTCGCTTCGTGCTTGACGGCTCGCCATGTCTTGCGCTTATCTTAAACCCGGCCAGTCCTGACCCCGGGCGAGCCTTTCCGGGGATGTGCAAATCATGATGATAATGGCTTCGCTGCGATCCCTGGGGCGTGATGGGGCTCCCAACGCCGACGTGGATCGAACGGTGCAAACGTGGAATACCATCACGCAGTCGCTTTGTATCGCCGCCATGACGGTCTTCTTTGCGCTGCGTGCATACACCCGGCTTTCGCTGCTCAAGGGGTTCTTGAAGGAAGATTGTGCGTCTGCGCGAGTACGAAGGCATGCGACATGCTGACTGTTCTGCTCTAGGGACTTGTCTGGGTGCTTATGTCCGTCGAGCTTTGGGATGTTCTGGCCATTCGCTAATCCGTGCAGTTTCTGGGGATCTGCTACTCGGTTATTGCCCTCATCAGTATGCGTCCTCCTTCGAGACGGTACCAGTGGATGCTAATTCCACGTAGTGGGCCATTACGGCGGAGGCCTCCATATCTACGATGTACCCATCAGCCATCGCATTCCCTTCCAAAAGGTACCTATAGCCTAGAATCCAGCCCATGGACCTCCACCATAGTTCCGCACTCACCTCCTTAGACCGTCTACGTGACGATGGTGATGTACGGCCCGACGGCATTCCTCACCAAAGTGTCGCTCCTCTGGATCATGACGCGCGTCTTCAAGCCCTTCCACAGGTCCGTCATCTTCATCTACGTCTTCCTCGCCGTCATGCTGGCCTACTACATCCCCGCCGTCATCGTCAAGATCCGCATCTGCAACCCCATCTCCAAGTTCTGGGCCCCCGACACCCCCGGCTCCTGCCTCGACCAGACCTCCATCATCCTCGCCGACGCCGTCGTCAGCGTCGTCAGCGACATGATCATCCTTCTGCTGCCGCTGCCCCTGACCCTGCGTCTGCAACTCCCGTGGAAGAAGAAGATGCGCGTCATGGGCATCCTGGGCGCGGGGGGCTTGGCCTGCGCGTCGAGCATTATTCGTCTGGTTCTGATCGTCGTGAATGAGCAGGCTGAGGACGCTACGGTCTCTTTCATGAGAGTTAATATGTGCGGGTATGTTTCCCCCGGCTCTAATACCCTCTATGCCAGATTCTAACCGAACCCAGCAACGCCGAAATCGCCATCGGCATCGTCTGCGCCTGTCTCCCCGCCCTCTCCGCCCTCGTCACACACATCTACCACGAATACTCGAACTCCGGCGCCACGCACAGCTCCGCGCAGGAGCTCAGCTTCGGCATGGGTCTGGGGATGGGGATGGGGAAACACCGCAGTCACAGCCGCGATCGCGACCACGACAGTCGAAGCCCGCGGCTCAAGGGACCGCTGAAACTGAGAGAGACGGACTCCGATCAGGATATTCTCATGCAGGATGTGCAGCGGCAGCCGCGCTTTGAGACGACGGTGCTGGGGGACGCGTGTCAGGTCCAGGTCGAGACGGGGGGGATCTTGAAGACGGTGGATGTGTCGACGGAGGTGAGTGAGAGGGGGGAGCAGTAATCTGTAGGTAATTACTGGGTAGGAGGAGTTTGGAGGGAGTGTTCGGGGTATTCTTTATGTTGCTTTTTATTGGGAAGGCCGGATGATATGGATAATTTTTCATCAATATAAGCACCTTCATCTACATGATAGACTGTATGCTACGTGTACAGACTACAGAATGTACATCCAAGCTATTGAAATGCACGAGCTGTTGATGCAATAGATGCAATAAGGCAGGATGCCAATAGTCTTGTCAGGATATCCTCCGAGATCAGCATCGGTCTTCGTTCCGCTTCTCCTTCTCCGCACGACCCCGGATCAACCGATCAACCGCGGCTGATTGATCCCTTGCATATATAATTGGAGACTCTCTTCTTTTTCAGTTCGTTGCTGGTCCATACTCGTTCTATTCCTGTTGACACTGACTTTTGGGTGCTTAATCGTACAAACATCATACACCTGCCGTGGCAACTCATCTCACAATGACCAAACCCCTCTCCCCCGGTTCTCGACTCCATGGAAAAGTCGCCATCGTGACGGGTTCGTGTACCCCTCTTTCTGTCCCCTCTTTCCGTCGGGCATTTACACTCTCCCTCTCAATATCACATCACATACTTTACTATACATAAACCCACCAGATCGATCACTAACATCTATAACAGGCGGCGGATCCGGCTTCGGCGCCGCCATCGCGCGCCGCTTCGGTGAAGAAGGCGCCAGCGTCATCATCGCCGACATCAACGCCGACGGAGGCCAGAAGGTCGCCGCGCAGGACCCAGACCATCTGCTCTTCCAGGCGACGGACGTGACGAGCGCCGAGGATTGGAAGGCCGTCGTGGACACGGCGTTTGAGAAGTTCGGCAGGCTCGATGTCCTGGTGAATAATGCGGGCACGACGTATCGGAATAAGGTGAGTGCGGCTCTTCTTTACGGCCTGGTGGTAGGGGGCTGGTTGATGGCTGACTGGTACAGCCCACGGCGGAAGTGACTGAGGCGGAATGGGAGCGCGTCTTCAACGTCAACGTCAAAAGCATCTTCCTGGGCACGAACGCCTTCATGCCGAGGTTGATGGAGCAGGGTCAGGGCGGGTCCATGATCAATGTGTCGTCGACGGGCGCGTCGAGGCCCAGACCCGGGTTGGTGTGGTATAACGCGTCCAAGGGCGCGGTGTCGAATGTGTGTATACCTTTCCTTTTCCACTGACGGATCTGGGATTCGATCTACGTGTGGATATGACAGGTGATGGCTGATGCGCAACAGGCAACGAAAGGTCTGGCGGCCGAATATGGTCCCCATAATATTCGCGTCAACACCGTCTCGCCGCTTCTGTCGGGAACGGCCCTCTTTTCCATGTTCACCGGCATGCCGGATACCCCTGAGAACAGGGACAAGTTTATTGGGAACGTGCCGCTGGGCAGGCTGACGGATCCAGACGATGTCGCCAACATGTGTCTGTACCTGGCGAGCGACGAGGGGAGCTTTGTGAATGGGACGGAGATGATCGTGGATGGGGGCAAGTGTATTTAGTCGGATGGGTTTGTTGGTTGCAATTTTGTATGTAAGGGTATGATTATCGATGGTTTGCTTTTAGGGCACTGCGTTGCAGTCTGTGAGAGCTGCGCCCGTAGGAATCACTCGCAATTAAATCTCGGGCTGCGGCCATGCCCGTGAATCGAACAGGGACCAGTCTTCCTCTAGCAACCCCATCATATGCTGGTTTCCGGAAAACCAGTTCCCCAGCGTAGTCTGCGGCACGTTCATTGGCAGCGTCTGACTTTCGATTCCTCTCATCTCGGTGGCCATCTCGCCCGCCAAAGGACCGGTGGCTGCTGCTGCGGCGTTGGAAGGGCCAGGGACAGCAGCGCCAGCAGTCCAGCGCATTTCACCGTCGTCGGTCGGCGCCGGTGCCAACCCAAGTGCGGTAAAATACGAGTCGAACTCCTGTCCCACCGAGGCCAGAGAGTGGTCTTGCTGCGTCTGCGCTTGGGACTTGGCCTCCAGATATAATCTCGCCACGGTACTCAAGACCTGACAGAGGCGGTGCATTTTAGAGATCGCCTCCGATAAAGCACAGTTCGGTTCGAGGGAGGCGACGAATTCTTCGATGCGTTCGAGATCTGCGTAGGAGGAGACTTCAATGATGTGGCAGAAGAGCACGATGAAGGGAACGAATGGGGAGTAGAGGATTGTCCTAGAGATAAAAAGAGATGATCAGCCTCTGCTAGTGGGTGCATGCCGTTTCATGTCAAGATAGGAGCTTACCAGTGCAAGTAAGAACGCATCAAGTACTCATCCACCTCTCGGAACATCGCCGTGCAAGTCTGATGTCTCTCGAGTGCGGTCCGAGCCGTCTCGATGCACTCATCGATAAAAGTGCTGGGAGAGTCGGGGGGAGGTGGGATGGCTCGGTATATGAGAGTCAACACGGATAGGCGACACACTTCGTCGGATCGAATGTAGAGCTCCTCCACCATGTTCATGTTACTGATCGTTTTGAACAGGTGCTGACATGTAGGTTAGCCCTAAATCTTAATGGTGTACACTTATCCTCCAGATCTCACCTTGAACGGCTCCATGACCTTCCATTGCATGTCTGAAGCTAGCTGGCGAGCACAGCTCACTCGCTCACTCTCGGGTCGACAAAGGGCTGCAGGGCTGTATAGTTTCTCATACACCTTTCCCTGGATCCTTGCTAGCTGGATCCACAGTATGTAAATGTCACCGAACTGGTCCTTGCCATTTGGCGAGCTCGCGGCCCACGACAAGGAAATGTCGTAGTCCTGGATGGTGGAGGCGCGCCCTAAGCGTAAGGAGAGCGCCTTATCTATACAGTAGATTGACCAGAACAGTCTGTTCTTGTGTTCCTTGACATTGGGACTGTCGTTCTCCATGGATGACGCCCGATGGTAGCCTAGAGTCTGACACAGGCGAGACGCAGTGGATGTCAATGTCAGAGCAAAGGATGGTTTTGAAATTTCAATGGCATGAACAGCCTGGTTGATTAGCACGATTCTGCTTGTGAGAGGCAGATGAACTCACTCCTAATGTCAGTGCCTCGACAGACTCCATCCTCGCAGGCATGAGAAGACTGAGGTTGGCAAGTGCCGTTTCCAGGTTGGCGTGGCAGAGTTTGAGGTATTTCCGGTAGTTATCCCGGGTTTCATCGTCTTTGACCGTGTAGCTATACTCCGAGAAAACATAGAACAGGCCTCCATTGACAACAATGAAAGTGGCGTCCGAGTACTCTTCCGTAGCGAAGTAGACCTCTTTGCATTTCTCAATCAGACGGTCGGGTGGGACAAAGGGACAAAATCCTTGTAAAGCGGTTGGCGGGTCCTCTATTGAAACATTAACAGGTTTTCCTCGAGCTCGGCGTTTTCTCAGAAATTGGCAATACCTTTCAACCTGCGCAATACTGGCAGAACACTCTGGATAGGAGGCATGATCAGGTCGCGCAACCCAGAGGTCGGCATAGCCCGCTGGTTAGGAAACCGAACTTCCCGGGAAGACGAATTGGTCTGGTTATCTTGCATATTGACCATTTGCTTCAGCGTCGACAGCGCCGCACCCATCTTCGGCGTTGAATACATTGGAAGAGCACTGCGCGAAACGGCCGACTCCAGGAACTTGCTCGCGTAGGCGGAGTGGGCAGCGAGAGACGAGTTACCCTCGAATGCAGGATCGGCCTCGTGCTGGTCCAGCGCAGCGGTGGTGTTGGATCGGAATTCAGCCGTTGAAGGAGTCGCGCGCCCGGACACTGGGGTGGCATGGTAAAAGGGCTCGGGGGGAGATTTGCTGGAGGACCCAATGCTGGACCTCAATTCGCGGAGAACCTGCTCGATACTCCCGAGGCGTTCCTCGATGAGATCGATTTTCTTTTCACTGGATGGAGGGAAAGGAAGGGTCAGGATGCACTAAGTGGATAAAACGGCACACAGGGACAACATCCACATACTACTGACTGGAAATCAGGACTCTTCTACGGGGCTCACGAGACTTCTGTCCTGCTCCGGTGGACCGGCAGGAGATCTGAGAGCTGCGGCAGTTTGAGCATGGCGACTGCTTGTCGCAGCGTATCTAGTCGGTAAAGACCCGCTATTAGGGTCGGTTCCATGATGGATTTGATGAGAAATGGTCATCGCCAAGCGTAGCATACCTTTCTGGCACGGCATTGATCACACTATGCACCGTTAGTATGCACATGGACGTCGCAGAACCACAGCTGATGGAGTATTAATCTCACCGCACGTTTGCCCAGCGACTCCTTTCCGTCGCTCTCGGGTCCCTCGGGCTCCATGCCGGTTGGATATCACAAAGCACGAAGGCAGGGGTTGGTGTGTGTAATAAATTTTCAGGTTGCCAATGGGCGCAAAGTCGACTAAGACAGTCCAACGGGCGTCGAAGGCGTAGTTGAAAGCGCGGCGGAACCCGCGGACTCCGAGGAAATCAGGCAGCATTGATTTGCCAGGCCGCCCGCCCGTGACTTCACCAGTCGCTGAGACTCTGCAATCCCCCTTAAAGAATAATTCAAGAATCTAAGCAACGGGGGAAATTAGGTCTATGGGTCCTTTGGGCTCTTACGATATTTCAGACCAACTCCCGACTCCCTGTCTAGGCAACTCTGTTCTCTATGGCAGGCGCATGATCGACAATGACTCACTTCACAACCACTTTAATTGAAATCGTACTATGATTGAAATCATCTATTTGCATTCATCTATGTCTATTCTATCGCGTATTTTCGTCTCCGAGTGTCCGTGTCGTCATCAAGTCATACATGCATCCATCCAGGAGATTCACCAATGCCCTCAGACATCTCTGCACATGCGGATCAATCATTTCTTGACACCGATAATAGCCAGGTTCCGTGGGCTTTCGCTGTAATCAAATACAGGCTCGACCCAGCAGTCTTGGACACAATCGTACTCGCGCAGGAATTGCCAGCGATCGACAACGATGATGGCTTCCACCAACGCGGAGCTGTATGCCATCAGGGTCCAGACCACGCTGAGGTTCTTCTTCGCGTGCCAATACTGCTCCACATAGCGGGCCAGTTCCTCGTCAGTGAGATCGGCCATTCCGGCCCTGACCTTTTCGCCGGAGTGCGGGTCCCGTCCCAGTTTCGCCGTCGCGGCGCGGGCGTACGCTGAGAACGAGGTGAAGGCCGCCTTGCGCAGGGATCCTACAATGAGGGGGTTTCCTGCTTTGGTTTCAGAAGGTTCATCTGCTCCGTAGAGATCCTCTGGTGTTTCTGGCTTCTCCACAATCTTGCGGTCTACCAGAATGCGCTGCAAAAGTGTCCGGTAAAAGTGGCGTGTGAAGAAGTTCTCGCTGTCTTCCCTGCCCCAGTTGTACGGAGCCTGTAGAGACATCGACCGTGCAGTAATGTTCAACTTGACGCCGACGCCACTGTCGTGCTCAAAATCCTCCAGCCGCTTAGACATGGGGAAACCGTGCGGGTCGTATGCAACGGCATCCTTCGTCAGACGGGGGTGCATGGAACGGAGGATGGGAAGTTTATAGGTCGCAGGTCCGAGTCGCTCGGTAACCAAATTGTAACAGCAACCGATCATGGCGACTGCTTTCACTGACGGGTTCACGACTAAAGATCGCACGCCATGGTGAAGCAGGTTGCCACAAGAATGCAACGAAATGACCATGACCTTGGCATCCGAAGGCTTGTCGTCATCATTCTTGTCAATCGTATCAACCGAGCTCGAGTTCCCCGTGGATCCAGCTGACGGAGCCTCAATCACGTCCTTGATGATAGGCTCGAGGTATCCATCCTTAATTTCGTGCTCGATGTAGTCCATAACACCCCTTGGTTGGCCAGCGCTTGCACTCTCCTTCTCCCTCTTCTTCGCCAATTTTTCATTGGGATCGTTATGGAGAGGAGCGAACCCGATCTCCCCGGGCGTGAGACTGATATCACGGAAAACATTGACCATGGAGACTTCCTCGCCATTCTCGGCAGGCTCCTCGCTGGGCACAGATTCCACCGCCCCAGACTGTTGAGAGGGAACATCCGGTTCCGCCGCCTCAGGTGCCTCAGGATCCTCGCATTTCTTGCACTTGTCCGCTTTCGCGTTATACATGCGCACCTTTTTCTTCTCCGCCAATTGCGCGTGAATATCCATATCCTTCGCACCATTGATGAACTGATGCTTGCGCTCAATGGCAACAATGTGCCTATTATACGGAGGGCTCGCCAGCGTGCGCCCCAGGTAACTCTGACCCGACCCAAAATCCACAACGTGTGTGAGCTTATCGCCGCGCTGCTTGTCCACGTCGGCGCACAAGGAATCCACGTATCGCGAGAAATGCGCCACCTCGTGGTATTTCTTCGTCTTCATTCCCACCGCAATCCGTCGCGGGATGGACGGATTCCCAGGCTGCGGGGGGTGAAAGTCTCTCCCAAGACTCAGTCGTCGAATCTGATAAATGTATTCGAGAAAATCGATCGGAGGGAGAGCAGCGCCTCTCCAGTCATTGTGCTCTTCTTCGCCTGCGGCCGCCTTCCGACTCTTCTCGAGTAGTGCCGGTAGATCCTCCCGCAGAACCAAGTCGATGAGATCCTGGACATCGTGCTTATCGAAGAATAAACGCCATGATTCGGGCAAAAGCGAAGTGTACAGGTCCGGCTCGCGCGTCAAGAAATCGAGGATATGCACTCCCCCGCAGAGATGTCGGAACATGTCTGACGAGGTGGCAAACGACAGAAGGGCATCGACGTAGGCATCGGGGTCAGTCCACTCGTCGGAGAGTGGAAGAGGATTGGGTCGTGGCATGGCGTAGCGGAGACTGGGAATTGCGCTATGAATGGGGTATCATATGATTGGCGTAGTAAATGGGGGAACAGAAAAAGAGAGAAAACGAAAGGAGAAACCCAAAAACGAAAGGAGAAGGAAAATCAGAGACGTCAATCCAGCATCGTGGGGTCTTCGGAGGGTCTGGAAATTTTTGGTGTCGCAAAAGAAGAAAAAAAGAAAAAAGAAAACGAGGAGGGGAAAAGACGAATTGGGTTTAGGCGCTCCACCGAAATTACGGGGAATGTGGAGGTCGATCGTTGGTCTTCTTCGGATGCTCTTCATGTCGCTCTAGGGGGCTGTGGTTACGCACTATCGAGCACGCCTCGAGTCTCGACAGTCGACCTGTCCACAATCACCCCCTACATCAGTTCCTCATTTGACTATGACGTTGCTAACCTGTTTGGAGGCCCCGACTATCATCACGGCCCTAAGCTGTCAGTGCAACAAACTATTGACACCCGATGCAAAATAGTGGCGGATGATTGCTACTGGTTCGCAATCATGGCTGCTGTAGGGGACTGGGCTGTCGTATGACAGACCCCAGCTCCTCGACCAGTTTCTCCGGTGATGCTGCATATATAGAATGTGACAGAAGCGATGTTGACAACGCATAGTCTCTCAAACCGGATTCTTTTCGGGGCTCCCTGGACCTGACTGGATTCTTCAAGACTCAAATGCCCAATTCTGCCCGAGAGGGATACCACGTATTTATATTCACTCCGAGTGACCCGTCAGCTTTCCATCGGCGAACCACAACTTGGGTGCATCCTGCATCCTGCATGCTCCAGCCCTTCGACATACATCATACCCAAGGGCTCAGCCGCTTATCGACCAACGCGTCACACCGTCTGCGATTTGACTACATTCAAGCAACAAATCTCGCCCCCTTGCTGATAAGGAAGGCTGAGTCTGAGGGCGGTTCGCGGAGTATTAAATGGGCCATGTCACATTGGATTTCCCATCAGGATCATAACCCAAGAACTAACTATTTTCAATCATGGTGAGTAAAGACCGTGGAGTTAAGCTTTTTACTCTGCTCCTGAATGTAAATATCGAGGATCAAGGCTGACCGTGATGCATTTTCCAGATATTGACCGCCAGTAAGCCGAGGGTCTTGCCCTTTGGCCTGATCGATGATATACTCTTTCAAATCATCATCAACTCTGATATCGATACTATTCTGAACCTCTGTCTTGTGAACAAGAGCACCTATGAAGTCATCAAAAGCCTTGAGCACCACATCTGTGGATATTTCATGCGTTCCCATGACATCGTTATGTTTGACCCAATTCTTACCTTGAATCCGTGGACCGGGGGACAAAATGCCATTACGGTGCACACCATTCAAAGATTCATTGAGCGCCAGGACATCGCGAAAACGCTTGCCCACCATATTGTGCCCTCCGTGTGGGGTTCTTTCTCGGACGACGAAACATCAATAATGAACCTCAAAGCTGAACTTCAACTTGCCCAACGGTTGGAACGCGGCCTCTATGTCTTTTTTCACATGGCGGATCTCGCCCACAGTCCGAAGAAGGTGAAACAGCGAAGGACTTCGAATCCAGCCATCACTGGAAGACTAATGGTGCTCACCAACATGCTGGACGAGTATCATCACTTGCCGCCACACACGCGAAAAGCCATACCATTGGAAAGCTATGTCAGCCACGTTCAAAAGGTCTTGAAATATGGATATAAAGAGGCCGACATCGGCAGAAGGCGGCTGGAACTCAGGGGATACCTCGACGAACAGACGCAAATTGATTTCCATGCCACTGTCCGAATGCTGCGGGAACTAATGGAGCGCATGCTCCTGCGGCATGGCCCCAAGGACTACCATCGAGACACCAATAACGAGTTTAGTGTAATCTCGTGGTTTCTGTTGAAGCAATCGCCCCGGTCTCTGGAGAAGCTATTCCTCGGCCCTCAGGATGATTGCTGCACGTTCAAACCGGACTCGCCTGATTGCGGTGTCAGGCAATGCTACTTTTCTGACCCCCTGGACGAGTACTGGAAAGCCTGGAAGGATGTGCCAGACTTGGGATGCCATGGCTGCGACTGCAAGAGACGGGTTCGAAGCTGGAGCGTGAAGCCAACGTTGATCGATGCCCACGGACGAGACTTCAACCGCGCAGCAGAGCGTTATCTCAAGGAGATGTGGAGCCAACGCCATGTTGGCTTACACCGTGCTTTCGCTATGGGCTACTTCAACATAATAATCTGATGTATATGGTGAGGGTCATATGAGTATCTAGGGACAGGAAAGAATAGAATTTTTAGATTGACCAATGGACCAATATTGAGATATACAAACGCAAGAGCGATTTAGTTTCTGCGAGGCTGCATTCAAGTCCTCGAGATGTCTCGCAGCTGATCCACTCACCGCCTTCTCCACCGCCCAATGACCGTCTCGGGTCAACTCCGCGTCCTGATCCGCTCCATCACCATGCATACTTGTGCTTTGGGCCATCTGATACCATCATCTCGGACCTTGAAGAGGCCAGCCTAGAAGACTTTCATATTCCACTACACCCTACCACCAAGATGGATCACGCAGACCCCTTTCTCCAAGTCCAAGCGTGAGTCGGATCCCTCACCCGCCCCCTTTTGGCCAGCTGTTGGCTGACGCTTCGTTCCCCATCCAGAGACGTTCTCTCGACGCTGCAGACATCACGCCCTCTTTTCTCCTCCTACCTCCGCATCCGCTCCCTTGCCAAGTCGCCGTCGAACCCCGAACTCCAGCAGTCTCGATCCGAGCTCGAGACCACGTTGACCGATCTCAGCGCGGACCTGGACGACCTGGTCGAGAGTGTCCGGGCCATCGAGCAAGACCCGTACCGCTATGGCCTGGAACTAGAAGAGGTCCAGCGCCGACGCAAGCTCGTCGACGATGTCGGGGCCGAGATCGAGAAGATGAGACAGGAGCTGCAGCGCGCCGTCACTAGCTCGGCGGCGGCCAGTAGTCCCAATGCCTCGGGGCTTCCGAACCCGGCGGAGTTCGATAACGCCCTGTCCCCCTCGGCGGAGGATCGAGGGGAGGATTACTATGCGGCGATGGAACAGCAACGGCAGACGGAGCTCATGCACGAGCAGGATGAGCAGCTCGACGGGGTGTTCCGGACGGTCGGCAATCTTCGACAACAAGCCAATGATATGGGTAGGGAGTTGGAAGAACAAGCGGTGATGATAGGAGAAGTCGATACGTTGGCCGATCGGGTGGGCGGCAAGCTCCAGAGTGGCATGTCGAAAATCAAATATATTGTGAGGAAGAACGAAGGTAGGTGCATTCCCGATTACATTGGTTGCTTATATCTATGGTGTCCACTGACTTGATTCAGATACGATGTCATCATTCTGCATCGCTTTGCTCATCTTCGTCCTGATTCTCCTTTTGATTTTGCTCATTGCGTTATGAAGAGATCTGAAAATAAATTACATCGGTACGGAAATATCGGCCTCGGGGTTCTTTGGAGATATCCAAACACTCCGACCGTTTAGACCTTGGTCTTCTTGCGGGGCCTCTCCTCCTCGCCCTCTTCATCACTCTCATCGTCGCTTCCGTCCATAAGCTCACTGGGGTCCTCGTCGGCGGACGAGCCTATTTATTCTGTCAGCATTCAGTATGAAATAACTGGGATCGAAATACTAACCGAAGTACTTGAAGGCGTGAGTGTAAAGATCCTCGGCCAGGGCGATGGCGAGCTCATCGCCATCGGGGAAGATCTCAATGGCCTCATCGATGTCCTCGTCATCCTCGTCATCCTCCTCGTCGTCGTTCTCCTCATCGACCTGCTCTCCCTTGAGCAGCTTCTCGAATCGCTCGTCGTCCTCCTTGGTGGCAGCCTGGGACTCCTCGGCGGAAACGGTGCGGCCGCGGTATCCGAAGAGCGAGAAGAAGCTCGTTCCGGCGGGGCTCAGCTGGCCCAGGGAGAAGTCATCGTCGTCGGCATCCTTGCCCTCCTCGTTGTTGGCCTCGGCGGCCTCCTCGATCTTGCTCTGCAGCTTGGCGAACTCGGGCAGGTCCTTGCGATCGCCCTTGCTCTTCTTCTCGGCGTCGGCGAGGTCGCAGGCGGCGTCGAGCAGGCCCTTGGTCAGATCCTTGCCGGGCTTCCAGTTGATGCGCACGGGCTCGGAGACGAGGCCCTCCCAGGTGCGCTTCTTGCCCGAGGGGGAGCGCGTGATCTGCTTGCGCCAGTGGAACTCCTTCACCAGCTTCTCGTTCTCGAAGTGGTCGTTGTCGGCGGTGCGGAACTCGAGGGTCAGGCGGAAGCTGCGGGGCTCGCCCTGGCCCTTGTCGTCGACCTCGAAGCGCTCCACAAGCACGTTCTTCAGCGCGGTGCCCAGCACGGCGGCGTCGGACTCCAGGACGTACTCGTCGATATCGGGGGGCGAGTTGGCGAACACTTGGATCCAGAAGCTATCCTTCAGGGCGGACTTTGCGATGGCCTCGTCGCGCTCCTTGAGCAGGGGGCGGAATCGAGTGACGCCATTGCGGACTAGTAAATTAGCACGGCTCTAGGATATAATCAAACGATGGAATGACTGTCTCGCGCATCCAAAGATCTTCCTAAAAGACCTAAGAAACTCTGCGACCATGCGCCCGAGCAGGAAATCGACAGAATAAGGTAGCTAGGGGAAAACTCACTCTGGTCAACCTCGGCGCGAGCGAACTTCTGCTCCAGCAGATTAAACTGCTGAGCGAGCTCCTTGGGAATGTCCGGGAGAACAAGATCCTCGATGTTTTCAGCCATGGTCACGAAAATGGAAAGTAAAAAATCGCCGAAATAAAAAAATAAAAGTAAAAAACTATGACGTCGCAAACACGTCGGCCAAAAAAAGACGGGGTATCGAAGAACGTAAAAGCGGGAAGAGGAGGAGGAAGGAGAAGGGAGAAAGCTCAGCGATCAAAAGCGCGAACTTTGCAGGAGGTAAGAGATAGAAAAAAGGAAGCAGAGCTTTTCCAAGAGAAACCGAGTGAAGGAGAAGGAAAGAAGAGGGAAACAGACCAACTAGAAAATTCTAAATGCTAAAACCCCCCGTGAGACGGACCATCGCAATCAGCGTCCCGTTTTCCCAGCAGTTCCTGACTAAGAGGGGGAACGGGCCAATCGGAGGGGCGTCGTTCGTTGCTGCGGAGTCTCCCGTTGCGAGTCGACGGATCATCGTCGTCATTGCTGTCTGTCTATGTGTAGGTAGGTTACACTGGTTTCACTCTATCGATTCGAGAAACATGCTATCGAATTCAAGTCTTCGCATTTGGTGTGGTCGTATTCAACTTCAGTCATCTACCTACCTACCTACCTACCTACCTACAGCCGCTATCTAAAGTACGACTAGACCTCAATCCCCGATATTTACCCATCCATCTCGGTACTCATCGCATCTGGAAGGTTAAAAACATAAATGAACCCCTGAACAAGACTACCGTTATACTCAATCGTCACAGAATAGAGCAAACGAGAAAGTGAAAACTTAGAAAGAGAACACGCGACCCCCACGCTACACCACCCCTTTTTACTATACCAAGACCCTACCTACGGCAACATACCCCCCTAACCCTAGTAGTTATTGCTTTTTCTTCTCCCGAAGGACGAGCCAAGCGGAACAGGATCAGCGGGTAGGGTTGGGCCAGCGGTATGGGGGTGATGAGGTGAAGAGTAGTTTATTTTGACTTCCTCTGTTGTTTTTTTTCTTTTTCGCTTTTCTCCATCCATCTTGACGTATATGCATACCTAGTGTATATGACATACGGAATAAAGGCAGTCTTCAACTAATCAATCAATCAATCAATCAGAAATAGATGAATGAGAAAAGGTTAAACCAGACGGACAACACCTCTGTATGCACCCAATCTTAGGTTCTTGAATTGAATCCAAAAGAAATGAAATGAATAAATTATGATAAAGAACCAAAACAAGCCGCCGCCAGTGTGCATCATAATAAGGACACCCGAGGGGAATAAGTGTAAGTAAGCAAGAAGCAGAAGACAAAACAGATCACATCAGACCAGATCAAGAAAGAAGAAAGGAAAAAAAACAGCAAACTTTTCGTGGTGGTTCAGCCACCGATTATTTTGATTTCATGCGGTGATTTCGTGACGTGCGTTTCATCCATCCAATCCATATGCAATACATACCCATGTCCTGACCCCCTCTTTTTTTTTGTTCGGTTGCCGTCACTCGGCAGGAATGAATAAAAATCAAAAGTACCATTAGAACTTTTTTGTGTCATGAGAAAAGAAAATTGGATAGATAGAGCAAGCGCGCATCTTGCTGGCTTGCTTCCTTTCTGTCCTTTCTTGTTTGGCTTCCCATTATGATAAATAGGTAATGTAACCCTTAAGTAAAGGCAAGGTAGTAAAGCAGTTCTTTTCGTTTCCCCCAATGAGAAGTAGTTGAAACCCGGGCCGATTCGCCAGATATGCATAGACCAATGAAATGGAATGAGACGGAGATGAAGCGGAGAGAGAAGAGAAAGGAGAGAAGGAGCGGATGGCGGAGGAGAAAGAAAAGATAGGGGTGAAAGGAAATAAAAAGAAAAAGAAAAGAAAAGAAATCGGAAGAGGCGAAGAAAGGGGTGAGGGAGTACACGAGCCCATGTAACCCATATCAAAGCAAGATAAGGAGCTTCAGTCCACCGATTGGAGCAAATGAAGCGCACCGTCTTGTCCGACACCAATGAGAGAGGGGAAGATGTAACCCGCTACAGCATCCAGTCCAATCCGTTGGCCTCTTCTTCGACGGGGAAAACCTCCCGCGCGTACTCCTCCATGTCTCGCCAACCTTGCCATAGGTGCCGAGCCTCGTCGGTGACTCGAAGCGATATCACACCTCCGGGACCCTGCATCATTCCCGCGCCAGCCCCCTTGCCATTGGCCGGTCCCAGTCCTTTGGGGGAGCCTGCTGCAGGGCGGGAGAATTCGGGTTGCGGGAAGTAAGGCGCGTCGCACCGGCCGAACACCTCTTCCAAGGCCTCCAACTGTTCCCGATATCCCGACGGGATATTTACTTTGACTTCGATCTTGGGCACGCGGACGTAGTTGCAAGGGCGGTTCAATGCGCGGGAGAAGGCCGCACAGACCTGGTTGGGGGAGAGCGTTTCAAACGTGAGGGCGATTCTATACCAATCCTGTTAGCTTTGTCGCATTCTAAAAATATCCCTCACGGGGCCAATGCGAGATAACAACACGGCGCGAGGGGGGTGCTGCCCTTGCGAAAAAGAAATAGCGGCAAATAGCGGAAGATAAAGGAACGTACCGGTGACCGTGCCACTTTTTCACCCCGTCCTTGAAGATCTGCAGCAACGCCGGACCAACATCATGCTCCGCATCCAACCACGGCAACGGAATATCCGGATCAAACGGCGCATGCCACTCGAAACTTCCGTCCGGCATCAGCTCCATCTGGAAGAGCGGATACGGTAGACTTGTGAAGTTGTTGTTGTAGATGCCGGTGTAGACGAACGTCGCAGGCAAGCCCAGCTGACGGATGTAATTCTCGACCATTAATTTGGGGGCCCATAGCGGCACGGGAGGCCAAGGTCCGTGGACGGAGTGATCTGGCATGCTGCTGTAGATGTAGTGCTGAATTGTTCCGGCTCGCTTGGCGGCATCGGCGAGCGCACGGCCGATCGCGACTTCGTCGCCCGATTGCGACGTGGTATTGATGAAGGCGAGGTTGGCGCCCTCGAAGAGGGAGTCCATGAGGGGGACATTGTCGAGCAGAGGACCCTGGAACAGGGTGACGTTGGGGAGACTCTCGAGCTCCTCGGCGATGATGCCTTTGAGGGAGTGGATTTGGGCGCGCACAGAGTGTCCGACAGCGGAGGCGACGCGGATGAGCGAGGCGGCCTGTCGGCCCGTGGCGTTCACGACCGCAATGGTCTTCTTTTGTTGGGTCATTCGGGGTGGCGTGTGGGATGAGCGGCCGGAGAGGTCGAGGTCAAGAGGAGGAGAAAAACTGAATGCGGGCGAGAAAGAGGCTCTGGGAGCAGAAGGGAAGAGATTGCGGGGTAGAAAAAGAAAGGGAGGAGGAAACAATTGGGTTGGGAAGACCAATGGAGACCGGCCGGATGCGGTGGAATCTGGAGTCTGGCGGTGGTGACGAGGGAGTTGGCCGTTAGGACTAGTCGTTCGCCGAGAATAATTGGGGCAGCAGGACCTTTTAGGGAGTCAAATATGAAGGCATGGAGGCATGCGATAAAGTCGAGATGATCGGTGGTGGGGTCCGGCGGAGCAGGTCATATGTAATGAGAACTCCCGATGATTCGATAATGCCGCAATCGAGGAAATCGATGGTGCAAGACGAGAAGAATGGGATCGCAGCTCAATTATATTGTACGGAGTTAGGGACTCGTAGGGAATCCTGGCGCGCAGGGTTGGTCGGTGTGCTCCCAAGGTGGCCGAGTATGAAGACATCGCGACGGGCATAATTTCTACGGCGCATTACATATTAATAGTCAGAGCAAGAATGGCCTCATGCTCGAAAATGGACCCGGGAAAAAAAAGACTCGCAGTCAGGAGGACATCGAAACCGCCGCAGATAAAAAAGGAATAAAATCAAAGCAACCCCGATTAATATTAACAAATCAAAAAGCCCCAAGAGCAAAATTCGAAGCTCCAAGTGAGATACCCCAATGGCCGGTGGGCTGTCCGACGCCGCCAGCTAATGAGAGGCCGCCAGTCTTTCTCATTATTTAACCATTGTATTCTTATTACCCCTACCTTTGCTCCTCCGGGTCCGGGAATTTTTAAAAATAAAATTAGTGAAAATAAAAAATTGCCCCAAATAATTGTGAGCGAGACAAAAAAAAATTAAAAATAAAAAAATAAAAAAAACCGCGTGGATCGGATCCAGGGCTTGGTTCCGAGATTCGCTGCCCACTCGGCCATGAAGGCTTGAAGCCAGACCAGGCTTCGACAGGCTGTCCGTACAGCTTCAGATCACCGGTTCATTCCATGCAATGCAATGGCCACCTCGAGAGCTATCACGCCGGGTGTCCTGCCCGGAGTGCATGAACAAGTCGTGACCGAGGCGAGGGATTCCTCCAGGCCTCAACCGATGTGAAACCAACAAACAAGAAACCGGCTGCAACTAGTCGACTGGTCTGGATTAGGATCATCCGGGGTGGTTCAATAATAAGGGTGCAACCGTCATCGTGGCCAGGGCCAAAAAAGAATTTTCGCTTTTAGTGATCGGACCGACCAAAGGCAAACCGCCTCTGGTTCGCAGCTAGTCCGATGTGGCCGATGAAGGTTGGGATCGAGTAATGCGAATCAGTCATAGAAACCGACGGTCCAGCCCTGGCAGGAACGTCGAATCGGGAGAAATTTTCCTGCGGACGAGCCTTTCGACAGGCTATACTCGATCCGAGGGCGATTACCCCGTATTTCCAGTCGTCGCTGGCCTTTCCCCTCATTTCTGATATGTCGTCTTGCCCTAATCTACACTCTATTCCGGCCAGAGGCCTCAGGGGGATCGCTATCAGCCGTCGACGAGCAACCCCCAAGGCACTGCCGGTCTCGACCGCGGACTGATCACCGGGCAGCCCATGCCTCCTGCAAACCAAGTTGCTAGGTTGCTAGAAGCGTCCATTTCTCCGCCGACGGGGTCGTCGCTGGCCATTGACCGTCTTTCCTTTACGTAACTCGGCCTGCGGTCGAGGCATGGAGGGCTTTCCACGTATCTGGCGTTGATCAGACGGTCGAACAAGTGCTGCTAGTCTCTGTGGCTGGCTACAGCGTAGGAAAAAGAAATTTTAAAATATACGGAGTAGAAATAAATAGTACTCCGTAATAATAAAAAAAAATCTGACCTTGCAAGTAGTCCCGTTTCAAGCAATTGGGTTTGAACCTCCCCCTCCCCTGGAATCCTGTCTCGACGTCACTGGCGCACGTCCACCGGCCATTGAAGTCTTTTCCTCTTCGGGACGGCCACGGATGCATTCTACAGGCGGGTTTCTTTCACGACATTGCTTTTTCGTTGAGGACGCACCACGGCGCCCGGTGTTTGGTTGACATGCAATCGACAATGAATCCTCCGTCAGGATGTTCGCATCCAATCTAGTCCAGAATTGCAGACTTTGCGTCCGGCTGTCTTTGCCGCTCAGGTGACCCCGGGGCGCCTTTTTCCTCCTTCCCGTTTGGGCGTTTCAACATCCATTCCGGACTCCGTTCTGCTGTCACTGTCATCCTCACGGTCCTTCGGATCGACTCGCCCATGGCGACCTTCTCAGCGACTTATCTCCTGCGTTCCGTCCAATGTCCGAGACCCTGTGCCAACTTGCCTAATCTAGAACCAATTGTCGACGCGCATTCGGGCGCTCGTGACTTCCTCCCCAGCCCTACAGCATACTATAAGCAAACCGCCTTAATCAATCCTCCGTGTCCGTAAAACTACCAAGTCAATGGTGGCAACGCATCGCCATCCATGTCCTCGCAGGTCCCGTGAAACACGCCGCTCTCGAGGGATCGAGGGATGTGGAGAAGAAGATGGGATGGAGACTGGAGATACCGGCTCAGGTCTACGGAGTAACATCTCGGTCCCTTACCCGTAGACCGACGCAACTGCTTATCAGCGACTCAAGTCGATCTCAACCAGCCGTTGTTCAGCCCACGTTGTTCGCCAAACCCGACGGACCGCCGCGCCGACGCTTCGACCGTCCAATCTCGGGCGTGCGTTCCGCCGCCAAGTCCGGCCTCGGTTGGTCGGTCGGCTGACTCGATATAGAGTATTAATTCACTAGAGACGAAGGGGGAAGTTCGATAGAGAGGTTGATAGTGAGGTAGTATTCCCCGTTCCCTAACCCAGTACAACATAGTACATGGTAGGTTCTATAGAAAGGTATATTAAGGGTGATTACTCGGGATTTCGGAATACCTAGGTAGAAACTTAGACTTTCGATGCTGGTTAATTTGGGTGGTTGCCTGGACTAATTATCTGACTCCATCATTCGGTGAGAAACTGGCGACAGAATGAAGTGAGGAGGATCGCGTTGACATCATCCGGGGTTGAGTTCAGTTCACCGGAGTCGATCCTTATGGCGCAATGCAGCCCCTCTGGCCAGCCTCTGATTGGCGGCTCTCCGGCGTTGCGCGGTGTCTGTGCAGCGCCAGAGACGGGAGCATCTCCGCGGATGCATGTCATCCCTCTGATTAATCGGTATTCAATACTTACCTATAGGAACTGGTATTAGGTTTGCTGTGGAATCGATGCCGTTGGCTGCCGTGCGTCCATTATATTCAGAATGTCCTGGCTGGAATTCTCGTAGGTGGGAATCTAGTGTGTTTGTTTTTGTGTACCTAATGATAGGTCCCTAGTCTATGCCTTTATAGGTGGTCATCTCCCATCTGCTCATCTGCGTAACCATTGCGAGGATCTAACCACAACCTTCTCCTCCGTATCGACCCTGGTACGGACAACCTACTCAGGGCGCCGATCCCGCCATCGCTCGTTGCAGATGGCGCTCCCCCGCTTCTTCGTCCATCTCCCTCTCACTGATCTCCCGAGGTCCAATCCCAGCCAAGCCCCAGATCCCCGGTCTCCGTCGCGCAAGCAGCGTCGCCGCGGGCCGCTCGTCGGAATGCAAATGCGCCCCCGACTTGCGCAGCAGCAGAACGTGCTCCGAGAGGTTGGCGTTGGCCGCCAGGAACAAGGGCGTGCGACCGCTCCGGTTTCGAATGTGCACCGAACCACCTTGCAGCAGCAGGCACCGCAGAATGGGGAGGGATGGCGACGAGGCAGCAAGGTGCTAGAAACATGAGTTAACAGAGGGAACGGAGAACGGTGGCCGGGGACTTACGATCGGAGTGTTGCCCGAATAGTCGGCGTCGTTCAGGATCCAGTGGTGCTCCACCTTCATGATATCCTGCACTCGTTCGAGGTCGCCTTGCGCGATCGCGTACCCCAGGATCGTGAGGGCCTGGACTCGCTCAGGAAGGGCGCCGTCCGGATGACGGAACACCGGTTGCGAGACCTCGTTCAATTCGCCGCGCAGGGAGATGGACATGTTCTTGGCCACGGTCTCCGGCGACGAATCCGGAAGGGCCAGAAGGTAGGCTAACTTGGTCAGCGCGGCCTCCGTCGTCATGTCAAGTCCGGCGACAACACCAGCCCGCGACAAACTCATGCCCGTGGCGTAGACCGGGCTCACACTGCCAGTCAGACCTGTTCGACGTTAGCAACGACCGACCGTCTCCGATCACGCTCAAACAACGGAGCCTTACATTGAGTTACGTTGACAATGACGATGCCTCGCTTGATAGCATCGGCAAACACCTTGGTCATGGCATTGTCCTGTCCGTGGGGGGCGTTGCCCGCCCCGAATGTCTCCAGCACTAGACCACGGAGTCCTTCCAATCGCAACACAGCGTCGACCATCTCCGGCTTGATTCCGGGGAATATGCGAAGACAAGCGACGTGGGTGGTGTCCAGATTGGTCTGGATGTTGAAATGCTCGATGTTATTGGGTCGGTTGACCAGCTCCCAGTCGACGTTGGTGCGCATGGAAGTCGTCACGGCCAGCGGGGGGCAATTGGGCGACGCAAACGCGGCAAAGTCGCTGGCCGATACCTTACACGCCCGGTTTCCACGGAAGAGTCGGTTGTTGAAGTAAAGACACACTTCCGGAATCATGAAGTGGCTGGCTACCACCAGCGAACCCAGAAGGTTATCCGTGGCGTCATTCTGCAATTCAAGCATGGGCGCCTGGGACCCCGTCAGAACCACCGGCTTTCCGAGGTTCTGCAGCATGAAACTGAGTGCCGAGCAAGTATATGCCAGACTGTCGGTGCCGTGGAGCACGACGAAGCCGTCAAAGTGGATGTAGTTTAGTTTCACCGTTTCTGCGATCTGCGCCCAACCTTTGGCGTCGATCGAGCTGCTGTCCAGAAGCTCGTCGAATTCGAAGACCGTGTATCGGACCCGTCGGCCGTACGCAGTCTGGGGAGTGCGCAAGCTTGTATGTCCCTTGACCGTTCCGGCTGCATCTACGACCACGTCCATATTGGTCGACCGAGAGCCATCGTTGAACGTGGGCACTCGGGCTAGGCAGTGCTCTTGGAAACCTCTGGCCGGGATGAAACCTGACGGCGATTGTCGCATGCAAATCGTTCCTCCCGTCATGATAATGAGGACCCGGGATTCGGGGACGGAGGTTTCCGGCTGCTGCTCAGCCAGCTCTGAGATGACTTCGTCCATAGTGGTCATGATGAAGGCTATACGCAGTAGAAGTCGTCTAAAGACTTAGTCGGTATCGAAATCACCTGTCTCTTACCCTCCAGCCTTTTTCTAGGGGCGGCAGAGGCAAAAAGCGAACGACGACAGACGCACCGGATCGGTGGCAAAGATCCCCGTTTTACTAACGACCAAGTAGACCGGACCAGACAGTACGGAGTAGAAGCTTTCCAGTTAGCCAGGGCTGTGCGCAACTTTGCCCCTCGAACGGGATAGAAGTGAGACAGGTCGACTATCGCGAGACAGGCAAATTGGCGGGCCGACCGAGTGATGACGTTGTTCACTCAGGGACGAGATCAACAAGGTTTAAATCGGACGAGGGGGGATGGCATCGATACATATCTCCAGAGTCCCTTTATTCTGCTCGTCCTCAGTATCTCTTACCCCAAAGAAAAAAGATTGGAGAGTCAGCGCAACTCCGACTAACGGCTCTCCATTACGTACAGCGAGCCTCTGGTTCGGTGGTTGGCCGGAGTCAAACCTGGTAGTGCGAGATTTTCGGCCGCACAATAAATGGGAATTTGGTGCGCGAGGTGGATATTTCCCGCCAACCTTAAGTAATTCAGTCAACAACAACCCCACAGTGTCTGTCGCGGATTCAAGAACAGAGAATTGGAGATGGAGATAGTAGATGCTGAGGGGGATTGTGGCCGTGAGACTGCTCTGCGTCTTTTGTATGGTTATGCGCCCTCCTGGCGGGATTTTGGGTATCGACAGACAACAGCCTGATGCGAAGGGTCAGTGCATACGGGCAAGTGTCAATCGCACATCCAGAAGACTGGTTGGCTCAGACACTGCTTATCACCATCTTTTAGACCTACAGAGTAGATGGATTCTTGCTCTCCCGAACGAGCGTTCTTTTCTGACGCGGTAAATTAAACGGCCAGAATAGGCATAGCCAGTCACATGGAATGCCACTTCGCTCCTTCGCTCCTTCCTTCCTCTTCCTTTCTTTCTCTTTCTTCCTCCCTCCTCGTCTCGTCCGTCAACGTCGACATGCCCCTGCAACTGCTTCACCTCGTCCGTCTTAGAACCCGGTCAGGATGAGCGACCGTTCCGAGTGCCTGTCTGCCCATTGCGAAACCATTCGTCCTTTACTGTGAATCCTACCCTACGTCTTGAAGGGCGGATATTAGTCGGCCACATCACAACACCGGATCACCGACCTCCAACATCTAAACACTCTACTTCGCCAAATTGCCGTCAAGAGAAATCACAATGTTTTGAAATTTTTTCATTCATTTTTGTTTTCTTCATCGTCTGCAGGGTATCATCTTGTCTATGTACAGATTCTGCTCAGAACAACTTCTGATACAGGTTGATGTCGGCCTCCTCGACATAGCCACGTTATATCGCTTGTCCATGAATCATGACTAACTTAAATGCGCTTTCAGGTTCAAAGAAAAAGGATTTTGTAAAAAGAAACAGAAAGAGAAGTGAAGTGAAGTTTAGGATAATCAATATCCGTCTTCTTTACTCGGAGGTTTCACCCTCCACACAGCTGACGCTGCCCTTGTACGACCGGCGACCCCGAGCAAACCAATCAACGAGAATAATGAAAATCACGACACCATACACGGCCGAGACATAGTTCATATCTGCCCAGAGCGTCAGTAAAGAGATTCGGGAAACCATCGCTGTGGTGGGTGATAACTTACTCCCTGCGTTGACCGGCATGGTCGAGGGGAAGGAGTACATGACCAGACAGAAGACAGTCCAAAGCAAGGTGACGATGTTGGCGAAAAGTCCCAGCTTGCCCAGCCAGAAGGGACCGTGGTGAATGTTGTTGCGCCCGCGATACAGCAGGCAGAGAACGGGGCATGAGTAGGACATGTACAGCAGAGTGATACAGGCGGTCACCATGCTGTTGAATGCAGTAGAGGATCCAAGGTAGAGCAGTCCCAAAACGCCAACCAGGAAAGAGCTTGCATTGTGGGCGTGCAACGGCACGTCCAGCGTGGTGTTGACGCGGGACAACCATTGGTGTCCGGGCATGCCGCGGTCACGAGCAAAGGCCCACGCCAGGCGAGATTGCCAGGTGTGGCACGCGATCAAGCATCCCATTCCGGTCACCAACAGCAGACTCTCCAAGACGATGGCGCCGGCCGTGTTGTTCAGCGCTTGGTAGTAAAGCTCCAAGATGGGGACACCGGTGGCAGAGTTCAACAGCTTGTTCAGGTCGTTGAGACCGAAGAACATCGAAACACAGTACGTCCAAGAAGTGACGAATCCGATGCCGACGGTGGCCATGATTGCGATCGGGATGTTCTTCTCAGGCTGGGGCACCTCTTCGGCAAGATGAGTCGCAGAATCCAGGCAGGCGAAGATCCAATTCGGGTTGATCAAGCCGGCGATGAACGCCATGCCATCCGAATCCCAGCCCGTGGAGTTGACGAAATGGCCAAAAACATAGGATGCACTGGCGTGTGTCTTGGCACAGGCAGGCACCGTGACCAAGATCACAAAGTAGGAGATCAGCGAGATGTACAAAGTGGCCTTGGCAACTGCAGGCAAAGTTTTGCCCCAGCAGTTGAAAAGATAGCACACGAAGTTGATGATTTCGTATGCGACGACGGAATGCCAGGCTTCGGGGACACTGTGATCAGTCAGCATTTTTAACAACTTTCAACCCCCATCAAAAGGGATCGAGCTTTCTTGATGCATACAATTCAGGGTGGCCGAGCTGCCACATTCCAACACCGGCCTGTCCCAGACTGAGGGATACACTAGCACACGCGAAGACGGCGCCCGCATATCCAAACCAGCCAGTCAAGTAAGACACGAACCGGGCATATTTCTTGGGAGCGAGTTCGTTGGCCCAGAAATATTGACCACCGGCGTTCGGCATAGAACTTGCCAGTTCCGATAGCGATGACCCCACGCAACACGAGATAAATGTGATCCAGAGCAGCCCATAGACGATGAGAACCGTGCCTCCCGAGCTGATACCTGTGATCAAAGATGCCGAAATACCGAACCACGAGTTGGACATGCAGAACGCAATACCGATAAGAGATATTATCGAGAAATTGCGCTGCAGATCTTGGGTGTATCCCATCTCAGCCAGCTTGATGGCGTCGGCATCTTCGGATCCCGATGAGGTGCCGCTGTTCGTCGGCTTCACGCTGGGCTTCTTCTCTAAATCGAGTTCGCTCATGGTGTCGGTTAATCACAAAAGCTGGAGTTGAGTCAGCGATTTAAGGTGATGGTGCAAAGGGCAGCGCAGTTGTCGATTGATAAGAAAAACCGGACCGGACCGGACCGTCGTGTTGCACTGGTAATCGCGTGGGAAGTCTCTTTTTTGTCGAGTCTAATTGAAACCGATTATGGCCACTGTTGCATAAGGGCTTACGGATCCTCGGAGAAAGGCGCTTCGGATTCGAAATCGGGGTTCGGGAGAAATTGCTGCTGCTGGACAAATTGGCCGCTGTTGGCAAACTAATCGTCGATTCGAATCTCGCAAAGCCGTCAAGCTGCAGAGGGGTGTCGATATGTTCGATGACCGATGTTGCTGGCGGAAGACCTGAACCTGTCGATACGTCGATACGAGGATACGGAACGGCCAAGGCAATCAGTATTACAGAACTCAATCTGTGTTTTTCTTTGCTTGTTCTCTCAAGCTATCAACAAAATCGGGTGGCGTTGGATGAAAAGGCAAGAGGCCTTTTGTGTCGCAGACAGCCAATGCAAAGAAAAAGAAAACAAAGAGGTCTCCACCACGATGTCCACGAGGGAAGTGGTATGGAGTGAGAAGGGGAGGGAGAGGCGTGAGGTGTGAGAGAGTGTGTTGGTGGTGATATGGACAACAAAAACCACCGCGATGGGATGTGAGTGACTATTTATGAGATCCCGGCTACTATTTTTCCCTCTTTTTTTTTCTCCCACTCTCACTGTTTTCCCCAACTACGAATCGCTGCCCTCCGAAGTCCCCACCGGAGATTTGATAACATCATTCCTTGAGCTCCGAAAGAATTCCCCATATTTTTTTTTCTGTCTCTAACTGTCTAACAGTCTCTCCTGCAAAGGCACTAAACTACACTAGGGTGGCTAGACAAACTTATGCACGCCAGAGCGAATCCAGCCCGCCTCCACTCCCTATTTTATATCGTCATAGGAGGGTCTCAAATCGCTTGCAACCGGAGGCTAGGCAACCAGTCTGCTTAGTTCCTACCGCTGTTATGTTCATTGAATCGATTTGCGGCAACCGGGGGCTATGAGATATCATTCGGCCCTCGAGGGAAAAGTGGGAGGACTGTCCTTTGGTTGAGTGTTTGACGCCGCCTTATCGTTGGTCGATCCCTACTCCAGACGGTGGCGCCTCTCCACTTGTATGAATCGGTTCCGCCGAAAATTTTTACTTTGCACCAAAACTGGCTGAGAGAAACTTCGTCGATTCCTTGTTCTGTCCCTTTTCTTTTTCCGTTCTGTCGAAATTCTACCAAACGTCATAAGGCACGTTGTTTGCGCGTCTACTACGGAGTAGATGGCCGACTGTCATCAGCTCGGTGAATCGGATTGAGAGATTCTTTTCGGGCCGTCTCGGGGAGATTTCGACATTGCTGCTGCAAGATACGGCGCTGCGATCGATCTAGCACACGTCCTCTCTCTCCCCCTCTTCCCTTTTTTTTATTTTTTTTATTATTTTTATTATTTTTTTTTTTTTCTCTCTTTTCCCTAACATTCACTCAGCCACTCACACACTCTGGCAGTCGGCCGCAGTCGGCCGTGACGGCTGCCGACAAGGACAAATGATCGTTGCCCTTAGTGAGAAGTGCGATTCGTACCAAGACAGTTAACTACTCCGTTCCAACCGCTCAGGTTCCGAGTTTACTCCAGTCGCGTGCAGCCACTAGTCTCTTTGGTCTAGTAAACTCCACGACCGGATTCGGTGGAGCTCATTTCAACGCGAAATTCTGAATTCTGATTCGCAAGTTCAACCTAACGGGCAGAAACAATTGACTAAGAAACCCTCA